CTGCCAGCTCCTGTAGTTTATCGTCCGGTACTATCCAATGATTGGCCTTGGGTACTCGGTCCAGATCTCCCTGGATTGGAATGACTATTCGTAATGTCTCATGATCTGAGGTGCACTGAAGTGCATCATTGACTGAGGCTTCAGCCATGGGGACATCAGAGAACACCAGATCTAGTACATTTCCGTCATCATGTGTCGGGACATCTGGTTCAGAAATCAGATCCAGTCCGTGGTCTGCCATAGTTTGTGCAAGTATAGTACCACCATGATATCCTGGATTGCTTGAGTCCCAGGATATGTCGCCAGCATTGAAATCTCCAGCTATAACGCAGCCAAAAGGTGGAGTCCATACTTCCAGAATGTCATCCACTTCCTGTGGGTTGTCACATGGCCGGTAGACACTGGCAAATGTAATGCCTTGTACCTTGACCCAGGTGATGTCTCGTGTAGCATAGGGCCGAAGTTGATCCGCTTGAAGGTATTTTCTCACATAGATGAGAGATCTGGGCCGTGTACTGTCGCTGTCCCAGGAATCCACTGGGGAGTATATATCGTAATTGGGGTGTGTCTTTACTCCCATTCTCCTGCCTGGTGGTATGCCAACCCAGGGCTCTTGCATCAGAATGATGTCTGCTTGTTCTCCTTTATAGTCAGCCAGGTTGATGGCTAACTCTGTAGGGCCTGCACTCTTTTGTCCCCCTGCTGTATTCACAGAATGGATGACTAGATGCCCGTGTCGATGTGTTTCGTTTGATGTACCTAACATTGACTGACAACAATGGTATCGGCATCTCTGGGATGAGTTGTATCTGTTGTGTCGATTTGCATTGTGGTGTCTTTGTTATTATTGCTAGGTGTTGACCCAGCTTGGTTTCTGCCTGCTTCGTTGAAGGCCTTGGATCTGGCTCTTTCTCCGGCTAGCCTTATTTCCTGGATTTGCTCCCATGTGTGCTTATAGATGGTACCTTTCACAACCTTGGGGCGGGCAGGGCATTTGTCGAAGTTGGCAGCATGAGGTCCTTTGCAGTTGACACACTTTGGGATTGGTTTTTCGCACTCTCCCTGGTGTACTGTGTTGGCGCAGTGTGCACATACTTGCTTTTCGCATCGGTAATTCCTACCATGGTATCTGAAGCAGCTTGCACACTGGTGAACCTTGGGGGTGTGTTGAATATGCCTTGAGGTCATTGAGTGGGCAAAAAGCGTGAATGGTTTCCTTGCTGCACTGGGCAGAGAGATTATCCATGTAGTTTCTGGATCAGAATCAATCGTGTTCTTTGAGAGTATGCACCTCAGAGGTCTGTCGCCTGTTTGGGCTTCAACTTCATCGGCAACAACAGTGTCAGTAATATCGATTGTGAACCCTTCTGCACTGATGACCTTTCTTGGGCATCCATTGACCTTGTAATGATGCCAGACTGTGTGGGTCTCAATCTTTTGTGCCTTGAGAATGTCGGCAATTTCTTCTTGGAAAGCCAGAAGCTTAGCCTGAGTTGGCTTGTCCCTTGGGTGTAAGGTAAAACCAGAAGGACATCGTGTCACTTCTCTAAGCTCCTGAGGGTGGAGCTTAAGTCTTCTGTTCAGTGTAGACTTGATTCCATAAGGCTCTAGGTGGCTATTATCCATGCGGACAAAGACCCGGAGATCATCCTGCTTCTTCTTCAGTTGGTTGGCAGTGATGAGGGCGCCAGGCTGTGTTTTCTTCATGGTAGTGTTGACTGTCCATGGATGCTGTCGTTGGCCAGAGGATACAGCTTGGGCGAAGGTCATGGTGGGCTTCCCTATCCCTATCCCGCCAGGAGTGGTCTTTCTTTTGGGCAGATCTCGGGTTTCCAGCCACTCGTTCAGGCATTTGGAGAAGAAAGCGCTGAACTCCTTGGCATGAGAGTATAGTTCGGTTCCAGCTTTTTCCAGTGTCTTATCGACTGCTGCAGCACACTCTTGAAACATTGTCATCCTGGCTTCATAGAGATGCTTGTCTTTAGCCAGTATTTTGGCTACTTGGTCCTGGCACTTTGAGGAAGAGACCTTGTTCCCTGTATCGCCTCTAATGGCTTGGTCTGTAGAGATTTCGTTTGATTGAGGTACTTCCATATCAATGATGCTGCTAGTATTAATATTTCGGGATTTTCCTTTCAGAGGGGAAACAATGGTGAAGTCAGCCTCAGAGACTTGTGACGGGCTGCTGTTGATGTCGTCGAGCAGTGCCTGGCGGAGCTTGCTTGGGGTTGCCGGGCCATATGTTCTTTTAGGGACCGGGGATTTGAGCATGCCGCCAGTAGTCGTCTTTGGGACGGCCACTGGCGTATTTGGGGGCCTATCGTGAAGGGGTGCCATCCAGCTTGTGAGAAAAATTTTCTGCGCCTTGGCAAGGATAGTCAGGTACTGAAATAAATGCCTGTTTTAGTGCAGATATAGAGGTTGCGCCCTAACAGCGGGGCGCCAAGAAAAATAGTTGTTTTTGGTAAGAGTGTGTGTCTCTTCTTCTGTAAGTCTCGCTTTCTGGACTAGATCTTCTAAATTAGCGATCATCTGGGCATCTAAAACCTCCTTTTTGCCATCAAAGATAGTCCTCTCATCAAAGATCACATCCCTGGCGCGATAACTTGGCCCAACTGGGGTACCCAGATGCGGTAGATGTTTGTCAAATTGTAGCCCACAAGGTAGCCAATATGGGCTCGTGGATCGAGCTTCCAAAGCTTGCGAGGCTTGCCTCTCTTCTTCACTCTGTTGCCCTTATTGAGGGCATATGCCTTGCAGCCATAAACTCGTAGATGCGTCAGCTGTGGTGTGCGAGGTCCCTCAAGGCCATCCTTTTCTGCGAGCTGGTTGTAAAAGCACTCGTACGACGACTTCCATTTCGCTTTGGCGCGAGGAGTGCGGTTATATAGGTAATAAGCAGCCTCTACAATATCTGGCCACAAGTTGTGAGGCAATTTGCCTCTCATTGTGACGGCCTGCACATACCTTCCCACATGACAAGCCGATACTTCCCAATAAGGGAAGGATCTGACCAAAGGATCCCCTTAAAGGGGCAATCTCCCGCTGTACCTATCTCTCTCTCTCTCTTCCTTTCCTCTCTAGTCTTGATATTCTCGTCAATAGAGTAATAGCTGCTTGCTGCCGGCCATGTCCCAGCTCCTCAGTACGCTCGCTGTGACACTCATGGCTCTGGCCTTTTGTATTGCAATGTGCCCCTGCTTCTTAGCGCGCCCGTTCTGTGTCTGAGTGTGAGGAGCAGATGGTTCTGGAGTGGTCCTTTTTTCGCGTAATAAATCACACATAGCAATGGTGAAGAACTCGTTGTCTGCTCTGATGACTCGGATCTCGAACCGGTGCCTTTTCACCCACTGGATGAGATCTCTCATATTTGCCAGGTTCTCATCATCAAATTTTCCGTAGCAAAAATAAGGAATTGCAATTCCTGTAGCATCGCAGACGGCAGTCATTATCCTCTTGATGCCATTATATCCTTCTTTCACCTCTTCCCAGTCGATATTCATGCGGTAGCATGCTTTTGTAGCTTTGAGATCTGGTTCTCTGCGTGAGGGTAGCTCGTGTGCCTCCGAAAGTGCGCAGCCTTCGCATTCGTGCGTTTAAGGACCCCTCAAAGAAGAGCCGCAGCACTGCAATCCGAGCTGCCTTAATGGTTCAGGGCCAATATGACCCATTCGAAGGTGCCATTATTGAGCAGTACCCTCAAAATTCGGCCTTGCAGCAGCTGTTCGTCTCCTTGGTTGTCTTACTGCAGTAAGAAAGGCGGCTTTGTATTGCGGTGTTGCTATGTACTCGAGTACTCGTTGATTTTCGATTGTCTGAATCTCTGCAAGGATAGATTCGTCTCTTCTCCGGTTGATTGTGTTGCTCCTGGTATCCCAGTAGTACCCTCTCTTCTCTAGAAGGTCGTATGAGACAATATTACAGGCAAATCTGCACAGTAAGCTACTTCAGAGAGAATGAGGGTACCTGTACCGCTACCTCTGGTGACCTTCACGGCCACCTCCCCATATCCTAAGATAGGAATTTCGCTGTTACCAGCTACCACAAAATGGCCTCTAGGTGCCTTTCTGAAGTGTCTGAATCGGCGGAGATCATTGAACACGTGGAGAGTCGATCCTGAGTCAAGAATGGACGAATAACGGAGTGGATAGCCATAAGCTGAGTGGAAAACTTGGTTGTAGACATTGTTGACTGCTCCTTTCTGTGTCCTCTTGAGACAGGGTCTCCTCTCCTCGCACCGTCAGCCCCGATCTCCTCTTTCAGCCTCTTGGCTCTTGATGTTTGTGAGTCTCTCATCAAACTCCTTTCGTAGCTTTGCTACTTCTCTGGCGAGGTTCTGATCCTCTTTTACCCTTTTCTTGAAGGTCTCCAGTAGCCTGTCTGCGGGCTTTAGTCCTGGTATCACACATCTGCAATCAGGGAGATCATGTCCCCAGGCGCCGCAACCACGGCACTTAGAGCTCTTTCGACGAGGTGTATCGCCAGAAGAGGTCTCTGCTCGTAGTCTCTTCCTTGATGGCGCTCTCTGATTAGATTGGGGATCAGCTGGGGCATCCTCTGCAGAAGGACTTCTTTCTCGTGCAAAACGAGTACCATCAGCTTGCAAAGCCACTCCTTTTTGAGGTCTTCGGGCACCTCCACGGTTGCCAGCTTCTTGCATTGCTATCCAGGTCTGGAATCGCTTGCTGATCTCCAGATAATCAGGGTTCTTCCTGGTTATGAACGAAGTCTATATTAAGCTTGTTCGCAAATTCGGGCGAAATTCCGTAGATGGCTGTTGACAAATCCTTGATCCAAAACATCGATTGGAGTATACTAGGGATCCGATGGTGTGTAGCATCCGCCATAACCCTCTCCCAATCGTGGATGAATTCGTAAGCCTGCCTCTCTGAGCGGATGATCCGCTTCGATAACAGGATCTTATTATAGGAATCGGTGACCATTCGTTGCGTATCTGCCACTGATGGCTTCGTTGTTCGAACCAGTGTGATGAGCCACTCTCATAGGGGTTGAGTAGCCCGCAGGGGGATCTTTTTGGTCTCTGATACGGTCTTCCTGATGTGATCTCTCAAGTCCCTAATCATCTCTTCCTGCTCCTTGTATTCCTTCTTCTCTCGTTCGTAGATGCTTGAGAATTGCAGGTAGACCCGTTGGTTATTGGCGATCAAGTCGGCGTACGAATCGATCCCTGCCTGCACGCTATCAAAGGTTGGTGCCACTGGATGCACCTGAAGAGGCAAAGGATTCGGGTTTTCGGGGTCGAGACACCTCCAGAGAGAGGGAGGTACGATACTAACGAAGTCCTCGTACCAGAAATCCCAGTCCCTCTGATCGTTGAGGATTTTCTTCTGGTTTGGCGTTGCGGTAGCCATCTTGTTGCTAGAATAGGCGCTGTTTATTGGTATCTTTCGCGCAGGTGTGGGTCTGAACTGACAGAAATATGTCGTTTTGATTGACTATAATTGCAAAATAAATCGTCAGTCAGAGGAGCACTTGCTAATCCGGGCTCATAACTGTCAAATAGCGTGTGTTATGGTTGATCTTGTTCATGAGGTGTATTCTGGTGATCCTGATTGATTGTCTGTCTCTGAAGGATCTGCTATTGTAAGCTACAGGGCCCGAAATTGCCCTGGAGGCCCTGTTGGTGCACTGCCACCTCCCTCAACGCCACTGTGGTTTGCGTGCCATTTGACACTGTCCAACTCTCCGCATCTGGTGTGACAACCAAAAGACCATCAAGTTGGTGCGGAAGGACCTCCAAACGCTTCAAACAACGCTCAAATACGTCGATATACACAACCACTGGCTAAGGGAAGCTCAACGCAACGGGAAGATAGACGTCGAGTACATCCGGAGCGAAATAATACTTGCAGACGGCCTGACCAAGGCGTTGCTGGCACCAAAGTTCAAGACATTTAGGGAGCAAGTCTGGGGCTGGATTTTCCGGTGTGAGACGCCAGTCAACTGCAAAGATCTGGGTGCCGCTTTGTTGTGCGAGATGCGTAATCCCGGGGTGGAAGATGTCGACGCTGCCCCAGACCATGTCGCCGCCATGCGCATACAAGATAGCGCGCTGTGCTGTCGAGTCTACCGGGGCGGATTGCGGTAGGAAGCGGTGGACGTCGATGCTGACGCCGTCGAGGGACGAGATCGTGTGCTTGGTCTGATGCACCCCCTCCGCGACGGGAAACATCCCAAAGCTCGCGGTCGATGCAGCGTTCCAGAAATCGCGAAGCTTCATCACGTCTGTGATAATAGGCGTCGCGCGCGCAGCCGCGAATGCCTTCCACTTGGGGTCGACTTTGAGTGCCGCCATCGTGTCTACTGAGTGTAATGGCTCCGGATGAGAATGGGATGGGGCGCAACGGGGTTAACGGCGAGAGGCACAGGTATGGGATAGAAATTGTTCGACCGATTGAGATGTCTGCCGTCTTGTATCAGTTATGCTTGCGGTGGGCGTATTGCATGCTCCGCAGCGTGGCATGAAAAACAACCGAGCTGAGGGGCGATATATGGATCGCGAGCTGCCGTACCTTTATAGGCAGTTGTCTATAGAACGCTTCGAATTACTTTCTAACTACGACTGTTTTTCTTTCGATATATTTAGAGTTTAAGTCCTTGAGATGACAGCGATCACCTGGCCAAGGCAGATACGCAGCGGTTAAGACCTAGTGGTGGTTATGTTGGAGATGACACCTGTTCAAGGCAGTGGCAAACGTGGCCACTTCAGGAACAACTGTCTAGAGCCGCCAATAGAAGAGGGTACGAATGCGAAGTCAACGCCTTTACGAAGTACTGGATAGAGTATTTTTCTTAATAAGGCATTATTTTATGTAAATAAAAAACTTCCATAACGGTTTTATAATGAGTTTTGCCATTTGCACCTTACCGAGATTCCTTATTTGCACCTTAGTAAGGTTTTCTACCTGCTAGCTAGCTGCAGCCCATCCGCCAGGCCAGATAGCTACCACGATCGGGTTTTATATGGAGCTGCTCATTTCCAATTTATCATGTCCGTTATAGCTGGACCTTGTTGGTGACCATGTTAGTAAGCCTGTTGGTGAGCCTGCTGGTGAGCCCCTTGTTAGATGGCTGACAGGTGGGGGACCATATTAAGGTGCAAATAAGGATTTTGGGTAAGGTGCGAATAGCATGACTCTTTATAAAGAAGGACCTACGCCTGTTTCTAAGAACATCATAGCCGCATTGAACTTTTTGTCATTTGAGCTCTACCGCAGCCTTAGGTAAGACAGGCCATGGTCTCTTATAACCACTGTGCTAAATAAAGTGAATGGTCTTTCTTTAGCAAAGGATGTGAAGCCTCCCTGGCCACTCAACTGACGTAATTTGTCCCGTAATCAGTGATGAACATTTACAGACGTAGGGTCAACAAAAGCGGGCAACTTGAAAGACTATGAGCAGGGGGTCCCCCTTAATGTCCTGACGAGTTGGCTTCCCGAGAGTTGACGTCCCGACAGTTGGCGTTCCAAGAGTTGGGTGAAAGCATTTTCGTGGCCGTCTAACAACTTGTCTGGACTGGGAAACAGGCAAGACAGCCTAGGCAGACAGGACAGTTGTTGCGGTGGAGTCTTCTCAAAAATAATCCCCGTGTGCGGGCGGAGGATTTGTAATCCCACCTTCTAGAAGGAATCCTTCGAACTCTTCCTTCTATTACGAGTACAGATCGTCTACGGACGCACCACGTCACCCAGGAAGCCAGCATTCTGGTTGGTCGAGAAGTAAGGAACCAGTCTCGGGGTTGCCGTCCCGGCAGTCCAGTGGAGGACAAGCGGCACCACATGGATTTGTCCCCATGTCGGTACGGTGGATTTTTATCTCCTGTAGACCATCCAGACCATCTGCTTGCCACAGCGGCGCATTTAACGCCGCCTTCAAGTCCAAATCTGGCAGCCTGGAGTCCGGAAATAACTCTTCGCCTGCATGATATGATACATGCCGATGGTCGACCCCTTAGTGATCCACTAAACTAAGGATTTGCTGGCAACTGCCGATGTTCTTATAACATATGACTTCCGTACGTGTCGACTCGTTGCGAACCTCTGGGAGCACATGAGCGCCAGTCCAGCATTCGGGGCATTACTATCATTACACCAATACGTTTCACAGTCTATCCTTCTTCACTCACTTGCAGTCAGCAGTCATTCAGTTCTCAGCTCCCACTACACCGAATGAGCCGTCATCACAGAACAAAACCACTCGACATATTCCTCGACGCTCCAGCTGGAACATTGTCAGTAGCGATTTCATGAATTGCAACAGCACGACCCACGTACATATCTTCAGCCCATCTTTATGCTCGGCGTTCAGCTCGCTGACAGGCGAATTAGACATAATAACATGAGCACCACCGAGCAATGGCAAATCCCGACTGCTTCAGAATGGGCTAGTTGCATGGCCCAGGGGTGGCGCGCCCAGTCCGCGCGGAATCTGGGACCATGGCAGACTGCTCGGAAGCGATCAATAGGGGCACGTCAGCAAAGAGCGTACCCGCACACCACCCGACGGAGATCGCGGCAGGACAGCAGCCAGAAGAGCTTCAGACTCCGGATCCCGACATCCTACCCATACTTTACTCCGACGAACGAAGACCTCGTTCACGGAATAGGAATCGTCGAGCCGGCACCCAACTGTTTCGCTACTGAGCGGGAGAAGCCGGTGTGTGTGCCGAAGAGGGACATTGAGGTCCCTCTCGACTGCTTGTTCGGATTTTAATTATTGGAATGGGCAGGGCGTTCTTTGGGCTGCTTACGCATTATAGACTGGACCGGTTTTCGATACCCCAAGCATACATACGATGATGACACGGACCATATAGAAAGTCACCATTGGTGCTGGAGAACGGCTGCATTCGGGCATAGGATAGACATACACTAGACGCATACGATAATGACGAGGATCATATAGACAAACATCATTTGGCGCTGGAGGTTGGCTGGATAGAAAATAGAATATACGCATACCATGATGGCGCAGGTCACAAAGAAAATCATCATCGGCGTTGAAGGATGGCTGCAATTAGAAATAGAATAGACCCACTGGGAACTTTAGGTCACACGACGAGACCACATTTTCGGATAAATCCTTTTGGATCTCTATTGATCTGTCATCTTTATCATGTTGTTGCCACGCCAGGGGAAACCCCTGCTTAGCTTGCCACCCAGGTGCAGATCTCATCCATGGCTCAACAGCTTGCTTGCATTAATCACACTCTAGTCTAATATATCAAGCTTTACGCCTTCTACTCGTTCCAGGACCTTTCAATGGCATCCGCGACGCCAGAACTCCTCGTCATGGGCAATTCGTGGCCCCCGGCCAATACAGTAACCTGGACACCGTCGCTCCCCAGCACTGCTTCGGCATCCGCTACCGTCTCACCCCTGACGACCACGGGGTCATCCTCCCCAAGCACGATCAGGATCTTGCCTCCCTGAATCCCCAGCTTTAACCCCGCGCTGCCGTTTCGTCTACTCCGAAGAATCGAAGACAGGGCTACCCAGTCCTCCTGAGGGGCGTAGATAGGGGCGTTCCTGATGGTGCTTAGAAACGCCCCAACGAAGCCGGGATGGTTATCTACTTGCCATCGCACCACAGACGAGACCGTGACGCCCGGCTGGCGCCTCGAGATGAAGGCGCTATCGAAGCCTTCGCCGCCGTTGCAGTCTCCGTCACCGTCGACCTTCTGCTCGCTCTCGGCAGCGATGATGTCCGTGCCGTGCACGGGCATGGCGCGGGGGCGAAGCCGTCTCTTCACCAGCGCTCTTACGAGGAATTCCGGGAGTGAGCCGGAGCTGTAATACAGCCAGCTCCGCCAGTCCACGTGGTACGGCCGGATCAGCCCGCCGGTGGCCACGAGGGACAGGGAGCGCACGAGGTGCGGGAAGTACCTGGTGAACGCGACGCTGAGACCGCCACCGAGCGAGTAGCCCACGAGGTGGAAGCCGGGAGACGCGGTCCAGGGCAGGCTTGACGAGGCCAGCACGAGTAGGATCTGGGTGGTATACAGCCGGGCATCATAGCTCAAGTCGATTGGGGCATCTGAGTAGCCCCGTCCGAATAGATCTAGGACTGGCATTAGAAGAAGAGGAATACGTGCAGGCTTCAGAAGGCACGATACCGAACATCATCACTCTGTAACCCCTGCCGGCCATCTCGTGGGCCAGATCCCCGAGAGATACTATGGGTGTACTGATTCCGGGTACAAAGAGCACCCGCTCTCCGTCGTCAGGTCCCCACTCGTAGACGCGAACAGACCCGTACGGCGTCTCGACATTCCTTCCGCCCGGGAGAGCGTCCGGGGGGTAGGGCAAGTTCTGGACTTCGCGCTGCGAGAGAATTGGCAAGACTGTTATTCCCGGTGATGGGATGTACAGCTCCTTCTTCGTCTTACGAAATGGGCGCGTGACCATCCCGATGGAAACGCACGCGGCCGCGAGGACCAGTAGGCCGGATGTGGCCGGCCGTGCTCCGAGAAAGCCGGACGCGGAGGTGAGGGGTATCATGTCGATGAAAGTGATCACGAAATGTACAAACCTAGCAGCTCAGGTAAGAATGTCTACATTCATACTAAAAAGAGTCGATTCAATCATTAGAAAACGCTTCAGCATGACTCATGTTCGGTCGCAGAACGAAGGCAAGCCACCGGCTGATGAGCAAGCTGGACTGCGTTTTTATCGGATACCTCGGCTCTAGTGTGGGGCAAGTCGCGGCCCCCTATACCGGTTGAAGTTTCCTCGTGCCTTACATCTCAATCCATTACTGGCTATGTCTACGAGAGATACCAACTCCGGGACTGTGGTAGTATACGTAGCTATATAGGAGGAAGAGTAGTTATGTTGAATATTTCATAAGTTCATCTTCTCGTCAATTCATGGCAAGGAGTGCTTCTAACTACCTATGCTCTTGGGTTGTGACACTTGCATTTGGCCTGATACCCCTCGACCAGATCACAAGGATCGTTCCCTCTCCCTATTCCTGCGAGAACCTTCACAGTCAATCCAGTGATCGTGGCGAAAGAGGCATCACAATGATAAAGGGGCTAACCAAACTCCCAGAGACCACCGAGTGCCAAGACGACCGAGGAATACAACACGATCCGTGTACGGCGTCCAGTCCTCGTTACCGCAAATTGCGCGCAGCCTTGGCGATATAGTTCTGGATAAGCTCGCTGTCGCAATCGGAATGCCTCAATATCTCGTTCTTCGGACTCAGGATCTCATCCCGGAGGCAACCCAGATTCTCGACGAGCATCTGATTCTGCTGATGCAGCTGCCTCTCGCGCTCCTGGAGCACGGAGACGCTCTTCTTGGCTTTCTGCCGGCACTTGTGCGCGGCGACGCGGTTCCTTTCACGATGGTGCGGGCTGTTTGCGGTCTTGAAGGACCCGCTGGACTCGGCGGGCGAGGTTGCGGGCGGGCTCGCTGTCGTCCTTGACGGTTTTCTGCGCCGTTTGATGGATTTGCTCGATGTTGATTCATCGTCACCATTGGAGTCGTCGTTGGGGACTGGTTGGTCTCTTTCTTCTCGGCGTCTCTTCCGAGTGGCGTGAACGCTGTCTGGAAGGCCAGAAGCATCCGGCGGGTGAAGCTTCTCGTCCTGCGGGTCAACATGCGGTGTGTCGCGTGTCGTCAAGAGAGTGCCGAACTTGAGACTCTCAGTGAACTGAACATGGTGTCAGCGCTCTTTCTGGGCATGTGAGACGACAGGTCTTGGGTGCTTACGTCGTTGCCAGCGTCGAAGCTAAAGCTCAAATCCTCTGGCGGGTCGAGAATGCTATCTGCGTTCTGTGTGCTCGGTTTCCGGAGGTTCCCTGAGCTGTCCAGTAGGCTGGACCAGTCTTGAAAACCTGGAGCAGATGTGTTGTTGCTGTCAAAAGGGGCACCTAGGAAAAAGGAGTCCCAGGGCGAGACGGCGGCTTGGTAGTCACCGAAGTCGCGGCAGGTGTCTCGTGAATCGATTGCAAGAGTCATTTTGCATATAATGGCTTGTCAATTTATCTGTTTATCTGAAAACATTCAGGTCTCTGGGCAAGGGGATTTCGCTTCTTTTATTCCCAAACGTCGACCTGCGATGTGGTACCAAGGTAGCCAGCGCTCGCCGTTCTTGCCCCTACGTCACTACGCACTTCACCTCTGGACAGGTCCGGTGGCTCTGATAGGCCAATTGGACTATATCCACGACTTGGATAGATCAATCATCTGCATCTGCGGCCGCGAAGCCGCAAGACGTATGACCGGAGAGCGGGGCGAAAGGGCTGGAGAAGCTGCATTGTTGGTGTCCATATCTGCCATGTTTGGCACAATATGCCGGAGATCGTCTCGTTGCAAGCTGATTGGCTCCGATACTCTGGAGTCTATGCCGGGAGCCGCAGAGTCCCCCAATCTGGACCTAGTAGAGCTCTCGAAAGTTAATGCTCCTGGTGTCGCGCCAGGGTTTCGGGCAGTGTCGTACAGTATGGTACGCCCCCTTCACGATACCTACTACGTCGCTGGTATCGAGCCATTGGCCAGAGTCTGAGGCTCAGATATGAGTGCCGTCTTCTGTATCACGGTGTCAAGTCTACTGATATGGTCGGCTACTTGCATGATGGAGCCACCCTGCTTGTGAGAGGCCTACCGTATGTCCTTGATAGACCACGGGGACGAAGCTTCGCGAGGCATAGGACGTCTCTATGGTAGCCTGGACACTATTTATCCGGATATCTTACGATGGGAAAGTTGCCGAGCAACGGCGTGGAGGTAATCACAAGCTCATTGGAAGTCAAAACCAGCCGTTAACGACATGGGGCCGCAAGGGATATGAGATCTTGTGATGTAACACAGGAATGCCTACCTAGGCAGATATGCGTATCTGGATTTCTGGCATCTCCGCGGCCTTGTCGGCATCGTCGAAGGTTACGTCTGGAGCGAATGAGAATCATTGTTGTATGAACACATGCCAAAGCCACGACTCAACCTAACCGAACGACCTGCACTATAACATCATACTTCACGGGAGACGGGGCGGGGCCGCAAGGACCCTGCATACGACGTGTATGGTGTTGCGCTACCTATTCGGAGCTGGGCCCGACGAGTCAACATGATTGGTCAATTCTCATGTCGAGAACCTGCTCCGGCAGCGAGGCCGAGAAAGGAACAAGACATCCAGGTAGATGAGAAGGGTCCAGGGGTAACGTGACACATAGCGTGGCTGGCCCACCAAACGTTATTATTGACTAGACCTTCACTATGCTGACTTCCCCCCGCGTTCTCTACTACTAGCATCCGTCCCGTCCCGTCTCACCCCATGGACAGATCTGAAATACTTGTTGTCGTCATCAGAGGGCGGAATGGCATTGGCCTTCTGATTCTCCAGGGAGGCGTCCGTCTATTCGTGACTGGAATCATCAAGCGGAGTGGCCATCTAAGAGAGCGACCATCTCTCGGGGCTTCTGTGCGATGAACCCTCAAGTCATTTTTACCGCCAGACTGGGCTCATGTCGAATTTCCCATCCACCCCTTCACCAGCTAGACACGCGGATCACTAAGCAGACATCACGGTCACAACAGACGATTTTTATAGTCCAGAAAACATAAGAATCAGTGATGGCAAGCAGCATCAAATCCATGTTTTCATCCGATAAATCGAACAGGCCGCGCAAGACCATTGGCATCGGGCCCTCATGTTAGTCTGCTAATATCCTCGCTTCGTCAAAACGCAGGACCAAATTCCACTCTGGAACTGAACTCTTCATACACGACAGCCGCCAACGCCACAAGATTACCTCCGCATATAAAATTTCCCAAGCACGAAGCCGCAACGCCCGTTCAAAGCGTCATACGTAGTTGTACAATCGTCAGGAGTAATGTCGGCCAAGAAGACAAAACCCGATAAATCCAAGCGCGGTCGCTCTAATCGTTTCCGCGGTGTAACCAAAAGACACACTGTAAGCGCGCTGCAAAAAAGCATGATCAAGCCAGTAATGGCTATCATTAGAAGATTAGGATCGCCGAGGACGCAGTCCGTATCGACATTGGGTGATGTAATGTCGCTCCAAGCAAATCATCGGAATGCCGAGGTATATATCGAAGCGCCTGTCTAAAACGTCGAGTATGCGAATGATCAATTGGGTATGTGGCAAGTGAAAAAATGGAACCAAGACGATGAATTGGTATCTCCTCCGGCAAATGTAACCAAATGGTGGTATATCATGAGTATATAAGAAGTGAAATCAGTGCAGTTGAGTGTTGGTGAGTCGCTCGGTGCGGCCATGTTATATGCGATCACATTCGGTTTTCCTCTCGAAGACGATTCTGTGAGGCTTGGGGGTTGAGCATGTTGCCCATCATGAACATGGAACTCTCTCTTCGCTTCGCCTTGCGGCTAAAAGATTGGTCGTATGCAGGATTCGAGTTTCCACTGTATTCTTGCTCATAAGACGGTCCGTAGTAAGGCCGGTCGTAGGTAGGTTGTTTTTGTGATGCCGCTTGCACCGTGTCTGGGTCGTAGCCAGGCGGAGCACTGAATTCGCTCTCATACGCCGGGCGAAGAGAGGATTGAGAACTCGAAGCCAGCTGGTTGAGATACTGCGGCTCATATAGATTTTGGCGAGGTGGTGGTGTAGGCGTTGACCGCTGTTGTTCCAGGAATCGCTGCAGGTGCGGCGAGTCGATCGTCCCAGCAGTGGACGGCCGACGCGGCTGTCCCTCGACCAGTGGCCTTGAATCTGCCTCGGACACGGGTGATGGCAGCTCGTACTCTTCGGGATCTATGCCAAAGACACCTTCATAGTTCTGCAAGAGTAAAGCAAAAACAGGGGCCGGGATGTTGAGTGTAGGCGAGAAGACGATACCCACGTTGCGTACCGTCATCTTGTTGATATCCGCATGGTTGATGATTTTAATCAAGAACGCGATGAGATATTTGAGCAGGGTCTCATTAGCCAGGGGCATGCGCTGTACCAGCTCCGACAATGCCAGTATCTTCTCCTTGTGGTTCGGCATTTCGGTAACTGCTACGAACTGCATGTGGAGATCTCGGGTCAGAATTGTCGTGGGGAGCTCGCGAAGGTAGAGTTTCAGCAGAGATGCCACGGCATGAATATCGTAGTAGGTTTCGTCAGTGAGTAGGTTGGTATCACTCTCTTGGTTGAACCGCTCACGGAGTCCCTTGATTACGACATTGGAGCCGCTGAGTCGAAATATGCCCTCTTCCAGGAGTGCGTTCCTGGCATCCAGAAACTGAATACAGCGGTAGACCACCGCTGGGAGGGGAACATTGACATCAACCGGTCCATTGTATCTCACAGCTTCGGCCAGTGGCGCCCCGAAGACGTGCCGTGCTGGTCCACGATACTCGCTCAATCCTTGAGAATTGCCACCCCCATAGAGAGGGTCGTCATCAGATGAACGGGTCTTGGGGCCGAAACCGAAGAAACTGCGCTTTCTCTGCTTCTTCTCCTCCATCGTCGGCGCAGGTGGAGCCAGAGTTGGTTTGCCACCCCACAATGCCGAGTCAGATATTAATTGAGGGTCTCTGGGAGCAGAGATCGTTTGTTTCGAAGCTGCCGGTGCTGCCACCATATCTTGCGATTCGGGACTGGTAGTTCCCCGGCGTCGCGGTGCGCCGTCTGGAATGTTACCCTGCTTGGCTGAATCGTAACTCACCCCGATCAGGGCATCGTGGCTGTTATTGCGTGAAGTTGGGGGCTTTGCCTGTGCGTACATCTTCTTCTTTGCATTTGTCCCATTGCCATGGGCCTGGCTATTGGATCCGTATCGGTCGTTGGCAGTGGGCTGATGGGACTCTTCGTCATTGGGATCCCGGTAGTCGATCCAACGCAGCAAGGCGTCAACCCATTGATCGCGTTCTCTGTCACTCTCGGCGCATAGAACATGCTTGACATGGCTGGTGGAGTCTTTCTTCTTCGGCTCGAGAACCAAGAATGCATGGCGGTATTGGTTGTCCAGTTCGTCACCGTTCGGACCTCTTCCAGGAGAACCATCGTTGGGTTGCTGCGACTGTTTCCCAATCTGCGCATTCTGAAGCTTGATCGTGCCTAGATGCGCGCCACCGGGGGCCTCATAGTACTTCAAGGAAGGCCCGTCGAGAACGAAATATCGAGCTTTCCACCCGCCAAAGTTCTTGCCTCTCTTGGTTAGATATCCATTCTTGAAAGGCCTACCACCTGGGCCCTTCTGCGGTGCGACTTCGCTGCTTGTCTCAACAGAGGGCTGGGGATCTTCACCATTGGGCGGGAGAGTGTTGATTGACAAATACTTGCAAAGCTCCAAAGCAGACGGAAGGTCGAGAGGCGTGTTGAGTAATTCATCAAGATACTGGTCCAGGACGGTACGACGCGCATCCAGCTTAGCAGGAGCATGACCACTGAAGAGAGATCTGTCCGGCGTTTTAGCAGTGAACGCTGAACATTGCTTCATCTTTTGATCCAGTTTTCCGAAAGACATGGTGTCTTTTTCCACTCTCCAAAGCTCTCCCCCCTGGGACCGAGAAAAAATGGCCAATGTGAACACCGGATCTTCCTCTAGCTGCGTAAGAGACATCAGACTAGCTCGCGAAGGCTTCATGCGAGACGATGCCACCTTTACCACAATGGAAGGAAGTGCATTCGGAGGGAGTAGTAGGTCAGGGTACTCATCCGTGACGAAGCCCTTATACATCCTCGTGCGGTCGAATGAATCTGCGCTGCTCACTGTAGGGCTCGGCTGTTCAGACTCGGTCTCCGGTTTCACTACATTGAGAGGCTTTGGTGAGGATAAGTTCAGGGGCCTGAGTTGTGGTGACTGGTTAGATTTTGAGGTGCTGGGAGGCAAGGGGATCGGCTGCCTAGGAGCCCGGGGCGATAGTGGTACGGCAGCTGGGCCCATGCTTCGTGGCGACAGAGGCGGGGAATGAAGCGGTGGTCTCGTTGTCATCGGTCTCGGGCTTGCTGGCAATCCCGGACTCAGAAGCGGAGGGGTCATTACGTTCTGCTGAACCTCACTGCCACTCAACAAACCGGCCAACGAGGCAGGGATATTCTCACGCGCGAGCATTGGTAGCATCCTGGGCTGAAGGTTTGCCGGAACATCGGTCCTTGGACGCTCTGGTTCCGCAGCTATCGGCGTCCCCTTCTGGCTGCCTTTCTTGCTCTTCTTAGAAAGGCTGGGCGCCTCAGCTTCCTGCTGCGCCAGAACTTCTCTGTCCCGGTCATCTTCCTCTCGGGTGCGTCTTCGTCCCCGCTTTTCGAGTACCGGCAGTTCGTCTACCTCTAGCAACGAATCATAATCTGAATCCGAATCGTTCTCGTCGTCAGGAAGCATGGCCGCCGGTACATTCGGCTCTTTCTTCAGCTGTAGTGGAGCTGGTGGAGGTTTGCGTGGGGGTGGAGCAGAGGGAGGAGGAAACTGAGAGATGCCCGGGTCAACCAGCGGTGATGCTTCAATGACCGACACGGCTGGGAGGTGGCCCTTTGGGGGATTTGGAGGAGGCATTCGTGGGGGCTCGCTGGGCAGGCTCCTTGAAGGAGGCAAGCTAAGGAGTATCGGAAGGTCGGTCGACGCTTCGGACACCTTCTTAGCCTCCTCATCAGCAGCACGGTCCTCTTCCTCCCGGTCAAAGTTATCAAGTGCATGCTCAGATGGCCTGGGCATTGCATGCGAGGGATCCAAAAGTTCGCCAACTGCTGAAGGCGGCCCGTGTGCAATATGATCCGCTGGGGGTGTGATCGGGTACGGAGCAAGGGTCATATCGATGGGAGACTGTTTGACGCTGCCCGAGTCCAAGTTGGACGGCGATGCGGCCACATCAGCCTGGCTGTCTCTGGGTACGTTGACATCGACTCGTGGAAGGGGTGTTGCAGCCGATCGAAGAGTCTCGCGTTTCGAGGGGTCGTCGTGCACCGCGACCACGTCCTTCAGCTTTTTGCGGTACCTCTCCTTGTCTTTCAAAGCCCGCTCGAGGTCCTTGTTCAAGCCCAGTATCATTGCCCTTTGCTTGTCCACCAGCCGCCACAATTGCGCGTTCTGCTGGGATTGCGAGTGCTTCTCTTTCAATAGATACTGGATGACAGCCTCAGGACTGCCGGCCGCCCTCACCAAGTTGGCAACATCTGCATTCGCATCCTGGCTCCCTTGTTGTGCAGGCGAACGAGACGATATCGCAGATACAGCAGAATCGATGGACGACGTTCGAGGACCTCCGATGGCATCGTTCCTGATAGCTGCTGGAGCGCCGGCCATGTTAGGCAGGCTTGCAGCAGCAGAGCCTACAGGCTTCGTCGTCGCAACGGGATCGGATACACTTCTAGAGTCATTCGGAGAAGGAGACGTAAGGATTGATCTAAAGAAAAAAGTCATGTTAGATCCCTGGCCCCATCGTCTCGATGCGCTCGCGTTCAAGTGTAGCCATCTAAAAGAGTAAACAACATACCCAATGATGTTGGAAATTGGGGTCACGGGAGGGGAGAAGTCTCCTTTGTGATAGTTCGCGCCTGCGAAGCGGAAATCCTTGCTGCTATCCCCAGGCGAAGGAGAGCGGCGTGATGGATCTCGGAGTGTATGCGTGCCTGAAGCGGTGGCGAAGGATTCGTGAGCCGGCGAAGGGAACGTTGAGCGGTTGGGACTCGCGCTTGACGGCGGAGACACGGCGATGCTTGTTTGCAGCGGGCTGGGAGTGGGTTTCCCTGGTGCCCGTTGTGATCTAACGACGGTGGGGATCTCTGTCAGCGCTGGTCTCGGGAGGCACGACAGGGCGGTTGGGCGTTTGGGCGTCGAGAAAGCTCGCTCCCAACTGCGAGAGGCTCAAAGGCACAAAGGCTCGGGGTGTCACCAATGGTAGATAGTAGCAAATGGTGTTTAGGCCCAGAAGCATCAGCTCCACCTGGCATTCCACCTCAAGGTAGAGAAAGGAGGGCAGGGAGAAGGGTTCACGCAAACAGAACAGTCATCCCAGGTCTCTTGCTGGCGGTAGGGTACGAAATGGTGAGAGTATAGCTAAATTACTTACTTTGTGCTTGTGCTTGCGCCAGGCAGCGGTATGGAAAGCGGTGGCAGCGGGTTGGCGTCAGCAAAGGTGTAGGTATAATCCACCGCAGCTCTGCCTATCGTTGGACTGTCTTGCGGGAAGTGTTCACGCTGGGAATCTGACGGGCTCTCGCTACGCTGGAGCGTCAGATGCGACATGGTCCACGGACCACTACCTAAAGTACGAGGTTGTGGTGTTCAGGGGGTAGAGCCAATGGGGGGTAAACCATAAAAAGGTCACAGGGCAGAGGTCAGAGCTTCGTTACGCAGACGACCTCGACTGGCCCTCCGTGGTTTCGAGACGCCTAGATGGCCCTGATTGACGTCGCATGCATTCGATTGGAGGTCGCACGACTGCTAAATCCGGAAGCCGACGATGCAGGGTTCAGGGCGGTGCGGCGGTGGTGGACGGGGTGGTTGATGAGAGGACCTCTTGAGGAACTGGGCGCCTGCGGATACCCGCTGCGAACTCTCGATGGCCCGTGTTCGAGGACGAACAAACAAACAAACAAACGACAAGGTTGTGTCGTTCTATAACGTTCAATAGTTAATACGATGGCGGGATTGAATTCCGCCAGAGATCGCAATAATGAAGAGTGGAAGATGGGAAAGGAGGGAAGGGGACCAGTGGTCGCAGATAAGATTTCTTTCCCTTTCTTCAATAATAATCCCAGACGCGGCGGCGGGCTGGATCAATAGGGGGGCTTCGGGGGGGTCGAGTCCAGTCCACCACATTGCACGAACCGGTCCGGGGTAGATGATTGCATTTCCCAAGCGGACTTGCTCGCATCTGCCGTTTAGATACATGTTCCAAGCCTGCATGTAGTGACCGAACTGTCAATGCTGTCGTGATCTCTCCATCGAGAGAGGCGAAAGGTACAGACCGTACAGAGTCTACAGACGATACCCCTGAGAGGCTGTGAGAGCGCTCGTGCGACAACTTTGAAGATGCAGCCAGCCCCTCGGAACTACTTCTGTAGGCTGGATGTCGAGATAACGCCCCCCACCACATGCAACTAGGGCCATATGTTAGGTATTGCGCTCTTTGCCGCAACTGGACAACCTAGTGATTGTCAATCTATCAGCTGCGTAACGGCGCCTGCGGCTAGAGGTGTACCCGTTCTTCGCGTCGTCACGGTCGACATGTGGGATTCTCACTTGAGATGTGCTAATCACCGTAGTTTGGTGGCTACCTAGAGCAGCGCAGCAGGTACGCGGTATGATGATAGCAACTGGAAACAGGCAGCCCGTCTTGGAGCTGCACAATACCATGAGACGCCTTGTCTGGACCCCAACTGACAGTAACAATCCTGTGTGCGCTTGACTGCCAATATAGAAGTCCCTGGCGGCGATCAGCCAGAGATGACGAGCTGTGACCGTTATTACGCGGTTGTTTCCTTTGCCGCTTGCGAGGGCACTGGACAACAACTTTCTTGATCCTTTCGCGTCTTCAGGTGCAAGAAACCCCCTTCCGAACCCCGGAATCCGAAATGCACCACTCAAGGACCTTATTTAAAAATCACAGGCCGGGGCCCTTGCTTTGCTTTAGGCTGGGGTGATCGGAGCATTCCAAAACATCAACAACGACTAGGCCAGGTCTCGGACCCCCAGAGGCTCAGAGCGCTGAGGAATCAAAGCTTCGTCTGTTGCCCCAGGCGTTTTCTAAGTTTCTTCCCCCAGATGAACACAGGGCGAGATGGGAGGGGATATCTCGTCGCTCCAGGAGGCGGCCACTCGGCCAGCTGCAAGGAATGATAGTACTCTTCATAAATACAGAAATAATAACCCTTGGAAGGACCGAGGCTTCGGCTGTTGTATTTATGTATCATGCAGGGGATCCCGTAGGATGAGCAGCAGGTGGGCTGGTGTGGCTGGGCCGTGGCTTCAGACTTCTGCAGGAACAGCCATGTCAGGCAGTTCAGGGTCCCAGTGCGGAAACATGGTACCGTAGCAGCGTCTTCTGGTCAATCTTGGCGGCAGCCTTCCGCATTGGGACATTGCAGAGGTCTTGGATATGAAATCTGTGGCAAATGAGTATTTCGAAGACTGGGAGCAGAGCTTGTTTTTCGGAGCAACGACTCGGCCTTTGCGATGGTTACGATGAGGTAGGTAAGCGGGTACATGTGTATGTATTTTGTGAAGACATCTTTATTGTTGTATCGGGGTTTCGTATCATGCATCTTATCTGCAGATAACGGTGATATCCACAATGCATTTCGAAGGCTTCAACAACGAGTCACCAAGATCATGTCTTGTCTTGCGGCCTCATGGCGTAAACATACAGTAAGGTAACGTGCTGACAAGAACGGCATATCAAGTCACGACTATGATGATACTCCATCACCATCAACCTACTTACCTTTCTTGGGATGTCTTCGAACACCATCTGGCAACACCATCTGTTTGGACAAGGCCCTGACCAATCAAGTCCGATAGAATGAGCTCAGCACGCTTGCCAAGTCGGCGGTCTGGCGGTGTGACGAGAAAGCATCAGCAACCGAGAGTCTCCTCTGCCTGCCTTAGGTAAGTATATACACAGAACAGACTGATGTGGTGATCTAGAACGGCATCTGCTCATTCGCCAAAGACGTCGCTTTCCATACTGAGGTGCAGACAAGGTCGCGATATCAAGACAGCCAGCCTGTCTCGAAGCTCAGGGCTGGAGAGACAGAGCTTTGACCGAGGGGTCCTGGACCCTGCACTGCCAGACTGCCGAAGAAGAACAGCAGTTCCTGCATGTGCTACGATGACAGGGCTGTAGCCGCCACTAGGAACGGGAGGTTACATTGCGATGGGCCAATAGGTGAGAGGGGGCCGTTCTTTTGCGAACAGCTGAGATCCATTTGCTCTCGGCGGAAACGGTAGTACGATTTCAACGGGATATCGTCGATACTCGAAACGCCTGCTTGGAATAGCTTGAGACATGGCTTGTCAATCAACATGCCTGTTCGGATCTGCGGCTTGCTAGGACCGGGTACTATCCGGCTACGAACGACTCCAGTATGTACAATCAGCTCTGTGCGTGATCTTCGACGCGACGACAGCCTGCTCTAGATCGTCCGTAACAGACATACCAGCTGGGGGTGACGTGCGTCCAGCTAGGGGGTTGAACAGTCATGCCATTATGACGAGATCACCTTGCTCTACCACCAGCTCGCCTCCGACCAAATCCACGATGACCTCTCATCGCTATTGGCGTATCAAACGCTCGCCAAGTGGTGAGGGCAGATCTCACCGGCGGGTTAGGTGAATGTTTAGTCTGGGACAAGCACCATCGCTCTGTCGCATCAGTCTTGGCTGACAACGCCGAACCCGCTCAAATTTCGAATGGCAATGGTATAATACGCCCTCTTCTCGCCAGACGAGGTCCACGATGATGAGGGAGTAAGATGTTGTCGAAGTCGGAACGTTCCGCTGTCCGGACCCCGGGAAGTGGTTCGACTATGACGACCGTCAGTGCCGCCAGCGGACCATCCCGCAGAGGGCTCGCCGGCCTGGCTGGATGTGGAACGCGAAACAGGATGCCAAAATCCAAGCAGCCTCGTAACAACCTTTCTGGCAATATTGCCTGGGTTTCGCATCGGTTTCAGCAAAAGGGGCTGCAGAAGATCGGATACCGGATCCTTGGTCCGTGCCACTTACACACCCCCAGGGCCCAGGGTCAGGCCACAGCAACTATCCCCGGGCCACATCTTACTGGCTCCTTACCACCGGCTGGGATGCAGACATCAAGGCCAATATCTTTCGCTTCCAGCCGAGTGCGTTTCACAAGTTGTTGATACTGACGCGAGCAAGCTTTGTTTCCATGAGGAACCAAGATTGACCCGTCAGTCACTGTTCACCGCTACTAGGCGACGCCTGGTCATCCAGGCAGCTTTCGTTTCGTTGCTCGAAAGAGTCTGGGAGTTCCGGGAGCGACTTGGTCGAATCTCAAAGCACCCGCGCCGTCTTGGTGGCGGCTCGCTCGGCTCGGTCCGTGGTTGGTATCAATCGGAAACATGCGTCGAATCAACTTCCGCTGACGGCGTGTTTCACCATGCAGGATACCATGGAGCGAACGCCGAGAATGACCATCTCTGGGAAGTGACTATTGATGATAGTCCAACTCTTCTTTGTGATGAACGTTACCTTGTTAATAAGATATAATAGGTGGTCCATCAGTGTTATCAACCGAGCTTCCCAAACGCGTTGCCCACAGCTACTGACAAACCCGATGGACTGCGTACTCCGTCCCGATGGGCTGTTTACTCTGTCTCGATGACGCTGATCTTGTACCATCTCGAAAGCCCTCGCCAAATTCACCTTTCGCGTTCCCTTGTGCAGAATTTGGCCGCGATTTGATTAATGCGAGGTTATCAACCAGCTGTTCAGCTGATAACCGACGATGTGCCAGGGATTGCGTACCAGTATCACACATTATATAGCGCTGTTTGATGTTTGATGCGTCGGCGCATTTCACGCTGGCCCTCCACGTGTTACGATTTGGCCGTTCTTCTCACTGATGTGGTCACTATGGGCCCTAGTGGACGGGAGATGTTGACTTCTCAGAGCCAGCGGGGCGGGCTGTTGATAGTCTATTATGACTCCGTGAGTTGGGCGATTTTTTACGTCTCACCAGTTCAGTCGATCTTTTTACCACCCACGTTTGGTTCCCGCTCCCTACTGCTCCGCAGCGCAGCGACGAAGTAATGGTGCTGACGAGTGATGCCCAAGGTGATATTATCATTGTCAGCATTCCCGCTCTTTTGGCGACCAAATTAACTGTGGCTAGGTTGGTGTACGGCGCGGAGGCATGCTCGGAAGCGATGACTACGTTCTCTTGTTCACGTTTATCATGGAGTGGGCGCCATACGTGCTCTTGTTCACGTTCATCATGGAGTGGGCGCCATACGTGCTTTACCAGAGGTGACCGTCTGCCGAACCAGGAACCTGTACTGAATTATATCTTGAGTCTGTCTTTTCGCATCTGTTCAGACTTACATTGACCCCAATCTGGGAATTCGTCTCAGCTTGACTACCCTTCGTGGGTAATCTGGCTGGGTGAACGATCATATCAGCTTTCGACTAAGCGCACAAATTCGGGATCGAAAGTAAGCATGCCCTTCAAGCTGCGTACCTCCAAGTCTGCCAAATACTCGGTGACCCAGTCTAACTCACAAGCGACCCGAGGAGTCACCCAACAGACCAAAGTCAGGGTAAGCCAAACCGACGAAAATCCATATGACCTTTGCGGACTTCAAGAGTATGAAGTACTCGCATCTAGTCATGCCAGCCAAGTCAAAAGCTCGTTAGGGGCATCCGGTAATAGTAAAGCACAACATGTAGGGTCGGGCTGGAAGGCCAGGTAACTTCATGTGAAGTCACCTGCTAATAAGACGTAACCCCCAACTACATGAACCTATATCTAATCCGGGTCGGTGATTGTCCACACCCGCCAGAACTATCGAATGAGTTTTGCACTACCTTATCACCCCTTTATACCCTGCGCAGCGATGCTCTAGGTACCCGAGTTACGAAATTCAGTGCTTCAGCAGATGATAGTTGTACTCGCAGGGAGCATACTGGTCTAGGGGCCGCCGGGTGGGCCAATATTCTGGTTGCAACGTTCCTGCAACCCATTATCAGGAACTTTCCTGCCCCCCGTTATTAGGAACTTTCTCCCTCGACAGCGAACCGTGCGGCCAATGAAGCCCAACTGTTCGAACCGTAAGCCCAGCCCCCGAACCCCTTTGCGCGGGGCCTATATAGCCTGCTTCGTCGATCGTTAAGATCACCGCTGACAACCCGTCCTGGCTGGCATCTCTCCTCTACGAGCAACGACACCTACCACGTCGAGTGAGGGCAAGTTCGGAACCGCACAAGCACCTTACTTGGGCTACTTTGGTAGCCCACTACCTCCGAGAGGAGGCTCATCTGATCCGCACCTTTAACAACAAACTCAAGATGGCCTCACTCGCCAAACCCGCGATCGTCCTGGTCCAAGGGTCCTGCCAGCTGCCAGATGTGTACCAGAAGCTAGCCGACGCTCTCAGGGCCTCTGGATATTGCGTTGTTCAGCCAGCCTTGCCAAGTCTCATCGAGCCAGGCAAAACGGATTTAACGGATGACGCCCGTGCCGTTCGATCTAAGGTCAAAGGCCTTGTGGAGGAGGGGATGAAGGTCATTGTCGTTATGCACTCGTATGGTGGTCTGGTAGGCACCGAAGCTGTTACCAAAGACTTGTCCTACAACCAACGACAGTCCAGTGGCCTTGCTGGGGGTGTCGGTAAGCTATCTATCTGTATTACGTCTGCACTCATGCCGGCGATAGATACAGCTCCAGCTTGCTTGCCAGTATGAAAGCCAGCCTGCTAACCTCAAACTTTTGTAGTGCATATATTCTACTTCGCCGCCTTCATCTTGACCGAGGGCCAGTCGGTGCTAGGCACATTTGGCGAATCTCCCAATGACGACATCAGGCCAGGTGGTCGTTTTATCATAAAGAACACGGCCCAGTTGTTGTACCACGATCTCCCTCCCGCCGAGGCAGAATACTGGGCATCGAAAACCAGCGAACAATCCCACGCGGTGCAGTCGACCAAAATCAGCAACGAGGCATTTCGCTACGTCCCATCTACGTATGTTGTCTGCGAGAACGACCGTGGTCCTCCTCCGCAATTCCAGGAAATGTTTGGCAAGACTGCAGGCTCGAACGTACTCAGACTCAGCTCTGGACACTCGCCTATGCTCAGTCATACGGCGGAGCTAGCGCAAATGATAGATCAGGCCGCGCGGTCCGCTGTATAGAGGGGAAGCTCCCAACAGAGAGCGATAATGTAGTGAATGAGTCATTCGATAGTTCTGCCGGCCGTGAGCAACTCCGGAAACAATCACCGACCCCGGATCAGACATAGGTTCATGTAGTTGGGGGTACATCTTACCATCAGGGGACTTCAAATGAACACAATCCTGGCGTGCACACGGCTTACTCGGCTGGCTCCTTGCTTGAATGTGCCCGTGACATATCACACCCTACGGCCTTCGAGAAATGGTCTGGCTGGCAGGAGTTGCTGCGACTGATCGCACGACAAAAGCTGCCATGAGCAGGAACATGAGTTTGAACCGGTGTAGTTCTGGTGAGATTCATTAGTTTGGCGTTGCGTAGAAGGAATGCTGCAAGTCAGTCAAACTCATGAAGTAGAGCCGGTCTTGCTCGCTATGTCTACTCAGATAATCACCGAAGCAGTCTGTTCCCAATGTAAGAAGGTGGTTCTCGTACGGGCAGAGTCTAGCGCTCATGAAAATCGCCGCCGCTATTCCCACACCTCTCTTCGACCCATGGCTGACGATCCTCGACCGATTATTCGAGGCACACCAAATGTACATCATAACCGTGCCTTCGAAGATACATACTGGCCCGCCGAACTCAAGATAGCGGAAGCTTCTGATACGATCTCATCGACAATCTCCCGCGCAGTCTGATCTGGCTTGTTGATCAGTCCGGCAACGATGCCCATAGGCCTGTGACAGATTAGCAACGTTACCACGGGCCGGACTCATCGTCGAGCTTACCGAATTTCAGCCTGCTCCTCAATCTCCTCCGTCAGCTTCCCCTCGGCATGCAGTCTATCGAGCTCATGCTCAAGGGGCAGAATGCCTTTGCTGGTCAGCTCCCTGATCTCAGCCTGGCGGTTCTGCTCCCAGTCGGCAACATACGCGTTCGACTGGGCGCGCAGCAATCTTCCCGACCATATGACGGACTTGATGATGGAATCGAACCCGGCCTCGATAACCGCTTTCTTCGCGTATTCCGAAGCACCCGACTCCCTGGCAGCCACGAACCGCGTGCCGACCCAGACCGCCTGGGCCCCGAGCACCAGCGCCGCGGCGAGACTGCGACCATCGTTGACGCCGCCCGCTGCGACGAGGGCTACCGGCTTGCCGGTCATCGGCGACGTGTAGGTCTTGCATATGTCCGCGCACGCGGGGATGAGGACGCTGAAGGCGATATCGCCCGTGTGACCGCCCGCTTCGCCGCCCTGCGCGCAGATGATGTCGGCGCCGACAGCGCACGCTTTGTGGACGTGTTTAGGATGGCCGACCATGTTCATGTAGAGTACACCTGCCTGATGAAGCCGGTCGACGATGCGCTTCGGGACGACACCGACGGCCGACACGAAGACCTTGGCGCCGCCCTCGATGATGGTCTCGACCAGCTCGTCCAGGGAGCCCTTCGTGTAGTCCACATTGATCTTGCGCGCGGACCCGCCGACCTGTGGCAGGAGCAGGTCGACGCCGAAGGGGAGCGAGGGGTCTGTGAGGAGTGATTTGAGTTCAGTGATCATGTCCTTGAGCTGTGCGTTGGTGTAGCCCACGCCGCCGATGACGCCGAGCCTGCCTGCGTTGGAGATGGCGGCGGCGAGCGCGGCTGTGGAGGTCATCCCCATGCCGGCGAGCATGACGGGGTGCTTGATGCCCAGTTGCTGCGTGAGCTCGGTCGTGACGATCGACATGATGGCGATTAGTTGTCCAAGAAAGCCAATAGCTTTGGTAGGTTACCTCCTTTAAACGGGCCACATTGAGGGAGCAAGTCAAGACATATCACCAACAACAGGACCAACGACAGGATACCGGTACCCCGGTTTGAGGGGCATGCAAGGAGGATGGAAACACTTGCCGGCATACAGCCTTACTTGGTTGGACTACATCTGTTGGTGGGGTTGGCAACTGGGAGTGAGGGTCGCAGTTTGTGCGCAGTGAACTCATCCTGAGTGGAAAAACACTCATCACTTATTGCTAGACAAAAGAGAAGGATTTTGAGTGCACGGGTTGATGGTCGTTGCGAAGAAGAGGAGCTCCTTTGTTTCCAGAATCCAGAGTGTCTCGGGTGTTTTGGATTATGTATTTATCAGGTACGTACCACCTTGCCAAGAGGTCCGCGTTACCGTACTAGCGGTCTTGGCAGCTGGCGCACGGGTCTGATGGGTCCGACGTCAGAATTGTAGGCAGGCACCAGTGACCACGGGCAGCCGGGCAGGTGTGGAGGAGTTCATAGCCCTTCGTTGCCACTGCAACGAGGTTTCCCACTTGTTCACTCTTTCATCAACAGGATCCCCCACTCTGGTGCCTTATCTGTTGCACACTTTTTAACCATCGCCAAAGAGAACACGCCTGCGCTGTCTGGCATTGAGGTTCCCAGCTTCCAAGCTCGCCCGAAGCCGACCACCCGCATCATTCCATGTCGTGATACCTCGCGTCACTGCTCCCCGCTGCCCGCTCCCTTCAACCTTGGAAGCTCCAAAGCTCAGGCGCCCCCTCTCCTGTGCCTAACCAGGGAGGCAGCTACCTCTTTCTGTACACTGCAAGCGGCGAATACCTGCGCATCCCTTCTCCCTCAGAAGTCTTTCATCGACCGCCCATCTCCCTGACTTTCTTCGCGGGATATCCATCATGTCCGACTCGGAGGGCATGGAATATCTGCAGCCGGGGTTTGATCCCAAGAGCTTGACCATTCCGCGCCTGAGGTCCATCCTTGTCGCACACAATATACCGTACTCATCAAGCGCAAAGAAGGGACAGTTGATCGACATCTTCAACGACCAGGTTGTGCCGCAGTCCAAGAAGATTCTCGCAGCTCGCGCCCGCGCAAAACGCTCCAGCAAAGGCATCACCGACGCCGATTCGCAAAGCAGCAGCAACCCTTTCGACGAGACCGAGCCCGAGCCTGAATCCCTTCCATCGCCCGTCGCCAGCACCCGGAGATCAAGATCGCCTAAAAAGGCATCGGCTAGGATCAAGTCGGAAGAGCCTGACTACACCCAGCCAATGCCTCCGCCTGCCCCAAGCACGTCGAAGCGCAAGTCACGCGCCTCGAGCCGTCATCTTGCTTCAGATACGGAGACGGGCTCGGAGATCGACGGCGGTGCATCGCTGAGGATAACACGCAAAGCCAAGGGTGCCCCTCAGTTTAAGACCGAGGAATCCGATGGTTTCTTCAGGCGGACGTCAGACGTCTTCACTAGGGACAACCCTTTCCAGAGTGGTAGCTCGCCATCGGCTGCCGAACCGACTCCGACCAACCGTCGAAGAACAACCGGCCCGGCAAAAGCGCGAAGCTCGAGCAGGGGCGTACGAAGACAAACAGAGAGTCCTGCCTTTCCCGATGACGATGTTGATGATGCACCAATCGTGTCCAGCACATTCGAGGCACCCACCGCTCATGTAGCTCGCCATCGGACTCCGGAACCACCCACGGTCGAAGCTGGAGAAGAGTTCACGCCTGAAGAGCAACTCGAACTTAATGCCGAGCAGGCGGTCAACGGTGAGACTGCTATCGTGCCAGCCAGACAGACCGGCAACACCAGCAAAATCAGCTGGGGAACTCCTGTATCTGTTCTCCTGGTCACCCTTTTGGGCATCTACGCTGGATGGTATCGACAGGAGAAGATTGCTGTGGGGTATTGTGGCATGGGACAGTCCGGCAGTTCGATTCCTAGCGACTTCGACGTCCCCGAATGGGCTCACTCGATTCTTCCAGCGCAAATCAATACTCCTCAACCAATCATTGATACGCTGGAGCCGGAGTGCGAGCCGTGTCCTTCACATGCATACTGCTACTCGGACTACTCAGTTCGTTGCGAGCAAGACTACATCCTCAAACCTCATCCTCTATCTCTGGGTGGCATTATTCCCCTGCCTCCAACGTGTGAGCCTGACGGTGAAAAGGTCAAACGGGTCCAAGTCGTTGCGGACAGGGCCATCGAAGAGCTTCGAGAGCGTACTGCAAAGTACGAATGCCGCGACCCTGTTGATGAACAGGGTTCCAAGCTTGAATCTCCGGCAATCGAGGAACAAGAGCTCAAGCAGATGATTAATAAGAAGAGAAGTAAGAAGCTGAGCAACCAGGAGTTTGAGGATCTCTGGGGATCAGCCATTGGCGAGATCAAAGGCAGAGAAGAAGTGGAAGTTGAGGTCAAGGAGTAAGTCACCCATTTCACTACCACACCGGAGAGTACTGCCATCCGGCAATAGCCGACTTGATTAATCACAAGTAATATTTTCTGACCATTGACTAACCAGAAAACCCGTCGTTACAATAGAGCGTCCGATTCCTCGGGTGTTCGAGACACCCTCCTCATATCCACCTCTCTCGCTCGCGTTCCGATCACCTGCGCAATCAAAAGATCGATCTGGCTCGGACTGGCACGATATCGCTTCCAAATTAGTCTTTTGATCGCGCTGATCGGGACTGCCGCATACGCCCGATCCGCCTTCCTCTCTGATCGAGCCGCAGCGGCCCAGGTTCCGGCCTTGGTCGATCTTGTTCTCGAGAGACTCTCGAACCAGAAGCAGGTCGATGAAGAGTTCGATGATCCTTTCTTGTTTCTCCCGAACCTTCGTGACGATGTCTTGAGATCCGTTCATTCCCTGTCACAACGCGACAAGATTTGGACGAGGGTCAAGGCCGTCGTCGAGCAGAACAGCAATGTCCGAACCGGTCAACGCGAAGGTCACAGCGGCGAAGTCGGCAAGGCCTGGGAATGGATCGGTCCCACAGCTGGGGGTAGTAACAAACGACGCAAGAGCGGACGTGTTTCATGGGGCGCTGGTGTCAAGGGCGACGACTCGCCCGTGGATGAGGACAAGTCATATCTGCACCAGAAGTGGGAAGACCCGACGCCTGTCTACTGAAGGAGGGGCTGACGCTGTTCTGTTCTAATGATTGGCGTTCCGGATCTTGGCCCGCCTACTACTTGGCTTGTGGGCAAGCATCTCTTTCGAGATGCTGTATTTCATTTGTACCAACTTGTAATCTCTTCTGTTGAGACAGTGCGTGTCCTGCTCCCAATATGGAGCGTCGCCGGGGGTGTCGGGACACATCTCTCAAGGCGTTGTGTGGCAGACAATGCTGAATCGCTATCCGAAGCGATCTGAGAGCCGCTGTGGAATGATGAGTGGCGTTAGGCAGGCTGTCAGAGTATCTCAATAACACTTGCTAAAGATTTTCATTTTCCCTTGTGTTTGTGTGCTATCATTCGCTGGCTTGGTGTCGTCTGCCAAATATGGAGGGTTTGCTTCTGATCTGATCAGCGTTGATGGGTCGTTCGAAGTCATGTTCGATGTCTGAATCTTTCCCAATCACAACTACATTCCGCCCTTAACCCGGACGAGTCCTCCTTATCCCTGACGACCATCACTGGGAACTTCGTATATGATCGCAGATATGGGCACGCAACGGGTTAGATAATCCCTTATCCTTTGCGAGCATCTCATATTGGTAGTGTGACTGTCCAAAAATAGGAAGCCGTTATAGTTAGGTAGTGACCAGTGACTTGCTTACTCTATGAGGACGCTGGGCCTGCTGGGTGGAGGTAGCTTGGAGCCCTGACGAGTAGAGGACTTGGTCCCTTGCGCGGTCGACGGAGTGAAACAGATCCTTTTAGGTACTTACATATGAAGAGAACCAATGAAGACTTTATTTAGACCATGTCTTTTCAGTCAACGTGTGTCTAGACCGCGGTCCAATACTCACGGGCTTGCTGGTTCGTTTCATGATACAGTCACCCCAAGTGCTTCGAGAATCTTGGGTTTCATATAGTTACCAGTAGAATAAGGACCCTGGAATAAGCAGTTATATTCTAGTCAGGCATGCTAAATGCTCATCTTAGGGTGACTATTATATTGACGGGTGAAAACACGCGCAATCACCGGTTCATACCGAGGCAGAGGCAGAGGCAAGTGTGCATTCCAAGACAGAGTGCAGCAAAGCAGACGACCTGGCACCCAAACACAACAAGTCATCTAATTTGCACGGAGCGCATATTTCAAATGTTTCAGTATTCTTTTAATTTGAACTTTGCAGAACCGCCCTAGGCCACAGCCAGCGAGGTATTAATAATTACCCAGATACATAGTCCCGTAGTTTCCCCGCCAGACTGTGGCACTCGAGCGCGTTTCTGCCCACGAGATCGAGTTATAGATGGCTGCGCTGCACAGGGCAGGCATGGTAGATAGATACAGAACTCGACGTCGTTCCCGTTCCTTCGCTCGTTTCACTGTCGCTCCGATCGACACGAGCGCACTAGATGCTCCACTAGATCCCATCACACCGTGACGGGACCTTCTTCCATGTCTCTCCCCTGCAACCGCGCCGATCTCTTTCAAAGAAAACATTACCACAACGAGAAGCATTTGGTCGCCAGCTTCGGGACGAAGGTAAGGGTATGTGTGGGTGGTGCGGGCGTTGATCCCTTGGTATCATACGAAAGTGAATGTGTAGATGACGGTGCGGCCCTCGCTAATGAAGTGACAATGGTGAAGAGAAGTAATAGGTATATGAGTCGAAACCCCAGACCGGTCCAGAGATGGAGGGGCCGCCCGTGATCTAAGCAATGTACAGAAGGATGCAGGCGCGTGCGTGCAATGAAGAAATACGCCGCGGCCTAAATGTGATGAATATGTCCAAATGCTCAAAGATATGACTCGCGCCTTTCCCATGCAAAGGAGGGTGAAGATACGGTGAAGGTATATATATAAAGGTGTCGAGGCAAGAAGATATAGGTATAGACCCGGAGCAGTGGGCTTTAGGCGTTGAGGTAGTTGGATTGGTTGGAACGGGTTTGCAGCCGAAGTGAAGGTGAAAGTGCTCCAGGTCAACAAGCGCTTGATGTGTCGTGCCCGCGCGGCGATGGATCGTCTAGTGTAGTAGCATTCCCCAAGAATGCAGAAAGCAGTGAACTTTTCTCTTGCCCTCTCGGCATAAACACAGGTGGGTATAAGCGATGGACATGAAAATGGACTCGTAGCAGGATCGTAAAGCCAATTGCGGAAGACGGCGTCAGGAAAGGGTTGGCGCTGGCGTAGGTGGGACAACATGGTGTCTTCAGTGGTATGCCCGGCCATTACCGGTGGGGTTGTTGTCTCCAAGGTTTAGCCAGCTCATGTCTGTTGATATGGATGCCACATGGAGCTGAGGTTGCCTCGAGATGCCAGTCGGTGGTCCACTCGTGCCGGGTGGCCCCGAAGTAGTTGGGTAGATGCTGCTAGGAACACCCACATGACTCTGGCTATACGCACTGCTCGGCGCTCGATCAGTACCCCACGGCTTCTTCACCACCGTCGGATCCCAGTTGTCGTGAACGCTGGGTGGAATGCCGCTAGAGTAGCCTGACGATGTTGCGGCCGAGACTGGCCGCTCAATCTGACCCGACATGCCCTCCCCAATCCTCGGGTTGTATTGGGATACCGCTGGGTTGCCTGAGTTGACGCGGCTAAATTCAGGTCTCCCTTCGACCTGCAGCGGTGGGACTGTGGCCGAATCCTGTGTCATACGATTCATAGTCGAGTACTGTGAGCTTTCATCCGAGGCAGCAGTCTCGCGTCGCGAATTGTTGCCGTTGTTACCGAAGCCGAGGATGTTAAGCGCGCTACCTCCAGACCAATACCGATTCCAGCCCGAGCTTCTCCTTGTGCTGCCGTCTGGATTCAATGGTGGACCTGCACGGGGCTTTGGCTCGGCTGTGTTTGCTGCAAACGAGACTTTTTCGTCTCGAGGGAAGAACTCCGGTTCGGGATTCGACTGTGGTTGAGGCCTGCCTATGGTGCTCTTGAATTGTTTGTTCAAGATGCTGCTGACAGAGCTCCGTTGGGTGCCATTGCTGGCTTTGCGTTGGGTGGCGGGCTTCTGGACCCTACCCATCAGTATAGCCATTGATGAGAAAGATCCTGCAGATTCTTGTTGGTTGTGACCGCGAAAGTAGTCACCCGAAGCTGGCGCTGCGTCGTGTGCCGGTTCCTGGGGGAAGAATTCCTTCTCGGCTGGTGTGCCGCTGGCCCTTCGGGCGTGTCCTGCCTCAGCAAAATTATGCTTCTTCCGTTGCCGCCTGATCAATAGCAACAGCGCGATGAGGACGACGGCTATACCGAATACTATGCCGAGCACTATGCCAAGAATGACAGTCGGCTTAAGACTGGAATCCGCGTCTGACGTGGGGGTGGCGGCAGCAGATGTCTCAGCTGCACTAGTTGCTGATGGTTCGGCCGACGTCGTCGTAGATGAAGACGATGCCGACGGCAAGGACAAAGCGGAGAACACCTCGTCTGATACAAGCAAAGCCGTTGCGTTCTGCCAGCTGTTCTTCTTTGCGTTGAATATACATAGCACATCGTCTTTGTTTCCGCCAGACATGACAACCATACCGTCCGAGTCGGTCGCCATCGAGTAGTCGGTCCGGATGCTATCGGGCACGAGGGTGGAGTTGTACTCAGGCCAGTCGTTGGCATTCAAGTCTCGGCTACTGACATGACTGATCGGAGCAGCATTGGTCACCGGAGATCCACTACCGTCGACCAAAACCGTTCTGTTGACAGTATTTGGCGAGTGGGTAAGATCGAACGTGTAGAGATGCTTGCTGTTATCGTCACCCTTCACGATGGTGGCTTTCACCAGGGTAGAGTTCTTGGGGAGAGGTTCCGCCAGGGTAATACCAGAGTCAGTCCACGAAGGGGGCGAGGCAGTTGGGTCGAAAAGCGTGACCTTCGTGTTAGTAGGGTTGCCGCCAATCATGACCGCCTGTGTTTCCGACCAAGGCATGAGGAACGGTGCAACTCCCGGTGCCACTATGTCGGATTGGTATGCTGTGACGGCATGTGGCTCTGAAGCGCCAACTGTGAATGTCTGTTGTGACAGATTCGGGGTTCCGTCCGTGGACCCCGAGTATACCAGTATCGAGTCGGTGCTATTGATGTATGTCGCGCTGTGGTATACCCGATCCTTCGTCACCAGTACTTGCGGAGTTATCGTTTCCCATTTGCCAGTCGAGAATGTGAACTTCTGAAGACCCGGGTAGTCGGCCGAGCTCGAAGTGCCGCCGACGACGAACAATCCGGCCGTTGCAGAATCTAGCGGCGTCGCTCCAACACAGACTGCTCCGTCCACCGACTCGCCATCGGGTAGTGATTCCCACTCGCCACCTTGCTCCAGAACCAACGACTGGAAACCCGCGCCGGAATACGAATAAAGAGTGTCTTCGAAGATGACGCTGCAACTGCCCGTCAAGGCCACTGACGGTTGAGGGAGCGACATGATGGGTGAACTCCCTCTAAGCTAGGGCCGTAATGACCTCTGATGAATTTAACGATGACAGCACCAGAGGGGATAACATGAAGATGGTGGCCAATAATCAGATTGGCATGATCAAATGCAAAGGAGTCGAATGCGGTGAATCAATGTCGGGGGCGGAATCGGTTGGTCTCGGATTACGGTAATCGAGGCGCAGCAGGTCGTCTGTAACAGAATGCGTCGTGGGCTGGATGAGGCGAGCCAGATCGTATTCGTTATGGATTAGGTATCCGTCCTCCAAACTCGCCAGAAGAAGACGTGCAGGGAAGAAGGAAGACAGCAGCGGGGGAAGCTCTCTGGTGACGCTGGCAGTAAAACCTTTCTTTCGGGTGATGGTAGCTGGTCGCTAGGTCGTGTGGTGGTAGCGAATGGTAGCAGACGTGACTCTCTCGAATCGAAGCTTGAGGGCCGGCCCCAGTCGTCACTGGATGATCTACAGAACAAAGTTTTGACGACTGCTGTTTTCGCCTGGACCTCAATGCAAACTCCAATGCAGATGCCGTAAACAGCAAAAGGAGGCGGGAGGGAAAGAAACGGCAGAAACGGCAGAAACGGGTGTCGTTCGCTCTCCTGAGGATGCTGGGACGTTGGTGTCTGTCGCAGGTGTTGCAGGTCTCGGGGTAAAAAGCGGACCTTGATACGACTGGCCTGAGCCCTGACTGGTCTTTGTTTGCTTTGCCTAAAGTGTCCACCAGACCGTGTAGCGTCGGCCCCTGAAGCTGACAAGCTGTGTGTCTGTGTGTCTGTGTGTCTGTGTGTCTGTGTGTCTGTGTGCGCCGCGATATGGAGCTTTATCCACAGGAAAGAGATAAGCACACAGTGAGTCTGTTCATGAAGCTATCGGATGGAGAGAATAGCGAAGAGACGTCCTGACGACCGGCGGTTGACACAATGAGTAGGACGTCAACCATTGAACGCAGACGGGCGAGGAAGAGACAAGGGGCAGAGGTAGCAACGGGCCCGAGAGAGAGGCAAGCGAGAGCATGCCAGAGAGGCAGAGAGGGAGCAGCACAGAGAAGGAGAAGCAGAAGCACGCCAGCCCGGCCACCGTCGACGACTTGCCGCCTGGCGTGACGGTGCGAGAAGGTGAGCGAGCGGGCGGGAGACGACATGACATGGAGGCAGATGGACATGGGACCCCCTGAAGCCGTCTGTGGACCTGTGCACGTCGAACGAATAGAAATGTCGCGACGTTCAGGGCCGAGCAATATTGGACCGGGGTTGTTCTGGCATGTACCTGCAGGATGTGGGGTACGCCTGGCCGACTAGCAGCTGCTAAGCGCCATCGCGTACACGAGACGGGGTGGTGTACTTCCAATCATTCGCTGGCCGCAGGGTTGCAGGATGCAGAATAGGGGTCGACGGGGGGCCAGGGAAGAGCCAATCTGTCGCGGGTGGAGCGCCTTTCTCGTGTGGTTCTAGCGTCGAAGCCATGCGAGCCAAGAAACCATTGCGCATTAGAAGTTGCCCATTCTCAAGTCATTCTGCACTACCTTAGTCAATCAATCAAGCACCTCCAGCTATGTCCTAACCATGTGCTGAGATGGATGGATGGATGGATGACTGACGACATGCCGCTGGGTGGGCAGGGTGGTCGTGGACGGTGAATGGTGAATGGTGAATGGTGGACTGTTTGAAGATGGTCCGTGGCCCGTAGGATCAATTGGAATCAACGGAAATGCCATGCCACGCAGCCCACACTCTCCAAAACCCGATCCTCTCCTTCCTTACCACGTCGGGCGATTAGCACTGCGCTTTGCCTACAGCGGTTGGGAAACGAGCGGACACTAAGCCCCAAAAGGCCAATCGTGAAACAGCGACCCGGCAGAAGGACCCCTCCATCCAAGCAGCGCCAGGGGTCTTGGTCGGTCCCGTCGACGGTGGGCGGTGGACGGTGGGTGGTGGAACGTGCTCACTGCTCATGCTCATTACCTCCTACAATGGGAGAGAGCCGGTACCGCGGCAAATGGGCACCAGGTCGGCCGAGAGGGGGATATCGCGTGACGAAGATAAAGCCTAGATCATCTTGATCATAATAATGTGTGAGGGAGGCAAAAAGCTGAACTCTTATGACGAAATCATATCAGTTGATACCGCCCAATGAATAACATGATGCGTGAGCGCCAGCGCCAAAAACCTCAGAAAACGAGGACCGTATGGGTGGCATGGTCCGCACTGCGGTCACCTCAGTACCTAGCGAAACACCGCCTGGCTCTGGACGAATCATGAATGGGCTTGCAACCTAACCAATACGGTGGCGCTTCAGCGTGCCATCGTCGACCATTCGACATCCGATTTCCTTCGGTGTTGTCTGCTGATTGGATCGTCGTACGCACCTCGTCAGGCTCTTTTCGGCAACTGCTCAATTCCCGTTACTTTTACTCGTCATAATGGCTGCAGACTGTGTCGTATTGTATGCATGCCTATGTGTGTAGTAATGTACGATTTATTGCCTGGACTTCAATCTGTGGTTGAGAGAGTGCACTTGGTCCAAAGTGAGAAGTCGGAGCCGAAAAGGCCAGGCGAAAGTTGAACTGCGCCACATGTCAACCACCCGCCACAGCGCCTTCATGTCTCAGTGTCTCAATATCTCAATCTCAACCGCCGTCGGGAAATCGAGCATATTCGTCTGACGTGCGGCAATTTTTCACATCTACAGTACGAATAGCCATCAGGTCCAATTTTTGGTCTCAGTTCCCATTCTAGAAGCTAAACACTGATCGTCATTGCGTGAGAAAATATCTATACCATTTTCCCGGTTGACGATTTGGGATCGTCCATTGTTTGAAACCCGCAGCGGCAGCATATCCATAATAGGAGGTGCTTCACTGAGCCGTAATGCGCATCTCACGTCTACATGTGGCCGTATGGCGCAATGGTCAAATGCACCTGGTTGTGTTCTCGTTTGTGCGGTGGGCGACGAGAACAAGTGGGTTTGAATCCTGCTATGGCCCCCTTCTGACTGGCTTGTGCGAGTCGATAACTAACACATGACAATAAAGAGGCCCCTTATCGCAGAGCCTGATAGCCAAACAACTTGTCTCCATAATACCCATTCCTGCGAGGTTTTTCCCTTTGTGGTTTCCCTTACCAGTAGATAACAAAGACCTATTTCACCCATCAATGCGACATATATTGAACGGCTACTGGAACGATGTGTACACTAGAGGACTGAGGTTCACTGGGTCGCTTTGTCACTGGACAGGAGGTTTTTCTGACGAAATCATGCTTGGGTATTGACTAAAACCATCTGGTCACTCCAGGTTGGTACCGCTACAGCGAGGATAGGCTCGTGCACGGATCTGAATGTATCTATACTTACACCTCTACAACCTTGCGATGCAATGGCTCTGAGAGGCGTGGTTTGCCCTGTAGAGGGATTACACCCACAATAAATACAATCAATCAATCAGTGTTCACATTTCTCTCTTATAACTATTCCTTGAAGAGCTCTGTCTCTTTGTCTTTGTCCTTTCAGATTGGGGGCTTTTTCTATAATGGCTTGGTGAGTATTGGTCTCTGGAAGTCAAGGACTAGCTGGAAGTTCCTCTATAGCCTTGTTGGTTCCTTGCGAGCTTGTACTTAGAGCCTGCCAACAAAAGGGTGTCTTTGGTCTAAATATCTGAGTTATAGGCCGTGACGCTATCTTATTGCCTCTGCAAGAACTCCTGCTGGAAGAATTGAAGGAATCTGTGATTCAAAGTATAGGATATATTTAGGATGTATTTTCCAGACTGGCAGGATAGCCCTAATCGCTGTTTGTAGTACAGCATCTATCGTTCCAAAAAGCCCCTTAATGCGACATGCTGATGTCCCACCTAAGCTCCCAACTTTCTCGATTCCTGGGTACCAGGCCTCCAGGCCGTGTGTAAGAATAGGAATAACACAAGCTTTCACAGCCCTCCTGGTTGACTTTACTGGGAGTCCTTTGACTGTGTTGTATAGTCCTCAAAGGTGATTTGCTACCCTACTAACTTTCTTGGCCCAATGAGAAACATGATTTTTAAAGTTTAGTTTTTTATCCAGAAGGACATCTAGTCATTGCATGGAATGCTTAGCTATTTTGTTCATTGTCTTATGGTAAAGGGGAGGATTATCTGAGTTCTTTTTTCACGAGAAGTGCATGATCTCGGTTTTGTCAGGGTCAAATTCAATAGTGTTATTGTGTCCCTATTAATTGAGCAAATAAAGATTTTTAGAAGTCTCTATAGCTATTTCTTTAAGGTTCTTTCTAATACAGAGAGTTGTTAGGTTGTCTGCATATACAAAGCGTCTTCTTTTCATGCCAAGTCGAGCACAGATTGGCTCAGTATACAGCATATAAATGATAGGAGAGGCTGGTGAGCCTTGTGATAGCCCGCAAATAAGAGCTTTTATATCAGTCATGATACCTTCAAACCGAATGTGGAGCTAGAATCCCAAGTTTGACAACAAACCAGGTAATTCTTTTCGCGATGAGTCGTTCTAGGCCTTTGCCAAGACATGACAGTAGCGATATTGGTCTGTAGGCCCTGGGATTGGAGTAGTCTTTCTTTCCTGGTTTTGGGATCATCACCACCTCAGCTGCTTTGAATGATTTAGGGTGGTGTCCAATCTGTAGACAGGTCTGGAAAAGGGCTCTGATATGTTCACCAATGACTGGCCAGCAAGCTTTCAGAATCCGTACTGTGAGGGTGTCTATTCCCGGGGAGTTGCTCTTGGTTCCTAGAGTGCACCCTTCAGCCTCTTCCAGTCCGACATGGTATTCAAGGGGGATGTATGGCTTAGGTTGTATGATCTGCGCAGACCAGGGGTCGATGATATCGTTGTCTGAGGTACTTCATTCAAGCGTGGCTGAGCGTAGTGCATTTGCCTTGCTCTCTTGTGATTCGAATATTTGGTCTCCTATGATAATTAGAGGGGAACGCAGTCCTGCTGATAACTTGTGCCAAGAGACGATTCTGTATAGGTCCTTTGGCTCAGTTACTGAATTGATTAGAGTCTGCCAGTACTCTCTCTTAGCTTTGCGAACCACGCGACGAAATCCCTGTCAGGCTGAATTCCGCCCTTCTTGACTTGTAGTCTGTTTGGAAAGGGCCCTGTATGTCTGAATAGCTGATTTGCAGTCATCATTCCACCAAGCAGTGGGCCTAGATCGTCAGGGCTTCTTGCCCACTGTCCTGATACAGCCTTGGATCATGTTGATCAAGCTCTGTGTAAATGCATCTACCTGGCAAGGGGATACACCCAGCCGGGGGAGTTCATGGATCCTGGTTTGGACATTATCTGCCAGCTCTTGTAGTTTATCGTCTGGTACTATCCAATGATTGGCCTTGGAAATTCGATCCAGATCTCTCTGAATTAGAATGACTATTTGTTGAATACACGGATGTTAATTGATGCTATTGATTGTTCTGCTCTATGTGCAGAGATTGATTATCTGTCTTCTTGGTGGGTCAGATGCCCTGTGCGTCTCTGCCCCACTGGAGATCTTCCGGTGTCTATCTCCGGCTCCCATCCAACACTATTCGTAATGTCTCATGATCTGAGGTGCACTAAAGTGCATTATTGACTGAGGCTTTAGCCATGGAGACATCTGAGAACACCAGATCTAGTACATTTCCATCATCATGTGTTGGGACATCTGGTTCAAAAATCAGATCCAGTCTGTGGTCTGCCATAGTCTGTGCAAGTATAACACCACTATGATATCCTAGATTGCTCGAGTCCCAGGATGTGTCACTAGCATTGAAATCTCCAGCTATAACGCAACCAAAAGGTGGAGTCCATACTTTCAGAATGTCATCCACTTCCTGTGGGTTGTCATATGGCCGGTAGACACTGGCAAATGTAATGCCTTGTACCTTGACCCAGGTGATATCTTGTGTAGCATAGGGCCGAAGTTGATCCGCTTAAAGGTGTTTTCTCACATAGATGAGAGATCTGGGCTGTGTACTGTCGCTATATCAGGAATCCACTGGGGAGTATATATCGTAATTAGGATATGTCTTTACTCCCATTCTCCTGCCTGGTGGTATGCCAACCCAGGGCTTTTGTATCAGAATGATGTCTGCTTGTTCTCCTTTATAGTCAGTCAGGTTGATGACTAACTCTGTAGGACCTGTACTCTTTTGTCCTCCTGCTATATTCACAGAATGGATGACTAGATGCCCGTATCGATGTGTTTCGTTTGATGTACCTAACATTGACTGACAACAATGGTATTGGCATCTCTGGGATGAGTTGTATCTGTTGTGTCGATTTGTATTGTGATGTCTTTGTTATTGTTATTGGGTGTTGACCCAGCTTAGTTTCTACCTGTTTTATTAAAGGCCTTGGATCTGGCTCTTTCTCTGGCCAGCCTTATTTCCTGGATTTGCTCCTATGTGTGCTTATGGATGATATCTTTCATAACCTTGGGGCGTGCAGGGCATTTGTCAAAGTCAGCAGCATGAGGTCCTTTGCAGTTGACACACTTTGGGATTGGTTTTTCGCACTCCCTCTGGTGTACTGTGCTGGCGCAACGTGCACATACTTACTTTTCACATCAGTAGTTCCTACCATGGTATCTAAAGCAGCTCGCACACTGGTGAACCTTGGGGGAGTATTGAATGTGCCTTGAGGTCATTAAGTGAACAAAAAGCGTGAATAGTTTCTTTGCTGTACAGGGCAGAAAGATCACCCATGTGGTCTCTAGATCAGGATTAACTGTGTTCCTTGAGAGTATGTACCTTAAAGGTCTGTCACCTGTTTGGGCTTCAACTTCATCAGCAACAGTAATGTCAGTAATATTGATTGTTAACCCTTCTGTACTGATGACCTTTTTGGGGCATCTATTAACCTTGTAGTGATATTAGACCGTGTGGGTCTTGATCTTTTCTGCCTTAAGAATGTCAGTGATTTTTTTTTTGGGAGGCCAGAAACTTAGCCTGAGTTGGCTTGTCCCTTAGGTGTAAGGTAAATCCGGAGGGGCACCGGGTCACTTCTCTAAGCTCTTGAGGGTGGAGCTTAAGTCTTCTGTTCAGTATAGACTTTATTCTGTAAGGCTCTAGGTGGCTATTATCTATACGGATAAAGACCCAGAGATCATCCTGCTTCTTCTCCAGTTGGTTGGTAGTGACAAGGGCGCCAGGCTGTGTTTTTTTCATAGTAATGTTGACTGTCTGTGGATGCTGTCGTTGGCTAAAGGAGACAGCTTGGGCGCAGGTTATGGTGGGCTTCACCATCCCTATCCCCCTAGGAATGGTCTTTCTTTTGGGCGGATCTCGGGTTTCCAGCCACTCGCTCAGGCATTTAGAAAAGAAAGTGCTGAACTCCTTAGCATAAGAGTATAATTCGGTTCCAGCTTTCTTAAGTGTTTTATCAACTGTTATAGTACATTCCTGAAACATTGTTATCCTGGCTTCATAGAGGTGTTTGTCTTTAGTCAGTATTTTGGCAATTTGGTCTTGACACTCTGAGGAAGAGGCTTTATTCCCTATATCGCATGCAATAGCTTGGTCTGTAGAGATTTTGTTCAATTGAGGTCGTTTTATTCCAGTGGTGCTGCTATCATTGATATTTCAGGATTTTCCTTTCAGAGGGGAAATAACGGTGAAGTCAGCCTCAGAGACCTGTGACGGGCTGCTGTTGATGTCGTCAAACAGCGCCTGGCGGAGCCTGCTCAGAGTTGCCGGGCTGTATGTCTTTCTGGGAGCCGGGGATTTGAGCACGCCGCCAGTGGTCGTCTTTGGGACGGCCATAGGCGTGTTTGGGGGCCCGTCATAAAAGGGTGCCATCCGGCTTGTGAGAAAAATTCTCTTGTGTCTTGGCAAAGATAGTCAATTACTGAGAGAAGTGCCTGCTTTAGTGCAGATATTGAGGTTGCACCCTAACAGCGGGGCGCCAAGAAAAATAGTTGTTTTTAGCCTCTGGGCAGATGTTGGTGGTTTGCACTACTGAGGAGCGATCCCCCACGTTAAATACAATCAATCAATCAATCAATCAAGCAATAACATAGAATTAAGTAGGAATTATAGTAAAAAAATTATACTGACTGTTTCGAATAGATGGATTATAATTACGATTAAGCCTTATAAGTTGTCGTTTGATTACCGCTGCGAATAAATTCTAAGCAGCAGAGACGTGCGTTATTTCTAGGTGATACAAGGATCCCGAGCCGCCGTGTCGTTGTAAGCAGACGTATATAGAACGCCTCGGATGGTCTCTTCAACCGACCGTGTTTCTCTCTGCATCACCTAAGCACTATCATGAGACATTAGTAAGGCACTATCTTATATGTGAACCAAGAGGCTTCGCGACGGCCTCGTGGAAGAGGACCTGCTGTTGAGTGGCACGCAAGCCACCGTGGCGCCAGGGGGTGGCAGTGTACTGAACAAGGGCCATTGGTTGGGGCATTTTGGGGCCGACTGGCCACAACTTGAACAACAACTTCAGAACAACAGAATCAGCACTGAATACATGATCATCAACCATATGACATCTACACACCATTTGCCACTTGCGCGTGCCCACAGAAACATTATAGTCCGCCCTGAACCTCTAGATCGCGTCACGGATCTCGAGTATTTTCGCTAACGGACCGGGCTTCCAGCCCGACCGCTCGGTGCTTGCGTTCACGGATTTTGCGATACCTTTGCTCCTTATGTCAATATGTACATATCGACAAACATATCGACAAACATACCGGCAAATCAAGTTCGTGTCAAGTTATGATATTATCGCTATGACTCATTAACGGCGGGCCTTGCGCAATGGCGAGAAGAGATGGGGCATCATATTATACAAGTGCAATTTATCTAGTCTATACAGACTTCAAATGCCATAAGCTCTGCTAGAATCGGAACCACCTCTCCAGGGCAGCCTTCAAAGCATCCATGTCCGGCTCAACACCGTCTTCCGTCGCCCAAGCGACAACTCCATCAGGTCGAGCCAGCAAGGCGCGGAGCCCGCGGGTGTCCTTCGCCGCCGCGCCAAGGAAGTCGATTCTCTTCCCGTACTTCTCACCCAGGACCAGCTTCTTGAGCGCTGCGTCGTCCTCAAAGCTGACAAGCAACCCCTTGCCGCCCTCCATCTTGGAACCCAGCCTCGAGCCATCGTGGAGCTCGAAGTCGGGCACGCTGCGGCCAACGACCGGATGTGAGTGCGCTCCACTGTCGCCGAGACTGTACCGCAGCGACAGACCCCAGAAGCGCTCGATGAACAAGTTGGCCCCGTCGGTGGTGTTAACAACATCCCGTACCATGGAGTGCACAGCGGCGCCGAACGGGTCAGGCTGGAGAGATACGACCTGCGCGCGCGTGGAGTCAATTACCGACGTCGCAGCGAGCTTGCGCTCGTTCTCGTAAGTGTCGAGCAGCGCCAGATCCGCCAGCGACTCCAGCGACCCGTACTCCTGCTCCTGTCGGATCGTGGCGGCCAGCTTCCAGCCGAGGTTCATGGCGTCGGCGAGCCCAATCTGCAGACCCTGCGCGCCGAGCGGCGGGTGGATGTGCGCGGCGTCCCCGGCGAGGAGGACGCGGCCGCGACGGTAGGTCGTCGCCTGCTTGGTACGGTCTGTGAACGAGGCGGCGATGTGGACGGTCGTGATGTTGACGTCTGTGATGCCTGAAATATGCTCGAAGAGGGCTTGGAGGTGCTCGCGCGTGACTATAATGTCAAGTGTCAGTAACTGCACACTGAGCTAGATTTGTGATCATGATTGGACTTGAGGCTGAGAAACAAGCCTCCCACTGAAGTGGAGGGTAGCTTCCGAGTCACGATGAAGGGTATGAATGAGTAGAGATGCTACTCACTGTCCTCATCGGGGTTGTGGTTCATGCTGAAGGCGCCTCCATCAAAGTCGATTAGATACAAACTTTGGGGCATCACCATATACATCCCGTTCTTTGTCGGAAGGAACCCCTTTCCCAATTTCTCCGGGTGGTCAAAATCGCACTTAACCGCGTAACCGGTGAACTTGGGTTCTGTCCCCACGAAATCGAATCCCGCAGCCTTGCGGACCGTGCTTCGTCCGCCATCGCATCCCACGAGCCACTTGCCGCTGAAAGAATGGCCCTCTCCCGCTTCCACCGTAACGCCGTCGTCATCCAGTGCGGCGATCTTCGTAACCGCAATGCCCCGTCTGATGGTGACGCCCAAGCTCTCAGCGCGGTCTGCAAGTGTGCGCTCGATCTGCTCCATCATCGAAGCCGTAGGCATCAACGATGGCCCATTGATGACATACTTGAAGCGGTCCGATTCCAGGTCGAGCTTGTTGGCGTCGAACGTGATGCCGGCGAAGTGACCGCCGAACTGGAGCCCGTCCGTCTTCTGGAATTTCGCGGGCCGTACTTCGGGCTCAACCAACCTGGCCAGCAGTCCGCGCCGGTAGAAGTGCTCGAGTGACGCCGTAAAGAGGCCTCGCCGACCCAGGGGGGCGATCTTCCAGGGCGTATTCGGTTTGAGTTCGCGCTCTAGGACCAGCACGGAGGCGCCAGCGAGCCTCAGCTCGCAGGCTACGAAGAGCCCGACAGGGCCTCCGCCGGAAATTATGACGTCGTATTGCTCGCTCATGATTGTTTTCTCGTTTGTGTTGCTGCTTAGTCTTCTTCTGAGTGGGATGTGTTCGAGGTCTTATATAGCTGGCTTTGGTATTGGGCTGGAAAAGTCCGAGAGTCCGAGAGTACCGAGTTGCTCGGACTGTCGGCCACGATAGGAGCCAAAATGAGTCACGCAAGTATGACCGAAGCTGGCATAGGTGGGATTAATAATTTCATTCAGCTAGGACTTGGACAGTTCTCGGTGATCTGGTAACACCGGTGCCTCCATGTTGACAGGTTGCACACACTCGGCTTGGTCGCAGGGCTTCCTACGTGTTGCATACCGCCCAAAGGAGCAGCACGTTCTATCCATGTGTGGATGGGTTCCATCTTGTCCTCGAACTTATGCATCTCTTCATCAAATATCACTCTCTCGATCGCTCTGTTGGTGACAGCATCAACCGTATCGCAGGTCATCTTCGCGGTGCCCTCCTCAGTGGTGTGGTATATTGGGCTTCCTTTCTCTTTACCTTCCATGAGTTGAAAACTCAAGGTGGCGGTGGTGCTGAGACTAAACTTGCTGGATATATCCATATCATCAATGAATATGTTGGTTAATGTTCACAGAGTCCTGACTTGACATAACGTGAGCGATCCGATCCAGCCATGAATTCACCCAAAAATAACGGTACACTGGAGTTTTTTATAAGAACCATATTCACCGCGTCACGGTACGTCTACAGCCTGCTTTAAAAGGAATCAAGATCGCCGTGCCTCGGAAGATTGCTTTGGTGGTGTGTTTTGTACCTTGGCTAAAGTAACGTTACTCATCGGGATGCACTTGTCAGTCTACTGGGAGATGCACTTGTCGATCCGTTGCGAGGTGTTCACTTCGATTAATCTATGTAGGTAGTCATTGATGTGATGAGTAATCTATTCGTCGATGCCGTCGAGGGATGTGGTCCAGCGATCAGGCCAAGACGTAAATCAATCAGGCATTTCATACATCTATCTACATATCTCAAGGACGATATCTCGCCCACGTTATAAATTATTCTCACGGGCGGGGGCCCACGCTTCTTACGTTCCCCGTCACGGAGCTTTTTCTGGGGTGTCTTCACATCTATGATTCAGAAGGCTAGGTCGCTGTCCCTGCTATCCGTTTTCAATGATTATGACGACCATGTTGACATATCAGAGACCCCAATACTTTCGAATTCAGGAATGCCAGTGATTTTAGCGCAATTAATTAGCTCGTGCGTTCTATAAATTCTCTTCCAAAACCTGTACTATGCCTCACCCCCATTCCACACATAGCTTACCTTCCACAACAATCCCTTCTACAGACATCTAGACTGAGCAATATACTACGATCTTTTTGGCCATCCGTTACTGACAGCCCCATCCAGCTTTTCACCACTTTTCAATATGGCGCTGCCCACAATGCCCACACCCTCCATGAGCTGGCACGCAACCCAGCAGGACCCCGAGACCCCAGCTTCACGCGTAGTCGACGCTTTTCTTCATGCTTTAGCGACGGGGCTTTCTATTGGGATCATTTCGAGTACTTTGGTACCGATTTCTAGGTCAACCACTACGATTGATTATAGTTCACAGACGTGCATTCCTCAGGACATCTACGATGACCTCTTGCAACAGTACACGGACACCTGTTACGGTATTACATAATACCTCCACATATCTTTGTACATATATACCCCATCTTTCCCCTTCTCTTCCCCCCTTGTATCTTCTTCCTTAGATATCGTTGAATCTAGATATTTCATCCCATCAGCCCTGACCAGCGCAGCTGCAGGCCTGATTGTCACAACACCCATCACGCATACGAGGCAGCAGAAAATTGGAACAATACGCTCTCTTGGTTGCTATTTGCTGCAGTAGCTGTCATTCTACTCGTAGGCATATTCATCACTTCCATGATCCATTACGGCAAGAAACGAGCTGGTGGTCGCAAAGGGGCCGAGCTCGGCGTCGAGCTTCCGGCCTATTCGGGCTGGACACGGGAGTGGACCCAGACCGTGACCATAGCTCCTCAGGAGCAGCCTCCCAGATATAGATCAGAGCCTGATCATTCGGCTCCAAGGGAAGCGAGGTCGGGTTCGAGTGCGTTGTAACGATGGACTCGGGTCTTTGGTGCGCTGTGGGACGCTCGCCAATCGGGTGTGCCCACGTTATGGCTTCGGGCACCAATGCCGATTCGACACGGCTCAATATGGGTCCAGGTACAGGGCAACGATGAATGAGCGGTAAACCGTTCAATTAAAGGCGCACAGTGGTACTTTGGTGTAGATAATGGTCATACATGAATACAATGTGTTTGCAGTTTCGTGGTCGGTGTGACTCCAAGTGCTGCTCGAACCGCTCGAGGACAATCGATGTGACTCGAGCTTGTGCTCCCTCGCCCCTATTTACCACCGTCGGAGGAGCGCCGAGCGCAGTTTCCAACCCTTCCCAACAAAATTATATACACTCGATCGACTGCATCCCGAAAACATCAATGGTCCTCGCCAACATGTGGTCCTCGCAAAGCCATCACATCTCACGCCATGCTACCCTATCGGCAATCCTCGCTCTACCATTATCAGCCCTCGCTACACCCACAGACCTCGCCAACGCACCTCAATCAGGCAACTCAGAGATTACACGAAGACAGAATTCAGCCGGCTCGTCATGCGAAGGTTCAGAAGGCCAGTGGAACTGCATGACGAATACGTGGCAGCGATGTGCCGCCGGTCAGTGGAGCGTCGTCATGGACTGCGCGCAAGGGACAGTCTGCGCACCGAGCGGCCTATCTTACGACTTCCACGTAGAGTTCGACAACAGCGGCTCGTCGACATCTGGCACGACTGGCACGGCAGGAGGCGGGACTGGGAGACTCATCAGCTGGTGGCTGGTCGCAGCGCTGGGAGGACTGAGCATTTCTGCTGTTGCGGTTTGACCGTTTGACCGTTTGAGCCTGTGTTATGAGCAACACAGTTCGCACAAGACTTTCACATCGTGGATTGTGGGCTGAGACCCATATCCAGAAGATCTGCTTGGGGCTAGAGCAAGGAGACGGTCTAGGTTATATTTGCGTTGAAGCGGCGTTCTTCTACGGTCATGGCGTTGATGCATGGGAAAGGAAGCGTTCTGTTATTTTTCATGGAGGAGTCATATGCGATTTATTACAAGAGATTTCAATACACAGAGTTCGATGAGGTGGGAATTACATGTTAGCCACCGTATACCTACATATGTTCTCCGCGCAATGAGCCCCTGAGGCTCGCCGCTGCCGGAGACGCCAGGTGGGAAGAGGAAGGGAACGGGATAAGGAAGGGAGCGCGTTTGGACTTCGTTCGCTGATGAGTAGTGGGTGAATTGGGAATGTTTTGTGTTGTCCTGACCCTCGCATTCTTCTCGTTGGCCTGCATGTTGTTGGCGAATAGGCCTGACAATGGAGACCAGCTGATCCCCTGGATCGTGTCGACCTCTGACGCCAACAAGGAAAGAAAGAAAGAAAGAGGATGTTCCTCGAAACTGTGAAACCAGATACTTTGATGCAAAACCCTGCACACCAACAACCACAACTCGTAAGCTCATTCCAGCCCTAGGTATGCTCGATACTGTGAATCATGTGGGCTGAGATCGAGTCTTTCCGCCAGCCACTGTCCATGAACCAGAACTTCTCAACCCTTACCTCTATGTTCTCGAACTCGGGATGTCGATATAGCATATCCCACGGCTCGACCTCAAGATTGGTAGCCAGGACCCGACTCGGATGGTAGTAGCCGTGCTCCTCATACACTATCCCAAATCCGTCCAGCAGGGAGACCATATCCGGCGGTATCTCCTCCCCGTCCGGCTTGAGCTCGGGCCGGACGATCCGGAAGTAGTAATTGGAATCTTGCGACGCAATCTCGCACCGCTGGTGCGTGACATCGTACAGCGCGCCCATCGTCAGCCCGTCCGGAAAGCTCACAGTCCCCCTAAATGCCACAGGCCGGAAATGACCCTCATGCTCCGAGAAGTCCATCGCCCTCGAGAGGAAGGGGAGCGCCGTTACGGCGGGCTGCTGCACGAGCATCCGTCTCCAGCTCGCACCCCGCCGCATGAAGGCCTCGGATTTCCGCGCCTCGGCCCAGAGGTCCATGCGCTTGAAGCTGTGGATGCCGTAGCCGCGGGAAAAGGTGGCGGAAAGGGCACCAGGCTGGTACCACATATAGAAAGGCTCGAGTAGTAACGGATTGAATGCTGCTGCTCGGCTGCTGCCGGTCTCAGGGGGGTGTGTCTGGGACGAAGAAGAGCGCCTTCTGGAGTGCTGTCGACTGTGCGATGACATCGTGGAAGTAGTGGTTCACCAGCGGGGCTGATAGGAGTAAGGTGCGCAGATCGAGCTGCAGCAGAACAGCCTCGAGTAGCTCTGGTATCGATATGACAGCCTGGAAGAAGGCCATTGGTGTCAATTTGTCGTATTTGTTGCCGGACTTTGAACCGGTCGTCGTTGAGAGAGAAGGCGGATGATGGAGGTACGGTCGTTGGCTGTCGGCCCGAGTGGAGCCGACAATAAGAGCGCCTCTCACGGGTCGACCTAGGGGAGCATCGGAGACGGGTATTGGATGTTGTCAGCAACAGCAAGTGATACCCTTGTCGAGGCTCTTTATCATCGGACATTCTCCCACTCTTCTCCTCCGCCTCTTCGTCTTTCCAACATAGGTGAAGCCTGCAATATAGGCCACATCATGTCCGTACAGTGATAGATGTCCACGTGCCACTCACAAAGCTCGGGGTGTTACACGTGACCTTTCTTCATTTACTATTGATACTTGGCTATGATGTTGCGTCCAGTGCATGGTAGCCAATGTCATACGTGTAACCAGCAGATGCCCATACCACAGGCTGGCATACAACAGCCCCATGATGAAGAACGCGATTATCTCCGAAAGGGGCCTCAACTCACGTCGCTGTCTACCAATCTATCTTGAAGTTTCGGGCACATCAGCGTCCGGGATGCATCCCCTTGAGTCAGGCGGCACGAAAGAATTGTCCATCTCGTCCTAGCATAGAATGTCAGCGAAATATCCGAAGATCACAATTCGCCAGTGAGATGGGTTGGGACCTACGGAGCCATCGGCTGCTCTCCAGTTGACCGGGATGCAGCGGTTGCCATTGAGCCACTGCGTGTTCGCACAGGTGGCTTCCGCGATGGATCCTTGGACGCAGTCGTGCATGGCATCACGGTGTTCCCACGGCTCGACGAAGTCGAATCGGAGGTTCACGCCAGACCCTGTGGTGGTATGATGTCAGCAGCTGCTCGGGTGATTGTAGAAACCTTGCTGGTGTATATGAAGGTGGTAGGGAACTGGGGAAGCTACTCTGCACGGCCATGTTGGCCCACCCGTCATAGGTCCAAGTTCGAAGACCCGGGAGCTCTGGTGCTCGGCCGATGTTGCAGTTCCAGAAGTCATGGTAGCGGACGCCGCAGTTCAACATCATCTAGGCGTGCGTTAGTATCCGAGTTCCAAGTTCCCAAGTTCCCTGCTGAGAAGATGAGAGAGTCCCGGGCACGGAAGTTGTTGCACGCACCCTAGCCCTGAAGTTCTTGCACCAGACGTCGGGGTCCTGACCGTTGGCCGACATCATTCTGCGTTGTACGCCCTGTCAGTATGTTGTAGAGATCAATGATGGGAGACTTGAAGAAGTTGCCCACGCACATGTGGTACACTCAGCCCTCATAAGTCTTCGTACGCTTATATTGATAATATTCCATATTATTACCATGAGAGATTTTCAAATACCGGAATAAGCATACATGAATAAGCAGATCTGGTTTAATACGTCACTCTTAATGCTTGTTATAGTGTGATTATCCCGATTTGATGAATTTACCGTTGTATGCCGGCACGGGTGGTGTACGGAGACTTATGAGGGTCCAGTGTACCGTAGGCGCTTTTTATCTTCACAAGGGTTGTACTCCGTGCACTCAGTATTGACCCAGCCAATCCAGTTGTCGACCCATCCGCACCCCAGGTCGTCGTACTGCCAACGACCACCAAACAAGGGGCCGCTGTCCAGCATCACTCCGTGGCTTGAGTTACCGGTATATAGCTCACGAGAGCTGTTACCAAAACTCATGTTGGCCGGGGCGCCGGCCAATGAAGCCCATACGGGCTGAAGCACGAGGAGGAAAAGGAGGGCTAGAGTAGACATTATCATTGCTCTGATGATCTTCTTTCCTCTGGGTGTCTGGGTAAAGATTAACGGCGGCGAGGGGGATTTTGTGGCTAGGGACGAGGTAGATGGGGCGGACAGGTGTGGGAGAAGTTGGTATTGCGAGTGAGGGTTTGGGCCTAGAAATAGTAAAGTACCTACTGCTGGTCGGTGAGGCCGTTGTTCATCATTCAGGGACCTTTCCCATTCGACGTCTGGACCGCGAATGGCCGACTCGATATCCACTGGACGTAAAGTCATCAGATGAGTATGGTATTTGGTGGCAGGTTTATGGCGTGCGGCGCAGCAGTGACTGTGTAAATTACCAAGGAGCGAAGTGAGAAAGTCGACACGTTCACTCATACTTATAACCACCTCGAGTTACAGGACGTACTGTTTGCTGTCGCATGTGCGACTTCGCTTCTGACTTGGCCCAGCAGCAAACGATGCACCTTCCCGATCCTATGATCCCGTAAATTCAGTGGATAAGGATGCTCATGGTTCCCGATCTGCCTGGTATACATTGACTGGCATACTTCTACTTGTTGCACTGATTCGGAGAGGCTCACCAGCCCCGTCTTCCTGACAGAGTCACGGCCAACAGCCAACTACCTTTCAGTGAGGTAGTCTTGGTCTTTAGTCTTTGAAGTGTCAGCTGCGCTCCATCAACCAAATGGTAATAAGGCACTGATGTTGTTGTTAAGTGTAACAGGGCGATTGAACGGCTGAGTTGGCAAGAACCGCCGCGTTCCTAAAGCTGGTTGCTGCATGATTACCAAGCTCAGAGGGTATACCCAAGATCACTTGTTGCCGACTTGCCCTTGATAGACGAACAGATAGCCTTCCAGGTATATGATCTGGAGGGCTAATCACATCCACAAAAACAGTGCGCCTTGAATCACACAAAACTTGCTGATCGAGGATCCGCCTTCGACTTTCTAGACAACCACCAACACCGTCCAGGGCACCGATGGGGCTCTCGAAGGTCTTAGTGGCAGGAGTCGAGTAGTAGGGAGATCTTAGAGCCATGGACAGAGCCATGGACAGAGTCATCGGTTGCGCTTGCCTCCTCGTGAACCAACACAAAAGTGAGGTAGTCCCCATATGACCGACTCTAAGAGCTATTGGGGAATTTGAGAGAGAGGTGCAGTCCAGAACCCCATATCGTGCTGAAAAGTGCCTTGCGGATGACGAGCCAATCAACTCGACCAACGCTGGCCTCAGGGGCTGAGATGAGGCCACGAGAGCCTGGCCATGTTGCGCCTGGGGCCTCAGAAGCCTGGAAGCGATACCCGAATCGATCAGTTTCAGATACGTGGAGCATACGTAGGAACGTGAACAAGCCACCTGATGCTTCATGTTGGGTTGACTACCCACTGATCTATCTCCGTTTCGTCACTGAGGCCATAACGAACATAATGCCTCGCATGAGCCACAACGGCTCTGGATTCATCAGACACAGTGTTTTCCCTGCATGGATGACACCATGAGGCCATCAAGTTTAAGCGGAAGAATCAGTCTTCACTTGGGGAGAGACTGAGGCGCACTGCGCTGATGGGTATTTAATAATCTGACAGCACCATGGAGGTATAGTGAGTTTGGCCGGCCACCCATGGAACAGTCACAAGACGCACGGATTCACTTTCATTTCTTCGCTCGTACTAGCCCTGAAGCAGTCGTGACCATGGCTTCAACCACATTTCAGGACCGCAACAAGCAGGCCGGGCAACCAACCTACCCCGAACAGTTCTCGCTGTACCAAAAAGCAACTTCGTCAACGAGTCCTACAGCCATCCGGACGATCGGCAAGGAAACACAGCCAAAGAATTCCCGTCACAGTTCGAGAGGGCAAGACCATGACGATGACTACCATCAGATCCAACGACCGTGGCAGAGCCCACGAGATGAAACCCCCTATCAGACCTCTACTCACATGAGTCCGATGGAGCGCTGGGAAGCACAGGGGACGAGACACGAGCCGTCGCATAACTTGCACGGAGTCGGGAATCACCAGATGCCAAAGGCAAGGGGGACCCAAAGCAAGGGCCTGTATGTTGGGTATTGCATGGGTAGTTACCACGTCAGATATCCGTGAAAGCACATGTGCCCGTCAAGTCCAGTCTCTATACCTCGAGCCCCCATCCAGCTCGGATCCCGTACCATATCCCATCCGTCAAGTACATCGCAACAAGTCCCTTACTGCCCGCCCTCAGCAACCAGCTTGCCAACGACCAGGTACTTGCTCAAGAAGCGCTCCTCCCAGCCCTGCAGGCTCTCCAGCTCGTCCGGGCCCAGGCCGTCGAGGGTGTCGAGCGGGCCGTCGAGGTCCTTGGTCAGCATATCCTCGTCGAAGCTGTGGCAGGCGAGGCCGCGGCTGGCGTCGCGGCCGGCGAAGTTCTCGTAGGGTCCCCCCGGCCCGTAGAAGTTGCGGCCGCTCGTGACGTCGAACACGCGGCCCCGCACCGACAGGTACACGGGCATGCCCTCGAGCCCGTTGTAGGGCAGCAGCGTGCGCGGCGTGAAGATGCGGAAGACGACGGCGGGCGGCTCGCGCGGCAGCGAGGCAGCCGGTGCCGGTTTGTAGAGGAGGTACGTCGTGTAGAGCGTTATGCCGATGAGGATGATGTTGAGCGGCGTGATGAGGCCGGTGCTGGAGGTGGATGTTGTTAGTCTGGGGCTCTGATAGGACGGACATGGGCGGAGCTGGAGGTAGGGCTGCGACGCACTAGATGGACGAGGGGTCTTTTGCGGCCTCGTGGGCGACGCGCTGGTTGACGTATTCCATGGCTGCAAGTACTGTTGCTGGATTGCTTCTCGGCGCAAGATGTTTCTTACTCGTAGTCAGAGCTCAGGCGTTGTTGGGTAGTGAGAGGTACCGGGATGTTGGTGAGACTGTCTTGACGGGTGGATGGTCAGCACAGTCGGGGATTCCCCGTTTCGGAGTCGGTACTTTATGGTGGGGTTCATAGCTCCGGTTGCCCCGTCTTGGTCTGAGCTTCTTATGGTATCGTGAATGCGACTCTGCCCCTTGCTTGGGCATTCACTACCTTAAGGCTTATTCAGGATGCAGCTTTGGAAGCAGCGATTGAGAGCGTTGAATGATTTTAACCTTGCACTCATATGTGACCTTGTGAGTTGTAGACAGTCAGTCTTAAGGTGCTTGCATACAAACTAACGTGTGATACGAACTACACGGATTCCTCGGACATGAATAGCCTGGGTCAACCGGCTCTGCCGTTACGTTGCAAGTCTCCAAGCTGCCAAGCCAGATACTCAAGCCGAGGCTGGTTCCATGACACACCAAGATAAGGATATGTAATCAAATCAACTGCTTACATCGAGCTGACATGCATACGGCCTTGTAAAGCAGTTCAAGCTCGCCTAGCCCTAGGGAACACGTATGAATTGTTTGTTGTTTGGAAAACTTGTGTAGATGGAGAAACTGCCATCGATAAAAGGGGGGAGGCGGAGAGGAACGTCCTGTTGATAAAGTCTTGGTATGGGCCCAGAGACAACGCCGCGTGATTGCCAAGCCTCGGAGTTTTTCAAGGTCTCGCCGTTTACGGTTATGAGACTCATATCACGAATAACGGAACGTCGGATGAGTTGTGAAAGCGGGAGTGAAATCTTTTGAAATGAACGATCCCCTATTTTCTGGTTTACCGGATGCGCGGCTGCGTACATAACGTCCCCCAACGTGTCGTATTGCCCAATGCCGCCCAGCGCTCGCCGTAAGGTGGGGGCCGTGTCGTTGGCTAGCTTGAGCTGACCCCTAGCGCGCCCACTGCTGCCACTGCACACCTGCAGGTGCCGCCGGAGCTCACCCCCAAGGGCCAATCAATACAAAATGCACTTTATTCAGCACTGTCAGCAGCGCCTGCCACCCCTGCCTTCTAACGCGCCAGGCTGCATCCCGTTTCCCGTTTCCCGTTTTCCGTTCTGACCGCCGCAGCTGCGCCGTCGCTCATTACCTACCACCTCCTTACCTACCGTCTTCTTTGCACTATTTGGGTAGGATTGTATCGATTGTGACAGCATTGAGCGTGCTTCCTGACCGTTCGTTGTCGTGGTTGTTCTTCTTTCCACTCGAGACCCAGGGGTATCTGTTTCGCGTATACTCTCTAGTTCCTGCATAAAGTACCCCGTCTGTCTGTCTGTCTTACATACGGCAACACGCAAAGTCCTACGTTGTACGAACGGTCGAACCAGGTTTACTTTGCTCCACCATATCCGACCGCCAACGACCCGACTGCCAGACAATGGTCTGAAGAAAGCATCCAGATCCAGACGAGGGGAACGCAAGCACCATGTCGTTGAGGCGGTTCATCCGTCCCGCGCGGCGCTTGCCGGTCTGGCTGCTGCTCTCGGTAGCCACGCCCTTCATCTTCGAGGCACTGTTACATCTGTGGCGGTACAGCGTGCCGCGCCCGGCCACCGAGCTTGACACCCCCTTCTTCACGACATGTCAGGAGCCGGACGTCGGCGCCCCGCGCGAGAACGCTGTCTTCGTCATGCTGGCGCGCAACCACGAGCTCGCCAAGGCCAAGAAGACCATCGTTTCGATCGAGCGCGCCTTCAATCAGTGGTTCAACTACCCGATCCTGTTCCTCAACGACGAGCCCTGGGACCCGCGCTTCATCCGCGAGCTCAACGAGACGGCCGGCGGCAAGGCCACCTTCGAGGTCATACCGAGGGAGCAGTGGACCTTTCCCGACTGGGTAGACCCGGATGCTGCGAAGCAGAACATCAAGGAGCAGGGCGAGACTAGAACGCCGCATGCCGGGGAGGAGGGATATCACCACATGTGTCGGTTCTACTCCGGGTGAGTTGCGAAACAGCAGATTCCAGTTGCGACCAACACATAGGTGTGGTGGACAGCTGCCCGTGTGAGAGAAAAGGGGAAAATATTACATATGCTGACAGGTTTCGGGACACAGTAAATTTTACCAGCTCGAGGCCATGAAGAAATACAAGTGGTACTGGCGGTTGGAGCCGGACGTCGACTTTACCTGCGCCATTACATACGATCCGTTCGTGCAGATGGCGCGGCACAAGAAGGTGTATGGCTTTACGATTGCGTTATGGGAGGTGGGCGCGTCATGCCCTGGGCTGTTCCGCGCTACGGCCGACTATAAAGAGATGAACGGAATTCCGACCAACAACTTGTGGAAGGCCATGTATTCGGCGTCGTGGATGCCCTTCCCCTTCCGCCGCCTCCTGAGCTGGCTGCCCCACCGCGACGCCCACGGCGATGGCTGGAGTTTGTGCCATTACTGGAGCAATTTCGAGATCGCAGACATGGACTTCTTCCGTACGCGCGCTTACCAGGAATATTTCGAGTATCTGGACAAGAAAAAGGGGTTCTACTTTGAGCGTGTAAGTGTCTCAAAACTCTATCGCATCACAACGCTTTTTCCTCCGACCTCCAATGTGTGTTCTATTCTTTACGCGCACCTCGTCACAACCCCTATTCCCCAGATTCCTTATTCAGGCATCAACTGATATTTCCCAGTGGGGCGACGCAGCAGTGCACTCGCTGGCGATCGCCATGTTCGTGGACCCGCGAAAAGTACACCATTTCGAGGACTTCGGCTACCGGCACGACAAGCTGTTCCAGTGCCCGTCGAATGCGCCGGGAGGACAGCTGCCGGAGTCGCAGCTGCTGGGTAACGAATCGATGGGCGCCTGGTCTCCCGAGTCGGAGGGCGGCATCGGTTGCCGGTGCACGTGCGACGGCAGCAATCCGCGCAATTACGGGGACTATTGTCTCAACAAGCTCAAGCAGCCCACCACCGTTCACCGACGATGGTTTGCCTGGTTATTATAGTCTCCGGCCTGATCAGCCTGTCGGTCGCTATCTATAAGTGGTACGCCGGGATGGTTCACCAAGTATGAGCGGTTGGATGAGCTCTACCGCTCTTATACATACAGCTCCACGGATGGCTGGGTATGCTCCCCGCCTGCTACGACGTTTATGAGGAGGCTCTTTTTTTCAGCTGCAGATGCCGGCTGTTTAGCCCCTCTTGATAGCTACCTATCGACCTTATCATCATGGTCTAGAGAGGGCAGAGATGTAGATATATGCATCACGGCCAGTGCTGAAAGATGGGGGAGCTGGAGCAAGGCAGCGGAACGGAGCACTTGCGGTGCTACCTACTGTTGCTACCTTCCTGACATACTACACACACGCACTTGTATATATAATCATCACTCGTCATGGGGCGGGTGCTAGCGGACAGGATACCACGGGCGGGGAAAGAGGCTCCGTCGTTGTTACAGACACCATCATGACCTATAGATAATACGGGCCGTTGCATCGCGAAGCATGTGAATAAACTGAATATTTACAAAACTCATTTTCTCAGGCGTGTGGAGAATCTAAGTGAAAATGACTGCGAAATGAAAGCTGTCGCATCAATGTACCTACCTACCTAGTCAGGAGGCAGTATGCTCTCACATAGGGTAAACCTTCCATACTTCGCCGAATCTGATGGGCAGTTCAAACGCATGCTTCTGTATGGCCACGAGTACAACCATCTGCAGTTCACTCAAAGATGAAACAGAGAATCTATAGATCTCAAGATGGTTCTACACCCATTAATACCTCCCACAAAATCTATACAAACGCCCCCAATGCAGCAAATGCGCCTAAGCTCCCCATCCGTCCGCCATCTTCCCCACTCATGCATCATACACCGACGGAAAAAAAATTCACAACTGTTTAACATTCCAGATTTGCCCAGCAGGACTCGAGGGCCCCTACTCCTCGTCCTCGTACCGGCCCTGCTGCAGGTCGTAGTCGCCGAGCAGGACGTGGTCGACGGCGGGGAGGCCTCCGGGCGCGGCGTTGTTCCTTAGCAACTCGGTCTCGACGCGGAAGAAGATCCACACCCACCTCCGAAAAACCTCGAGGAGCTCAATAACGAAGATGGAGCTCTCGAAGTCGGCGACGTGGTCGAGGTGCGGGCTCAGCTTGAGGCTCCACGTGCAGCGCAGACACAGGTCGACGGCGACGACGGCGTAATACAAAACGGGCGGGCCGAGGCGCAGCTGACGCCGCAGCCCGAAGGCGTGGCGCTGGTCGTGGTTGGAAAAGCGGCCGTCGCGGACGCCGCGCCGCTCGCGCGCCCCGTTGAATAGTGTTAGGTCCCAGTCCTTGGCCACGTCCCAGTAGAAGCTGTACAGCGAGTTGACGACGCAGGCGCCGACCCAGATGCGGTAGATGGTGGGCGAAGGCCCCCAGCTGCGCTGCAGCGCGCTGAAGACGATGACGGGGAACGCGGTGGAGTACTTGAGCGCGTTGGCGAGGTGCTGGCCGCCCCAGCCCGTGGCCTGGTTGTGCGGGCCGCGGCGCACGCGCGCGTACTCGATCAGGCACTGGCGCAGGCGGATGAGCGAGGGGACGGCCATGATGAGGGGCACGAGGAAGGTGCCGCCGCAGCTGCGATCCGGGCGCGCCGTCGCGGAGCCGACGTCGGTGCTGAAGAACATGCACAGCGCCACGTACAGGTCGCCGAAGACCTTGGCGTAGCTCGTCAGCACGTCGGCCAGCAGGATGTCGCCGAACTTGCCATCCTTGGCCTCGGCGATGCCGCCGACGCACACGCGCCTGAAGGTCGAGCGGAAGCGCGAGCGGCCCGCGCTCGAGAGGCTCTTCAGGCCGGGCGCGACGAAGAGCCCGATCAGCACGACCAGGTACGTCAGGGGCAGCCAGTCCCACGCGAGCACCAGGGCCGGGTTGCGGTGCGTGAAGACCCAAAAGACCAGGAGCGAGAAGCCGAATATGGACGAGAGGACGGTGGCTAGTCGGTACGTCGAGAGGTGATGCGTCGGATGGTGAGGTGACGACCGGCCGGGGTATCGTATTAGAGCTGGAACGTCGATCCCGGTGAGGTACAGGTAGTGCAGATTGATGCCCCAACCCCAGACCGCTGCGAGGAGCTGTTTGTTAGTTGTGTGGTCGCGTGAGTATTGGGGGCTGCGAATGCGACGAACCTAGGACGACAATGAAGGCCACGCGATACGGCAGGGGAAAGGTCAAGCTGAAGGAGTCGAGCTCCGGCTCGACCGCTGGATCACCGTCCATTGAGATGCATCGGAGAACACGCTGGCTGTGTAGTGGCTCAGAGAAGAATTGGCGTCGAGACTGTGTCGGTTGCGAGGGTATTTATTATACGAGTCCGCAGAGCGTATTGAAGCTGAGCTGTCCAAAGTCGACGATATATTAAAGTACATTTCATTAAGGGAGATTTGCGACGTCACCTGCATCCCTGCTCTCGTTAGTGAATGTCAGATGCGCGCTACGGAAACCCCTGGCCAGCCCAGTGCCGCGTCTTGGTCTGAGTCAAGGTTGGCGTCGGGTTAACGAGTCAAGCCACAGCCAGCTGCAGCCTCAACGGCGTCCTCCATGTTACACATCTGAATGTTGCGCCGAGGTCCAACAGTTCGAGCTTCAGTAAGGGAATCCAAACTGAACTACACCAGCTACGAGTAACTCCTCGACAATGACTACCACAAGTCACCAAGGCGTTATCAGGTCTATGTAAACCGACACTTCAGGCACGCCAGTCTAGACCTGGCAAGCCGACAACCCCGTCCGCAACAATGGCAAACGACGCCTCACCACCACCGCCGCCGCCGCCGCCGCCGCCGCCGCCGTCGTCCACCAACACCTCCACCTCTTCCTCGGCACTCCAAGCCACATCCACGACCACCCCATCCACGCCCTCCTCGCCGTACCCCTACGCCTTCGCTCCCGACATAATCCGCGCTCACCAGAAGGACGCCTACTTCCAGGGCGTGCTGACGAACCAGCTGACGGACCTGCACCGGCGGCTGCTGGGGGCGCGGTCCGCGCACGCCTGGGGCGCCGAGGCCCGCACCGCCGCCGACCTGCTGTACCTGTGTCTGACGACGCTGCTGGGCAACCGCACGCTGGGCGAGGAGTACTGCGGGCTGGTGCAGGTCGAGGGGGCGGGCAACAACGCCCTGCCAGCGCTGCCGCGGCGCGCTGCCTACATCGCGGGCAGCATCATTCTGCCGTACGGGCTGGCGCGGGTCCTGCCGGGCGTGAGGGGGCGCATACGGGGGCGGCTGCAGCGGAGTTTGCAGTTGCAGAACCAGTCACAAGCACAGTCTCCCGCGGATGAGAAGACGGGAGCACATCAGCAACAAAAGCAAAGCCGGCGGCGGTCCTGGACCTACACCCTCCAATCCTACATCCTAGCCAACCTCACGACGCTCACCTCGCCCGCGCCGCTCCACGCCGCCAGCCTGGCGCTCTTCTACTTCAGTGGGTCGTACTACGAGCTGGCGAAGCGGCTGACGGGCCTGCGGTACATCTTCACGCACAAGGTGGGCGGCGGCCAGTCGGCGACGGACCGCAGCGCCGGTTACGAGCTGCTCGGCGTGCTGCTGGTGATCCAGATGGGCGTGCAGGGGTGGGTGCACCTGCGGTCGACGCTGGCGTCGCTCTCGTCTTCTTCTGCCGTCCAGCAGAGAGAAAGAAATGGTGGAGGAGGAGGAGGATATTATACCGCAGACGTGTCCCTCGACCGGCACGCCTACAGCAGCAACAACGCGATCCTGCTCTCGGAAATGGGCGGCACCGCCCCCGCCTCCTCTTCATCTGCTACGGGGACGCGTCAGATCGACCTGGCGCGCGCCACGCACACGCCCCCGCCCCCGCCGCCGACCCGGTCTTCTTCCTCCTCGGAACCCGCCGCGCGGTACGACCTCGCCGACGACGGTGTCATGCGCTGGATCCGCGGCGCGCAGCAGCGCAAGTGCACGCTGTGCCTGGAGGAGCTCAAGGACCCGGCCGCAACGCAGTGCGGCCACGTCTTCTGCTGGGCCTGCATCGGCGACTGGGTGCGCGAGAAGCCCGAGTGCCCGCTGTGCCGCCGCGAGGCCATGGTGCAGCACATACTTCCGTTGCGGGTGGCCGTCTGAACACTGTTCAGAAAGACTAGATACGGCGTCGGAACAAACTGTGCGCAAAATAGGGGCGGCGGGTCTCTGAAGTAGTAGTATTGTATGATACATTGATGGGAGTGAGGATGGATAGTATTTACATCACGACTTGTACGAATTATCATGAGAGGGGAGCCGGCACGAAGAACATGTATCAAGTAATACGGTCGTTCTAAACGCGGCCGCATAAATCAAAGCGACCAAGCCGCCAGCTCAAATGCTCCAAACATAGTGCTCAAAGCCGCATCGAAGAAGTGGAAGCCGCGTCTGCATGCCCTTGCCCTATTAGGTGTCCATCCATGTCCGTCCAACCATTATGCTGCCGTTTGCTCTATGAGGCTCCAAGTCCAGCTTCAAGAGCAACAGGTTCCTCCGCACGTGCGGTCGCGCGTGGAGGTAACCATTACACTGCCCCTTTCTGACGCCGTAGGTATCATGATCCCGAGAAACAACTATTTGCAACGCCGTAACCTGTCTAAGCCTAAGCCCCTGTGGCTTCACTCGTCGTCAATCGAGAATAGGACGATCTCGCCACGCTCGTTGCGACGCATACGTAGTGATCGCCATAGCTCCTTCTCCTCCGTCACTTTGCCTAGGCTGGTGCCAGACGACGTTCGCTCCCGGTGGAACCTCTTGAGCGCCTTGTTCATGCTGCATCCCCTTTCGCTCTCGGGTCCTTTGTTACAGAAGCCCAGGAAAAGGTCGGATCTCGGCTTGTAAACAATCATGACACCGCTCTCATCATCCTTCTCGTCGCCTGACTTCGTCTTGTACTCGATCAGTTTCGGTTTCTTCTCGGAGCTCGAGCTATGGTGTCGCCGCTGCTTCTCTTTCCGCTCAGATGAATGCTTCCTCTTCTTCGACACCTTGGTCTTAGACGAGCCGGACATCAGAGCCTTCAGATTGCTCCCAAGACTATCGGACCGGCTAGGTTTGGCAGGTTTCGTGTGCTTGGTCTTCTTGAGGGGGCTTGCAGGGGAAATCTCGCCTGCGTCCCCTCCGGAGTAATCCGGCGAGGGTGGGAACTGAGACTGGCGCATCATACCCTTCAAGCCACCAGTCAGGCCAGAGTGCAGGACTGGAGGTGCATCCGTCATGACTTCATCACCAGGCTGCGCTTCGAGCGCAGAGGGGCTAGTCTCAATGTGCAGTCGCTTGCGCTTCTTGTCCTTTTTCATCTCACGATCTCCCTCCTTCGACTTCTTTCTGTGGGCTTTGGGCGCCGGCGTCGCATATTCCATGTAAGGGATGGCATCAGTGCCGTACTGGACCATTTCCTCATCGTCAACCATGTACCCGGTTGGGTCCACGTAGTCGTTCGCGTCATCATCGAATCGCACAAGCTGGCGGGTCCCAACGACATCGATAGCGTTGTCGTGAACCTGCAAGTTGATGTTGGAAGCATTTGGTGTAGCGTCAACCATGAAGTCGAAGACGTTGAGGTTTATGCCGTGGGCGGGCGGAGGTGTGGGCGCCTCTGGCGGCAGATCCGCATCTGACCTGCCATCGTCCGACTCGCGAATCTCGTACTCCCGATACGCCTCATACTCCTCCGTCACGTCCTCAACATATGCACGATGCGCCATGTTCGGTGTGTTGGTTGTTGCTTCGTTCCCGTTGGGCTTCTGTCTCTTCGCTTTGTATAGGGCACCTTGGTACTTTTGGTCTTCTGTCATACAGCTCTGTTCGTAGATGTTAGCGCGCAAGATGGCGAGGAGCTAGGAGGTCATGCCGCCTACTGTATGCGAACGATATTGAGTTCCGGGGAAGTGGACCATGCAATCGATGCAGGTGAAAGTTGCGCCTCGACAGCGATTTCTGTGTGGGTCGAGCTTCTTTTTGGTCAAAACATCACCACACTCCTGTGAATATAGATACAGGTTAGATCGTACAGAGCGTCGAACGGCATTAGAGAGATGCAACGGAAGATACGAATACAATGGGGTTCAAGGGGGCGTGTGTTTGATGTGGTTGGAGGGGTGGAGGGGTGAAAGAGAGGAAGTCAGGAGATTGGAGGGAAGGAGGACGGTCACGACGATCCAGAGTGTGACGGGCAGGCGGACAGGGGATGGCACGATAGTCCCAGTTAGTGTGTAGGATGACGGGACGATGGCTGATCAATGCCCGGGATGGTGACGGTGATCAAAGGATGGGGGCGAGGATGGGAGGGCTGGAGGGATGCGATGGGTAGCAGTAGGGGCCGGCGCAACGCGCAACGTCGTGTGTTGCTCCAAGGGGAGTCCGTTCACGTTCACGTTGGGTAGGGACAGGGTGCGGGAGGCGGGAGGGTGTGATGTCAGGCGCTCTTGGGCTTAAATTATGGATTGTGAAGTATGGGATAACTGGGATAATTACCTCACACGAGAAGGAAACCATGTCTCTGGATGGTCTAAGACTGGCTGTATGGTCGGATGGATGAAAATCTGATTGGCGCGGACCTGCACAATTTCGGTTCGTGTCTCTGCTTGTGACTGGCCGGGCGATAGATTTGTTGATGCTCTGCAGAGGGCGGCGTCTGCTGAGTGGACGAGAAGCCGGGTGGGATAACGGAATCTGAATCCAGAATTCCAAAGCCGAGGAGTCAAGCTGCGCGGGACTGTCCAATGTCGAGCCGTTTCGCTCGTGGGATGTATAGCGATTGTCCTTTAAGATCCTTCCGGGTACCTAGCGGCGGTTGACGACTTCCCAAGAGGGGCAATACAATACGACAGACGTCTCTGGAATGGCGGCTGGAGAGAAATGATGGGGGGGGTGCAGGGAACAGGAACGCTGGCTGTTGACAGGCAAACTGTGCGACCAAGTGGTTGCTTTGCTCAAGGCTCAAGCGTGGACTTGACAAGATTCCTCGAAGCTTGGGGGGGCTTGGGATTCTCAGCTTCAGATTTGTTTTTAGAATCGGGTCGTCCGTCTGTGTGGAGGGGCCACAGTGATCCCTTGGTCTGGGGTATTGTGCGACGAAGGATGAATACCAAGCTCAGGATCTCTCAGCAGCCGGACTCCGCAAAAAACTAGTAGCACTTTGATGAGCAGGCGGACGAGTGGGAGGAAATGGAAGGTGGAAAGAGTATTGACAGAGTTGAGACGGTATCGGAATGGAAGTTTCAATTTTCTTTGCCCCAGCCGGGCGCAACATCGCAGGTCGGGCGCCTCTGCGTCAAATTGTCAATGCACAAACTGGACTCTGGAGTCTGGATTGCGGTACCTTGCTGCAGGTGGCAGTGGGTCCGGGTCGGCGGTTGTTGACAGGGGAAACGGCGCACCAACAGGCCGGCACTCCTGCCCTCGCGGGAGGCAGCTGTTGCTCATCGCTAACCACACCCCCCGCAGCTGCCCGGCTGGCAAGGACACCCCAAGCAGAAACACAGTCCTCGATACGCAGACCTCCAAGACGTGTCTGCAGTCGCGCGCTGATTGGTTGTCATCAGCACATTTGGGCAGATCTTGTCGAGTTAGACTGACGTGCTAAAAAGGGTACCTTCATGTGATCACGCAATTGATTACCGGCGGCTCGACTGATAAGCAGATGTCGGGCTTTGGCCCTTTGGGAGTGGTCAAATGGTCGCAGGACCTGGGGATGGGAACCAGGAGAGAGGCCAAGCAACGGGTGTTCACTGTTAACCGCCCCCTGGTCCCCAAAGCCACGAGACCAATCAGTAGGAGCACCGCGGACAAGGTATATTTTTCGATCCATGCCGCAAAGTTCAACCTCTACCAAAGCGGCCACTTGTTGCTCGTAACTGGACCGAACGGGCTGAATGGATGGGAATCCTGGGATGCCTTCAAGTTTCAGCTGACAGCAAGGGGTTAGCGGTGCATCTATTACGGTACAGCACCTTGAACTGCATGCCTGCCAGCAACGCCAGGTCAACTTGTGCTGAGATGAAATGAATGACGTGAAGATCGGTCAAGCCGACGACTTCCAAGAGCTCGACCTCAGCTTACTACAGTTGTTAAGTTAGTATTGGCTTGAGCTGGCATGGCTGGAAATACCCCCATGGCCCCTACAACCTGAAAACACCACATGAAGCACAGAACGCATGAAACGCCAATCATCAGTGGGCGTTTCCAATTCAACACGGCTGCGTGTCGCACATTCCTCTTCAGGTTCCCTTGGATCCAGATCGGTCAGCCTCTCATTCTCTCTTTGACGTGTCTGTCTCCCCAAACGGGATGCCCCTGCAGCTCGGTCAATTCCTGATCAAAGAGGATGAAATGGAAAGGTTCCAGAAGGACCGCTTGAAGGTATTGACATCACGAGCGGCCCGTATTGCTATTAAGGTATGCTCGTTGATACTGGCATGGACCTTGAAATACTACAGGTATACAATACAATCAATCGGGGAGCTCTTATGGGGAGCAGACCATCAACACCCGAGGAACTCCAAGTCGAAGAGTCACCTGCAATTACAAAGAGGCATCTTGCCATCTGCTCCGTACTTGAGCAGGATCGTGGTCTCAACATCATTAAAGGTATGCGTCGCAACTCATGTGATGGTGTCCAAGCCGGCCGGCTGTACAATATGGAGATGGACACGGCCATAGCATCACCGACCACCTGCAAGTCTCTAAACAGGCTGACTTCCTTTTTTAGCCAGTCAGAGAAGTCCCGGGTTTTTGGTTCAACCTCCAGTGTGTCAGAAGTTCAGATTCCAGAACCCCCGAGACTCCTGGAATTTCCATGCTCGACAGATCAGGGGAAGAGCTTGTGAGTTACGCATGTCAACTCGCCATCGAAAATAGCGCTGGATTGCAAGACATCAAGGTGTCCCTGACTTGTGACATAGCTATTTCAAGAGCTTCTGTTTGCAACTTCGTGTCGATATATAGTACCTCTATGGCATTCTCGCCATGCAGGGCATTTCGGATGGTAATCGATTGCTCTGGCCGGGCGTTCATTCCTTAGTATGATGACATGTGGTTGTGTTAAGTGCACGGCCTTTCATATTTCCACTATGGAGGGGGGGGAGCCTATTTCATAATACACGGACACCTGCAGTAATACCTCTAGAATTAGTACCACCTGCATTCCTTATTCATTTAGGTACGGTACCAACCTCTACAGTACCCCTGGACTCCTATTCCGTGCTCGATCTATCAGTCTATCAGGACATGCCACAACAGCTGAGGAAGCGACTCCGCTGCACACATGCAGAACTTGGTCCTACTTTCCTCCCGTTGGCTCGCTGTCGGTCAAGTCGGTCAAGTCGGTTTCAGGCACTGGCAGTGCTTACCGCAATAAGCAACAAGGCCACATAATAAACAACTGTATTGTTATTCCTACCTTCCCTACCGCCGCCGTTCCTCCTCGTCCCCTTCGCGGACACACCGCCATGTCGCCTCCAGGAGCTTCGCAGACACCACCGAGCTATCTGGAGCAGACCGTCTCGCTGCTCAGCACCGCGGCCGGATACATGCGACTGCCGGCGCTGGCTACTTCGGTATGCCTCCTCGCTCACCTGCATCCACTGCCTCCAGACCAGCCCCAACAAACCGGTCCTCGTCCTCCACCAGGTCGTGTCTGATCCGAGCTTGTCACCGCGCCCAATCTGCCATTGCCACCCGTCGCCGAGCCGCGGCCGAGCTAACAGATGTCCTCCAGGGTGTTGCCGCCGTCCTGACCACACTCCTCTACTTCAAGCAGAAGTGAGCACACCCTTCTACGTGACACACCGCAAGCAGCTAACCACCTCTCTCCGCCCTGTAGAGCTCTGATCTACCCGTCTCACATGCCCCCTAATTCGAGAACCGACGTACCGCGACCCTCCCACTTCGGCCTCAAAGACTTCGAAGAGCTCGTGATACCCACCAATGATGGCGAGAAGCTGTCCGCCTTCTACATTCGAGGCCCGAAGAATGGGCGCTACTCCCGGTGTACGCTTATCATGTTCCACGGCAATGCGGGCAATATTGGCCATCGACTACCCATTGCGCGCATGATCATTAACTATATCGGCTGCAATGTGTTCATGCTCGAATACCGGGGCTACGGGATGTCCACTGGCGAACCAGACGAGAAGGGGATCATGCTCGACGCCCAGACTGCCCTCGACTACCTGCGGAATCGAGCTGAGACCAGGAGTCACAAGCTCATCATATATGGACAGAGCTTAGGGGGGGCTGTCAGCATCAAGCTGGTCGCCAAGAACCAACACGCCGGTGACATCGTCGGCCTGGTCCTGGAGAATACTTTTCTCTCGATGCGGTCTCTCATCCCGTCCGTCATTCCACCGGCGAAATACCTCGCGATTCTATGCCATCAGGTCTGGCCAAGCGAGTCTGTGTTACCATCAATATCCGAAGTGCCGATCCTGTTTTTGAGTGGGCTGCAAGACGAGATTGTCCCGTGAGTACAAGATTCCCCTACAGCCTCCACCTTCAAAGACGCATGATGCACACGCATGATGACCTAAAACAACCATCCACAAAACCTGAGTCCGATTTCGGACGCGGATTACCAACTATTGTTCCTGATATCACATGTGTCTTTCCCCACGCCTTGGCATGTCTCACTTTTGGAGATACAACTCAGCTGACGCCTGGCTACCTTGGACAGTCCGACTCACATGCGCAAGCTCTACGAGCTCGCCACAACACCCACCAAGATCTGGAAGCCACTTCCCGGTGGCGATCACAACTCGAGCGTTTTGGAGGAGGGATACTTCGAGGCGATATCGGACTTCGTCTCTAACGTCGGCGGAGACGAGAAAGTATGATAACCGATTGTCATATTCTCTCTTGGGAAAGGAAGATTCCACCGGGAGGCAATGTTGCATTTTGGGCGGCAGAGGTATTGGTTGGCGGCCAATAAGCATGAGCGCCAGGATCATGACGCATTCACGACCTTGATACCCCTACCCACTTCACGCATACGCAGCACGTGATGGGTGTGTACCTACTATAGAGGATACAATTGTATTGTTATTGCAATGAGATAATATTCTCCTGCACTTTATGTGATCATGCCCGTTGTCCGGCTGCCGTGGCTTGCTGCACCATGACCGCCTCATTGGGACAGCTTCCGAGCTTACTGATTCTCGGCTGAAGTCAGCCCTGATCCTTCAAGCCCATGTCAGCTCTCAGGAAATTGGACGGCGGTTGAATCCCTTGCGTGTTTCGTCCGAACAATGCAGCCATGCATTTCATCTGTATCATCTCATGATTCTCATCCCTGAGACTCGTTGGCTATTTGGGTATTGGCGGGAGCGCGCGGTTTGTTTTTCGCTAACCGTGGAAGAAGGCTGGCTCACACATGCATGATTCCTCTGAGGTAGGTAGCAGGTGAAGCAGGAGATGAGCTTGGTATGGAGCGGGATTCACTAGAGTACATATGTGCATCATGCATGCCCCTGGTAGCAGATAGCTTGCAGCTTACAATACTCTCTCACCACATCCCACGGAAGTAGGTAGTCAACAGTCGGACGCCACTGGATGCCGTGTTGCTATTTTCGGTGCTTCGGGGTCTGCGGGCTGATGAACCCCGGTCGGCTCTCGTTGGTAGGGATGGGGCAGTTGGCAGATAGGTAGAGTGTAAGGTATGGAAAGGTTGCGCGCGCTTGTTATAGTGTCTGTCGTATGTGATGGACATGTGTGAGAGGGTGGTTAGGGGTTGGGCACGTAGTGGAAAGCGAGGAATTGACGAGGGGATTGACGAGGAGATCGACGGGCATCGACGAATGCATCGACGGGCATCGAAGGCATCGACGAAGGCAGCATCGACGAAGATTTTAACTGAGAGTAATTTGTCAGTCAATCTCAGCCAGGTTGTGAGCGGAGGGCTCGGGACCAAAGTCGTGTATAAAAGTCAACCTCCTTATACTATGGTCAACGCAGAGAGCAGCTTCATGATCGAGAGGCCACAATGTTCGTTGTTACCTAAGGCCCGTGGTTGAACTTTCCAGTATCGGTTTCAAGGAAAGGGGGCGGCAAGCTGAGAATGCTGGGCCGTGGAGCGATGAAAACACCCCTCGTTTTAGAGCAGGCGGAGAACTAAACTACAAGGCTTGTATTCCAAAGCATATGGCTTATAGACCGGGGTAAAAATGATGTGTGGTCCTGAGTTTTAGTCACGTCCGGCTGGTACGATGGAGCTTCATTCTGGGCCGGTCTGGTGCAGGACACGTTTATCTTTTACGTTTTCTTATGAGTACTACGTTCAAAGCAGGTGGGATTCAACTGTAGTCATGTGGCAGCTGGGGAAGCTGAGCACACTCAAGACGATCCTCACGATAACATCCTGGAATGGGTGGGCTTAATACACCAACGAAACATTTTACTCGAGACCAAGCAGAACTTCACTACAAACGAGACAAGTCTACACCACTATCTATAACCAAACTTCAAGCCACTACCTAAAAGTAGTGCTAACGGGATACATGATCATCATGGCTTTTCCGTTGGGGTGTTGCAAAAAGCTCAGTACTAAGCTCGAGACTCGAACCCAAACCTAGCACTGCCGAAAAGGGCGCCTTTCAACTACATCCCAGAGAGTATGTAGTAAAGGTTGACACATTTTACGCTCCTCAGGTCCGGCCGGGCGGGTTCAAAGAACCGGTCCGATAGTCACCCAAGCTCCTGAAGATTGGAAATTGTTACAATTAAACTGCTATATGTTCACCACCCCCTTGGCCTTGCGCCTATTTTACCGATTCTTCGTAAATAAACTCCCAACTGATTTCGCACATTTTTACCCCACAGCTGAGCACGAAAGGCCGACGCTTACGACACCTTTCCAATGCTCGGGGACTGAGCGAGACCATCCTGATACTCGGTTCACGGCGTGATTATTACCGGCAACGGGTACATGACGGGTGGTTTTTGGTACCGGAAAGGATGCGGCGCAGCACGAGAAGTTAAAAGACGGGCTGGGCTATCTTGGGAGGAGCAATGCCCATCGATCGTTTACGATAGTCCCTTCTTGCAAGCCTGTCTGTCATCTATGGTCTTGCAGCGATTTGATCTTTCAGAATCCTTGCGAGTTGGACAGATACGACGGGGGCAGACGCATCTACTGTGATGATGCAATAGAAGCATAGCCAGTCGTGAAGCAACCGCAGGAAACAGTGTCGCAAAGAGTGATTCTAAGTGCCTCCAGGAACATTGCAGGAATGCAACAAATAGACAGCCCATCAAGAAGAACCTGAGAGCTTCTCTTTAGGCTGGGTGGGATTCGTCCTAAGTGGGAAGGTTTCCCACTGGCCCCATGTGATCTTTGAATAGTCTCAAGAAACCATATAGGCCAGGTACGGCCCGGCCTCGAAGGAAGAAAGTCTCCTGGTATGGGAAATGCGAGTTTCCATTCATTGTACAGACTCGACCTGGTGTTGTTACAATCTCGCCGTCGCTCCAACTCCCGCTAGCAAATAGACGGGCGTTTCCCGCATAGTGTGCGCATGCGATATCGATGTACGTGAACTCCCCCTATTTTGTGTTGGCCATATCCCGCCATCCCATGCTGTCGTGGTGCGCGAATTCCCTCACTTCCTTTTCCGTTCCGCAGCATCCATCTTGTCCTCCAACGCCTGGCAGTAAGTGTTCAATTTCTGGCAAGCCGCCTGCAACGCCTGTATCGGAGTGTTATGTCAGTTGGAGGTCTCGTACGAGGAGGCATCGGGAAGAACGGTGAGCGAGAGGCATAAAAATGCAGGGTAAGGATTCTTCACTGAATAAATGGCAAAGAAATGGGTGGATCGTTCAGTTGAGTGATGATCCCCTCCCCGAGAGTGTAGGCAGGCACGAGGACATGGAATCAATCAAATGCAATAACGCACGTAGATGTCTTCCGTCAACAGCTCGTTCGACGCCTTGTATTCCCTCCTGTACGGAACTCGAGTCAGCAGTTGCACAATCATCGTGTGAAGTGCGGCTTCCTTTCGAAACTTCTGGCTCGCCGGAACCTATAGAAGAGTCCGGGGATCCGCGCGAGCGGTAGATGGGCTTCGGAGCGAATCTGCGGAAGGGGAGGTGTTGACTAACAAGGTGTAGCCGTAAACACCGGCGCCGGCGAGAGTGGTGCCCAGAAGAAAGCCAAAGAGACTATAATACCAAAGAGCTGTCAGTCTATGCACGGCATGATGCAGGCCCACAGATCCCACTCACCCGCCTCGGAAGGCACCCACGGGCTTGCGGGCCGGCAGGGTAGCGGTCGCGTCGGCGAGGGTTCGTGCAGTCGCGTGGAAGTTGCGAGCGGGCCGCATCGAGGAGTAGGCAGCGAAAGCACTCCGTGCCCCTGCAGAGAGTGTTCTCGAGGCCATTGTGTCTGTGATGAAACGTGGTGATGTCGAGGGAAGTCGAGGGAAGTCGGTGCGGAACGTCAGAGTACTGGATTACGTAGGTAGGTTTGCTGAGTGGTTTGGAGGGTGCGGGTGTTGTTCCATGCGCCGGGCCGTGGCCAGAAGTTGGAGCATTGGATCAATTGGGCAGTTGGCAGATGGGGTCCTGGAGAAGCTGATCCCTGCAAAGGTCCGCGGAGGATGTTCGGCAAAACTTATAAGTGCCAAGTGGGCTATCTGTCCCGTAGAGTCGGCTGGTTGGGGGGCGGGCTGGTGACTGGATGAGCACTCTGCCTTTCTACTAATATAACAAAAGATTCGCAGTGCGTGTACGTGTCTTGCTTCTGTCAGGTCGCGGGTCATATCACTTGCAATTGTCAACAGTGCAGCTGTTTGTTGACCATAAGAAATTCAGTAACCTATGCTAACTACCTACCTTTAGTTCGCATTTTATCCCAGTCCCGGTGAACTCCAGTGACAGCTGATAGATCCGTTAGATCCATAGCTATGAAAAACTGTACAATTGACATTCTTGTTCGTTTCCACATCTATAGCTCGTCGTGGTCCTCGCCAGCCGCTTCAGTGGCAGCAGGGGCAACGGGAGTCTCTTCCTCGGTCTTCTCCGCCACCTCGGCCTGGTACTTGCCGTTCTCCTTGACAAACTTGATCAGGTCGTCAACAGTTCGGGGGCCGCTGTAGTCCACGGGCTCGCTCTTGGCGCCGGCGGCGTACAGCTTGATGGTAGGGAAGCCCTGGATCTCATCCGGAACATCGTTGGCGGTAGCATCAACCTTGGCAATGACGACCTTGTCCTTGAACTCGCTGTTGGCGTACAGAGATGCAAGGTCCTCGTACTTGGGAGCCAGAGCCTTGCAGTGACCGCACCACGGAGCGTAGAACTCGATCAGAACATCCTTGGTGTCGTCCAGAACGATATCCTCGTAGCTCTTGCCAACGACGACAGTGACGGCGCCTTCCTGGGTCTCGGGGATCGGCTCAGACTTGAGGCTGGGCTCGATCTTACCGGCAGAGAAGTCCTCCACGAAGGAGCTGATAGCATCGGCAGTAAGCTCCTTCTCCGAGTCGAAGGGGAACTTCTGGTTCTTGACGGTCTCCTGGATGGCGAAGGACGGGAACTTGTCGGTTGGGAGGTTCAGGTTACCAGCATGCGCTCCGAAGCTCTTGGCATCAATGGTTGCGAAGTTGACCTTGCCACGGAACTTCTCGGCAACAGGCTTGAGCGCCTCGCCGAGCTCGGTTCGCTCCTCGGGGGTCTCGGCAAAGATGTAGGCAAGAGGGATGCCGGCAGACATGTAACCAGAGTAGGTCTCGGGGCCGACCTCTCCGATCAGAGGAGTCGATGCCGTCTTTACGAATGCAAGAATGGCGTCCTTGTCGAACTTGTCGGTGAAGGTAGACTTGCCCTCATCAAACTGCTTGTACAGCACAATAGCGGGAGCAGTAACGCCCTCGGCCTCAGCCAGGGTGGCGTCGTTGGTAGCACCGAACAGGTAAGAGTCCCGCAGTTGCTCGGCGGTGGCCGTATATGTTTCGTTGGCCGACTTGTCGGAGGGGTCGACGTAAGCGACCAGGACAACCTTGTCGGCGGTCTTGAAGTCCTCGATGGTGTCCGCGGAAAGGAGCGAAACGGCGGGGAGAGACTGCTTAATCATGAAGGAGGTGATGCTAGCGACCGTTTAGTCAACATGCGCAGTTACAGATGGCATCTCCGGGGAATCACTTACGCGTCGGCCTTCCTTTGGCCAGAATAGGGGGTGATGTTGTCGACACCGCGGAAGATCTTCAGGGTGGGGTAGCCCTCGACACCGTAGGTTTGGCAAAGGTCTTGCTCCTCTGTGCAGTCGACCTTGGCCAGCTTGATGTCCTTCTCCTTCAGCGTTGTGGCGGCTTCTTCGTATTCAGGGGCGAGGGCCTTGCAGTGACCGCACCACGGGGCATAGACTAAAGCGAGAGGTCAGCTTCTCGTCTTCAGGTGTAGAGGCAAGAGTAGTAGAACTTACACTCTGCCAGGACGAGGTCGTTGGTCTTGACGAAGTCGTCGAAGGTGCCCTTGCCCAGTTGGTGGACGTCCCCTTTAGGAGTGCCGACGATCGGTTGCTGGTCGGCGGATGCGACTTTGGCGGCGGCCAACAGGCCGAAAGCAAGAGCCGAGTACATTGTGATGTGTGATGGATGAATGGACTAGAAAGTAGCAACGTGTTAGCTACCAGGGTCGCCGTATCAAGTAGGCGTGCGAGGAAGATGGTCGAATGTAGCAGCTGGAGGGTGTTGGCAGAGGATGGAGTTACCAACCACGACTTTCTGTTCTGGTTTGCAACAGTTAGTGAGATCGCAGCTGGGCAAGGCGCGTAGAAGATGTAGCTGGGGATGCTGGCGTGGCGAGGGTCAAACAGCTGGAGGCGAGCAGATGGATACTAATAAGTAGATACACACCTTTTTCTGTAGAACCAGCCACGAGGAAGGAGAATAAGAAGATTGACTTGTGAGAGCTGGAGTTGAATGGAGAAAGGTTGAATGTCTGTCGCACGGAAGACACAGGCAGCCTTTATTCAACGGCCAGCTACTTAAGTAAGAATAATGGTAGAATGGAGATGTGTCCCCTTTCTGTCTGACTGGCCTAAGACCGCGATCAATGGATGAATGGGGAAAAGGCGAGCTGGTTCCGAATATCTGGCCACGCTTGCTTCAGTGGATAACGCTATTTACAGCGCCTCTAGTGGGGCCCGTTGGGGCGGCGGATCGCAGGATAGCTCCACTGCAAGGGTGGAAACAAAAATGACAGGTGTCCAGTTCCAGCTCTTCCATTCTGCCATTCTGCCGCATCCCCTGATCCCCCGCTGCAAGGCTACCAGGCTACCAGACCTCAACTTGCATCATACAGGCGCCGCATGAAGGAACCTGGCCTATCAGGGCTCGCCATCTGTTGGGGAATCCTTGCGGGATGTGGAGACATGATCCTCACCAATCCCCTCGTGCGAATGCTTACCAATGCTCTCGCTACAGTTCTAAAGTTCTAAGTTAGAACTTGCTCACCTTTTAATTCTGAAACATACATCTTTCTCAAGGTAAGTTAAGGTAAGGTGAGGTTACTGCAATATCCCGATTAGTTCCCGTTCGCTCTGCGGGTGTCGGTGGATCGTACCATCAGATCCGTGGATTTCGGAAAGCAGAGGTTCGAACAGAAAATAGGCAGAGCTCTCCTTGAAATAACTTGGCCACCAGGCCGCCTACAGTATGCGAAAGTATGACTATACCAAACTTCACACAAAAGTGGGTGGTAGTGAAAATGCTAGCAGCTTCATGAGCGGTTGGAAGCAGTCTAAAGACAGCTGGAAACGTATGGTATCTCCAGAGTACCTGCATGAGCCATGTCTTAGCTCAGGGTCTATCTCATCCTTGACCTTGGTTCGTTGATACCTACGACGGCCTGTCCAGCCGCAACTCTAACTACTTACCTTACACCGACCATGTGTGCGACGTGGCTTGCGAGAGGAACCGCAGAGTCTATCATCCTCGCAACTAAATAAATCTCGGCGTGGAAGCGGTTTGCTCCTAGTGGCACAGCGAGGTAAACCCTGACGTCAATTTAGGAATGAGCAGCCTCTGCTGGATCAATCCTCCCATTAGTCCAAAATACAGGGAGGGTTGGATCATTGAATGAGCTGTCCTCAAGTTGCCAATCGATCCCAATAGTTGGGTTCCTTCCGACTATGTACCCAAAGTTCCAATCCTGGATTTTCCCGGAGAAACTGCCTCATTTAAGGAATAGAGTTACTGTTCGTACCTACACGGGCGAACGCGTATATTTCTCAAATACGCAATGAAGCCAGCCGACGCCCAACCCGTCATGATGTGTACTGCTGGCGACATGGTCCCATCTGGGGTGGCGGCAGAATCATCACCCCTAGAGTCCTCTCCCGCATCAGCATACCTACACCCGAGGGGACGGGCTCCCTGTCAGTACAGCGTTCCTGCTGCTACTTCCTCTTGTTCATGATGAGGGCAGGCTCATCTTCTGTTGGGAGCTTGAACGTTGAACGGTTCCTGTAACCGTGAGTTTTGAACAATGCGTTTCTGAATCCCCGGAACGGCTCACATACCCCTTGAGTAACGGAAGACTGGACGCTGTGGGAGACAGTGTCGTGGGAGAAAATTCGTGGCAATCTACCCGGAAGCCTAAGAGGCGGCACGCACCGCGGTACTAGGTCCAGCTTTTCAAGCAATTCAAACACTGTCGGCGTCGGAACTGAACCGGACATGCCGTAGCACTGTGAAGTTGACAGCCAAGGGACTGCAAGAGAGAGTTACATGAAGCCCTATGTCATTGACTCCTATCTATTGCCGAATAGTCATCTTTAAGGGTACACTAGCATGGCGTTATCGATGATTATCAGAACTGTCACTCAATGAGCAGCATTGATCAACAGAGAGCCTCGGTCTCCAAGCTCTAAGTTATTTCCAAGTGGTAGTGAGTGACTATAGCCTCCGTTTGTTAGATCCATCCAGCATAGCGAAACTGGTAGCTACATTTGATACATATTGTAGAGAAAGCCAAGGTAGAATTGTGCTCGACAATGTGCTCGACCAGGCCGTCAGCAGCTCATTATCTACAGTCAGAGAGCACCTTGTAGGACCCATGAGAACTATCCTCGTACTCACCACCTAACCTAATGTGACGCAAGACATGGCTGATATTCAATGCTTTTCCCATGGAAATCGTGTCACAGCGGCAATGTCCCCGTTTGTGGCGCGGGATTAGGCCAAACATACATGTTGTCAACTGGAAATGACTCGGCGGGGCGTTTGCAGCTATCTGATAATCAGGCTCGTACTGAAGGTTGTATTTGGGATGTTCGACAGACTGTTCGACAGACTCATTCTCATATAGTGTATGGGCTTGGGGCTGTGGCCGTTGGCACTGTACCCCTTTCCGACTGTACTTGACATGCACTCCCTCTGTGCTGTGTGGCCAATAGGCAGAAAACAACCAAGTGAAAACACGTTGGCGTCAGAAGGACATAAAGGTGTCATGATCTAGCTGCCGCTGATTATTTCTGAGCATTGGCTAACCCAAGTCACATTCAGCCCGGACAAGGGGCGATTTGTCCTTCACAGTTATACCTTGCTTCAAGCCCCGTACCACTTCTCTACGCCAACGAATGAGTGGGTTAAAATTTATGTCGAGCAAAGTAATGGGATGCTGTGGCAGTCATATCAAAGTCTAAATTTGTTTGACTTGGCAGATGAGCTATGATAGATGGGATATCTTAGAGTCGGACGGCAGTGGCAGATTGTACATTAGGTATATGATGCGCTGACTGGGGTTGGGAAGGACAAATCCAAAAGGGGATGCACCAGTCACCACCTGCACCTTGCAACAACACCCACATGCATTGTGTAGGGCATGTGGGCATATTCGAGGAACATGTATCTACGGTATATTTGGGTAGGTAGTCGCTTAGGTACCTCCTCTCGTAGGTACCATAGCGGGAAACCCTACGACTGCCATGTTTCTATCCTCTGTTCCCGTCTCTAGGGCAATGAGGTAAGGACGGTATGGCAATTGCAGGTTGGGGTGTCGTGACCCGCGGTTTCCGTCTCTACTTCTTACTTCATCCAACGCAAAGCACCTTCCTCAAACTAATGGGGAGCAAACAATGCACTACTTCAAATTCCAATCACCACCTGATCAATGCTCACACCGCCCCATGACACTTGACGCCTCCGCTTCCAACTCATAGTCATCGCCCAGTGTCGTCTCTGCTGACCAGCCATCGCCCAGTGTCGTCTGCTGGCCGTAGATGCAGACCGCCAAAGCCTCCCGCCTGGGCTAGATGTCAATCCAGCACCGCTCCATCAGGCTTGTCTTCTTACCCATTCCCACTTACTCTTTATCTCATAGTCTAATGCGTTGCAATCGCCGCCCACTCTGCTAGCCACTCTGCCAGCCGCTCTCGTTGCCTCCTCTCGTTGCGTCCCGACCCATGTCCGTCCGGATGGAGCAGCACCGCCTGCCCAAGCGCAGTGCCAGCCATGGCACCCTCAGGAGCAGCTATTCGGCCCAAGGTCGACTCGTTGCTGTCGGCCCATCCCCCTCACGCCCGCTTCACAAACCGCTGCGAAGCGTCGCCGAGAACTCTGTCTTGTTGCCTTCCCCAGGAGCCTTGGAAAGCATGCTGAAGACGACCACCGAAACTGGAGACATCGGCATCTTCAGCATCAAACCGGTGCCTCCCTCCCCACAGAGACGGAGCACTTTCTCCGAGATTGGAAGACCAAACCCGCCGCCGCGCCGCTCTATTGACGAGCTGTACCGCCAGGATATGGCCAAGAGGCCACCTTCAAACCGAGATACCACCTCCGAGAACCTTTCCACGTACGGCACGGAAAGTCAGAAGTCGGGTACCAGTACACTGTCTCCCACATCCACCGATGATATTGGGCAGCGCTCCTACTCTATGACAACCTGTGGGTCGAGATATTTGTCCCATTACAAGTCCACCACCACGTTGCAAAGTCAAGGAAGTGGGAGCCACCTTCAACGTCCGCGATCCCCTTTTCCCTACCCGACACGCCTGAAGCGCCCAGGTGTACGTCCAGCCTCTCCAGCACTGACGGAGAACGGACGAGTGGACTACAGTCGAATGGTTGAAATCGACCGCATATCCTACGTAAGAGCGCGCCCTTGCCGCCCTGGAATTACCATACTAATCCGCATTTGCAGAGGACGATGCACGGTCGCCTCAAGCCGTCGTATCCTTCGATGCCACGAAGGCCTCATGTCCTGGGCTTACGAGCCAATGCGAACCACTCGACTCCTTCACTGCCTATTTCAGGCCCGCCGCCTAATTTCCGTGGTCCTCTGCCTCCTCCATCGATTCGGACTCACTCGGCAGCCTCGATGGCTTCCTGGAATGCTCCACTTCGCGAGAGACTGCACGTGGATAGTGCTGGCTCCAGGAGTTCTAGCTTGACCTCCCTGGCGAACATGTACCAGCGTATACCGCCTGTACATAGACCCGGATCGAGTGCTCTCTCAGCTCCCGCACCACGCTACTACGACTACACCGAAGATTTCGAGAGCAAAACAACTCAGATCACAACTCCTGCGCAGCCACTAGCGCCTGTCCCAACCCGAGCGCCAAACTGCCAACGCCCTCTTATCCTGCAAGAGTCTGACGATCACCTAGCTGCTGTCTTCGGAGAGGGCGATTCGGCGTTCTTTGATATCGACAGCCAGGAGGTGGAGGAGCCAGAGGCGAATCGGGTCTCGCATCTTGTCACTTCGCGATCTCAGAGTCATGCCAACACACCAGACCAGCCGTCTTCACGACGAGGCTCGGGGTCTACGCGTTCCCGACAATTGGCACCGGGCTATGAGAACTCTGAGATTAGTAGGAACAACACTCAATGCAGTGATATCGACCTTCTACCGTCACAAGTCCGCAGAGACTCCATAGACACATTCAATCCGAGCCTCGACTTAGAGTCAAGAGACATGCCGGCGTACAACTATACAGCCTATCGATTGACAGCCACGCCGAAAACCAAGGCCAACTCTCCAGAAAGGCAAGTGCAGGTGCTGGGTGGTCGAACTCCCACCATTCGGAGTGAGCAAGGGGTCATTTTAAGAGACGACGCTCAGGATGAGGCAGTTTCTACAGAAGTGACCATTGAAAACAGCAGGACTCAGATCAACGAGGAAGCTGTAGTACCACACTCAGCCAACGACAATGTCACACAGCTGCGTTCATTATCAGGATCTGCCCAGGGGCTATCAAAAACTTCTGATCAACAGGTGATTGTTGATGACCACCGCAGATCTGTCTTTACAGACCTTGCCAGCTTCAAGAACGACCAGGCTGGCTCTTCATCCGACGAAAGTGAAAACTTGGCGGCATCAAAGTCTGATGATCTTCCAAGCCCTGGCACGATGGACACATCTCCAGCTCACCCCAAAATGGAAGCTTTGAATGACACAGGGATCAAAGAAGCGAAATGTGCAGTGCAAGAACCGGCTGATGAAGCATCGGAAGCGGCATTGAGACTGCGATTCCGTCGCCACAGGAGGAACCAGGCTGTTTTACGAATCAGCACCACTGGTTTGCCCAGAGAGGATAACGAAGGCTTCCCACACTTGACTCCGTCATATTCAACAACACCTCTCATATCGCCGAAACCTATCTCACCAACGCGTCAACTCAAGGTCAAGAACAGCATACCCCAGCTCATGAAGGCATTGCCGCCTCTTCCTGGCGATTCCGACTACATCTCGCCACAAACGCCGACCGCCGCTGGCGAGGAAGACGAATTCGCTGAGGTCCTTGCCCCATTCAGCTTCCCCGACCCCGACCCGTTGGCACAGGGTCCGTTCAAGAACCCGAGTGCCGCACAGTCGGCGTCGAGCCTGCCACGTGTGCTGGCTCAAAGCACCCAGAAAGCTCTTCCAAAATCTGGGCTAAAGCTGAAGACATCCAATAGCTCCGAAAATCCGAGCTCCTCCGGTCGCAAGCATCGAAGCACAGATGTTGAACATGGTTCGGTTCATACCCCGGATACTGAAGTGGATGGCAACTCAGGCGACAGAGATGCCCGAGTACGCGCTCGCAACCGACTGAAGCTAAAATCCTCTCGAAGAACGGGGATCCAAAGTCCTCCAACAGGTTCTTTCCGCCGCTACCCAGTCGCGAAAGCATCTGATGCTGTCACCGAACTTACAAGCCGCAAACCACAAGATCTGTTCACCAAGCCAACCGAAATGAACTCGATGCTACGCCAAGTGAACCATAAATCATCGCAGCTGCCTAATGGAGATACTCCTGCTTTCCGAGCCAGGACTGAGGAGATCTTTCCGTACGAAGCATCACACCAGTCTGAAGGACAAGTATCTCTGGCGTCTACAAGCCATACAATGAGGACGTCTCGCCACAAAGGATTCCCAGCTAACAACAATTCCGGTGTAAAACATACTCGGGGTTTGAAAATGCATCTGTCGAACCTACGTTCATTATTGGCACTACGTCCGAGCACCTCACACGTCCCGACTACGGTTCCACACCGGCTTGCGACCGATGTTCACATCAAGACGAATGATATAAAAGAAGATCACGTTGGCTTGACAAATGTCAGAATTTCCAGTGGACCTTCGACTGTGATTGAGGTGCTATCGACAACCGGAAGCATGCGTGCCCCAGTCGGCAGGCGGATACGTGTGAAGCTCTCCAAATGGGTGAAGGGCACGAGAAGGGCGGTACGAAAGCGCGTGAACATGAGCCATGGCGCCTGAGAGAAGTCAAAGGAGAAACAATATTCGATATGGTCCCAGTTTACCATGATCTTTTCCTTTCGAACGAGGGTTTCAGCATTGATTGGATTCGATCGGACATGGCCTTGACGTCTAGTCGGACAACGTTTTGGAGCTTTTTTGGACTGTCAGCCTTACCGGGCTTAGATGGTAATTGCCTTCTGCGCTATTCTTGTGCTTGTTTGCTGCAAGTCGATAGGCTGTCAACTTGGTATAGGCCGGTAGTAGTGCAAAGGCTGTCCAGACCAGGGTAACTACAAGTTTGGCGAGAGATCGAAGAGCGCTTCATTGTACTTAAGGTAGCCTTTAGAATCGAACGTATCAACCCGCCTTTTGCCATAGCTTGCTCTGCGTCTCGACTGCGGATAGGATGCCGAGCGTTATTTAACACAGTTCGCTCACTACCGAGGCTCACCGAGTCCAATGGCTGGAGGTTGGACTTATTCAGAGTTTAGGCCTGACTCTAAGGGGCTCGTCAACGCCACATGTACCGAGGTTATAGTAGCGCATCGCTAGAGTGTTATTAACTTGCGCAGGCCAGAGGGTGTTGATGCACTCTAGCTTGCACTCAACGCGTCTCCAGGAAAACGCGGAGCTTGTGAAATTCGTGGTCGTGTGCCGTTCTGTAGAACTTATGTACATAGCCTTCCCCATCCCCTCCTGAAGTCTATCCCGCCCTTTCCCACCTTTTCTTCTCTGTGTCCATCCGAGGTCCACCACGGATGGCATATATGAACTGCATGTGCTCAACGTCCCCACCATTTTTATCTCTCGTGTATAGGCTCTCCCCGATCTGAATTGACCTGCCCGAACCGAACCGAACCGAACCGGAAAGCTGCCCACTCGCTCTGCTGCACTCCCGCCTTCGCTACACAAACGATCCTCCCTGCTCGATTTGGGAATACAAAACGCTCTATTCTCTTTCTATTCGACTTTGTCAGATGCAACGTGCTCCAACACATTATTCTGATCTGCCATCTGCATCTCCGTGGTGCTCTACTCTCGTTGGCCTCCCCGCGTCTCTCACCTGGCGTCCAGCAAGGTCCCCAGATCGATTTTCCGATTTACGATTTATTTTTATTATTAAGCTCTTCGAGCGGAAGGGAGGAGCCAAACCCAATTACCCCAAAAGACAACAAAAAGCAGAGCCCCCGTGCTATACGCTAAGTCCCCCAATCCTCAACCCCAACATCAGCGGCCGAGTTGTACGACTCTTCCCACACCACAGCCATAACCGGGGATAGTACCAAACTATCCTCATCATACCCGCGGCCAGTTCCTCATACAACCCCAACCCCACACCTAATCACTTCACCACGCCGCCACGTCCACAAGTCACGATGGCATCACACGAGAACTTCAACATAAGCAACACCAGCGTCGACCGTCAGTCGATAAACAACATTGCCGCAGATACGCTGTTGTCCATCCATATCAACGGCCGCCAGACCATCATGGCCGACCCCTTCAGCGATTGGCTGCCGGCCAGATACTCCACCCCGGCGCCCTCCACCCAGCCATCAAGAGCCACCACGCCCAACGCGCCCCGACGACGCGGCAGGCAGCGGGCGGACTCGCGCTTCCAGGAGGAGTTCGAGGCCAACTCGTTCGCGCCACCGCACCCGCGGTTCCTCGACCAGGACCAGGAGCACCAGCACAGCAACAGCTCGTCCACGACGCTGGTTGGCTCCTATCTCGAGGACGCCCCTGCCGCCTCTGCCCCTACCTCTGCCCCTGCCTATGCCACTGCCCCTGCCTATGCCACTGCCCCTTCCCGTGCCGCTTACCCCTTCCTTGCTGCCACTACAACACCCACGTCATCGTCGCCGAGGGCTAATAGAGTCCGGTCGCTGGCGTCGGCATCGGTATCGCGGGAGACGTTCACGTCGTCGTACTCGTCGACGTCAGCGATGTTCGCAGCAGCGCGCCCCCTCCCACCTGTGCCGCTACCCTTTTCGTCGCCATCACCAGCCCCAACAGCCTGGCAGCCCACCCCGGCGCCCCGCCCACCGCCCCCCGAGTGCGTGGGCGTCCAATCCCAATCCCGATCCCGCTCCAGGGGCAGGGCGGGATTGGAGGTCCACGACACCGACAGGGGCCGCGGCCGCCGGCAGCGCGACGGCTCGCCCACGTTCCACCGCAGGACGTCGGACGAGATCGAGCTGACGCGGTGCCGCGGCCCGGACGCCGGCCAGATGTGGGTCTTCAAGCAGAAGCCCGGCATCTTCCGCACCACGAAGGTGTCGTGGACGCGGAGAGAAACCTATGTCGTCGACGGCTTCCTCGTCTCGAACGGAAACCCAAACGCAAACGCGAGCTCGAGCGCGAGAGAGAATGCGGACGTGGAGGCGGACGAGGGGTCCCGCGGCCGCAAGCGCAAGCGAGACGGCAGCATCGAATCGACGATGCTGGCGTCGCCCGCATCACGCAACATAATCAAGCGTGCGTACAAGCGCTGTAAGCGCGGCATCAGGACCTTCTTGCGGTTGCCGTGGGGGGACAGGACCGCAAGAGAGAGACGCGACGTTGGCGATGACAGAGGCGGGGGCGGCGGCGAGCAGGGGGAGCGCGGGCATGATGACTCGGGCGTCGCGATGGCCGCTGCCGTAGCTGGGGTGGAGCAGGCGGAGGAGGAGGGTCCGTCGGGCGAGCTCAAGTGGTACGTATAGAAACATCCCTATTCTAGACCCCAAGTCCCTCCCCGGTTCTGGAATACATTTAAACCTTCTGCTAACTTCTCGGCAGTAAGTAATCCTGCTAGGTGATTCCAAAAACACAGGGTACGGTAACTGACCAGGGACATTTTCATACACCAGATGCCGAGGGCGAGTTCGAGGCCGTGCTGGCGGTGCATGCGATGCCGACGGCGCGGGCTGCCGAGGAGGAGGGTCGGGGAGAGGAGCCTCGAGACGGACAGGATAGCGCCGCGGCGGCGAGCGGCCAGGCTACTCCCAGCGGCAATGCCATATCTGAGGATGAGTTGCCGCCCTTGTTGAGAGGGCTTCCATCGGGACAATGGTTCAGCGGTCGAATCTGAGCACTGGCAGCTGCGCCCGAGGTGTATGCAAGTGGGATTTGGGTAATGTGGGGTTTGAAGGTTGCATTGAAGTATATAAGGTATCGAAGCAGACCTTGTACTAGGTGCTCTTGACAAAGATAATAGTAATCTAATAACCCCCTTGGGCGTGAGAGGTGGCCGCTTCAGAAGACGCCTCCGCCTAGAATAAATAGCCGTTCTTCCTCGCGCTTTGCCCACTGGATGACTTTGTTGGCTCCCTGTGTCATGACGGCACGAGACGCGTTAGGTCCGGCCACGCAGTAGAACTCAAAGATGGGCGTCACCCACGCGAGCGACGTCGTGTCTTCGTTGACGCAGTGCAGTATCTTCAGATGAGAGTGTCGGGCGTGTACGGTCGCGTGCAGATTGGCGTAGAGTGACATGAGCCTGCGGCGCGACACGAGGCTAGCAAACGCTGGTTGCAGGGACGGCATGCAGAACTGGACGTTGGCTTTCGACTTGAACAGGAAGTGGCTGATATACGTCCCTGGTGCGATCTCATTGATGGGCGAACGTCCCTTATGTGCCGCCGTCCTGATGATGTTCAAGAGCCCCTTCTTCTTCAGTTCCGTCACAACGTCGTCTCGCATCTGCTGGAGGGCGAAGAAGCTCTCCTTGTCCGGACTAACGAGAATGAGAGCAATTTCTTCCCCTGCGGCAGTGGGGTCTGAGCCAGTTTCCGTTGGCTGTCTATCCAGGAAACTCACATACATGTAGAGGTAGCCACGGTTGTTGAAGGCTGGGAGGCAGAGAGGTATCCAGTTCTCGCCCCCTCCAGATTTGATACCTCCCGACTCGAAGAGCATGTTAAATATCAGCTGCAAGTCACTTGGGTGAAGAGAGTGCCTGCGCGGCCTGATAACGCTCACGAGCTTCCCACCAGCCACAATCAAGCCGTAGAGTATGTTTTCAGCTCTAGCCTTGAGGAAAGCATTGTTGATAGAGTGCCGTTGAGATTTCCTCAACTTCAGACACTCCAAGGCTCCAAGGAGAGCAGATGGCGAGCCCTTGGTGAAGCTATCAGCGAGCGACGAAAGCAAGGACTCTGTGCCTTGCAGAGGCCTCCGGAGATCGCTTGACGGGCGGTTTGCGAAGATGCTTGTCAAGGTTGGTAGTGTCAAGGTGGACAGGATCTGCATATAAAGTGCGTCGAGTTGAGCCCTTAGCTGAGAGTCGCTTTCACCAAGACTACTTATGGCTACGAGGTAGAGAGGGCCTTCTGTGGCAATGACGAAACGCGTGTCTCCTGCAGTGAACCCGAGCAGCCGGTTCTTGGCGCCTTCGTAGAACGAGATGATAGTCTGAACCACACCCATCGACGAGTTGATTAGGCCCAGATCCCCATGTCTGCTATAAATCGGCTTGCCAGCCGATGACAAGATCATGTAGTGTTTTAGCTTGGACTTCCAGAGCTGCAGCCTGTCTTCGTCATTCCAGGGCTTCCCAGGCTCGTCCGGGATGTCTTCAAATTCATGTTCGAAGTCGGCGAAAGCTCCACTCGACTCAGCCCGAGCTTTCTCGAAGGGCTGCACGGTGGAGGACTGTGAGCGCAGAAGCATCCATGCTGGACTCTTCCTGCCCATGTCTCCTACCAGTAGGCTCTCGAGGTCACCCGTGGGTCGCGTAGTTGGCGCATAGCTCATGACGCTCATAGCCTCGTCTACATCGTTTGGCCTGGCATTTCCAGCAGCACTCAGACCCATACTGGATAGGCTTTGTTCTGCCTCGGTGGAGGACTGGCCTTCGGAAGCGGCCGTGGTGGTTTCGGCGGGAGTCGAGAAGGAACCGCGCGAGCCATCGGGAAAGGACTGGGTCTGTATGTTCATGGACGAGAGCGCGGTTGTTGCTTTCGATTGCAGTTGAGGTCTCCCATTCGCCCTGGTCTGAGACGGTCTGGGGGGCAGAGGCGGAGGTCGCTCTTCGCCGCCGTCGGAGGGCTCGGAAGAGCCAGCGTCTTCGTTGCCCATGGTATGTCGTACGCGCTCGGTGTCTGTATCATCCTTCTCGCGATGTACGAGTGTCTAACCTTACAGAGGTGGTGATTTCGTATGTTCTCGTTTGGTGATAATCAGCGCATAGACAGGCATGTTCCATTGGAATTCGGGGGGATTTCGTTAGCAGCCGAGGGCGCTTTGGGCTACGCTTACAGGGACCTTGGCCCACTTGGGGCTCCATTCAGGGCTGCGGCTGCTTGCCTCCATAAAATGCAGTAACCTCCCTCAAACGACGCCCCTGCGAGGCGTCGGGTGGTGTGCCCCTACGGGGCACTTAGGCTCGCGTTATATTTTAAGTACTAGCTAAGTTAAAATTAGCAGTATAAGTACTTTTTCGCAGCCGATTAAAAAAAGAGACTATAAGACTTTTCTTTAAAAATGGCTTTAAATATATTTATTATTATATAAATTAAGATTTGTCAGATGTTAGATCCCAAATATAGTGCCTTTAGGTGCAGTACCCACTAGGGGGCTGTCAAGGGAACAGTGGATCCACCCTGGCATGGTGCAGTATGGTATTTAGCTGTAGATTAGCCCTGCCAAGCATACTTGAGAATGACAACAATATTTGCAGCGACCGCTCACACCCCCAAGGCTTGTGACCCTTCTGGAATCTCACATTTATTAAAAAGTTATAAAAAAGGAGCTAAGATATTAAAGTATATAACTTCTAATAAAATGTTTTATAATAAGGCTATAGAATTATATTGTTTTACTTAAAAGTGTTTTAATTAATATTCATAATTATATTATTTATTTTAAAAAACTAGGCACGGATAGCTAGACCCAAAAAACGAAATCGTTGGCTTAATGTTTCACGCTTTAATTTATTTATTAATATTTCAAAATAAATATTTACATATAAAGCTTTTAAAGATAAACAACTCTAAATATTTATAATATAACTTATATTTACGTTTGCGATTTTATTTATTTACAGTTTATTTTAAACTTGTAATATCAATCGAAAAAAAAGCACAGTTGGATATATAAAAAAACCGAATCGACTTAATTAAAGTAAAATTGTTATTACGGTTTTAATTACAAACTTTATGCTTTATATTTTAGATATAAATTTTAAAGAAAGAAGAACAATATTTAATTTTAAACTAAATACGAGTTATACCATTATATATTAAGCGTGTTATAATATCTTAAAGATTGCTAAAAACTGTTATTAAATTATATAAGTACTATTTAATAATTAACGGTTGTACATAACGTACTTATCGATATATATTTCTTAAACTGCTAAGCAGCTTATTACTTTAAAATTAATAAAATCCTTTAAAAAAGGTAGTCTCGAAGGGACCCTTCTTTGATACTTCTTGATACTTACTTACAGGCCGTCTAGTGGGCTGAGCTTTTCTTAGGTAAGCGGCTGCGACGAAAGTACGTACCTCCTAGCCTACAACTTTAGCTCGCAGGGTGTGGGGTGCCGTACCTTAATTCATGATTAGTTGCATCGTGTCTTCCAAGCTTCCCTACCAAGACAGCAACGCGAATCGGCAAACACATGCGCCCGGCGGAAGAGATGAGCTTCGACTTGTCCAGCTCCGTCCAACGAGACCCTATGGTCCTACGAACAGTCCCTCCTTAGAATCTGCCACGGCCACCATGGCGCTCGAGCCCGGTCCTCGCCGTTCTATGTCCCCAGTCGAGAGCTCTGGCCGGAATACTCCAACACCACGACAGTGGAGGAACCAACTCAGCGCAGGTATATAGTCTACCCAGCACCTCCTAATTCCTCAGCGCATACTGATCGATACCCCAATCAGAGGATACTCCCATCAAAGACAAGCACTACCGAAAATATGCGTCGGGCGTCGAGCGAACCCTGTCGCTTTTCGATACGGCTCTGGAGGAATGGGCAGACTACATCTCCTTTCTGAGCCGGTTGCTCAAGGTCCGTGACCCCCCGCGTTCTCACTTCACGTAACGAGGGTTCTAATGCGGCTCGGATCGACAGGCTTTACAAGCACGACAGGGTAGCATCACGAGCGTCCCTTCGAAAGCTTTGGTCGCAAAGCGTCTCTCACAATGCCTCAACCCGTCACTCCCTTCCGGCGTACATCAGAAAGCGCTGGAGGTCTATAACTATGTATTCTCAATTATAGGGAAGGATGGCTTGTCCAAGGACCTCCCGTTATACCTGCCAGGCTTGGCTTCCACTCTTTCATTCGCGTCGTTGACCGTCCGCGCCCCGTTCCTCGACCTCCTAGAGAAAAACCTCTTGCAAGTAGACCCGAAGTCTTTACGGCCAGCAATGAAGTCTATTGTTCTGGCACTTCTGCCGGCGCTAGAGGAGGAAACGAGCGAGGACTTTGACCGCACCATGAGACTGATGGAGAACTTCAAGGCGGCAATCCGGCCGCCAAATAGCAAGCATCTTACTAAGACGGACTCGACTGGTGACGACTTCTTTTGGCAGTGCTTTTTCTTGGCTGCTATCACAAGTCAAAGTAGACGGCCTGGTGCCCTGGCATATCTGGTTCGGAACCTACCGAGGCTGGGCCATCCCCTTGCCGCCGATCTAACGTCGAGTAAGACCGAGGAGGCGGACCTCGACGGCTTATCTACTGAGCTGTCGAGCCTTGTGACTTCTCCAGAGCCCGGCTTGCTCCTGAGGTGCTTTGCTGCTGGTCTCGAAGATGAACAGATTCTCATCCAGCGAGGCTTCCTGGATCTTCTCGTCACTCATCTTCCGCTGCATTCCAAGGTGCTACAGACAAGGGTCAAGCCTGACGATTTGGAGCTCCTCCTTCGTGCCGCTGCCGGCGTTATTACCCGAAGAGACATGAGTCTCAATCGGCGGCTTTGGGCATGGTTTCTTGGGCCAGAGCCCCCTAGCCAAGACCACGAGAACGGCATGGATTCCCCTGCTTCGCCTTCTGATCATCAACAAGGCTACTTTGCTTCCAAGACAAGCTACTTCGAGGAGTATGGGTTACAGCCGCTCACCCACGCTCTATTATCTCTCATTAACTCTGTACATGAAAGCAATGCTGCAGAGAGGGCCCGGCCATACCGGATATGCTTATCTCTCATGGATAGATGGGAGATTGGGGGACTGGTAGTCCCCGAAATCTTTCTTCCTGTCATCATCAGCGTCAGAAACTTCAAATCCAGAGCTCCCGGTAACGCCGAGTTCGGCGAAGTACTGAAAAGCGCGAGGGTGTTCTTCGACGGTGTTGAGAGTGGCCTCATATACGGTGAACTAATAGGCCTCATGGCCCAGGCTATCGGTCCAGGGCCCGTCTCTGACTCTGAACGTTTGGAGAAGATAGCACTCGTCCAGTTTATAATGGCTCATTTCAACATACGAGAGGAAGAGATGGTGACGCTCCACGCTCCTCTCGCGGCATTGTCTATTCTTGCAATGCTAGAGGATGTCAGGGAACGTAATGGGTCAACAATGAAGCTTGAGGACGGAAACGCTCCTCTCCTATCCATGGCACTTGAGGTTGCGCTGCAACTGATCGAGCTAATCCCGGAACGAGCTTTCCCAACCAAGTCAGGGGAGCGGGACTCAATTGGGTCGATTCAGGGGCCAATCCTAGCATCTATGCCAAACAGTGAGTTGCTCAAAAAGATCAGGCACTTCTATGTCACCAATCAAGGGAACCTCGAGGCTGCCCAAATCCCCTTCTCTGCTCAGAACGTTGGTGCTCTTCTTGTCCAGAAAGCGTGCAACTTGACTTGCGACAGCTTTGCATCCTCCGCTCGCACGGTAACGATGTCTAGCAGAAGCCAAGTTCTTGCTCTTCTGCTATCGAAAACCCCCTCCGAGTATGCTCTGGACACAGACAGACTTCTCTCCTCAATGCAGGCACGTCTGTCAACATCTAGTACCCCTTTCGTCTCCTTCAAATCCATGCTCTCTCTCTCAACACAACTCTATATGGCCGATCGTATATCGACGGGCGCCATGTCGAAATTGGTCGAGCCTCTAGTCCGTCATGCGTGGAGTTTTTTGTCTTCGTCCGAACCGAAGTATCACGTCGAGACAGTCAGGTGCCTGTGGCAATTACAAACGGCTCTCACATTCACGAACCGCGACATTGAAGCTGTCATTGCTGATCTTATGCTCAGAGGCGATACAGCAGGCACATACGCAAATCGGCCGGCCGATCCTGGCCGAAGTTTCAGTATCCTATGGTCTCACACTTTGCAAGATAATCCTTCATATTCCGATCGGAGAGCTCCGAAGACGCCTATGGGTGAAATAAAATTACCATATCGGCTTCCAGGCATGGATTATTATGAAGTGATGCTTACCAGGCCCCTATTTCTGATGCTCGATGCACTGCTGGACGAACGAACTCAACTATTCATGGTGGCCAAGAATTGGCTCAATAGCATGGTTGGTATAGAGAAGTATGTATACTTCTTCAGCACAGGTCATTGGCCCGATTTGCTAACGTGACATGCAGGCTCTTTCTGGTCTTTGTGACCAAGCTCTCGCAACTGCGGTTTCTCCGGACCCTACCTAAGACTATGAGCTCTGCGTCGACGCAGTCCATCGGCTACTCGGCAGAAGACGACCTCGATGTAGGGCTATATTATATTCGTACCCTTTCAAACCTGTTTCGGTGGGCTCCAGATGCTTTTTGGGGAGTCCTTGCGACAAGAATGATCGAGGAACCAGAACAAAGTCTTACAGAGATCAGTGAGTCCATGGCTGTAATTGGGAAGAGAACGAAGCTGACACTGATTAGCTGGAACCGAGGGCGACTTGTCTCTCCAGGAGTTTTTCCTCCATGTGTGTATGCGCTGCATAGCTGGAAATAAGTTCCCGACCGATACCCAAGTGCAGCTTCGAACAGCCCAGCTTCAACGCTGCGCATTGACCTTGTTGCACCAAATACTTCTGAATCCGTACGCTGAAGCGCTGTCAAAACTCAAACTCGAAGGCCCCTTGATCGACAGGCTGTCTCAATCGCTCGAGAGTCCCGATCCCTACATGCAGGTTCTCCTGTTGGATGTGGTTTTTGCCTCGCTTAGACTACGAGACGCATCTCCCGCAGAGCTGCCGTCATCTCCAGTAGGAGAAAAGCGGTCCTTGCATCGCCCGTCTGGTAGTCGGCGGTTGACTTCTGCCTCCGTTGAACACATTGTAGACATCACGGCACCGCCGGCTTCGCTACTTAAGTGTATTCAATCGGGTCTCAGCTCTCCTAGTAGCCGCCCCGTACTGGATAGCTGGGTAGGATTCCTTACCGAATGCCTCCCTTTGTACTCCGGCTCCATTTTTCAAGTGCTTATACCTCTGGTTGAGACGCTCTGCAGCCAAGTCGGTAGTACCTTTAGCGACCTACAAAATACGTTCAAGCAGGATGGGAAACCATCCCCTACTACCAATGCCCCCGAATCGACATTGATATCGTTACTCAACGCCCTGGAACAAGTACTTGCAAAGGCACATGATCAGTTGATAGCTGAAGAGGCCAGAGCGCAGGTGGTGAAGAGCCCCGACCAACCCCAAGGGTTCTTTGGCAATATGGTATCAGGGGTGTTCAACTCAGAGGCTCCACAATCTCGCAGCGCGACTGCAAACGACCGACTTACCGTCCTTCTTGCCTTCCAAGACGCGGTTCGAATGTGCTTCAGAATTTGGTCTTGGGGTCAGGGAAGCGACGCGGGCAATTTGGATATCGCCTCGGCTGCTTCGTTCAACTATACATCACTTCGCATGCGCAACCGTGCTAGGCGCCTGCTCGAACACGTGTTTGCTGCCGAGGCGTTGGAGTGTCTTGAGACAGTCATAGGCATCTGGCGGACATCATCAAGCAGCGCGGACACGGCCAAGCATTCAGAGGTTTTCAATCTTCTACCTGCCCTGGACGGTTCTCGGCCACGACACACGATTCCGGCTATTTTCAACGCTATATACAGCCGTACCAACCCTGGTGCCCTTGATCCGTCCAGGAAGTCGACAATGACCATATCTTTACAAGACACCGACCTGGTGATCTTCTTGGTCGACTATGCTCGGTCACTTGAAGATGACGCGATGGATGAGATATGGCAAGACTGCATGATCTTCCTGAAAGACCTCCTTGGAAACCCATTTCCGCACAGGCAAACGCTACCTAGTCTCTTGGAATTTGCTGCCATCTTAGGTGAAAAGGTGGACAACACGAACTTTGGAGAGCAACGGAAAATGCGAAGGGAGCTCAGCGTGAGTCGAATGACGTGACCATACCTAGGCAGTTTACTAACACGGCACAGGAACTATTCCTCAGACTCCTCACTGCTCTCTTTACAACGAGACCAGCCGCGTTTGCCGATTCCACATCAGCCTCTCAGTCAGAAACGACGAAACTTGACGCCCCGGGATCTAGGAGCCCCGCTGAGAGAGCAGATGACGTTGTGGGGATCTTGTCTGGAATCGTCCCAGTCCTACCAAAGGTTCTGGTAGAATCAGACCGAGTCTTGACAGCGGCCCAAGCTATCTCAGCGAACGTCATCGGGCCAGCTATTCGCTCGAAAGGCTTTCCCGACACTATCACTAAGAGCACGTTGAGTCTACTCCGGGAGCTCACCCGCTTACCCAGCAACCAGAAGACGTGGAAGAAGGATATAGGGGACGCGTTCAACGAGCCGAGGTTCTTCAATTCGTCTGTTGCCCTTGTGCAGAGCGGTTGGCTACCTCTACTGAAGCTCTGGACAGTAACCGACAAGGATCGGATGTCAGAAGTACTGAGCCGGATATCGCCACCTACAACCGCCGGTATAGTCTTTGGGGTAGGGGCTACTTCTGCTAGACTCGAGGCCGACCGCAGGACACAACTGAATCTCCGCCGTGTTGCAGCTCTGATTCTGGCGTGCGGGACAGATACCTTTGTCACAGACCTACCTACGATTATGGAACGCATAGTCGACCTTCTAGCATCAACCTCGACGTCGTCGCCTTCTTCTACTACACGAGCTGACATTTACATGGTGATCCGCGCCCTTGTGCTACGGACATCCACGATCCACCTATCGGGGCTGTGGCCAATTGTCAACGCTGAGCTCCACACGGCCATATCTTCAGTTGCGGCACCTGATAACAGCGCTGGATCCGACACATTCAATAACATATCCATACTTCAGGCGTGCAAGCTCCTAGACGTCCTAATCGCCGTGGCGCCCGATGACTTCCAGCTGCACGAGTGGCTCTTTGTCACGGATACCGTCGACGCCATCTACCGCTCCCCCAACTACCAGCCCGTCGCGCTTGTCGACGAGCTTTCGGATGAACTGGGCAACACGGCCATAACATCGGCACTGCCACAAGAGTCGGCAGCAATGATGGCGGCGGGCGGTGCATCAGGACAGCGGCGGCCGCTTCTCGGGCCGTGGGGCATCAACGACGAGCTGGCGGTCGACAGGAAGGATGAGCTCGTGGCCAAGATCCTGCGGCCCTTCTTCGGGCAGCTCAGCATCTACGCGTTCGAGTCCACGTACGCTATGGGCGCCGTGGACATCGAGGGCTGCGTGTCGAGCCTGCTGAAAGACTTGTTCGACGAGAAGAGCATTGTCAAGGCGCTGTGAGCTATTGTATGAAAATTGACCTTGTACTCAGTAACTGGGATCGGTTGCCCGGTGGGGTTTTGGAGTTATTAGGTAGTATAGCTATGAGAATATCAATTACCTACCATCAGATCCGGTTCGCTCAGAAGCAACAAATCACATGGCGATACAGAGAGGAAGTGAACAAGCTGACCGATTAGGTAATTGCTCTGCGCCCACTTCTCCCCACTGAGGTCCGCTCGTCTCTTGGTAAGACCCACTATTTCCCCCGATCTTCCCGACAACAACGGGTTTCTCTAACGGGGTGGACGGGACAATCACTATTATCCAATTCTCCACCGTCTCGGTGCCTACTATATTGAAGCCCAGCTCGACATCTTTTGGCCTCTCGACACCTTGCTACTCGAAGATATTGACCAGGGCAGCACGCAGCCGAACGTCTCACTCCCAAGACGCCTCTTGACGCGGTTCACGGCAATAACTCAGCAACCGACGCCGCAACTGCATCATCTGCATAATCGGCGCTGACCGCTGCTGGGCTGCACTCTGCACCGGGCTGTGCTGGGCTGTTGCTGGCTTGAAACTTGAAACGCGGCATTGCACTGCAGTTGGCGCACCCAACACACAGGGGTCGGTTTTATGGACGGATTCCAAATACATCCAATACCTCATACAGGTAGTTGGTCCTTCTTGGATTGGGCTCGGCAATACCATCGAAACGCCTCCTTGTCACCGCTACCGCGTAGCTGTCCCGCCCCGTTCCGTCCTGCCGGTACCTACCTAGAACTGCGAGATGGCCGACTCGCAGGGCGGCGAAGGTGACGACCCACGGCCGTCGTTCAAGGGCTACTGGCAGCGCTTCAAGGAGAAAGCCGCCGGCAAGAACCTCAAGTTCGTGCCTAGCAAAGATGCCGAGGACCCGGACACGGCCTCTGCGCAAAGCAAGACCCAAGCAAGACGGGCCCAAGTCAGGAAGGCACAGATCCAGCATCGCCAGCGCAAGGCCAACTACACCAAAGAGCTGGAAATGGACATCGCAAGACTGCGAGAGAATATAGAAAAGGACGAGCAGGAGAAACTCACGCTGAAGGCCGACAACGACACTATTCGACAACATCTAGCTCACAGAAGCAGTAGTATCAGCCTGCTTGGCTCTACAGCCTTCAGTCTCGCACCCCCGACAGCTGTGACCGCGTACTCTTCCGCTCAGCAGTTTCCGGCGTACCATGTCAGTCTCGACATATCTGATTTCATGAACACGCCTACATTCCAGGTCGCGAGAAGCTCCATGCCGTCCTCCCACACGGGTATAGGCAGCGGGACTTTAGGCACACAGGCACCAGAGGATCTATTCGCCGCCACCGTCGCCTCATCCTCGTCATCAGTATCTCTACCGACAGGCGGTGGCGGTGCGAGTATGGCACCGCCGATGGCAGGAATATCATCTTTATCGGAGGCGCAGACAGATCAGGCGATCAACTTCATCCTAGCGTATGCCACCTACTTTGACAGCGAGTCCTACCATCTATCACCACTCATCGTCAGATGGCGGGCGCAGCACCACTCTCATTCTCACTCTCAGTATCCTACCCACTCTTGCTTCAACCCTTACTACTTACAAGACGTACTACTATTATACAAAACCCCTTGCAGAAGCAGAGACACGCTGAAAGCTCATTGACTAACTTCTCCACCCCCTATTTGCTCCAAATATAGTCTCGAACACATCTGCTGGGACCACTTCGACGCCTCGCACTACACGCACGCAGACTACGACGCGACGGCCGATGAGAACGGCCACATGCTCATGGCCTCGTCGATAGCGCTGCAAGACGCACCGACCGACGTCTTCGAGCGGATCGACGCGGTGCAGCAGCGTTTACGCGCGACCCACGTCGACGGCCCCCCAAAAATCACGAGGAGGCAGAATGACGGCATTCACACTACCACCACCACCACCAGCGACATCTCATGGCAGACGACAAGCTGCGCCCTGACGCTTGAAAACCTCCACGACCTGGCCTCGACGCTGAACCCGCCCGACAGGGAGCTCGCGCCCGTGCAGGCCTGGTTCGAGATCGCGCGGCTGTACGGGCTGCACGTGGCCGTCGACGCGCCTCTCATGGACGCCGTCAAGCGCGCTTTTGCGGGCGTCGTCAAGTGCCTGGATTTTGGGGCCGTTATCGAGCGGGATGCGTTTGAGAGTGTGCTGAGGCGCGTGATTGGGCTGCCTGCTAGGGCGGTGGTGGGTGAGGATGAGGATGATGGACAGGCCGTTGCAGGGTGACGTGAATGATAGAAAGAGAGGAATAGATGGGCCCTACGAATCTGCTTGCGGAGGCGGCGGGAGAGCCGCTGAGGGATGAAACGAATAAACCTGTAAGTCTGGCTCTTGTGGAACGGCTGATCTCGAGTCACAGTGATACACGCCTTGCTACGTCTCAGAGATCGACTTGATTCGCTGGGTTCGCTTGGAATAGCAAAGTGTTGGGGGCGATTATTCAGGGGCAAAGTCACTTCACGAGGTGGGAGTCCGCCGCGGAAGCTGGCGGTGATGACCCGACTCGGAGTCGGGGCCTGTGAGAATAGGGTTCGTGCGCAGGCGAGCAGGGGATATCATACCAAGGCCGGCTACAGATCCCGCATGGCTGTTGGGTCACTCAGCTCAGGGGTGTAGATACGTCAGGTGGGGAGTTCAGCGAGATGAAGGCGTTCGTCCTATCTGCTGGTGATACGGCTGGTGCCACTAAATACCATCTCCCTGTGGCGTGTAGGGGTCTCGATTAGGGCCCAAGGTACACCTACGTGCTATTTCAGGTCCTCAAATAATTCACATACTTACATCACACATCACATGTTGAGAACACGAGATTTGGCCCAAGCCCGAAGTGGCTCACGATCCACGGAATACCGATATATTTGTCTACGCTAGAATTCACATGCTGATGAGACTGTGACCGCCAGCTACATACCTGTTGCCTGTCTGCTATAAGCCAGGCCTTAATACGTGGCGTACGTTATATAGACGATGGGACATTAATTAGGTAGGGGATTGCCTCCAACTATAATTCCTCAAGAATATAACAGTTCATCTGATCCCTTGTCCGGTTCAAATATGTTCGTAGGCAAGACAACAGTCAGCAATCTCCGTACATTTTACGTACACAGCGGCCTATCAAGTCCCGGCAGAGAAGCGGAAGCGGAGTCAACAGTAAACGTCCCCGAAGCATGGCCGGTCCCACCAGTCGAAACCTACCTATATCTCCAGAACCTGTGCATGATAGTGCGATATGGTACATGAGGTGATACCCACCTCAACGCGTTCTAATGCCCGGACACATCTGCAGTGAGAGGATACCATCGTCCGGATCAGGAAGCGGGTCGTTCAGGGGTTAAGGGGTAAGCGGGGGACAAGGCCTTGTGAGTCGTACCTCGTACGAACGCATACGTACCAACGAGAGCCAAAAGCTGATACATGCCGACATCACACGCCTGCATGCTGATTAAGGGCCCGTCGAGGAATAGGTAAAGAACTCCACGTCCCGATCAAGGTGTTGGTTGTAGGGAGCCGCAGCTGCATGTCAAATCTTCAACTCCCGCATGTGCGACGCCGCGCTTGATACTTAAAGTAATCAGGTATAGCCTGACACTATTGCATGGTCAGGTTTGAAATCATGCTCGAATTTGCCATGCCGGCTACCTCTGAAGGGATACCATTCCTAGCTCTAACTCCCCTACCAATACAGTCCCTTTTTGACCAGTCCTTTTTACGCAAACGCCGGTTCCATGCAAATCCGTGTCATCATGTCTCGTCCTAGTCTGCCCCAACATCCTCGTCCGTCTCCGTGTCCTCGTCGACTTCCTCGTCTTCTTCATCAGCTTCGTCCTCGTCGCTGTCATCCTCGTGTTCATCCGTTAGCCCCGGTATGGGACGCCATTGTATGTAATCCTGCTCCACCCAACGCTTACTGTTCGGCAGCTGGTAGGGGTCGAAGGGAAAGTAGGAGCTGAGCTGCTGCCAGCTCTCGTCATTCACGTCGAATGACATGTCTCGCAATCCGCCGCCATTCGAGTACGCACCCACCGAAAACTGTGACAGGCGAACCCGCTTGTTTTCTTCCATCTTTGGATAGACGTAAATGAAGTTGAAACGATGGGCGAGCAGCGCAAACTGTTCGGTGATGCTCGGTGAGCAGACCTTGAGTGGGTTCAGTTTGGAGTAGATGTTGCGTCTCATGATATCTTTGATCTCCGGTTCCCACTCGATATCCTGACCAAGATACGATGATACGTCATCTGTGTCCACATCGTCCGGAACAGATTTGATCAGGTGTTGCCATCTGAAGCAAAATATGTACATCAAGGCTTGCATCGATGAATAGAACGGTGCGTATCGACGGACGTCAGGCCCCCGGCATGAAGTTTCGTAGGTCGCGCGCATACCATCTAGACGGTCGCCCAAGACTTGGAATATCTTCAACACTGTGTGACCCGGAACGCGGGCTCCCCGCGCGACAAAGCTAGCAAGGTAGGCCGAGGCCGCCTGTCGCAAAACGGCTGGCCGTTGCGAATCGTCAACAATATGAATGCATGTGCCACAGAACGCATCCACAAGTCTCTCGGACCGCTGGCCGAAATGAAAAACGAGAAATTGCGAGTGCCGCGACTTGATCGTGGGTAGGATGAGGTAGGAGAAATCGGATAAAAGGTCCTCAAACACCTTCATCGCTTCTTGGGAATCGGGGTCGGCAAAGCTCGGCGTATAGAGATCAAAGAGGGTATCTAAGACCCAGTCCATCTTCTCAATGTTGTCCTTCGTCGTTTTCACACGACTGTACTCGTCGTCCTCCGATTCCTCACTGGATACCGACTCGTTATCGCTATCGTCCGAATCTTCGTCTTGGTTTCCGTTGACCTGCGAGGACTTGAGAGCCATTCCGACCATAGCACTAAGCCTGTCGTCCATATCTTCCAGATCCATCTGCATCTCCACATCGATCTTGACCAGTCGGCTGGTGATTAGACCCATGATTTCAATCCGTAACAAGGGGCTGTACTTGCGTAGTCGGAGGAGATTGTCGACATAAGCGATATGCATTCTTTTAGACTCGTCATGAAAAGGGTACTTGCTGCTGAGCTGGGACATCAGAACGATTGTAGCAGCAGGGCAAAGCTGTAGGATGTATCGCAGGGCTGCATGGAGCCTCTCTTGCGCCACCTTACGTTCAACCATCGGAAAGTTGGCTACAGCCCAGTCAGAGGGCCGTGAGGCGGAGAACTTGCTGACAATCATGGAAAGTACTTGGGTTAGACGGCCTCCCTGGGCGCTGACGAGCGAAGCCAAGAATTGGATGTAGATATTCGCAAACTGGTCATCCCGGCCAAGCCATTGACATTGCAGTACGCTCCTGACGAGGCCGTCACACGATCGTCCCATGCGGGGTGTGAAACTCAGAAGAGCAACCAGGTAGCCCTTAAGTTCCTGCCGCTGCCTTGCTGGGACTGTTGGATTGAGGTCCTCGTCGTCCTCGTCGTAGAAGGGTTGCTTGCCGCCGAGAGTCTCCTTCAGCATGTCGTACTCTTCATCGTCGCCTCGTTCATGCCGATCCAGCGCCTTTTTAACCTCCTGCTTGATTTCTTCGAATGACCTCGCACCGATCTCGTGAACCTCAATGTTGTTCATGTCGAACTCTACCCGCTGACGCTTTCGTGGGCTCTGGGGACCGTCCATGTTGGTGCCATCGTCGAGCTCAGCATCATCGCTAGATCTTCTGATACCGAGTAAAGAAGATGACGACTTCAGTATGGGCTTCAAGGGCGTGCTTTTCACGACTCGAGCGAGTTGCGTGGTGGTCGAAGTGGCGGGCGGCATCGAGGTGTTGTACAGCACCGTGCTGTCACCTAACGGATAGTCGATCAAACAAGGTCAGCCTTTTAGTCGATCGCTGGCGATCATCTATGTATGCAGATCGAAGGAGATTCTTGTAAGGAGTGAGGTAACATGTCTCGGTTTCGCTGGGCAAGTAAGTATGAGGCAGTGGTGTTGTCGAGGGTGTTGTCGAGGGTGTGGGCGAGGCTGCAGAGAACTGCGGATCACAGAATTCGAAAAGTGAGAAGGGGTCCTAAAGATGGCGGGGCACTAGCCAAACTTTCTGCTGGCTCGTGCACGCGCGCGTTAATTGGTAATGGTGTGCCTTTTGGTAGCTTTTCCAGATGCTGACAAATCACAAGTCTTGTTGTAATCTATCAGTGGTCTGGGTGGTGCTTGATTAAAAGGTCGGATGGAAAGGATTCCATCCGAGATGTATCAAAATACCTAAATTACAGTGGTGAGGTACCTGGGGCAACAAAGGGTTGCCAGGCAGCCTTCATCAGGTAACCTCCAACATATCTGGTGGGGTTACCAGAATACTCCATATGGGTCCATGCACTGGATCCACAATGGGCACTGTATGTGCCTAGCAGATATCCCGATACAGAGCTACATGGGTTAAAACGATACAGTTCCTAAACGCGGGAAGGATACTCTAACAACCTTGGAAGTTCTCAATGACAGGACAGCTTCACGACCTGCAATGAAAAGAAATATCAACTGGGAAACAAGCTCCATACTCTATGAGGTAGACATCGTAGCGCAGTATCCCGGGTTTTGCCAGCAACAATTATTTTACTGGCGTTTTGATCGCAAAGTAGGTAGGTTGCTGCCAGAGACTGTAAGCAGACCAAGTGACTAATCAGACAGTGAACCCTAGGTATAAATTCATTGGTCACCAGAATCAGGCATTTCCTCTGCCTATGTGGGCAAACTGGCCATTAATGGGGCTGGGTGCAGGGGCTATCACCACAACGTCCTAGAGTCACTGTGGGAAAGGTGCGACGCTGTTTGACGTAATGAAATGGTTGGTGCTATATAGCAAGTGATGCTACAGACACTGGGCTGTTCTCCTGTGTCATGAAGCGGGAATACTGCCGAACTAAAGCTGGCGCTGAGTCTCAAGGCCGATCTTGAGAAACGCAGGGGACCGAAGAGGAAACGCCCGGGGGAATCTATCGAAGATCAGAAGAGCAGACCCCTCCGTGGCCTTCTTCCATCGCCATCCAGAAGAAAAGTCCATCATGTACAAGCAGTGCTGTCCTATCCACTGATCTTTCCGGCTCATCACCAGTGGCGCACCGATATCCGAGCCTTTGCAATCCTATAGTCATACAAACTCGAGGGTAGTATAAACCAGCCGACAATCCCGAGTTTCTGAGAAAACGAGGCGTGACAGCATCCGAACCATCATGTATGTCGTGGCCGTAAGGAGGACGCTTAGCGCGAGACTTAATAGGTTTCGCCCGCCGCGCCGCCGTTGTGGCCCTGGGAATACATGTAGCCTTCGCCTGATTCGCCCATGCCGCCAGCTCCGTCTCCTCCTTGGAAACCCGAGGAGCCGGCGCCACCAGAGCCGCCAGGGGCAGCTCCGTAACCTTGGCTGCTGGGCCTGCCCTGTTGGTTCTCGCCCCTGTTGGACTGGGACTGCTGATGGTTGGTCAGCGTTGGTCACTCTGGCGCCCTGCCCTTCGACGCGCCCACCAACGGGGTAAAAGGGGGTATTTCGGAAACATTACTTCTCGGTATTTAGAAAGATAGATCTTGAGCGCTTCCGCATAGTTCTCGAACCCTAGAGACGTCATGGCGAACAGGATGTCCTCGCCATTGACCGTCTTTCTCTTCTCCTGGTGGCACTTTTCCGATGCTGTGTAGAGCGTCAGAGTCGAGTCAGACGCGGCGACAGCGCGGGTATTTCAGAGGTCGCCCCAAAGACTCACCTTCACTCGTGATGAAGCTGATAAATTCGCTCACGCACTCCTGCATGCATTCCTTTGCCTCCTTTGCTATCTTGGCGTTCTCGGGCAGGGCCAGCTTCATGATTCGAGCCACTGGCGCAAAGTTGCGTATATTAGCATCGTAAACATCGTACTTGTCGATTTTGGAAGCGCGAGGCGCTTGCGGCGACTTAGATGACGAATCGTGAGACATGGACGACACTGGTCATGCGCACCCGTCTGGAGCTAGAGACCGAGGGCACCAATTGCTGGAGACCAGAAGCTGCTCCGCAGAAGCGATGCCACTCAGGTCTGCCTTGACTGGAGTCGAGGCCTGCAGACAGGACCCAGAGACAGACTTGGGGCGCACCAAATCAGAGACAGGAGTCAGGAGAGGATCTCGACTCACCATTGGCTATAGGCAACCACCTGTCCTGCTCTTTTACCTCGAACTCGTAGCCGAGCGCGGCGGCGTGTGGGTCCTGAGGATCGTTCATTTGTGCTTCATCGTCGGGTGATTGTACGCCAGGCTCGACGTCCTTGGGAGGGGATTGGGGGGAATCCGACATATTTGGCTACCTGCAGCGGGTGCTGGCTTATGACGAGATTTTCCTGGATTGCCAGCTCGCACAGCTGTTACAAGGTAGTGATGATGTGTCCCTGCCTCTGACACGTTGCAGGTGGTATGGCTTGCAACTGAGCGCGGCTTAGCTGCAGAAGAGATGCGTCAGTCCTGCCCTGCAGCAGATCCAGATTAGTGACCTATTTACTACCGGGTCAACAATGCCGTGTGGCAAGCCCTGTCGAGATTTCAGGCTATGACGGAACCTGTAAGAGAGGGAGGTGTCCGCAGTGGCCGCCTGCACTGCACAGTCCTGCTGGGGCCTGAGCTCGATATAGTGCTTTCGAGGGTGTATGTATACAGTACACCGGCAGACAAGAGCGGCGATTTGGGGGTGATCTGGATTCTGGATATGGGATGGTACATACCTACGGGGTGGATGGGACTTTGAAGCGGGGACCGCGTTCTGCGTTCCGCGTTCTGCGTTCTTGTGAAGACGCCAAGGGTCGCGTTACCGTTACCGTTACCGCTATCACTACCGGGACCGTGAGCGGGACCCGCTCTTAGTAACGTCTAGTACGGTAGAATAGGTCGAGAGCCGAGACTGTGGGCTGGACGCTGGATACTCGGAAGTTAGCAACGTGGTCTTCGTAACGCGTTCGCCTTGCTGCAGATAGCAGACAGTAGTTGGATGATGGGGCAGACGAATGGGCGTCGGCTGCGATGGCGAGATGGGGGTCTCGAGGCCGGCAGTGAGCGCAATGCGGCTGCCCTATGTCGGTGTCCACTGGCCACTGACGGCTGCTGATGGCTGATGGCTGATGCTGCTTGGGGCAAGGCAGAAGGAACCTGGGATGTTGCTGCGGGCGCAAAGCGTGACGGTTACACGGAGACAGACCAGGTAAGATGACAATCGAGTCTGTAAGCAGCATGGAGACAACTCGAAGATCGAGTCTCTGCCTGTTGCAATTGGCCGACCGGTGGGCTAGACTGATGGCTGGCTGCACGGATGTGGGCTGCAGAGTCGCGTCAGGACGCAGGAGAGGGCCCTGAATGTTTGCCGACCAGACAGAACCAGACCTGGGTCGAGGCGGGGAGGTACGGTAATGTAGGGTAGAGGTTCGGGTACGGGAAGGGGCACAGGATACCTACGCAAGCTGTACCTGGGGACGGCCTGGGGAAGAGTCAAGACTGGGAAAGACTTCCAAGGTTGGCTTACCTGCTTTGGGAATGACTGGCCAATATGGGACAGCTGTGTGCTCATCACTGGCAAATGACCTGTTAGAACGCGCATGGCCCTCACAGCAATGTGGTATGTAGGTAGTATGTAGGTAGGCAGACTGACGCTGGGCGGCTTGCAGCAGCGTCAGGTCGTAAGGAAACAGATGCGATAATAATAAATGCATAAGACAAACGTACATGTATGTGAAAATACCTTCGTATGACTGAGGGATACTGTCTGGAACGGTTTCCACGTGACAGGCTGAGGGGTGTGTGCAGTAACTTGGGACAGCGCCGTGCTTGAGGTGTATCTAGGGCGGGTAATGTTGTTCTGGATATGACTTTGCGGTCAACATTGAACGGTCCCCGGCTGCCATGTTCATGTCGCATGGAATTCTTTTACAAAGATGCACAGTACTGTATGTACCTTAACGGTAGAGCAGCGGGGTACATGCACGTATCATAAAAGGTACATTATACATGTAGGTTAAATCAGCCCAGTACCACTACCGCTTACGTCTGGCAAAGTGAGAAATGACAGAACCACACGCCTCTTCTTACATGTGTTATTCCCATCCTCATTTGACAGTGGCTATAGGGAAGTGCTCTCAACTACAATATCATCTTCTTACTATAATCTGTCTCACACCTCTGCAACTTATCCAGCGGAACTAGCGTCATGTCTTTCTGCCTACTTCTAGCCTTACCTCGCATGTGGTTGTGGTCTCACATACACCACCCCGGCCTCACATTTACCCCCATTCCAGTAGGCTTGACATGAGTATAACGGAACACTGATGGGTCCATCGGGTGACAAGCGGTGAACAACCAAGGTACGTCACACGAAATACCTCAAGGCTGACGTCCTTCCCTTGGGGATTGCATGTGCCGCTACCCTTCACACCATATTGCCTGCTTTTCAACGTTATCTGTCTCTGCTTTGGTTGCCGTGGTTCGTATGTGGTGGGACCCTTAGCACTCACCACCAAGATGGGATGACGATGATGGGCAGGCGCCACTGCGGATTCGAGAATGCGTCACCCACCTCAACCGTCTGCCAGCGAACGCACCTAGCCGACAGGAACGGGATCCTTGCGGCAGCCTGATGGGGGTTGTCGCCCCTGTGTGGAGGTCTGCCTGGACGTCAGGTCACGACGGATGAGGACTTGAGATGCAGTCCGAAGTGGAATTAAGAATATGGCACAAGGCTGTGTCGCAACAGCAGAAGCCACGCGAGAACAAAGGTGCTGGCCAATCGAAATATTCAGTCGCAGGTAACAACTCTGATTGGCAGTAATTGCTGATTTACCTTTGCATTTAGGACTGGATATTCGTCATCTACTCCTCTTGGAAAGCGGAGAAGACCTGGCAGACCACAGGGGCAAGGTATTGTACACCGTGCGTGTACTCGTGCGATGCCATCATCGCCATCTTCAACCCAGACAACCCATCATATCGTGTCTCTCCGCCTTGGCCAACCCTGCATGTCGTGGTACGGGGCTACACAGAGTTGCAGAAGGGGGGCTTCTATTTTTGCCTGCTCTCGCCAATGTACTGACATGCATGTTGTATGCGGCCCAACTCGTGTCCTGCCACACCTACATATCGTCCCCGTCAATGCCCAATCGCCGAGGAGTAGAACACTCGCCCACCATTTATCCGACCTGCTAAGCCCGGGCATGCCATCTAGCATCTGGCCTGTCCGTGTTCCATGTGAACGCTAGAATCTACGGGCGCCGCTGCGTTGGAAGAGCAAGTCATTGGTGAACCCATAGGTACCACCGTCATACAATTCGCCGGCGATTCTATACACCGCATGGTCCGGGGAAGTGGTGTAGATTCAGGCACGCTGGAGATAGCACCACGAAGTCATCGCTAATTAGGTCGTGGTGCCGACTTCCTCAACCTCGAACGATCACTCGTGTATACTTCCCTATTCCGGTCGACCTGCACTGTCCTGCCTGCGGTGCGGTATCATCAAACAACTTACAACACACAACTTACAACACATGTTGCGCCATGTCTTCCACATACCCGGAAGTTCCGCGTCGGCCGGATACACCCCGGTCCAGAAGTTGGGCACAGTTTTGCGATCGGAACCGCGAAAAGTTATGTTATATCGTCACTCCCCTCCATGATCCCCTGGGATTGAACATGCAGGTCTCGCCTTGGATGGATGGCTTACCACCTACTTTATGGAATAAGTCATTCCTCTTCTTCCAAGCCGCACGTTGCTATCGCAGACAGCTGTCCGCCTAGGTCGTCATCTACCTTATTATAGGGTCTCATGATGTGGCACACGGGAATACAGACGAGAACCGGAGACCCCGCCTTCTGGGCCATCTGCTAATACAAGAGGTAATACTCGTCCTGGGCATTCCTTGCACACACAAACAAGCCAGCATAGACGTTGGTAGATGAGGGATGCATGCGAATAATAAAGTGCCTTACACATATGCAGCTTCGGCGCAGGTCGCCCTACTCAACCGATTGATTCATGACCAGCCAAAACAGCCACTACCCGTCAGCGGCCTGCCCACCAATCGCTGTCGGCTGCAACCGGCAAGGTCTCACAGCCTCGACGAAGGCTCGTCGTTGGGCACCGAGAGACGCCGTTGACGCTGGGCTCCACTCCCTGCAGCTGGGATATTATTGTACAACGCATCAACACCATCTTTTTGATATCGCTCGAGACGTGGCCGACGGTTGAAATCAGGGTCTATGGCATCATAACCCTCCATTGTCGAAGCCCATGCAATGACGCGCCTGGATCTCGATCCTGACACTCACGAGAAGCGTCATGTCTGTGGACCCGATATGCACTCAACTAGTCTAGGGCAACCGAGAAAGTGACAATTTCCTACAAGGAGTCGCCTTCTCCGGGCATCTGTCAAGTGCTTCAGGGGTTTGCTCCCGTCACGACAGCATGTATAACGGCCATACCGCGTCCCACACACGCCCGCAGAATGCACTCCAAATGTTGAGTGTGTCATTGTTGCACGACCTGGACGTTGTTCTTCTTCTGCAGAGACAGTGCTGTCAGCTAACGGCCTCCATGTCCGGGGGTGTGGGCGGTGAAACCCGGATGCCCCGTTGACAGGAGATGTAACCACCTACCTTCCACTTCTCCAAGTCATCCTGCTTCGTCTTGTACTGCTTGACTAGGTCATCGAGTACCTTCTTCAAGCCATCGGCATTGGTCTTGAGAGCGGGAACGACGTCCTTGACGGTCCGCTCAACCAAGACGCCGTTGATCATCCGGAAGCACTTTCGGTCTCCGGGCAGTGGATCCAGAGTGTCTAGGACCAGCCTGGAAAAGCAACAGTAAGCCAAGTTTTTCGACGTAAATGAGCGGTGATGTTCGGCGGACAGAGCGGTGAGGTTCGTGATCAGACTTGGGATGCACGCTAAAGACGGAAATCCATGCGAACGCGCTGTTCGTGAACATGACACAGTGATAGTGATGTAATAAAAGGGCTGAGCAGCATTCGCCGGGAAGGAAAAAGGGGCATCCTTCATCCCAGTGTACTAACTTGTGCTCTTCAGCTTCTTGCTCAACGTCACCGATCTTGGTGGCCAGCTGCTGCAGCGTGTTCTTGTAATTTGAGTATGTCGTTTGCAGCTCTGCAGTCAGGGTTAGCGCAAGCTCATCATGGATCTCTCTCCAGACTTCTCTCAGGGGCAACTCGCCTTGCTGCTTTTTCGCAGACACCGTCTTGGATGCCATGATGGAGGGTGTCTTGGACCGTCGTTATGTACTGGCAAAATCAGTGATATGGAAAAGGTTGAGTTGATATCAGACGTCACTGAAATGAGATTTCTCTGGCCAGCCGGTGAAAATCAATTGTTGCACTGGTTCAATGTCCAATGCCTCGCTGGTTGAGAGCGCTGGAGATCGATTGGAGGGGGAATGTGGAGGCAGGCGCGATGTGGCCCATGCTTTCGGTCTTAAGGGATGGATCGGACGCCTTCCCAAAATTGTCGCCATCGGCCCATCGCAAACCTCGACTGATCTCCTGCGACAGCGAATACCTACCTACCTACCTCACTACGAACGTCCGCCGGGTATCGTGCCAGTGCAGTCGTCAAGATGCATCCTCACTTACACACAAAAGACAACACGGGTGCGTATCCATCCAAAGAAACATGCCCAGCGACGACTGCAGCAGATAGACTAACTAACCCTGCTCGCAAACCACAGCATGCGAAGAAGTCATGACCGCTCTCGAGGAATGCCACGCCAGGGGCTTCCTGTGGAAGTCGATGGGCATGTGCAACGACGCCAAGCACAGGGTCAACCTGTGTCTGCGGGCCGAGCGACTCAAGCGCACCGCCGTCAACCGCGAGATCGCCAAGGCCAAGCGCGAGAAGATCAAGAAGGTTTGGTCCGAGATCGACGAGAACTCCTGAGCAAGGGAGAGAGCGAGAAATCACGAAGCACGACCGAACGGACGCGGATCGGACGCCCACGAGACTCGATGTATAATATGGGGGGTGGTTGAGTTTTGCATAGCATGGCGTTTAGAAGGACCCTGACGAGGCATTGGACTTGTTCTTTTATGGGAAGCGGCATGATACATATCAGTCAGGGGTGGCATCTTCACTCTCCTCCGCGGGCAGAGTCTATGTGGGTTCAACCGCAAGTTATCGGCACATTCCTCTTCAAGCAGCACACGTTCAAATCAATGTTTTAACGACGTCCAATACATGTATCAACGCCATGGCCTCCGGTTTGCGCCACGTCCCTCCATCGAATCTCGCCCTCCTATAATGCATTCCAAGCCCTGCCGAAAGTCAAGAGACCGAAGAGGGACACCAAACTCAGTATAGTCGGGACGGTCTTGCGGAGGCGCAGAGCTCGGGGAATCGAGGAGCCGCCGAGGATGATGGAGGCGAGCAGGGCGAGCTCAACACCGTAGGGCTGGCGCGTCTGGATGCGGTATCCGCCCAGGCCGTCTGCGATTATGTTAGATTTAGCGTGTTGCGCGCACCTACCTGTGCTTGTAGAGGAACATACAGAGGATTCCGACGGTCATGCCCGCTGCAATTGAAGGGACTGAGCCGGTCTTGACATATCCCATGGTGCCGCCGCCCGCTGTCAGGGCGCCGAGGCTGTAAGCAATGTAATGCAGAGACTAGCAATGGATGGTGTTAGCTTGGTCGGTCTGCAGTGGTTGCGGGTCGGTTTACCATTGTGATAGTTTATCCTGGAAGATGATGTCTGTTTGAATAGTAAGAAGATCACTTGGATGCGCAAGGGGCTGGTGTTGGACGAGGACTGTGTCGAAGGTATGGAGACGGTACTTCGGATTTCCCCAGAGCTTCGCAACGACGAGGGGGTCATCCAATGACGCCGAGCTGGAATGGGCACTAGCAGACAAGTGTGGCTCAAGCTCTCGGGCACTAGCCACAGCTGCAGGTGTCCCTCCTCTCCTGATTCGTCACACTGCTGTAACTGGGAACTTTTGAAGCTTCGTGTCCCCTTACGCCAGTCAACCTAGCTCAATCAATTCGAGGGTCCAGCCAACCCAATTCGTGGTCAACACCTACCTACCGTACCTACTTCGAGGTCCTCGAGCGAACAAGACCACCCACAGCACACTCTACCAGAGCCCACGACCCAAGACAAACATGGCGCCCAAGAAGTCCGCCACCTCGTCCGGGACGACGTCGTCCTCGTCCTCCACCACGGCCTCTGCTTCCGCTGCGCTCAGCAACGCCAGCAGCAGCGCCGCCAAGTCGGCCAGCAGCGGCGCGCAGCAGATCGACCAGGTCGCCCTCAGCCTCGTGCAGCACTACCAGAAGGCGACGCCGCAGCGCACAAAGCTGATCGACGCCTTCATGGCCTTCCTGGTTGTCGTCGGTGCCCTGCAGTTCGCGTACTGCGTGCTGGCGGGCAACTATGTAAGTTGCGCCCCCTTCCTAGGTGGCGGAAGTTCAGGTGGAAACAAGGGTTGTGGGAAAATGAGGGGAGAGGATGGGGAGATTTTGGGTGGTGGTTTATGCCTGGCTGCAGTTTGACTGACGATTTGCGTGTGCTTAGCCGTTCAACGCTTTCCTCTCGGGCTTCTCTGCTACTGTCGGACAGTTTGTCCTCACCGGTATGTCTCTACATCTCCTGGTTCCAGCAGCAGCCGCCAGCTAGCATGCATGATGAATGGAAGGACGGGAGAGCTAACTGGACACCACAGCATCTCTACGAATCCAGACGACCGAAGCGAACAAATCCGAGTTTCCATCGGTCTCACCAGAGAGGTCCGTCACCCGTCTTGCTCCCTCCTCACATTGCTGTCCCGACTGACAGGCTTCACTACAGAGCGTTCGCGGATTACGTGGTTGGCAGCATGATCCTACATTTCTTCTGCATCAACTTCATAAACTGAGTCAGACAAGTGGCGCACGGGTGTTCACCATGGGATGTTGTACGATGAAATTCACTGGCCTAACAGGCTATCTTGACAGTGAAATAAGAGAGGCGTACGTGTACATTTAAAAGCGAAATGATTACGGGTACCACAAAGGCAAGTTTGAGCACAAGGCCAATGCACATTTTTGCCAGCTTCATTGGGATATCTCGTACAACCGGCCTCCTAAAAGTGATATACCGCCGTCTCCTATTTCTAGTCAACACCATCATCACCATCGTTGCCGCCCTCCGGCTTTGCTTCTTCCGCCTTGGGTGGTGCTCTCGGTGGTCCACCGCCTGCTTTAGGTGGCGGCGGAGGTGGTGTCCTGCTCGCCGATATGTTTCCATCTAATGCCTTGCTCTTCTGCTCCTCTTCCGCAAAGTAGTCATCCATCAGCCTATTTGGACTATGCCCATGCCCGTGCCTCTCCTTCTTCTTGCCTCTTGGCGGTGCGCCAGCCGACGGCGGTGGCGGCGTGCCCACCAACTGCGCGGGGACGAGGAAATCCGACGATGGTGCGCCTCCCACTCCCTCCGTGGCCGGGACGAACGTGCCCGCGGGATCGACCGGCGAGCTCAGCGCCGCGAACTGGTCTGCCGCCGAGACAGGGCCGCCGTAACCACCGTCGTTGCCGCCTCCCCCCATCATATCGAACATAGTCTCGCCAGGCGCATTAACAGGCTCGTCGAGGGGCGCCGGCAGGCGGTGCAGCGCGCCGTACCCGAGCACGCAGCCCAGGGCGCCCTCGCCGCCCCACTCGCGGCTCGGCACGATCTCGACCTCGCGCGTGACGTTGTACTCGTTATTATAGACCCACAGGCGCAGCGGGCGGCCGATGTAGTCGTCGACCAGCTCGCCCAGGCCGCTCTCGCCGTGCAGGGTGCCGTCGGGCGTGCCGAGGATGTAGTCGCTGTAGGGCAGCAGGCCCGACACGTCGGCCGGCGAGTTGGCCGGCACGTCGAGCACGTGCCAGATGGTCGACGCGAGCGAGAGTGGCGCCCATTGCAGCGAGAGGCCGAGCGAGCCGCTGGCGGACGGGACGGGGATGTGCATTACTCTGATTCGCTGGCCCTGTTGTTGTGGACGGTGTGGTTAGCTAGGTTCGTAGGCCCTTAGGTGGCTGGGTAGCTGAGCCGTACCTTTGCGCTCCATAGTCCCAAGGCTACACTTCCGCCGGCGCAGTTACGCACCTCCTGCGCGAAGAGCCGCGGGTCGGGGTTGTCCTGCCCTTTAACGTCAGTCCTGCCGTTTCTCGACTTGTAGATATCGCATTGGGTTCCCATACAATCATGCGCCCATTTATCCCAACGATGAAGTCGAACCATGGCTCCACGGCGAGCTCGAGATTCGTGTTGCGCAGGACCTGGAACCCGTACTCGTTGCCCCCTTCGGCCCGCTGAGGGCGCGCGTCGCCGTCGAGGCGGGACAGGTATCGGTTTAGGGCATTGAACATTGTGGTGGTTTCGTACTGTGGTGTCTGTGGTTCCTGTGTTGGATGGCGTGGTCCAAACCGTCCGTGTGGCTAATCGTACATGCTGCGATAGGATTCGGTTGGTGGTCGTGGTCGTGGAAAGCAAGCTGTCATTTCACGCGCTCAGCCTTACAGGAGCTGATGGGGGTCCAAGCTAGCCGCCAGCTGCACCGAAGTGGGCCACCATTAGAGTGCCATCTAGAATTGTCAACTGCAGCCTCGTTCACCTGTGCATCTTCATCTCAGGCACGTCAGCAACAGCACTATCATAACCATTGTTCTCTTCATATCGGACAAAAGTTGTACGGGATCGAGATTCTTGGCAATTTTCGACCTACCATATCAGAGACGACAGTATGAAGCAAGTCAAGACTCTCCCGTTGACCGACGAATGTCACCACTGGACTCATCTTGGCGAGGTGCCCTGGGACTTGCAGAAGTAAGTGCAAACCACTCGAATTTTTCTATTGCTTTTGCGATGTTGACAGAAGTCAACTCCTTAGATACTGGCAACAGCGGTACACGATATTTCCCTACTACGATGATGGTATATACATGACCCAAGACGCCTGGTTTGGCGTGACCCCCGAACCTGTCGCGATGTAAGTGCCACCCATAGTCCAATGTCTCACAAGGTACATCCTAACATACAGTAGATGCATTGCCGAGGAACTTTCCACTATTGTCAGCTCCAACAAACGCACCGTGATAGATGCGTTTGCCGGTGTAGGCGCAAACTCCATCAGTCTAGCCCTCGCTACGGAGGGAGAGAGCGGAAAGCAACGCTGGGACAAAGTAATAGCGATCGAGCTAGACGCAGCGACGCTCGCCTGCGCGCAACACAACGCCTCCCTATATGGCGTTGCCGACGACATCACATGGGTTCTCGGCGACAGCTTCAAGTTCATGGAGCTGCTGACAAATACGCCCGGCAAGCTTGAGTCGGACCTCCGAGTTGACATAGCTACGACAGCCGTGTTCGCATCGCCGCCGTGGGGTGGTCCGGGTTACCGGACTGACGAGATATTCAACCTAAACTTTATGGAACCGTACAACCTCGAAAAACTCCGCGTGGCCTACCGACTGATGGATCACGCACTTTATCTGCCTCGCACGAGTGATCTACGACAGATTGCTAAGCTAGCCCCTGATGGCACCAAGATTGAGGTTGTCCAGTATTGTGTCGAAGGGGCCAGTAAAGCAATGGTTACCTATATTCCAGCGGCCACGAATGAGCAGAACAACGAGCCTATGGACGAGTCTATTGATGACTCTACGAACGACCTCACCAACGACCTCACCAACGACCTCACCACCGACCTCACCACCAATATCACCACCGACCTCACGAAGGATCACACCAACGATCTCACCAACGATCTCACCAACGATCTCACCAACGATCTCACCAACGATCTCACGAAGGGTCTCATGAGCAATCTCACAAACAAACACGCGAACGACCAGGCGATGGACCAAATGAACGGGTACGCTTAACGCCTAGGGTCTTAATCGCACAAGCTTATGTGGGCTTTTGGCTAAACCGATTCAGTCAGGAAACAAAACCACTAAGACGCGAGAGCAGTTGCACTATGATTTAAATTTCGTCGGTGCCAGTTTCTCGACTGTGTCCACACGGCGTTGTCCTATATGAAGCTCATTGAAGAATCCCAGGCCATCACCGCCTGCCCATGACGGTTGTTCGTCTTGCCCCCACTCTGTGGTAACGCGACAAAACTCTGCCCGTGCCGACGACTGGCGGTGCTGGTCGCTTTCCGATTTTGAGCCACTGGAGGCGAGGCTTGCCTATCTCGAGGATTGGAAGGAAGGCCCGCCTGACGCATCTGCGGCACAGCACGGACAGTTTCTGCGATTCGATGAGTGATAGGCATGCTCGAATGTGTACTCTTCCTCGAGTAGGTACTCCTCGCATAGGGACTTCGAGGTATCGTGGGGGAGTCGTCGTCGTATACGGAACTGGAAGATCTAACCGAATATAGACTTTGAGGCATAACCTGAGATACATGTTCTTGACGCGGAGTAGTTGGTATACTACTCGCATACGTGCTTCGAAGCATCGTGGAAGGACTTTGCTCCTGGTGCGCGGTGGTTGGTTCACTCGCATAGAGGCCCTGAGGCATCGTGGGAGGACCTTTCTCGGGGCGAGGAGTGGAGGTTCTAGCCGCATATGGATTTTGAGGTATTAAAAGATAACCTCGCTCGGCTTGAGGAGTTGGTGGATCGCTCGTGGGACGGATGTGAGGTACCAGGAAGCTCTCTGCGTCCCCGGTAGTATGAGGACTCCTCGCAAATCGGCTTTGTGGTATAAAGGGAGAACCTTGTGCGCTTTCGGGAGCGGAAGGACTGCCCGCGAAGCAGCTCCGGAGAATTGTGGTCATGTCTTGCTCGTTTCGAAGAGTGGATGGACGACTCGCGAGGCGGCTTCGGGGGATATCGAGGGGGCTCTGGTCACGTCGAGGCATGGGAGGTTTACCCGCAATAACGGCCCGAGGTATGATGACGGGGCCTTGTGTGCCTTGCGGGCTAGGGGCACTCGATGCCCGACTTTGGGGTACTTCGAAGAAGCCCGGCTTGTTGCTGGGAGTACGGCTCAGAGGTGGAGGGAGCTGGCCGTCATCTCTGTCTGGGAGACTAGGGATATTCTTGGCGTAATGACTTCGAGGCACTGGAATTGGTCCTTGTATATCTCCAAGAGTCGACGGAGTCGGAGGGGGTAGGGGGCTAGTGAGAAAGCTTCTTGGAGGCGCTGCAACGAAGGTTTGCATGGTTTGGGTACTGTCAGGGTGATTATATCGAGGTACGGCGAAGTATTGCGTACTCCGAGAACGCTTCGAATGGCCGTCTCGAGGTGCTGCGACCATCTGTGAAATCTGAGCGCTTCGGTTGCGCCGCTTCTGCTTCACGCCGTCTTGCAGGTAACTCGCAGGGTGCGCGATGACCAGTCCGATAATGGGTTCCGCGACAAGAAAACCATTAAACGCAAGAAAAAGAGCTTCGATTCTCGCGATATTGCTACCGAATCCAGCCCCGAGGAGTGTCGTTTGGAAGACTGCCCTTGCCAACAAGCAGATGGAAGACACTATCAGCATGGCGAGAAAGACTTTGAATTTCCGAGTTAACGTCACAAACCCGTGTTGAGAATGGAAGGTCGTGTATCCAAACTGGCGGTGCGCTACGGCTGCCTGGAAGGCCACCACTGCGAACAGCACGTGGAAACATATCAACGAGAGCGCCTGAAGTCCTGTTCCGGCGGCGATGATTGGCGTCCCCTTCTTGGTATTAGGTCCAAGGCCTGTGGCTGTCGATACGTCTGCGAATGTGACTATGATACCGACGAGCTGGATAACCACCCCTGTCGCGTCTATGCCGATGAGCCATGGATATCTCGCCGGGTTGATCAGCGAGTGTTCGACGCCTAGGATGCTGACTGTTTTATTGAGCGTCGAGTATAGTCTACAGCTCATTAGCGACATTTCCATCATGGACTTGAACCCGGCTGCCTGCCTACCCTGCGGCCACGAACGCGGGAGCGACAGCAGTGAAAGCCGTCGACACGGCAAACAACCTCACGTCCCATGGATCGAACGAGCTGCCCAGCCGTATGCCGAACCCGACAGCCTCGAAGACACAAGCTACGCAAATCGGTATGCCGAACGCGGGCCACTTCCTTCCGGGGATCGAGTACGCCAGACAGCCGACCAGGGCCAGGACGTAGATGATCGCGAAGATGGCATTGCCGGAGGCGCTGGGTCGGTAGCCATAGGGAGAGTCGGTGGTGGAGCGCGAGTCAAAACTGCATGAAGATAGGGTAACGTCGCGATCCGACATTGTTCAGGAGAGGGGACTCCATCTAGGAACACGCGACAGGAGAAACGTAGAACACGGAGTATTGACGACGAGGCAAAAGGAGGGCCGATCCTATACCGCCCCTATGTACGCCTTCAGCCCCTTAGGTCAGCCGCCTTGCCTTGCCTTGCCAGTCAGCCCCATCTGCATGAAGTCGACGCACGAAACGTATTTGCCACAGCCATCACTAACTCGTCGCTGGTGTTTTGGGTGGTAACTGTTTCTACCCGAAACAGCTCCAAATTACTGCACCTTTCGCGAGCGTCCTTGACAAGAGCAACATGGCTGAATCCTACTGCGACGCTGAGGCGTTAGGCAGGAGACCTACCCTCCCAGAGAGGGAGAGACAGTCCTCTGCGGGAGACCCCAACCCCCAAGTGGTGTGTTAGTGGCTTTCTTCCGCTGCATAACTCTAACTCGCCTATTGGGCAGCGCGAATCACAAATCACCTGATTGGAGTTCTTCCATGACTTGCAGGTTCGGCGATTATGGGGGCGGCGCTGCCCTCAACCCCCAACTCCACGTCTGCCTTGCTTGTTCAGGTTGCGCACCAGAAGCAGTCTATAGGGGAGTGACTGTCGTTCGCCTTGCCTGGTGCTGTCTGCACTTCTAGGCAGTGGTAATACTTTGCGCCATTCGTGTATTTCACAAGTGGGAAGGGATCAGCAGGATGGGATGGAGGCGGTCATCCCACTGTCAATATTCCTCAAAAGCCGATGCACCCCGTGCGATGGCCACAGACAATCAGGAGACGATAGACCAAGCCAACCAAGCTATCGTTGGCGTTCTCGATGGTGATCTAGCCTACTTGTGTTATCCGCACCTTCCGAATCTGCTTCGCTTGAGGATTCGACTCAGATCCGCCGACCACCGGCTGGGTATGTACTTGGCAGCAGGATCGCAGCGTAAAACACCATGTGTATGTGGGTGTGTTGCTGATTGACCGCAGACTGCGAGCTTCCGCCTCGTATCCTTCGATCTTGAAAATGGATGCCTGGAGCATGTCAGTTCTTATTGGTTCTATCCTACTCGCCCATCAGTATGATCAGTCTGGGCCGATGCTGTTGGCCACGGGATCGTATAGCAACTAGCAGCGACCAGTTCGCGGGTTGCAAGTTGCAGATTACTACGCATTACGACTACTAGTATCATGACGAGACATTTCGCTGCGTGGCTGTTCATTCATGATAGGTAGCTAAAAATAAGTATTTCTCCGTCGGAGTGTACATCCGGACATGCATGTCCGTCACGCACCACGTGCCTGGTGCACCAAAGATCCCTCTGCTATGGCACGCACGCGGTGCCGAAGCCGCCACGACGATCATCGCTGCAACGTGACACAGGAAGACGCACGACCATGTTTCAGGGCCTTAGGCAGCGCAGCGCTCGGTGCCGCGCAGATCGATCCGTCGAGGCTGCGATTCGCGGTGCCGGCTAAGCCCTTGAGGCGTCTTTGAAGGATGAAGCCTGGATGACCGAGGTGTCACAGGGCGAATTCTCGGCTTCTTATGTCAGCAGTGAGGTAGTATCGCATTGAGGTGTAGGGGGGAGCCTTTGCGCCACGGAGACTGTGCGGGATATCCAGAGCAGGACGTAACGGATGCTTCGAGACGAGTGATGGAGATATCAAGTGGATTGATCACCTCCTTTGCGCAAGGATATCGACTTTGAGAATCTGGTTTCCGCCAATTTCGGCGTCGGAGGCCCGGAGCGCGCGCAGGATCTTGTGAGAGAGGGTTTGTTGAAGCTGGTCGATCTGGGTTGGACGTTTCCCTGGCGTCTGTGAGGGAGTGCTTTGGCAAGCAGGATTGAGAGAAGGTGCTGGAGGTTGTTGCATTGCTGCCCCAGCTCTGCGCCGACGACATCTAGCAACATCATTATATACTTTAGGTTTTTAAGCGTCATACTCTATGAGTTCCTTGTTACGCGCAAAAGTTCCGCAACAACAAGACTCGTGTATGAGGGGGCCGTTTAACATGGCTCGTGTATATAAAGACCATGGGTTATGACAAGAGCTCGTCCGTATACCTAGACCTTGGTTAATCCCCACGAGCTGGCCCGCCGACGGATATCACGGTCTTATTTGCGCAAGGTATCGCTGCTCGCGAGGCGTATGGGGGTTCGCTGATAGTCTACATGCAGGCATCCTAACACACACGGCGGTAGCTCATGACATGAGATATAATCATCCGTTCTACATGACTTGTGGGAGCAGCCACGGAGCCACCCACCACGCCGACTCTGGGACAACGGACGACGTTATCGTCGTGGCATGCGGAGAGATACGCGAGGCCCGTCTCTCTGTCCGTCTCCCTGTCCGTATGTCTGTCTGTCGGTCTGTCTATATGGCCATCAGCCTGAGGTGAACGCGTCACTCACTCAGTGGTGCCCATGGAGAAGTACGGTAGCTGTGAGGCGACTAGGTCGCTACTTCGCAAGTACCAGGACCTTGATATCTAGAAATATACTAGTACCAAGTTGGGCAATGAACACCCTTCTGGTGTATGTAATTATGGGATCGGGGGCGCTGCTGCGGCCCGCGTGGCGGTTACACTGCTTCACTCGTGGTGGGACGAAGCTAGTTCGGAAGGCGAATATATCTCGGTCGCATCAGATTCCCGTGTCTTCATTGGGCGGTTCTTAGGGTTCGGGCTGTCATGTAAGACACACATTTACTCTGCTGTGCAAGCCAACCTCGATAGTACAATACGTGAGATCGATGATGGTGAGACGAATAGACTGTCTTGCCTGTCAACGAGATTGGGAGGCGTGAACGACCCAAGTAAGAGATAAACGGGTTTCTAAAGAAAACATTTAATACTTCCGATCATGATCAATAATATGAAGGTTATAGGTAAATGGTGGACTTGATTAAGGAACGGATGATTATGATGAGGACCTCAGCCCTATGTTCATGAGTATGTAAGAAATATTGAATGGTGAACCCTAATACTAAGATCCTCATTGAGTCCTCGGCTTCCGCTTTTGCTAATATTCCCAAGCCAAATGATACCCAACGCCTTCTACAAACTCCGACCCGCTAACGGCAACCACTGGTCTGCGAGAATGCCCCGAAACAGCGTGCCATGTAGCTAAACTGTTGACATCTTAAGAGAGCGCTCGTGCTCGTGCCCAGCTGATGTCTCTTCGACGCCGGTGTCCACCATCCCAGTACCCTGCCTGAGCACTATGTGCCGTGACCACGAAATCATGAACAGTAAGAATTAAGGTATATAGATTAAGGTATATAAGGAAGGTATGTGAAGGGAACTCCGAGCGTATACATCGTCGGAAAGAGAAGAATAACCGTGATAGACTGTCTGTGTGCCTAAGCTCAGACACCGGGGACGGTGAAGCCGTCGACCTGGGGCCAGTTGCCCAGCTTGGCCGGGTCGCCACCGATGCGGACGAACTGGCCGACGGCCGGGATGCCGTCCTGGAGGACGTACATCTGGTACCAGCCAGCCGGGCAGATGTGCACACGAGGGGGCGCGGTCACGGTGCAGGTGGTGCCGGCGCAGGAGACGGCCGGGAACAGGGTGCGAGCGCCCATGGAGTTGCCGTGGGTGCTGGAGACGGCACCGAGAAGAGAGACCTGGATGTTGCCGGCGGCAGCGCTGCCAAGCTGGAAGGTGATCTGCTCGCCGTAGCTCCACTCCTTGTTGGTGATGGTAAAGCTCGGACGGGGCTTGGAGCTGGTGAGGTAAGGAGGCGTGAAGACCTCCACGCGGATCTCCTCGGGGTGCTTGCCATCTTGGGGATCGGAGCCGGTGATCAGAACGCGACCGTCGAGGAGGGTGATCGCTTCGCTGTGGTAGAGTCGCGCGACAGTGGTGTTGGCCATGATGGATATGCGAGAACCGATGGGCTTGGAGGGGTCGTAGAGGAGAGCGTTTAGGTTCGGGTCATCGGCAAGGCCGAATCCAGCGACACCCTCCTTGGCACCGTTGGCGATCAGGAAGGTACCATCTGGCAGAGGGGCCATGCAGCTCATGACACGCTTCGAAGGCATACGCTCGAGGGTCCACGTTGGGTTGGCAGCCTCTGGGTAGGTGCTGACACAGTTGTCGAGAGCTTCCGAGTGGGTATCGGAGCCACCGCACAGCAGCACGCCCAGGGGATCAGAGAAAGGAGCGTACTGTGGCAGGAGGACAGCAGTGCCTTCCAGGGGGTATGTGCGGCCGCCGAGAGGGTCAGAGACTGAACCAGGCATGTTGGGGAGAATCGTGGTGGTCTCGAACGTGACCTCATCCAAGATTCTAGCTTCGTTCCAGTAAGCGACAAAGATGCCACCGCCGGGAAGGACAGCCAGGAATGGGTACAGGTTATTGGGGTCGGTCCGAGCCAGCCAGTCCATGTTGATATAGGGACCACTTCCAGGGCCCAATATTTCCAAGGACGGCTCAGCCTTGTCGTTAGATCCGATTTCCCCACCAACAACAAGGATAGATCCGTTGGCCATCAACATGGCAGAAGGGTACCAGCGGCCTCTCTGGAGTTTCAGAGTGTTGACATTCTCCTCCCAGTCGTTGGGTCCCTTGACGCCGTCCGATCCGTCGGGCGTGTACAGGCGAACACCGTATGTCGAATCCAGCGACCAGCCTCCAATCGTCAGCTGTCGGCCGGCTTTGTCAGGGAGGACGAGACCAGCAGAACAGAAGACATCGGTCTTGATGTGCATCGTCTTCCAGGCAGCATCAAAATCGCCAACTTGGCTGAGATCGAGTTCGTACGCGCCGGTGCTGTTGGCTGCTCCAGTGCCTCCCTTCTCGAGGAAAGTGACCTTGCCCGTAATCGACTGCATTGTCATTAGTGGTGTAACAACACCACCGACGAGGTTGGAGTAGGAGCCGGCATCGTTGCCTTGCGGGTAGTCGAACGTGTAGAGGGGGGTCGTGCCGGTCCAGTAATACATAGACAGCCGATTTCCATCTCCGCAGATGACAGATGCGTTGCCGGCACAGACGATGGCACATTCAGACTCTGGCTTGATCTGGGCAGTGGAAGCAACAACGTCGCTGGGGTCACCGCAGTAACATTCCTCGCCGTACTCCATGCCACCGGCCGCGTAGCCAAATTCAGCGCACATTCCCAAGCACTGTTCAGGAGTGTTGGTGCCGATTAACTCGATCTTCCAAGGGAGAGTACGCGTCTGGTCGATGTTGTCTTCAACGCAACCCTGGTACGTCCACGTTCCGTTGAGGCCATCTTTCTGAGGGGCAGGGGGCTGGAACGTTTGAGGAGTGCCTTTCGATACTACGCTCAAGTAGCTGGGCCCTCCGCACATTTGCGTGCTGTCGCCACTGCATGGTGTGCTGCACTTGGTCGTGTCCTTGCCTGCCACGCCACCGTTATAGATCGCATTGCTGCAGAAACACTGAGTATAATATTCAGTGCCCGAGACGGTGTATCCATTGCTGTCGCAAAGTTCGGCGCAGCTCTGCTGGGTTAGCTGCTTGTTATCGGGAGCCTGAAACGTAGGCATTATGCGGCCATTAGGGCCATCCTGCCAGCATCCCTGGTCAGTCCAACCCTCTGGGAAGCCAGTTGCGACGGGTGCTGCCGTGGAAGTGGAAGTTCCAACCGCAGTCGTAGCCGTAGTTGTGGAGCTGGATACAATTGCAGTTCCGTTCTTGACGTATACAGACAGGCGGTTACCATTGCCACAGTACTCGAATTTGTTACCGGGGCAGAGCATGCTGCAGTCGCTCGCAGGGGCACTGACGGAGCCGGTCTCGAACTTGTTACCGCAGTAGCATTCTCGGCCGTACTCGACACCGAAGTATGTAGTTCCCTTGTCATTGCAGAAAGTCTGGCAAGACTCCAGAGTCATCGTGTCGTCAGCGTAGGTAAACAGACTCAGCGCGCGTATGTTGGTGGCTTCGGTCTGGCAGCCAAAGAAGTTGTAATTGGCCACAGTAGAAGGCTGGTAAGGAGCCGTTGGAGATGGAGTTGCCGAAGAAGAAGTAGAAGTGGTCGTGACTTCCACACTCTTTAATGCCGGAGCACTGGATGCTGAAACACTGGAAGCAGCAGTTGAGGTGGAGACGGCCGGAATGCTAGAAGTAGTAGTTGAAGAAACGGCAGGCGAGTCACTCGAATCAGCAGCCGAAGTAGTGGCAGGAGAGTTACTCGAGACCGCAGTCGAGGTCGTGACCGCAGGCGGGTCGGCAGCCACTGTTGAGGTGGTGGCAGGCAGGCTGCTTGACGCAGCAATCGAGGTGGTAGCAGCAGGGGGTAGCGTGGATGAGGACGTCTGCGAGACCAAGGTGCTGCTCATGCTGCTCAGGGTAGTGGTAGTGTCGTTGGTGCTGTCGGCGATCGGGAACAGCATGTTGAAATCGTACACGTTGAGGCGGTTGGAGCCTCCGCAGATCTCGGACGAGTTTCCATTGCAATCCATCATACAGCCGTAATCAGCCTGGGTGGCGTTATTTTCAAGTGTGTTTCCGCAATCTGGTGCGAGTTAGTCGGCGGCAAGTGTCAGTCGTTGAGGCATAGACTTACAGCATTCACCGCCATACTCGGTGCCGGCAAGAATGTAACCCGCGGCCTGGCATGCAGAGGTGCAGTTTGCCGCGTTTATCTGGTCACTGCTGAGAGGTGCGCCGTAAGTCAGGGCGCGACCACCGGTACCTTCACTGTTGATAGTCTCAGCCTTAGACCCGATTGGATACCAATAAACCCCTGATATCTTGGTGCCAGACACGGAGGTCATCAGCCAATGGACTTACGTGAAGCAACCAATATGGGTCCAGTCTGCGATGCCGACGTTTGGCTGGGGTCCCTTGATAAATGCGTTGTGGAACAGGGTCAGGCGGCTTGGACCGCCGCATGCTTCGGTCTTGTTTCCAGAGCAGGCTGTCGTGCAATCTGTTGCGTTGACCTCGACCGCATCCTTGTGCAGCTGGTTGCCGCAATCTGTCGTTGTTAGGAGTTGAAAGGTATTGTATTGAAGGAAGGGCTCTCTCACAGCATTCGCTGAAGTATTCGGCTCCACCATAGGGGTAACCTTGGCCGTTACAGAACGCCAGGCACTTCTCTATAGTCATGCTGTTGTCGGACATGGAAGCCTGATTGATGGTCCGACCAACATCAGTGTAGCAGCCCTGGTACGTCCATGTTCCGTTCAACTGATCTGCTCCAGGAACAACCAATTCGGCCGCTAAAACGTAGGCGGAAGACAGGCTGGACAGGAAGGCGAGAGCCGGTCTAGCCTGAGTGGCCCTCATGGCGAATGAGTTCGCCTATGAGCAAGCTAGGGAGCTGGGAGAGTAGCAAGATCCAAAAAGCGAGTGTAGACGAATAGAAGCTCCGTAGGAATGTAATATAACATGAGAGCAAGGCGAAGAGAATGGGTGTATTAGATGAATTGCTTAGATGGTCTGCATGGTTGATGATGGATTGGATCGATGGATATTACCGGGGCATAACGTGCTCCTTTATAGAATAGGCCATGGTAGCGTTGGTGGTCCATCGTAGATTGCTACCGGCTTGATCATACCGCCATGGTGGGTGTAAGGTAGGCAGCCCACTTCACGAAGCAGCACGAACCGGATACCTAGTAGTCAGGGGTCTGTGGGATGGCTTCAAGCTGGCAGCCACAGTCGACGACCTGTTGGACTGTCCTCCCGCTAAGGCTCCTTTCAGCGGCATCCACATTGAGCCTTCTGTAGATAGCTTTGGATAGCGCAGGCGAAGGAGGTGGTGGCGGATGGGCTTCGTAAATCCAGCCAACCGTAGTCTCATTGTGGGAGAAGGGCAGAACCACGATCTGAGCGGTTTGACGCTGGGAATGGAATGGGTTGCCTTCTTCCCGCTGGGGTTGACAGGACGCTATACGCAGACAGCGCCAGCGCTATGGAAAGGGGCCGCATACGGACCATGCCGGCGGAATTTGCTACTGGTAGGTACGACATAGCACGTGAGGCCTGCTAGGCCTGGCCACGTTCATTTGTCAGTCAGAAGTCCAAGACCCGTTCGACCTATAGCATTGCGCGATTCGCGAGAGCTTCGGAGACTAACAGGGGGTGGGTCGAGGCAAGATCACCATCGGGGGCGAGGCAGGGCGAGCAGGTGGGACTGCGAATCCGAACATGGCGCCAGCCAGGAGCCGTTGGTGGTTGCCCCACTCGGCGACGACATCAACCCTCGGGCTCCCAAGCCGGGCTGTGCCGGGCTGACCATATTATATTCTGGCTCTCTTGGACACGAGCAGACGAGTTGAGGTCCAGGAACGGCTTGAGCTGCCTAGACATCTAGACCCGCAAAGACCGTCCAGTATACTAGTATAGTCGTCTGAACAGGTCCCGAAGGCATGGGACTCGGCCACTGTAGGTTTTGGCAGTTCGATTTGTGAGGTTTTGGGACATGCCAAACGAGCGTGAAGGTCTCTTGACGGCGTCTGCGCTTATTAGGACTGCCTCGCTTCTCTCGTTCTCGTTCTGTCGACGACCAATGACTTCGCCGGTGTCAAACCAAAAGGTCAGGAAAACCAGCCACGAGAAGCCTCTGCAGACTCCAGTCATTCAAGCCACTTATACGTGGCCAAGGGTGGTATTGTCACGCGGTCCACCTCGAGGTGCGAGTCATCAGTCGTTCTGTCGTGCCGCGTAGATGGCGCTGTGCAGCTGCAATGGTGGACGCAGGGTAAAATGTTGTTATCCATAGGTAGGTAGGTACCTAGGTACCGTAGATACAAATGCGTTCCGAGTCTCCCTGCTTGGCGCGAGTGGCTTGCGTGCGAGATCAGCGCACCAGCCTCAGGAACAACCTGAATAAGCTTATCATCTACTTAAGAAGCATATTATCTCTCATGAGCCACAGCTAGGTGAGGCTGATGCGCATGGGGTACCTAGCACCTCACCGATAGACCCACCATTGTAAGGTTCGTCAGACTTGTCAAGGTAGCCCCAGCTTCCTCATGCAAGCAACACGAGATCAGCTGCATGGATGCTGACCAGACTGCCAGAATTCCATAACGTATCTCGCCGTAGCCAACTTTCCAACGCATCATCAACTTCCCAAAGATCCCGTTGACCCCTGCAAGCCTGCATGGAAGCCTACGTCGGGACTGCGTGCTAAATATCGTCTTGATGTAGACATGCCCCTCCAAGACCAATGCATGCGCCGGTCAGCAGATACTGCACACCAAAGCCTCGAGTATTACTCAAAGGCCGCGGCGAGGCATTTTTTGGCAGCAATGCACAGAAGAGATCGTGGGGGACAGGCAATCATCTGCTTCGACGTTCGAGATAGTGGGAGCCTCCGCGTTGGTAGGGCAGGGCTCGAGATACGTGTCCAGTACCTGACTAAGGCACTTATGGGTAAAGAGCTGACATTGTAGATCTGCATGACTGTCCACCCGGCTGGGAGCAATATCGAACACAAGTCGTCTAATACGCGGAGAGCCGAAATTTCCGAATTGTATACCGAGACACTCGTACCGAGACACTGTCTCATCGGACTCCCGCAGCCATGCCACAGCCACGACGGGGCCGGTCTGTCCCTGCACGTATTCGCCAGGAAGCCGCGTGAGAACGTCACGTGGAGGCAATGCGTAGCATCCAGGACTACAGAACCGCCGCATGCGTTCAAGCCAAGGATCATGGTTCTATGCATGATAATGCACCGAAGCCCCGGTGGCGCCCGTCGTCGCCTGTCGCCTAATGCTGGGTTGCATGCGGGGAGGCTGAGGCTGATGATATAGCCCCATGAGTATGATCGAAGTGGCATTTACCACCAAAGACACCACCATAGAGCCAACAACTTGTGTTACCACACATCGACACAGCGTAAGCCGCCATGAGAGTCGATAATACATGCACGCAGCCGTATACGGTCCGGTATGCGCTGGTCAGCCTCAGACTACACCTTACCTCTCACCACCCATTGAAAGGCTTGCTGGGTGAGCGCTATGGTGTACCCAGCCTCTATCTCAGCCGCAGCGAGGCCACTGCAACTCAGTCTTTCGAGAATAAGGCTTCCAAGTCTTGGAAGTCTGCTGACTCCAGAGGCTTGGCCCAGGCATGTATCTGGCGAGACTCTGGCCCAGGTGGCTGCTCGAGTCCAGGCCCGTAGTCGTGAAGAGTGGCAGGGAGCGCTGGCGGTGATGAACTTGTTGACTCAGCCCTGAACCGGGCCCAAGTTGCTGGTAAGCCTACTGACTCGGGGGAGTACTCGCTGACCCATGCGCATCCTTTAAGGGACCAACGAGTAGACTGATCCTCTGATTAGTCTCATTAGTCAGGACGGCAAAATACCTGACGGACGACTTGGCGCTGGAGGTGTCAGCCTTCGGGCCCGAGGGTCGCGTGTACTCGGAAATGTACCGCACAAGACGGCAGGCCGTTCCGGGAGCTGCTATGTGATCGCGACTGACGGTATATATTGAGTTTATCACGTCGCTGATGCGCTGCTTGATCGAGGCAGAGCGAATGGATGACTTCGTCTACGACGCGATGATCCCGTTTTGGATAATGGCCAGATCATCCACTGAAGAGATCAGGTAAAGTACCGTGACTGTCGACTGGGACAATGACTAGCCTGGAGAACAAAGGTCCATACAACTCATTGACGGTTGATAAGTTTTGGTGGATCTGAGTCTCGAGCGTGGGCTTCGGAAAGGGGAAAGGGGAAAGGGGAAAGGAGCAGGCGACTGCGCACGACTTGGAGGGTACTCGTCAGGGCTCCAATCGCCTTTGACTCAGTTTTCCGAGTATCGGAGGTGGGATGGGACAGACCCTGATAGAGAGATCCCATCTAGCCTGCCACCATATGGACTAGCTAGCCAAGTTCCCGGGTCTATTGACAGTCGCCTGTCGGCTTGAGCGGGTTCGTCTAGCGAAGCTGCCTATCTACCATCTAGTACGTACGCTCCGCTCCACGCTACCTACATGTAACTAATGAAAATTAGTGATCTGCTAGGGAATAAAATAAATTTACAGTAGAACGGGAGGGTACTTGGAAGAACCACTGCACTTGCACCTTGGTTGATGAGCTAAGGTAAGCAAATGGTTGTGACAAGAAGTCGGACCATTCACAGCCTTCAGGCTTCATGTAAAGCTGCTTACAGTTGGAGAGGGAAGATGGGCGAGGCCGGTCTGGCGAAGGAGGGGCAATAACCTGGACCTCAGTGCCTCACATCAACACCTTGCTGGTCGGTGACAGAAAGATGTAGACGTGGCAGCCAGATACCCTATGCTCCTCTTTTGGCAACCCCTGGGCACCTTCAAGGTTGATATGGATGCAACCAATGTTGCTGGGTCAGCAAGGAATACGATCGGCGACATGGACTGGCTGTCAAATGGTACGACACGGCTCGTAAGTCTGAACATGTTTCTGTCGTAACTACCGTCAGATGGAGTGTTACAGGTCTGTCATAAACTGCCTCAAAAATCTGTTTCGAGCAATCTTGCTTCGAATCTTCTTTCCAAAAATCCAAAGAGGGATAGTCAGCAGCGTGACGCCGAGGAAGCAGCCTCCCAAGACACAAAACACCTCCAACGCTCCATCTTCGGCCAGCCAGTCGTTCACAAAGTATGTCAGTCCGAATGTGAGAAAGTTCCGTGCGTTGATGGCAACGAAGGCTTCTTCGGCCAGCTTGGGATAGGAGTCCAACACATATCCAAAGACGCAGACTCCCGCAAATCCGAGAGCCATATTCGCCAGGCCATAAGTCAGGACCGGGCCGGACCAGTGCGTCTGGTAATGGACCGTCAGGCCGAAGCCGAAGAAACCAACACCTCCCAGTATTGCCACGACGATCATGAGTACGAGCCGAAACTCTGGCTCATAGACTCCATAGTTACGTCTTGTGAGCTTCAGGCAGATCCAGTCGTTCAGAGGGCCAGATACTGCTTCGGCAATGATCGTCAGAATGAAGGGCGAAAGACTCGTGAGACCGGCCTGCGCGACAGAAAAATTGTAAGGCGCTTCAACAAATATCACGCCGTTCACAACCGAGAAGACGACAATCCACGTCAGTGTTGTGCCGTAGATGAGAAATGCCCAAAGGACCGCTGGGTAGCAGAAGAACATTACGAAAGGCCTTGCCATGATCTTCAGCAAAGGGGCTTCGGAGTATCTTCCACTCAGGGGCCGGATAGATTGCAAATACGTCGTCTTTGGGTCGTCGGCATTCGACGGCGGCAGCTGCTCAATGTGGAGGGCTTCGGAATCTTTACCCAGTTCTTCGTCGTCGCCATGACTCTTTTCCGGTAAGGTACTGAGGTCTGGAGTGGGCCGGACGTAGGATGTTTCCGGGACCAAGAATATTGTGAGAAACATGGAAATACCGAACAAGACGGCACATATCCCGAAAGTCCATTGGTAGCCCAGGTTTTCGATTATGTAGCCGCTGATGAATGAGGCGCCGGCGATACCGCATAGAAGGAAGAGATTCCACACTGCGATTCTAGTCGCTCGTTGATGGACAAAGTCTAGTGTATGAAAACGTCCCTGGTTAGTTACCGTACCCTATGTCTCTGGAACCGCCTAGCAGAATTACTTACTGCCGAGAAGTTAGCAGAAGGTTCAAGTGTATTCCAGAACCGGGGCATGGGGTCTAGAATAGGGATGTTTTTATACATGCCAGAGATCGCCGATGGTTGATTGCACCAAGATCTCGTAGGGTGCCATGCCTAACATCATGTTACTAACTTGTTCATCGCCTGGAGTAAGCTTGAGCTGACTGACCAAAGCCACCAACGATTCGGCTTGCAAGAAACGAGCTGTAACTTTTCGCCACTGCTCCCCAGATGCTTACTGCAAATAGAAGGCAGATCGAGACGATATAGACCGGTCTTTTCCCGTATATCTTTGCAACTGGATTTGCAAAGAACACGCAAAGGCCGATGGTCAGGATCAGCCATGCCGTCGATTGGGACAGAGTGTTGATTGAAATGCCGAGTTCTTTCGAAACTGGTACGAAGCCTGGCCCGAGCATTGGACCGTAAGCTCCTACAACTGCGGCAGAGAGGCTGACGATGAGTAAGATCATGTCTTTCTTCCACAATGGCCACTGCAGCGGCAATTTTTAGCAAAGCCCTTCTCGACTTTTGGTAAGTAGGCTTACATTGAGGGGATCATTTGGCGAGTCTGACGGTTGAGGCACGAGTATGATGTGAGAGTGTTTCCCACTGCCATGCTTCAACCGCTCGGCAGGTATTGCGTGTAATTCCTGGGGTAAGTCTGCTTGGTCGTTCATCCATGCTGTCGAATCTCATCAGCGTTGACTGCAGATTACCTAACTCTATCAAAGCTTACCTGTCCCGGGGACCACCTCCAACCGCTTGCAGTCAATGATTCCGAAGGGCATCTTGGCAGTCTTTGAATGTTTTTGCCAATGGTACGAAGACTGCTCCGTCCGGAGGTATGGAGTTCGTTGAAAGTCAGGAGGCAGGGAAGATAAGTTCGAAGACGCCGATTGTCATGTCGTCAATGGTACAATGTGCAAGGTTGCAAAGCCCGCCCTCCATATCATCGCTCACCTCAACTGCCGCTCCGCTGATGGCAGATGCTCTAGATCCTTGCCGTTTGAGCAGCGATCATTCACCTAGACTGGTAAGCCACATTGTTAAGCTTCCGAATGTGACTCTGGGGGTTGTGGGGTAAGGCCACTAGATATGTAGGACGCGGAGTAATCGTAGGGCCTTTTCGCGGGGTATCCCCCCCCCCCTTTTCGACCCTCACTCATGAGTCATGATTCAGACAGGCTCATGCAATATACCTGATAAGCGCAGGCAACTGGGAGTCATATGACTTCAGTCCAGGGGCGTTCATGAACCCTTGTCTCTTGTGGTGTAACATTACAGCTCAGTGTGTCGGTACTGCTCTTGCTTCTCATCTCCTTGGTCGGGTAGAAGGTGGCTGTTGAGTTGCCATGGACGGGGTGACCAATACAGTCTGTAGCACAGGCGACTACTGCATGAGCGTTACGTTCAAATCGGAAAGTGGTGTATGGTAGCTGTCTGCCGCGCTATTGGTGGCACTCAATGGATGAACGTCCGAACGCCCGAGCTACCATATTCATATCCATCTGGCGTTATCGTAATACCTACGTAAGCAAATTACATCGTACAGGCCGAAACGACCTGCTGGATAGAATGAAAGAGGTGCAATTGGCTAATTCCTTAAGGCCACATGACAAGAAGATGCTGCTGGTGTATATTGGTAGATGCACACTACTGCTACAACAATAAGCCACGGTCGAGCACCACACTCGCTGGAGCTTTGGTTCCGTGGGACACTTCAAGGTTGAGACCTTACTTCTGGAGTTTCTTGCTTCAAGGCTGCTACCGTCTCAGCATAAACATTGTATGCATGAGACTCAGCATCATGATTCAAGAGCCAGTCCTCCCTGGGTAGTTTGATCGCTTTGGGGTTGTTCTTCAGCTGGTCAAAGTCGGCCTTGTGCCACTTGTCCCGCGTAGACTCTCCAGTCTTCTGAGCCGCTCGAACCCTCTCGTACCTGATCTTTTCGTACGCCCGCAGCGCCTCTTGCGCATTAGCCTTACCGCTGAGTTCGAGACAAACGGCAAGGGTAGAGCCATCCTCCATGGCCTGGCTTGCACCTTGTATCGAGGTAGGGAGAAACGGATGCGCGGCATCTCCTATCAAAGCAATCCGGTGCAAAGGCGAGAGCCATGTGGGAAACGGGTCTCGATAGACGAGTTTCCAGTCAACGAGCCTGTCCGCTGGAGTTGCGCTTACGATTGCGTGAACAGCTGGATCCCACCCTTCAAGGACTTTGAGAGCATCTTCAGTGCTGCCTGGAGCAGACCAACTCTCTTCCACGTCAGCCTCATCCTGCATTACCGTCAGTCAGCAATGCGAAACCAGTCGGTATCATGCTTCTCGTACCTTGTGTGTACAGACCCAGCTAAAGTCTTTACCGTTCTTGATAGAGGCCGCGAGGAAGTGTACGTCGGGACCTAGCCAGCCGGTATGTGTGTCTCCTTGATTGACCAGATGTGCTGTCAAAGGATTCTTTGCCAACTCTGCCGACGAAAACCATGCCCTGTATATGGCGTAGCCGGAGCTTTTCGGCTTGTCTTCAAACCCAAGCACGATGGTCCTGGCGGTTGATCGGACGCCGTCAGCGGCAAGGACCACATCAGCCACCACTCTTTCCCCGTTTGAGATCACACCGGCTTCGCTGTCCGTCTCGAAATATTCTGTAACCCGCTGCCCGAGCCGAATCTCCACGCCCAAGCTCAGGGCATGATTCCAGATAATCTCGTGGATCTCGCCTCTATGGCCGTTGAACTTCTTACCGCCCTGCCTTTCCAGCTCTTCCTCGTCCCAAACCTGCGTCATGATGTCTTCTCCGGCGTACGTCTTGAAGGTCAGACTGCGGGTGTCCAGGCATATGGGGGCAAGCTGGCCTTCCACACCTGGCCAGCGGCGAAAGATGCGACCAGCGTTGTGGCCGAAGCTGATTAGGTCCCCAAGGGGCTTGAGCTCTTTGAACGACTCGAGTACTGTGACGACATGGCCGTGTCGGACACATTCGATAGCAGCGGTTAGGCCAGCGAAGCCTGCACCAACAACGATAACTTTGATGCCTGACATGGTGAAAATGGCCCTTTAGTCAGATGTTTTTCTGCGGTAAATCTAGCGGGCTGCAGAGAGGTGAATGGAAAACAGACATCTTTGCGGCGCGGCATTGAGGTACGTATCAGTCGAACGAAGTCCCTGACAGCCGACGACATCATACAATGCCGAACGGGCGTGGCTTCGTGTACTGCATCCTTCCAGCCCACGCGTGATCAGTGTATGTCATATGACAAAATGTAGATGTGGAGTCTGGGGTAAAGGGGGGAGCGACCCCTCACGCAGCAACCCCCGCCGAAGGCTATGATAAATCTCACGGCAGTTATCTATGTACACGTCTCGTACTCTTTGTGGGGACTGTGTGAGCGTATGCAGGTAGAGTCGATATCTCAGACACCAGCATCACATACTTCGAAAGCACATTGCGGGCTCTCACTTGGACAAGTCCGTTTTTCAGTTCGCAAAAATGTCGCTAGCAATGGCTCTGGAAGCTCTGTCGTCTGTCGATTTATCCTACACATGGCTCTCCGTCGCCATCCTCGTCATAACACCGCTTATCTTTCTCATCCATGACTACTCGCTATACCTCCGAATGCCACCGGGTCCGCGGCCCCTTCCATTCATAGGCAATAACCACCAACTTCCCCAGTCGCAGCCATGGCTTCAATTCGAGAAATGGTCCAAGATATACGGTCCCATATTCACCATTTGGATCGGTCGGCTACCAACTGTGGTGATCAGTGATCCCGTCGTCGCGGCTGAGTTGATGGAAAAGCGCAGCAACAAATACTCTTCGCGTCCACGTATGGTCGCCATGGGCGAGCTGCTCTGGGATGGTGGCAGCGTACTCGTGCAGCCCTACGGAAAGGAATGGAGCGTGAGGAGGAAACTACTGCACTATGCCCTGACACCCAAGGCACTGCGGCTGTATAAGCCCATCCAGGAGGCCGAGGCATCACGGCTATGCTACCAGCTGCTATCTGCCCCGGAGGACTACGAGAAGTTGCTCGAACGCTTTACGTCAAGCATCGTATTCTCTGTATCATACGGGCATCGAATCGACAGCCTGGATGCCGAAGTGATCCGTCAGCGCTTCGAATTCATGCACTACTCGAGCAGTCTCAATGTGCCTGGAAAATACCTTGTCGAGAGCTTTCCCGTACTGAAGTACGTGCCGAACGTATTCGCGCCCTGGAAAGCAGACATTCAGCACCACGGCAGGAGAGAAGCAGCCGCCAACATGGCTCTCGTTGACGTCGTGAAGGGTGATATTGCACAAGCTAAGGCCAAAGGCGCTCCCGACAGCGTCCCCGACTCTCTCTGCAAGCTTCTCCTCGAGCTCCGCTCTTCCCAATCTATCCCGCTTTCGGACCGCGACTTCTCTTTCGTGCCAGCCTCGCTTTTTGGTGCCGGCGCCGACACTACAGCCTCGACGCTCTGTACCGCCTTCCTTGCGTTCGTGACGCACCCTGAGGCTCTACGCGCCGCTCAAGCTGAAGTCGATGCCGTCATTGGATCCACGCGCTCGCCGACTTTCGCCGACGAGCCCAATCTGCCGTATATCCGTGCGCTTGTCAAGGAGGTCCTGAGATGGCGCCCCGTCGCTGTGCTTGGCGGCACACCGCATTCGAGCACCGAAGACGACATCTATGGCGGGTATCTGATTCCAAAGGGAACGACTGTCCTGGGAAATTTATGGGCCATCAACCTCAACGAGCTGTATTACCCCAACTCGCATGTCTTCGACCCCCGGCGTTTCCTTGATCCGGTGTCAGAGAAACAGCCCTTGGAAGGAGGGATGCGCGGGAAGACGCATCCCGCCAAAGCAGGCCATTCGAGCTTTGGCTGGGGACGGCGCATCTGTCCTGGCGCGGACCTTGCGGCAAACAGTCTGTTTGTGGCACTTGCGAAGCTGGTGTGGGGGTTCCAGATCGCAGGTATCGAGGGCAAGGAGTACGACACCTTTGCGTATACCGACGGTTTCAACATCAGGCCGGAAAAGTTTGAGTGTGTCATCCAAGTTAGAAGCGAAGAGCGGAAAGAGGTGATTGATCAGGAGGACCGGGAGGCGGAAGTTTTCCTGGAAAGATTTACAGCTCTCGAATAGGGTCATCTACAAAGTAGTGGTCTTCTGTTGCAATATATTGATTACCATGTTACGACCCGCACGTGAGCAGAAGCGTGCAGGTGTAGCATGTGTGGCACGAGGCAGACAGGAAGTACGCCGAAAATGTAGAATATCAAAGAGGATGACCAGCAGGAGTGAAATGAGAAAGCAATGAGATACTCTTTGTTCCGTAAGGTAGTTCAGTAAATGACTCATGAAAAGACAGCTTGAGCCTGAAGGGAGGACGACTTCGCGGTCAAGCCCGCAGCTTGCACATGCCTCAACTCGGCTACGCGCACACGCACATGGAAGCGGAAGGATGTGCTCACATGCTGCAGTTGTTGCAAGACCCGATGCATTGTCGTCAAGTTTTCCATAGAGGTGAAGTCGCTGAAGTGAATGACGATGAAGGGACGAGGCCCTCCATTCAACAGCTTCAGAGATGCATGGATACATGTACTATCAGTTCGCTCGGTGGCACGTGCACCACCGGTCCCCGTTGCGCGGTGGCGGGAGGCGCCTGAAGCCCAACAGTCCACAGGGCCAGCTCCCCTGTAAAATAGTTATCGTCATCGCTAAAGTGCCCGCGGAGTTATCGGCAGGACGTTGTTAGACGTTATTAGTCTGGGCGGGTACCTGAACCTCGGTTGACTCATCAACCTCGCTGCATATTGGCCTTTTCACCAGTATCGCCACGAACAACGGCACGGGAGTCAGCATTTGTGGCAAATAAAAAGCGTGACTACTCACTTGCCAGTTTTTCAGCCGTCTTTGTTGATCCTCGGTTACCTCACTTCCCTTCCTTTCCTTCTCATATCCGAAGACGCTGAATTTCAAAGAGCGCAACGTTGAACCGTCGTATCCACCACAATCAACGCCGTCGCTACATTGGAGCCACCTGCATCTGCAATTCCCCTCAGGAGTTTCGAGATGACCAGTATGGCTACTACCCAGGGCTCAGAAACCCAAAATGCGCCCACAAGGCCTCGACGTCACCGGTTTCGAGGTGGGAGGTCTTCGAGAGGTCGTGGCGGTCGAGGCGGTCGAGGTAGTCGTCAGGAAGGTCCACCTGTTGACAGCAGCAATCAGCCGGATTTCAGGGTTCCAGAGACTTCATCAGCTGCGGCCGCCCCGGCTCCAGTCCGCGGGTCCTCAGCTTCAGGCACTGCCAGAGGTAGAGGACGAAAAGGCCCCCGAAATCCGAAGAGGGGGGGTGCTCCAAATGGACAAAGCACAACAATCGGTGTACAGAGAGCCTTTGGCGGTCATCTAACATCCGACGCGGCAGTTGATGAGGCAAGCTCTGCAGATTTGAATGCAGGTGCGCCAGTCTTCGTCCCAGGGCAGCCAATCGCCGAACGAAGGTAAGCCTATCTTTGCACAAACCTACGTGATAGGTGCTCATGGTTATCCAGTTCCGAGGCTGGTGGACGGCAAGCACCCAAAGTGGCGCCCAGGGGCTCAAAGTCAACAGCCAGCGACCTCCCAACAAGGATACACGAAGACATCAGTAACGGCCAGTACGAATGCGTCATCTGTACGAACGAAGTTCTGAGGAATAGCAAGGTCTGGTCCTGTTCAATCTGCTGGACAGCCACTCATATGTCATGCGTGAAGAAGTGGTTCTCCAACAGAATCAGATCTCCTGGCCCGCAAGAGCAACAGCCGACTTGGAGATGTCCAGCATGCAATTCGCCAATGACTGAGGAGCCGGGTACATATACTTGCTGGTGTGGCAAAGAGATAAACCCAAGACCTATAGCTGGGGTTAGTCCACATAGCTGTGGTCAAACCTGCTCCAAGCCTAGAGGGACATGCCCACACCCGTGCCCTCTTCAGTGCCATGCTGGCCTTTGTCCGCCATGCTTGCAAATAGGCCCTACTCAGTCATGTTTCTGTGGCAAGGGCACGTCTACCAAACGCTGCGGAGAGACAGATTATTCTCAGGGATGGAGCTGCCACGAGATCTGCGGGGATTTACTTGCCTGCGGAGAGCACGAATGCCAAAAAGAATGCCATCCTGGGCTCTGTGGCAGCTGTGAGATTCCGATAAGCTCACGCTGCTATTGTGGACAAGAGTCGAAGGAAATCCCCTGTGATCTGCGAGGAGACGTGTTGGAGTCTTATGATCACGGTCAGCTCCAAGGAGAGGATTCGCCTGAGGTTTGGTTCTCCGGTTGTTTCGACTGCGGTCGTATCTGCAGCAGGCCTTTCGACTGCGGCAAGCATCTCTGCCAGAAAGACTGTCATCCACAAGATGAGCGTCAAGCACAATGTCCATTCTCTCCCGATGTCGTTACGCATTGTCCCTGCGGCAAGACGGCACTCACCGAGATCAGCAAACCAAGGGACAGTTGTCAGGATCCAATTCCACATTGCGACAAGGTCTGCAACAAGTTATTGGCTTGTGGGCACTCATGTCGGGATACTTGTCACTTGGGATCCTGCACGCCTTGTACGCAAGCCATCGAGCTTGACTGCAGATGTGGCCGGACCAAGTCGACATCCGTCTGTCACCAAGGCGACGTCCATCATCCCGAATGTATGAGAGTATGTCGTGCTCAACTCAACTGTGGTCGACACGAGCACGGCGAGCGGTGTTGCCCTGCAGAGAAAAGAGCGATGGAGCGAGTAGCGGCAAAGCGGAAGAACAAGGCCACGGCATCCGCGAACGACGAGATCGAGGCCGAACACATATGCATCCGTGTTTGTGACCGGAACCTCAAGTGCGGGAGACATAGCTGCCAGCAAATGTGCCACCGAGGGCCCTGCCCTTCATGCCCTGAAGCGATCTTCGAGGAAATAAGTTGCAATTGTGGTAGGACCGTTCTTCAACCACCGCAACCATGTGGTACACAGCCTCCGGAATGCCGCTTTGACTGTACCAGGCCTCAGCCTTGTGGACACCCCCAGGTCAGTCGCAGTCCATCCTTTCTCCCTCGTGGTCTATAGGAGCTCAACTGGGAAGTGATGACTGACTCAGCGTGGTAGGTAACGCATGATTGCCATACGGATGATAAGCCATGCCCGAAGTGCCCCTTTTTGGTTGAAAAACGATGTGTATGTGGCAAACAGACCCTCAAGAATCAACCATGCTGGTTTGAGGAGCCGCGTTGCGGTCTACCTTGCAACCAGAAACTTAAGTGCGGGTAAGTGGGCAATGCTGCTCTCGGAAATAATAATCATGTTGACCTCGTAACAGCACTCACATGTGCGGTAAGCTGTGTCACCGGCCAGGGGAATGTGAAGATTCGGACATGGTTGGCTCTCGATGCAGGCATTCTTGTGGGAAGGCGCGTAACTGCGGCCACCTAGATGTCGAGCAATGCCACGCTCCCTATCGTAAGTTCGATGGCCAACAAACTAATTGGTTATCACGAGTTGTCACTAACAATCTATAGCATGCAAGGAAGACAAGCCTTGCCAGGCGAGGACATTCGTGACATGTCCATGTCAGCATAGGAAACAGGAGGTCAGATGTATGGCCACGAATATGAACTCGTCGCCACAACGGCCAACCCTCAAATGCGACGATGAGTGCCTACGTCTACAGCGAAACGCCCGCCTCGCCAACGCACTTAGCATCGACCCACAGAGCCACACGGACGACCATGTGCCATACTCGGACACTACGCTCAAGTTCTTCAGGCTCAACCCCAAATGGGCCCAAACATATGAGCGCGAGTTGCGCGTCTTTGCTGGGGATCACGATGAAAAGCGACTGAGGTTTAAGCCCATGAAATCACATCAGAGGGCTTTTATTCACTCGCTGGCTGAGGACTTTGGGTTCGATAGCGAGAGCAGTGACCCGGAACCGCATCGCCACGTCTGCCTGTTCAAGACGCCACGGTTCGTCTCGGCGCCTATGAAAACACTAGCACAATGTGCTAAAATCCGTGCGAGTCAAGACTCACTTGCGCAAGCTTTGAGTGCGGCAAGTGGTGATCTTCTACCCGCCCAGCCTTACAATGCGCTGTTGCTATCATCGCCGCGGTTCGGATTGACTGTCGAAGAAATCGACACCGCTCTCAGAAAGGAATTTGCAGCTCACCCGACTGTGAAGTTCCAGACCAGCTTTTTACCATCTGAAGAGGTGGTCATCAAAGGTTCTGGCTCGTGGGCCGCTCCCCAGGCACTCGAAGGCTCCATATCTGCTCTTAAGCCCACCTTGTCGCAGACAGTGAGACGTTTAGATCTCGCGAAGGACGTCTGTATGTGCCACGTCGACGATTCTTTGAATGTCTTGCGTCGGGAGGAAGCCGCAAGGGGTCAAGGCGAGGGAGGCTGGAGTGCTGTGGCCGGACGATCCGCTGCTAGACCCAAGCCTGCCGCTCCTGCTGCCGCCCCGCTTCGCAGCAGATTCATTGCTCTCAGGAAAGAGCCGAAAAAGAAGGTGGACGACGAGCCGGTCGAGGAGGACTGGGAGGCCGCAGCGGAGAAGCTTGGTGATGAGTAGGTAGTGGCCCGAAGCCTCAGACGAAGCTGAGGCCGCAAGAAGCCAAATAGCTCATCATCAGTAAGGTTGGTCCTAGCAATCGAGATAGCCGTATAGAGGAATACAGCTCAGTGCCCCTTCACATGTCTAATTCTTGCCTACCGTAGTAACCTTTGTTTTGTGAAATAGCTTTGCTGCGGCACATGCGCGGGCCTACGCATCCGCGTTCTGCTCCTCGAACACAAGACTTGGACAAAGATCCTCTGCGTTCGAGCATCTATCATGTATTCATATATTGCTACAAATACCCGTAAGTATCATGACCTTCGGCACGTCTACATTGACGTACAAGCAGTCCCACCATTCAAGGCAGCCAGCTCACATCCGCCCCTAGACCATCCGCGCGTCAGCGACACTCCCCATTCCCACCCATAATCAGTCAGAATCATCAGAACCCCAATTACCGCCGCCGGTCTCAGCACCCGAGTTCCAGTCGCCGCCGCGCGCATTCTCCCATCCCTCGGCCGCGACGGCGGCGTCCCCGCTGCCGCCGAAGGGGTCGGCGTCATCGCCACGCGCCGCGTCTGGGGGTTTCAAAATCGCGCCCACCGCAAAGCGCGCGTCACGTGTAGCTCACGGCGGTCTGGAGAGCCCGGGCCTTGGGGATGGCGCGCGCGCCGCTGGGGCCGTAGTGTGTGTCGTTGTCCTCGGTCTCCTTTACCAGGGGCGGGACGACGAGCTTGGTGAAGTGGCTATGTCGGGGGTTGGGTGTGAGAGCTGGGGCCATTTGGGGGTGTTGTATGGGGGTACGTACGTGTATTCGTGAAGCAGTGAGGACCCGAGGGTTGCCATCTTCCACGAAACTCGGTTTCCGACTGTCGCATGTAGGGTCAGGCATCGCTTCTACTACTGCACGGTCTAGTCTCGGAAGCGGATTTTTGAATGTCAAAAGTCGCTGCTCATGAGCATGTCATCCAATATTTGACTAGGATGAGGCTACTTACTATAGTCGCAGTTGATAGCCTGCACCTTGGGCTTGTCATAGCCCTTCTCAATGCCGCTATGAGCAAAGGTGTTCGCACACACAATGATATCAGGGGCATCTGTGTCAAAGCCGCGCGTCGCCATCATCTCGCTCGGTTCGGTACAAGCCAGGCCCAGGGAATCTGGCTTGATCTTAACATCGCCCAGCTTGTCGCTGCCCTCGCCATAGTGCTTGTGGAGGATAGGATGGCGCTGTACGAGCTTCTTGTCGTCCTCCTGGAAGTATCGGGTGAAGTTGGGACCGCCAGTTTATATATATGAAATCGCGTCTGAGGCGTGCTGGAGTGCGTCTGAGTGTGCGTCTTTGAGTTGCTGCTTCTGCTGCGTCGACCAGGCCGCGTCGATTGTGGGCGTCGAGGAGAACACGGGCCAGCTGAGTATTCCGCATATCAAGCTGCGGTAGAGATTCCTCATGATGAACTATGAACATCAACGAAAATTATGAAAAGAAGTTGAAGTAAAAATCCAGAGTACTTTGGGCACAATTGTGACACAGCTTCCATGTTGTCCTGTATGCCTCATACTGGTTATGTAGAGTCCCACATAGAGTGATCTCAGTGATCTCAGTGATCTCTGCATTGGAGACTTCTTCGGCGTCGGCACCGTTGGATGTACTGATGTACATGACAGATACACAAAGTATATTCACTAAGTAGAAGGAGTGGTCAAATGGCACCAAGCGGCGAGGTGCTTCGCCGCAAACCCTCAAGTCAGGCATCTAAACGTGACCTGGTGAGCTCCATGTTGTTATATTATTTTCACCCAGTATACTACAGCAACCACCAATTCTAAACGACAAAAAAAAGGAATTTACAATCGCAGTTCCCCATACAAGTAGAACCACCACATGGAATACACTTGATAAGCTACACTCCCCGGCCATAAGTCTCCGAGCATCCCTGTTTTACACCAAAACACCCCAACTTTACGCGATCGTGATAAATCGAGTAAAATAGATACAACTTAAGTACTTATAGTACATATAGTTAAATTTACTGGAATATTAAAATGGTTTTGATACGCGTCATCAGGGGGAGTAGTCAATGTGGCTGGCACAGCCACAGTCATTAACACAGCCACTGGTATGTGTGTGGGTTACACATTGTGTGTGCGGACCTGGATAGCTAGGGCTAGACTAGTTAGATAAGGGTTGCACTAAGATAGGGATTGCAGTTGTTACCTTAAGTAGCTGCAATCTTTCCCATCTTAGTCCTTGCAACCCAACCCCGCCTCACACATCAATTGACACCCATTGTACAACGCAATAGGTTTACTCAAAAACTTTGACATCTTAAAGATAAAGGTCGTAAATGTTACTTTATTAAAGGTTAAATTTTCGATAAAAATAACTTTCTAACATATCTATTTTTTTTTAAAATCTATCACATAAGATTTTTCGTCTTATACGTGTATTACATGTCATTTAATATTATATAACTTTATATGACTTATACGATTTTTTAAACATTTTTTATAGCTTTATTAAGATTTAAGATCTAAGATTTTAAACTTTACTTTTATATATCTATTTCTTAATATTTTAGTCGCTAAAAAAATAAATATTTAGAAATTAGTTACGAAAACTTCAGCATTTTCAAATATTAGTTTCTTATAATATCTCATTTTAAAAAGCTTTAAGTCTTTAGTTATAAAAGCGTAAAGGTAGGGCATTTTGGTGTAAATGCGGGGATGCTCGGAGACTTATGGCGGGTCAGTGTACCTAGGTTAGTAGGTAGATGAATAGGATGTCAGGTGGTCAACAAAAAGGCTGACTGTGTGGCGCGGGCGCCAAGGGTCAGTGAGGGATGCTGGCGCTCTCCAGCGTGACGTGTTGTAGTCAATCCTACCGTTCCTCTCATCGTCGCCACCAGACCCGTGCCGTACAGCACTTCCCGTCTGGTCCCAGGGGAGAGAATGAAGGGTAGAACCCCCATATTCTTGCCCTTCGTCTCTTTCACGCCTCCCGCTGTTCTAATAGCCCCTTTGCGAGGGCATTTTGCCTGTACAACGATGGTAGAAGATTGGATACGAGCCTACATGTAGGTATACCTGCCTACAATCGTCTATGGCTTCATGCCCTCCGGTCGGTCGATCCTCACTCCGCTATGGTGAACTCGGCCGTATGTGCGGTTATCCGAACCAGGCCCTCTCCTTGCACGTTCGCAACATCCTTACAGGGTCCTTCGGGCTCATCCAGGCCATCGTCCTTCGTACCCCACCACCACGTCTTCATCTCCTTTCCCTCTTCCGACACACCAAAGCGGTACGTGTGCCCTACCCTGAAGCTCCGGTCGCCGACTTCGCTCCCAGCAACCTGCACTTCAGTCTTTGATCTACGTACGATAGAGAAGGGTTGCTTCACAATCATCTCCTGGCCGGGGTGGAAGGTGATGTAGTGCCGCTCGTCCGAGCTTCCCTTCTTCCGCTGTAGAGCCGACCGCTTGGGGCCCTTTGTCATCTCAAAGTTGACTGTTCTGGGTGGGTCTGAGGTGATCTCCTGGGCGAAGAAGTTGCGCCTCTGAAGGGCCAATCTGGGGTTGAAGATGGTCCCGAAGGTCATCACCGTGATGGGCCCGGCGACCGAGGGGTCGAGTGTTGCTCTGATAGAAAGTGCCGGGACCCCTTCCCAGTCATGCTGCTGATAGGTTGAAGGTGAGATTTCCAGGGCTACCTCAAGAGATGGCGCCGTATTGTCAGATTCGGTAGACATGAATACAATTATTGGGTGTCTCGAAGTGTAGCAAAGCTTGCTGTAAAACAATCATCACCCTGATTCAGAGTCATGAATAGCAGCCAAGACCAGACGAGAAGTGCTACACGGCACTGCAAAATAAAAGGGGTCAAGGGGCCAATGGACGCCACATATACGACAGCGGCGCACTTCCGCACCTTCGGTGGCGCGTGCACCTAATAAACCCACTGAAAAGCTCCCCTCTGCGCCACCATCCCAACCTTCTTCACCTCAAACGAGAACACAGACCGACAACAATGAACAACTTCGGGGTAATCGAGCTCGCCAGCACCAAGACAATCAACGCGCCTGGCTGGGCCTACGTGTCAGACACGGGCCGCGGCCCGCACCGCTCCTCGTCCACCACCGCCGGCGGGGGCCCCTCCTCGTCCACGACAACAACGACCACGAACCGCAAGCGCGCGCGCGCCGCCCACGCCTCGACGAACCTGAGCTCGGCCGACGCCAGCGCCCGCGCCGAGGTCAAGACGCGCCGCGAGATCGAGGTGCTGGACCGCGACAACGCGCGCGACGTGAACATCGCCATCCCAGCCAAGGCAAAGTCCAGTACCAAGGGCGGGTCGCAAGCCGCCAAGAAGCATGGGCACACCGCCAACGTCCGCAAGATCCTGCAGTCCCAGAAGACTTTCGCGAATCATCTGGACGACTACGTGGCGCTCGAGGGCGCGAACCCAGGCGCGACGAGCTTGAATTCGGGAGCTGGCAATGCGGGCGCTGCCTCCTCGAGGGGTGCGGCGGCCGCGGCTGCTGCCAATATGAGAAAGACCCAGCAGGGTGCGGCTGCGAGGAGGCAATCCACGATCAAGCAAGAACAGACCGACGTCGAAATGCCCAACGCCCCATCGTCTTCCACCACACCAGCCCAAGCCCAAACCGACCAACAACAACCACGCACCACCAGCAACAAGAGCGCCATCCTCGCGGCCTCGCCGCTCCCAGCACCGCAACCGCACCCGCTCGACTCAGACCCGCTGCTCGCATCGCGCGTGCCGCCACTGCCAACCGACGACGAGCTGCGCGCTTTGATAAGTGCGCCGCCGCTCAGCTACCTCGAGGCGCGCGCCGGCTGGACGCCCGAAGACCGCCGGTACCCGCTCCGCGTCTTCTGCGAGGTGTGCGGGTACTGGGGCCGCGTGCGGTGCATCAAGTGCGGGACGCGCGTGTGCGCGCTCGAGTGCCTGGAGACGCATCGGGAGGAGTGCGTTACGCGGTACGGGTTGTGAGTGCAGTACGAGTGCGAGTGCGAGGTGACGGTGGTATGACGGTGAGATGATATGGGCGAGGTGCGATGATATGACGGTCTGCTATGGAGTGGGTAAACATAAGGGGCATATCAAACCCAAAGAAGCATTATCTGGCAATTTCCGGCGTAAACATGTCACAGAGATACCCAAAAAGATGGCCCAAGGAGAGCCCACGGCATTCACGAACAGTTTATACATACTTAAAAAAGAAAAAAATAATCTTTTTTTCTAACTGTTCAGATCAGCTTTGTTTGGGAACTGTTCTCGTTACCGTGGTTGTGTGAAGGAAAAAGCGAGAGCATTGGAATGATCTAATGGTATCATATCGTCCAAACCAACCAACGCCGAAATGTGTCTGTCGCCCGGTATACCAAACCCTAGGGTGTCTCGCACCCACACCGATCCTGCAGTGAGCTATACCGCTCTAGTTCCAGAAAAGAGGTTTCCTCCACATACTTCGCCCTCAGTATCTGCTCAGCAGTCCTCGCATAGCAAGCAGGAACAAGTAGAGCTAGCTCTCTCTCGCAGATATCTCCCCAGCTCCCCAAGGTAGCCGTCTAGGCCGTCGAATCAAGGGTGAAAGCCACATCGCCCGAAGACGCACCGCCGGCGCACGTCGCGCTCAGACTCCCAGTCGGGCAGACGGCCTGGGCGGCGCGGACGCACTGCTCCCACCGTCCCTTGGAGACGTTGATGGTGGCACCGGGCGTCACGGCGTTGAGCGAGAACTTGGCGGTGGCCGACTCGCCCACGGTGCTCGTGGGCGCGCCCTGGCACTTAGTGATGGAGCCGGCGATGCCGCCGCAGATGCCCAGCTCCGCCACGTTTTGGTCGTGGAAGGCGATGGTGCTGCGTGAGACGTGTTAGCGTCTGGTGGATGGGAAGTGAGTGAGGTAGAGGGGACTTGGACACTCACGCATTGGGATCGATGCACGTCACGTCCGACGCGGCGTCCGGGTTCACCTCCGTCGACGCTCGCATCGCCAGGACTTCGAAGTGCTCGTTGGCGACGGTGAAGCGCGGCCAGACGGGCGAGGCGGCTACGAGGGCGGCGCTCAGGGCGACGAGGAGCGTAGATGAGAGCATTTTGCTTGGATTTTTAATGAGCAGATTTCGTCGAGTAAAGTAGCGAGTGAGTCGAGATATTAAGTCGCGATGAGTTCGAAAGGAATGGTGAAACAAGACGTCTAGTCTATGTATTATCTGGTGAAAAGAATGTGCCCAGCAGCTTCGTCAACGGTCGAAAGAAAGAATGGTAGGTAGTAGGTAGCAACCAGGCGAAATGCAACGAAGTTCAAGGCGAGACGCAGGTACTTATTAAGAAGGTAAAGAAGAGACAGGAAGAGATGGGAAGATGAGACGAGGCAGGGCTGAACCTGGCAACTGGGATCGCCAGGGTTCTTCTGCGACAGGAAGAGTATGGGTGTCTCGAGGAGAGAACACGAGGCTACTAGATACGAAATAGTAGGTGCTAAGGTGAAACAGCGACATCGATGGTTCTCCCTTTGCTTATTTCGGACCAAGAAAAAACGATATGCCATCTCACTTTGGCTCTTGATAGAGTCTAGCTGGACTCACGAACGCCAAAGGCTCTCAATAGATCTACTTCATCTGAAGTCATGGTCTCCAAATCTACCAAGGTGTGTGTGACGGCATCGAGGGTTGAGCTCTATAATCTCCTGCGATCTGCATTAGGGGCAATCTTAAGGCAATCTTTGAAGATCGTGGTGGCTTCCATGTGCCGTTCTTCAATGCATGCCAAACTGAGGCATTGCAGAGAGTTTGGAGAGGCAGGAGGTCTGGAGGTTGACATCTGAAACGGGAGAGCGTGATCTGCGCCAGGGTGTGCTGCGGACTAGTGGGTGGCCAGGGGTATGTGAACCAAGACAAGTCGTTAATAATCCCTAATCTGAAACTCGCGTGAACATCTCGTGCGTTTTGGGAAGCCCCATGATCGCCATAGTCAGACAAGCTTTTGATATCGAGTGCCGAGTGGATGGACCCGAGCACCCGGCAGGGAAGAGTTCAGACGAACGCATGGAAGACACAGAAGCAATCGGGGCGCAGTAGCGTTTGATGATGCTCAATCCACAGAGACCACCATCCTCAACCACCTTATGTGTCAGTGATCGCAACCATAACCTAGAGCAACAAGCGCAGGCTTGAACGTGAAGCCTGAAGCCTGAAGCATGCGTTCAAGTCCCAGGCCCTTTCCGTTCACCACATAGTCCACAGATGCCGGAATCGCCAGCATTCAGATACAGACTTCCTTGACACGACTTGCTGTAACAACTCCAGGAACCCGGTACCTTGTCGGCGTCTAGGACGTGGGAGCAGACGCTGCATATGGTTGAGTCACGCTCATTCTGGAATGAGCACATATGACAGTCTCCAGTAGCTGCTGCTTTGGAGACTTCCGCCGTCCGCAGTGAGGCAGTATATTCATCGCCTTTCGGCGCCGTCCGCAGGGAGGCAATACCAGTATCGCCTTTCGGCTTTCCCGAGACAAGTTTCTGTATGTTGATGTTGGGCTTTGGAGTAGTATCGGGACGCTGTGCCTCTTTTGTTTTCTCTTTCGCTTTAGATTTGGCCTTCGTAGTCGAACCTTGTTCCTGGCGCTTGATACCGGAAGCCGACGACAGCTCTCGCAACTCATTTTGCGCATCGCCGTCTTCCGGGTTCTCGTCCTCGCAGACCTTGATCAAGTTGTTGCCCTTGTCGTCGAGGAGCTTTTGACCATTGATGTCGATTGTGCTCTCTCCTTCATCCTCGCCGTCGCCCGTCACGTCAGAGCCGCTGTCACTTGCCGTCTCGTCGTCCTCGTCGATATCGATGGGCTTATTGAAATCTTCCACTTCCTTTTGCTGACCGAACCTTGCCAAGGCTGCGGCGGCCCTCAGCTCGCGTCCCCTCTTGCTCCCTGCCACTCGAGGTTTTGCCTGGGTTCTTCTGCCCTTCTCCAGCTCCGCTTTGACATCTTCGTCGTCACCCAGTGACACGCCATTAGCACCAAACTTCTTCAGTATCCGGCGCTCCTTTCTCTCCTGATAAGACAGTTGCTGCTTAGCCTTGCGTTTTCTCCGCCGCGAGCGGTATGTGCCACCACAAAGGTGTTCTGGCAAGACCTCGTCGGCGTGCACCGTATTCGCCTCGAATTGTCCAGTCTCCAGCAACGCACCTCGCCCCCAGAGCCCCTCGCCAGTGTAGCTGCGCGTCCACAAGATCCGTATCTGGTCCGCGTACCCGTTCCTCACGGCCCAGAAAGCCTTCGAGTGGTTCATTTGCTTACAATGCGCAAGCCTGGATGGTCATGCTGTCAGACGGTGAAAGCAAACCTACTGGGAATGACTCACTCGTGCATCATGACCATCTGGACATAGTTGAATGGGAGCCATCTTCCGGTTGACGGTGATTTCAGCACCAGCTGCACGACTTCCCCCGCGTTGAAGTTTCGACCAACAAACTCCCGGTTCGGTTCGTACTCTTCAAGTGTCATGATGGAGAGGTGGTGTTCTCTCATAATGGGCACTGGACACGTAGTACGTCAGTTAGCACTTCAGCTCAACCAAGTACTGCACGTCAGCTTGAGACTGGGTGTCACTGACAGCACTGCGCGGCGATGCGCTCCAGAAAGTCTTGCGCGATTGCTTCGTCGGGCCCCTTTAGGGGTTTGATGAAGATGATGCGATCATTTGGCTGCGATTTCTTCGCGTTGATTCGCTGGATGCCGACGGGCATCGTGGCGACCTCATGCGCGTCGTTGCCACGGTATGTGAAGATATAGGGTTGATTCGCAAGAGTCCACCAAGACTCAGTGTTGTATCGGAGCTTTGAGATGATACAGGTAATGAACAGCGTGTTTTTGGGTATTCCTTCGTTGGTAGGGCGATGAAGTGATGTGGTAGATGTTTAGGCGCAGACTGTTGCAGGATGGCCAATGTGTCGCCACCTGCTTTTACTCATTGCTCTTGATTGGTGGGTCGCTCATTCTAGGGGCGATTACAGTAAGTCTTCCCACTGTAAGTCGCAGAACAAACCACTAAGTCCAGTGACGTCGTCAATCTAGAATCCCTTTGAACCTACTCGGCCATGGTTTCCAAATACTCTTTGCCTTTCTTCTTTAATTACAAGTCAAACTCAATGATACATTGCAATTAATGAAAATTTGAGACCATACTTTACGGGATCGCATCAGGGTCATGTAGACTATATGTGACACTCCAATGTGAATCCCTATCTCCTTCGACCAGCACCTCCAGCCCCTGAATCGCCCTTCTCAGCCAGGGAGATGACTTCACTGATACCGGCAGCTTCCTGTTCGTCTTCCAGCGCGGTGATCTCCTCCCGACAATCCCACCACTTCTCTTCACTGAGCTCGAATGCTTTGGACTTGATCTCTTTGATACTCAGGCTTTCCGGCTTTATGTTCTTCCATCTCAGACTCGTCATCAGAATCTCCTGCCATTCATTGGACGTTCGAACAAAGAACTCGCGTCGGCTCTCAAAAGGCTATCATGCGTCAGTGAGGTCGTCAAGGAGGTAAAGAGGTTTGTTATGAACTTACCCGAGGATGAGGAAGTCCGTCGTCAACAGAACTTGCTACTGTGTCAGCTTCACTCTCGTCCTCGCCGGATGTCGTCGAGGCCGCAGTCGACTCCGAACCAGCAGTTGATGCTTCATCAGCCTGCTTCTTCTTGCGCTTGCTTGGCGACAGCAGGCCTTCTGGGTCGTCTGGCATCTGGACATCTCCCTCCTCGTCTTCTGCATCGTCTTCTTCGTCATCCTCGTCATCATCTTCGTCCTCATCCTCCTCATCGTCAGAGCCCTGAAAGTATTGGTGTCAATTTCAAAGTACCCCTTATAAGAGATCAAGAGTACACATACCACCCATGTTTCGTCTTCTCTCCTGAATACCTCCTTGCAACCGTCCATTTTGCCCAGGTCGATAGCGTATAGGTCGTCAAACGTATATTCTCGATCTTTCGCTTCGAAGGTCCCGCCATAGACGTAGAGCATGTCGCCTTGCACAGTCATCTGAGCGTTGAATCGGGGATGAGGAAACTCCATCGACACTGGCATTTCTCGTGTAGGATTCTCGGGTTCCTTAGCTTCGCTGTCCTTCTTCAGGTCGACGTCCATGGCATCGGCATCATCCAGGGATGTCCCGGCGTTTAGTGCTGCAAGCTGCTTTAACAACTCCTCTTCGTTCGCCTGAGCTCTGCCGCGTCGTCCAACCCTTTGCTCGGCTGCTGGTGCTTTCTTCTGAGTCCTTGGCTTCCGAAGTGTCATGGGAAAGAATCGGTTCCTCTCAATATTCCATGTAAACATCTGATTAAAGAACTCGCTGTCAATACCCTCTTCACTTTGCTCAACATCGTGAACTCCACCGAACTGGATTCCGCGTCCTCTGTGATATGTCATTGTAGCTCCTGCCCGGGCCGGATCGGGCGTGTTCGCAGGCTTCTTTCGCTTCTCCCACCTCACATTCGGCGGCGTGTTCGGCGGTGCATCTGCTGGAGGTTGGGTGATCCGCAAGAAGAAGCAGTCCTGGTGGATCATGGGCTTCATGATGCTTCTCAGTCCCTGGGATGCTCCTTTCGCCGACTTGTTTGCTGTAACAGTTGTCTTTACCCTCGAATAGCCACCGAAGAGCACAGCACCTTGTTCGTGAGGGAGAAAGGTAAACGACGACCTCGCATCCGGCTTCAACTGCGCCGGTGGAAGTGCCGGGCTGTACCAGAAGAAGTTTTGAGTGTCCCATATCCACAGGTCATTCATGTATTTCGTTTGGTTTGAGGTGTCCTGGAAGCCTTGAATTCGATGTTAGCTGACATGAGTCAAGTCTTCCTATTTACGATGTTACTGCCGTACCGCCGAAAAGAACGATGTAATTCTTGTAATAAACCATACGATGCCCGCTCCGGGCGGGTGGTGTCTTCCCCTTAACGTCTATACGCGTCCACTCCCGACTGCTTGGGTCAAGACACCAGAAGTCGTTGTAGTGGTAGAATGTGCCCTGCTTCGGACTGCGTGTTTTGGTGATTAGCTTGTAACGTATTGTTCCAGTTTCACAGAGTTCTTTACTAACCTGCTGAATTCGCCACCAAAGAGGTAGACTAAATCTTTGTTACCACCTTTGCACCAGGCATGACCTGACCGTGGCAAGGGAGCATTGGGGGATGTGACACAACGCCATTCGTCTCTATCAGTATAGTAGATGTTGAGGTCATTGAAGAAATTGGCAATGGCACCATTCCAAGTCTCGCCGCCAAACAACAGGAGTTGATTGCTATGAGATGGTGAAGCTAGGAAAGTGGATGATGAGCGCGGTTTTGGGGGAGCTTCCAGGACGGTCTCGGTGACTTTGAGAAACAGTTCCTGTTGCTTCTTGAACTCGGCAAGGACAGCATCGAGGTCGTCATCTTCAGCATCACTGCCCTCCAGCTTTGAAGACTTGACTTTCTCCTTCTTCTGAGCCTTCTTTTCCTGCTTCTGTTTCTTCTCGGCAAGTTTCTGCTTCTTGGAGTCCGTCTTGGACTTTTTGTCCTTGGCCATGCTGGGATATCAGCCCACAGCTGGCGACTTGTAAGCAGTTCTCTTAAACCGGGATAACTCAAGCTTGGGTCCCAAATGGTCCTATCCGAAAAGAACAGAGTGGGAAAGTCGGCAGGGAAGATTCCGCTCCAACTGGAAGATGTGTAGTAAGTTTCACAGAAGTAACCTTACGTACAGACGGGAGTGCACATGTGCAGACAGATGGTGCAGCTTGAGCAGATTGATGGCGCTTCACATAATTGCCCCTCCATGCAGAGCTTGAGCTTGCCAGCTGTCAGCCCCTCCCCCGCACTCAAATTTGTGCAGGCGCTGGCGCCTCTCTGCGCGGACAGGCGACCGCCGACAGGTGAAGCCTCCCGTCAAGCTGGTGCAGCGCTACGTAATACCTGGAATTGGAAGCGACATCGCTTGCGCGGGACGGGACTCAAATTCCTCGTCTGCCTCCGTTCCATCGCATCGTTGCACCTCCCCCGAGCATATCTTGGATGGAACCTCCACGGTCACACCCAGTGGCTTTTACTAAGGAATTGATCTCCAATTCCACTTTTTCCTTCTTTCCCTGATGAGAGACGACCGAGAATGACCCCGATACCCGCCAGCCTGATCTACCGAGGACACCCACTTCGGGCCAGCAGGCGGTGACGCTGCGCTGTCGGTTCTGTTGGTAGACCGCGACCTGGCCCACCCTCTCGCGATACACGCAACAATTTCACCTGCTCGACATGACCAACTGCAGCATTCTCGCTTCGGGTTTTGTCGCCGCCGCCTGCCGTTGTGCATGAACCACATAGCCAGCCTGGCAGGCTCCAAAGGGTTCATAAGGAAGTAGTCACCCCAGACCCCAACTCGAGACCGCTCCACCTTCTACCGACTACACAGCGTCAAGCCCCTCGGAATCACCATCATGGCAGCTAAGGAAGCACAAGTCGGTGCGACAATGACCACCCACACAACCGCCCAAGGAAAGTCAGCGGCAATGGAGGCGATAGAAGACGTCATCTACGGATCTGTGAGCTGCGTCCCAGTGATGGCTTTCGCAATCGCAAGTTCTAACAAGATCAGGTCGCCGGCATTGCTGGCAAATATATAGAATACCCTTTCGACACAGTCAAAGTCAGGCTCCAGTCCCAGCCCGATCACCTCCCTCTCCGATACACGGGTCCCCTGGATTGCTTCCGACAGTCAATCAAAGCCGATGGAGTTGTTCAGGGTCTATACCGCGGCATCAGCGCACCACTCGTTGGTGCAGCCGCCGAGACGAGCAGTCTATTCTTCTTCGAGCGCATAGGACGGGAGGTGGTATATGCATCGGGACATTATTCGCGAGATCGCGTACTTCCGTTGTCTGCATTGTGGTTCACGGGCGCATTTTCAGGGACATTCACCTCTTTCGTCCTCACTCCCATTGAACTGGTGAAGTGCAAGGTCCAGGTGCCTACAACGACTAGCACCGATGGGATGGCTCCCAAAGCCCCTAGTGTCATGTCGGTCATTCGAGATGTTTACAAACACGAAGGAATCAGGGGCTTCTGGCATGGCCAAATGGGCACTTTTCTTCGGGAAGCTGGCGGCTGTGCGGCTTGGTTTGGCTCCAAGGAGACCACGACGAAGATGTTCTATCTCCTCAACGAACGATCCGCAATCACACAGAAGGAGAAGGATGCATTGGCTACGGAGGCGCTGCCATTATGGCAGCAGGCTGTGGCCGGAGCCTCTGCCGGCATGTCTTACAACTTCCTCTTCTTCCCGGCCGATACGATCAAGTCACGTATGCAGACATCGCCTGTTGGTGGTACTACGCAGAATCGGTCATTCTGGCAGGAAGGCAAGGCCCTATGGGGTCAACACGGCCTGCGCGGTCTCTATCGCGGATGCGGTATCACGGTACTACGCTCTGCACCGAGTTCCGCTTTCATCTTCATCATTTTCGACGATCTAAAGCAGCGTTTTCCTCTCTGAACGAGATACCCTCTGCATGATAGACAAATATAGATGGAGCATGTCTTGGCGTTTGGGGCGCATCCACAGTTGGGACAGGCGTTGAGTTTGGCAGTGGACTGCCGCTGCTCCCTGGTTCGTTGGAATGGAGATGGATCAGGTACAAGCTATAGAAAGTCTGGGTATCTAGCTTAGCAAAGCGTCTTGATTCTACACCAATGATACAAATGTCTTGCGCGCGTTAGCAAAACCTCAATCCGTCTTGCCCAGCGCCTTTCTTGTCGCGAGCGTCGACTCGGAGATGTCCCACTCGTTCAGGTACCCCACGCCGGCATTCAGGTACGTCGCGAAGCCCAGCCACGCCATATAGGGGACCATGCACCAGCCGGCGACCTCGTCGACCGAGAAGAACAGGTACGTCAAGTAGCCGTTGACGCCGACCAGGGAGACGATGTCGGCGAGGGCGAGGACGGGCCGGCGGGCGCCGAAGAAGAGCGGCATCCATGCCAGGTTGAGCCCCAGCTGCAGCGAGTACAGCGCGCGGATCGAGTCGGCGGAGCCGGCGCCCAGCACGCCGCTCCTCGAGACGGCGCGGTGCGAAGCGTAGCCCATTAGCCCGTAGAGCAGCGTCCAGACGGGGCCGAAGACTTGCGGGGGAGGGCGCAGGGGCGGCTGCTTCATGGCGGCGTAGGTGGTTTGGGTTTGCTTGGCTGGAGGGGGGTTCAAAAGTTGTTAGTTTATTTACTTGGGAAGTGGTGGATGTGACTACTGAGAGGTGGGAGGTCAGGTCCTTACGTCGTGTGCTGTAGCCGACGGCTGTGCCGAGGGCGACGGGCAGGAGGACCGACGCGGCCGGGCTCGCGAAGACATCGTAGGGTATGCGCGGGATGTAGGTCGTCATCTTGCCGGTGGGTTCTGGCTTCCACTGGTGAGGTGTCCAGAGAAAGGTAGTGTAGAGTGGTGTTGGTTCCGGGTCTGGTGACTGGGAGAGGAATGCTTGGGAAGCTGGTGTTGAGGAAATTCACCGAAGCTTTGTTGATGGTTCGATGCCAAACGGTGATGACGTAAGGCTTCAGGGTGGAATGGAGCTCGGTTCATCATCACCCGTTGAGTTCCACCTCATGGCTTCCTTCCGTCTTCTTCTTTGCATTGCATTGCGCTGAAGTAACGACGATCTGTTAGTAAGGGTGGGTAGAATATTTGGCATCTCGGGTTATCTTGTGCTCCATGTTCAGCTTGATATATGGTTCGTGTCTCCTGCATGCTATGCTATGAATATCAAGCTCACCTCTTAAACCTCTAATATTTTGACATATTGTAGTGTAAAGGTATAAATAGGTAGGCTACATAACTATGTGATATATAGTCTCTTGGCTTTGCGCCAGTTTAGTAAAAACCTACCTACCTACCCGTAGGTACTCATGGACAGGTAAGCTCTATACTATCTCACCAAGTGCCCCTCGCGTATCGCAGTCCGCACCGCATACTGTTGCCAAAGCTTCACATTTACTTGGTCATCTGGATGCCTCCAACAACAGCTAATATCGAACATCATTTGACCTCGAAGGTTGCCTATATCAAGGTAGATACGGTGTCCGCGATGGTTCTAGCTGTATCTCACGGGGTGAGACGAGGAGTTCCGTGTCTGTCAGGTATGCTCGAGTAGCAGCTACGAAGTCAACTGAAGGGTGTCAACCTGTGCAAGTGAACATACTGAAATAACCTCGGAACCGTATTTATACACAGGCTTGAGCTTCATGGCCTTTGTCCTGACTGCTCTCATGAACGATGGTTCAGTTCCAAATGGATCGATGCACGAACAGGTCAATGCACGAACCGGTGCACCGGCCCTGTCCCAGCCACATCCCCGTTTACTCCACAATCCATCTAAGCTAAACCCAATCATTCCACAACCAGATCCACACAGCCGGCTCGGATTGGGCAATTCAGCCACCGACTCGCCCCGATACCTGACTACCGGTGATTATAACATTGATGAAGCGCCGGGCACGAGTCGGGTCGTCTCCAGCTGGCTGACGGATTCCCTTCACCCGGGTGTCTTTGTCTTCCCTTCACCTCAAAAGCTGCCATTTCGTCGCCTTGACGATCACCAGCAGCAACCCAAGCTTGGGACTTTGTGCTCGACGTAGATCATATCACTCTTCCACTTTTACAGTTTGTCTATCCTTTTCTGACCACTATTTACTTGTCAATGCCTGGTTGCCCTTTAGCCCCTTTGCCTCTTGAATGCTCCCCTCCCACCTATCACCTCTCGACTTGACTCCTCCTGCTCCCTACCGCACCTCTACCTACACGCCGCTTCTCGCAGCAGCTGCCCCAATCGATTGGCAAACCCATTCGACTTTCTCACTACTACTTTCTCTTCGTTGGCTTGTTGCAGAGCTACGCTTTTGCCTATGATTACCTCTCAGTTCGGATTGCCTACACTACTACATCACACACCTTCTACTCTCACTGCTTCCCTCCAAACATTGTCAGAATGGTTTCTCTAACGGCAATCGCATCGCCAAACAGCAGGCAGCGGAACCCTCCACAATCAGTTGGGGTTACCTGACGAAGCGACTACCCTTCTCCACGACCGAGTTTCCTACATATACCACGCGCGGACAACCGATGCCTGCAAGAACAATATCCGCACCTACCTTTCCCGACATTCTAGGCTGGAGAGATGGACTCGTACTCATCCCGCGATGGCTCAGGCCGATCGCCTGTTGAGCGTAGTTGGAGTGGTCGCGACGATCGGATGAAAGAAGAGCCCAGAGACAGCTTCTATCGTGGACGTTCTCCTGGTGCGTATTTTCCTCTGTTCGAAAGATCCAAGTGCCACTACACCAGTGCCATGCTGGATATGCTATGTCGCGTTTCATATTTGCCACTGACAGGCAGTCCCATTTAACCCGAGATGAGGAAGCCTAGAATCACGCTGACAATTGTAGGTTACGATCGCAGCCGACGTAACCGGTCTCGCTCCCCTTTGCCTGTCGACAGGTACGAGCCCCGACCCCGTGCGAGGGATGACCACGGCGGACCGCGCGACAGAGAAGACCGACGTCGCATTGCTTCACCTCCAGCGAATATCGACCGGTATGTTCCGGGTCCGAACAGCAACCTGCCACCCCCGCCGCCCGTCCATATGATTACCGACCCCGTGAAGTTGCCATACCAAGTGGGATTCTCTTACTTTGGCGAATGGTGGAGAGCGAATGAGAAGGTGAAAGAGGAGAAGGAACGTGCGCGCACAGGGCGACGACGCGAACCAGATCGCCCACGTGGTCGCGAGAGTCAGGAAGATCGCGATAAGGAGAAGGCCAAAATCCAAGCAGCCTATGATTCGTATAAGGAGGACCTCCAGGCGAAGATGGCTAGAACATTTGTCGCTGAGCACAAGAGAGAACAGTGGTTCAAGGAGCGATATGTACCCGAGGTACGCGATCCTCTACGTGCACAGATCAACGAATTCCGTCGCACCGGATACAACCAGTGGGAGCAGGATCTGGAGTCGGGCACATTCGACGACTTCTCCCTCGAAGGGCTTCCCAAGAGCGAAAGCAACGGAGCTGGAGGGATCATTGAGAAGGAAGAAGGCGAAGCTACGGCAGCAAACGAGGTTCTCGGTGTTGGCGACCTGGTCCCCGCCAGTGGCAATGATCTTCGAGACGATAATCTCTATCAGCCGACTCTTCTGATCAAGACCATAGCCCCTCACGTCAGCCGTGTAAACTTGGAGGCGTTCTGCAAAGAGCACCTTGGAGAAGAAGAAGGTGGCTTCAAGTGGCTGTCGCTAAGCGATCCCAACCCCAGCAAGAGATATCATCGCATGGGTTGGGTCATGCTGCACCCTGCTTCTGAAATTGCTGCTCCCGTCGACCGCCCCGATCCAAAGGATGATGGTGCGGATGAGGACGCTGACATCAAGTCGCCAGCACCTGTTTCGACGGCTGAGAAGGCCCTCGAGGCTGTGAACGGGAAGACCGTCAAAGATGAAGTCCGCGGAGACTTCGTCTGCCATGTCGGCGTGCACAACCCCCCTAGTCATCCTCGCAAGAAGGCCTTGTGGGATCTCTTCTCCGCGCCCGAGAGAGTTGAGAAAGATCTAAGCCTGGTTCAACGGCTCATCCGCAAATTTGAAGCTGACTTCGGTTCCGACTTCAGCGCCGCGCAGAGAATTGAAGACAAGGTAGCGTCTTTGCGAGATGCTGGCCAACTCCAGCCAGCCGGTTCAACTGCGCCGGCAAAGAAGGTGAAAAGGGAGCGGAACCTCGATTTCGATGAGACCATGGACGAGGGAGAGGAGGGCGAGATGGGCGAGTCGGATGACGAAGGAGTTGTTGATGATGAGGTCGATGACGAAGACCTTTTGATGAAGAAGAAGCAACTCGATCTCATGATTGAGTACCTGCGCCGGGTCTTCAACTTCTGTTTCTTCTGTGTCTTTGAGAGCGACTCCATCCATGAGCTCACCCGGAAGTGTCCCGGTGGTCATCTTCGCCGGCCCAGAAGCACTCTATCCTCGGCTGCCAAGAACGTGGCTCGGGCGAGTGCTAATGGCGACCCTTTCCCGTCGAAGAAGCGAAACGAGGCTAAAGAGGAAGAAGAAGAAGGCGAGGCGCCGGAACCTGAACGCAAGTTTCGCACCGCCTTCTCAAAGGCTGAGCAGCAACTGGAGCGTGCGTACAAGTGGGTGAAGACGTTCGAGGACAAGATTATGCAGATTCTTGAGCCCGAGTCGGTGGATGTCCGGAAGCTGGGCGGCAAACCAACCGAGGACGTCTTGAGTGACGAGCTCTCCAAGTACGTCAAACAGGAGGACGAGCACAAGTACAGATGCAAGGTTCCCGAGTGCGCAAAATTGTTCAAAGAAGAACATTTCTGGAAGAAGCACGTCGAGAAACGTCATACCGAATGGTTGGACACCGTCAAGCAGGAGGTAAGGGCGCAGTCTAATGCCGGGGTGGATGTGCTGAGCTAACCGTGATTTATAGTTTGATCTCATCAACGCGTATGTTCTGGACCCTGCGCACATTGCTCCGTCGAGGACCGACGCCAACAGCAATGGCCACTTCCCTCCTGCCAATGGACAAACCCAGCAAGGCACGCCCCGCGGCTTCAACCTGCAGAACTTTGCAATGAACAACATGCTACCATCTTTCCCTGGCTTCCCAAACCTCCCTGGCATGCCTCTCTTTAGCGGCAACCAGGCTATGCAAGCTGCCGGATGGAACGCCGGCGGCGACGAGCGCGGCGGCGGCCCTACTCGTCGTGGCGGCGCTGGTGGTGCAGGTCGGTATCCACCCCGCGCCGGGCCTTACGATAGGCGCCAACCGCAAGGACGTTGGGGCCAGGATGGACAAGGTGCCGGTCGCGGTAGAGGTGGTGCCAGCCGATGGGGAGATGGCGCTGCTGCTGGTGGAGCAGCTGTTGGCCCTCGTGAGGCTGTTCAAGGCCGCAGCTTGAAGAGCTACGAAGACTTGGACCACGTTGCCAGTGGAGGTGGGGGCGAGCTAAACTACTAAGCCATCCATCGCATGCGGGGGTTACCGGACCTGCACTTGCAGCCTGAGCTTACGCAGATATGCTTCACAAGTCATCGCGATCCCATACTTTGGTTCGGATGATGTTTTCGGGATGATGGTTGGGACTAGCAGTGCGTGTTGATTTGGCTGGCGATGATTGGGATGAAAATTATCCTGCGCTGGTTTCTTTCCTTGTCTCTATGTCCATCTCTGTCGGGTTTATTGGGAGGTTTTCTGGTACGTGGAAGTCGATATGGAACCCGCCGCTTGCATGACTGCTTCCCTGTGTACATTTAGAGCTAGAAGGTAGCACATACAGCAAGTTGACTGGGACACAAGGTTCCGGTGGGAAATATGAGCACGCCATCTTGACGTTGGTCTTTGGTGACTGGCGCAGGGCCGCGGTTGCAGACTGACTGGGACTAGCGTTACCTGGTGACTGACTCACTCTCAACGCAACCTGCAATCTACAAGTGTGACAGGCATCATGCGTATCCCTCAACCACAGCTTTACTTTCTTCTTGTTAGTTACCTAGGTACCCTCGGTAAATGCGAAGTCTCCGCCCAGAGAGCAGGACCCTAGACCGTTTGCCCTCTACTCGCCCACTCTTGGGCTACTCGCTGAGCTGAACGGTGGCTTGTTGTCGTATGCCTCGTCAGGGACAAGAGGTATCTTCACAGATAACGCGGCTCACCAGCTTGGCCCCCTTAGGGATCTAGCCTATGAGCTCTTCTCTTTTGGACATGAAAGGGACAGTTGGATAGGTACTCATGGCCGAATTTCCATTTCACAACAAAAAACATACATGCAGGATGCCGTCTCTCGGGCAAGAACTCCAAACCCTTTCACCTCCCCACGCAGAACCCATTCATGCCACTCGCCTTTGTTTCGTCCTTGGCCCACTTCTTTTCTATGTAGTCCCAGACGTACTCCCTGTTGGCATAGATACTTTTCAGGACATCCTTGTTCCATATCGCGCCGCGATCCTCCTTGGGTCCTCGCAGCGTACGCACGGGGTGCTCAGTAGTCCGCTGATCCCGGGGGCCTGGTGGCCGGCGCAGTCTGCATTCGAGTTGCAGGCGGCCTTCGGACACATCCCGGCTCTTTTGTCGATGTTCCGCGCGCTCTTGTCGCCGGAGTCGGCTCCGGGTTCGATGATGCGGGGAATACCGCGAGCATCTCTGCCGTTGCGGGCATCGAGGGCGGCGTTGCTGGCGGCCTAGGAGGCGTAAGTGACTTGCTTGTGACGGGGGTAAGAAATGTACCGGGAACCCACTCTTGGAACGACGACATGGCCGAGAGCGCCCGAGGCGAATGTCAGGGCAAGAACAAGGCTGTGGTTGGGTTTCATGGCTGGTTGTGTGGGTTTTATGGCAGTGGTTGTCAAGTCCGGATTCCACAATGTGATGGTCGCAAAGATCAGTCGACAATGGCTCTTTATGTGCCGCAAAGAAGTGATCCTAACAAGTTCTATTCCTGTCAGCGCCAAGTAGAAGTTTGACTTTCGGCCCATCTCACTGAGCCTTTGAGGCGTAGTCGGTGCCTCTGCGGCACTGGTGGCACCCGGCACAGTTGGTACGCCCGCAGGGCCCGTCATAGGATCGCGTCGTAGTCGGTGCCTCTGGAGACTCTGGTGGCACCCGGCGCAAATGGTATGCTCGTAGGAGCCGTAGGATTCGCGTTGTGTGAGAGACGATGACGCGCGGAAAACGAAAAAGGCAGGTCCCGAAGCGGCTTTGCCGTTCCTGGGAGGATGGCTAACTATAGTGACAGGAAGAGCGCATCCTAGTGGAGGTCAGGAACCAGTCAGCCAGTACAGTGCGGAAAACGAGGACGAAGCCGCGGGTGACACTTACTGTCGGAACTCTGCCTGGTAGAGGAAGTAAGTAGGGACGCTGCTTCGTCCTTGCGTGACCAAAATACGACAGCCCCAACTGTAGGGATTCCAACATGTCCACATCGGCGGAAAGGAATGAGTGTTGGCTTCTCGCTTGTGGATCCTATATATTCGCCCTGCTTGGCCAGCGACCTCCACTGGTATACATGTCTATACTCACCACTGATTTGGTTATAAATAGAACAGGTGGCTCGGTATCCTGGTCACAAACTTGATATGAATCGAGACGGTACCGACAAGGAACGACAGGGAACGATAGTTTATGATTAGGTAGGAAGGGTGTTCAAGGGCTCCGACCCTAGTAGTTGCTCAACTACCGGTATTGCCGAAGCGTGGGCGGATAGGTAAGTGAGTGATCTGGCACAGCGTGTGGTGGTTGAGTCGTCTATGGATGTGAGTATAGCCTACGTAAGGCCGCTGGCGAGTAGCTTGGGGATGGCGTGTGTCGGGACTCAGGGGTATGGAGGGTCATTTTCCATCGCCCAGTGATAGATAGCATCATCATATTCATATTAACTTGGCTTATCCCTAAGCACCATCGTGTATAGGAAAGACTTTAGCATATACCATGACATCCTTGTCAAATGTAATGCTCGCGTTGAAAACATTTCGCGTGGACGAATACCCTCAAAACGATTGCTGCTGCGTGACGAGGCCGAGTGCAATCTATTTAGATCGTGGCTCAACGTTGATGACCCTGTAGTTTCATATAAAAGCAGCCATGCCAACCGCTCCAGCAAACGTAGCAGCCACAGTGACGAAGCTCGAGACGGAGAGCAGCGATACGCCACTGATACCGTGGCCCGAGGTGCACCCTCCAGCCATCCTCGACCCGACTGCAAGAAAGACACCTCCTAGGACCGATCTTGTGGCACCAATACTGAAGGCACAACCAGCGACACCGCCATAGTCCCAGCCACCACGCCGGTCGTGATGAATATGGCGCTGTACGACTTGGGCTTACTGCCGCCTCTGGTCACCCACCAGAAGTAGTCGCCAACCTCCTCAAAGCCGATGACGTGCCCAGTAACGATTGCCTCGTTACTATCGACACCAGCTGGGCGCCGGCGATCAATAAGCCGCCGACGACGGGACCGACCAAGCCTTAGGACTTCGATAACGACTGGGCAGCGATAGACACGACAGCTCCAGCAATGATGGTCTCGATCCCGACAAGTGAAGCTATCTGGCTGGTACCCAGCGCCTCGGGGACCGTCAGCTTGTCAGGCGCAGAGTCTTTCGGCTTCTTTCGTGCCCCTATTATCGGCCGGAGGACACCGGCCCAGAGTATGCCCCCGAGAATACCTCCCCCGAGCGTGTAGACACCAGAGCATATGCCCACTCCGATTTGCGCGAACAAGGTCCCAGGGCAAGCGCCCGAGAGCGCCATGCCGGCGCCGTGGAGGCAGCCGCCGATGATATTGCCGTCGACGGGACTGAAGAGGCCGAGGGATGAAAAGCTTCGAGGCTTGAGACTTAGGTAGCCCAGCCTCTGAAGCACGGTGACCAGTAGCCTGGAAGTTGTCAGTTGAGTTTGGCATGGTGACTCAGAAAGCAAGCGTCGAAATCACGAACATGCTTGTGCCCGAAGCGGTCAGGAATGTCTCGACCATCCGGTAGTTTGTCAAGTCCATCTGGGCCACGATGATGCCTGGCTGATGGATACCGGCTGTCGTCAAGGCCGCGCCAAAGGCGGCTCCGGAGCCGAACGCGCCGGCCATCCCCAGCAATCGCGAGCGGTCGTGACTATTGTACCACGGTTAGAGAGACGAGGGAGAATCCGATATGTCGGAAAGCAGGGCCGAGTCGATATGAGTTTTCAATGACTCGTCCATGACCTCGGCATCGCGCTTTGCAGAGCTTTGGTCTAGGTAGGCTCCTTATCATTATCAACGGAAGCACACCAGAGCGGAGATGCGCTGCGCCTGGTAAGCGGGCAACTTAGCCTCCATGTGTGTCTCCGGCCTCATGTGCCAGAGGGGTCGGCGATCAGACGCAAGACTTCTGGCGTTACGACTGGTTCAATATGCGCCCTTACCTGATAGCTGAATGTTCTATATCCCCGATGTTGGTTCGGAGGTAACCCTACGGTATTTCATTGGCGCGGGCCGGGATGGATGAACACTATATGATCTGATCATCGCGGAAACATGGAGGTAACTCGCAAGCAAGTGAAGAAGAAAGTCCCTGGTCGGTGTCGCCTGATGATGTCCTGTCGTGCGACCTTAAGGTGGGTATACTTGTGAAGTCCTTCTTCGGCCCGCCGCTCAGTTGGAGTTGGACGCCGACCTACCACCGGGATCTACGGCTCGGGGATCTCGCCTGCATAAGCCCAGCTTCGCTTTGACTGGGCGAGGGCTGTCTTGCATTCATCCGCCGTAATTCGCTGGTGGGTTCGCCGACACATGCTTCGGATGATAATACCGAAAATGAGATTATCCACCTCTCGATCTACTCTCCATCGCCTTCGTACGCCACTGAGGCTACCACGACCAGTCTCAAGTACACTCTCTAATCGCCAGCGATCATCCCATGATCGTCGACTACTCTGCCTTGTTGTTGGCTTGATGCAACGGGGAATCCATACGCAGATGCAAGACTGACTGGTGGCATCTCCTTTCCTCGACATACAGCTGGCTATATGAAGTCGACTACGGCTGCAGAGGACGCTTCGCCAGTTGTAGCGGTTGCTTGCAAGGGCTCATCTGGCAGATGTGTGGCAGGAGACGGAGTTACGCCCTGCTGCGTGTTCATCGATGACTGCGCTCCGTATGCTGGTGCTGTCCACGCAGCCGAAGACTGCAAAGGCTCCTGTTACGAACTCGCTACCGCTTGAGCCTCATACACCTTCTACGAGGACGCTCCCTCCACCCACCGAGGAGATGATTGCGAAGCACGGGTAGATCGTCGTCAAGCTTGCCGGCCACGTCGGTGACGAGTATGGCGCCGACATCGCCCCGGCTCGAGGCGATCCTGGAAGAGTGCAAGACCACGGCTAGTCGAGGGCTTCGAGGGTCTGGAGGGCATGATGGTCGAGGCTGCTGACTGGGCTAGGAAGCGGGAGGCCTTCTTGAAGAGGTTGCGGTCCAAATCGGCTACCAGAGCACTTTCTTCGGCGATGAGGCGGGTAGAGTGGCAGAGCGGCAGATCGGCAGCGTTATGAGACTCAAGGGGAAGCAGTCGGGAAGAGTTGATACCATGCCGTGAGGATTAGGTTCCTGTAGCTGTAAGTACAGATGAAGCTGTACGGAAACTACCCGTTGGATAGTCCTGGGTCTCGCCCCTCAGCAGTTTCAAGGGCGTCTACTGCTATTGCCGGTGCCCTCGACGTCACCACAGATGCGCATGGCGAGCCACAGCTGAAAGCCCACTCCATGTCTATGACAAGCATCGAACAGTTTTGCAATAGCCTAGGCTTGCACATATCATGGTGAGTTACAGGCAAGCCGGGACCGAATGCCCGGAGCAGACGTCTATCTGGTCACGGAGCTCTGTGGCCTGCGCTCGCCCTGTAATCCTCTCCGGCGAGAGTTAAGCTTGTACAAGCTACACCCTGCAAGGCACTGTTGGTGAGCCTGATGCTGTACTCGCAACTCGAAGAATACACTTGTCGTTCGGCGGTCGTAAAATCAGGTCTTTGAATCGTGCAGCCACGTCTAGTATATTCGCAACGGAGCCGGACACTGGACAATTCGATTTCAATTGAAATCAAGCAAGTTCAATGATCTTTTCTACCGGCTCGAGATCATCATAGCCTGGGTCCACCAGCGTGAAGCGGCCAATGCGAATGAGACGTATGTCATCATCGTCAGCAGCAGGCGTTAGTATGAGACCATTGGTGGCACTATATCCGGGGTATAATGGGAAACCTTTCATGATTGCGATAAAGTGAATGATCTCGGGGAGTGGTTGAGTGTCATCGTCGAAGCTCAATGAGGTCCAGTAGGCAAGGCCACCAGGTTTGGTATATGCGGTGCTTGTGGTATCATGCACCGCCTGATGGGGCACAAGCTGGAAACCTGGCTTATCATCTTCCCCGACTATTCTCGTCCATTTGGCTTGTGCGACTTGGCCTTGAAGGCGAAGCACAATATCCTTATGAGGTCTCAAGGCGGCACTCTCGCCACCCACGTTTCGATTACCCACTGCGTCTTTGTGCCCGACCGTAGCTACAAGCGTGACCAAGCATTCTCCAGTACACGCAGGAACTTCTGGTTGGAACCATTTCTGTGCTGGCAATGAAACCTTGCCGTCTACTGATGCCCAGGACCAGGAAGGTGCCACAGACTGCTCGCGAGCGATCCGACGCGTTGGGGCACCCCTGGCCGTTCCCCATAAAAGGTCAAGAGGCAGCATACTCCGCCAGTGGCCGGCAAGGTGCTGGTCGCTGAACATAGTTTGCCAGAGGGCACTGACGCCTGCCAAAGCGTAAAGTTTGTCTTCTTGGAAGGTGAGACCGCGGGAGGAGAACTCTTGTACCACGTTGCTCCATGCCTCCCACTGGTCGAATGGCTTCTGCGCCCCGAGGAACTGCCCCGAGTTCTGGAATATGGAGCTCAGCCCCAAACTGAGAATCTCCCTTGTCACGAAGCCCTCTGGGCGTGCTTCTGAGGCCTCTAGCGCTCGACATTCCCAGTAGACCTGTGATTTGCAAAAGTGTACAGTCCTCGGCGCTAAAAGCGTCTCTTGAAGCACCCAAGCTCGCTTTCTTATGCGTTGTCGTAACGTCCTCCATAAGTCTCCACCTGGGCAGGGCGGATGCGGTGCCTTGCCTGTCGCGAGCTGTCGGCGTCGAGGCGTACCCGAAAAGTTTGTACTGCGCTTCGACCACGATCAAAGAAACATCCTTCATGTTCGTCCTTCGCATCGGCAGCTGCGATATTACAGGCTGAGTTGCGGTAGACCTTGTCCATTTGCGAGATTTGCAAGGCGAGGTCCTTCGGATCGTTCTGTACAATGCATAGGGTATCGACCCATAAGTAAGTGTAGCCAAGATGATTCGCGACCTTGATAGCATCTCGAATGGATGCTTTGAGTCCCTCAAATCTTACGCCATGCCTGAGCTCGTCCATGTTGGCCCTTTGGAGGAGCATCTCTTTCTCTGCAATCCATCGATGACTCAGGGTCAAATACCTCACGTTAGAATCGTACTCTTCCCGCTCGCCTTCGTGAACACTAAGGTGGTCCTGGAAAGCGGGAATCGAAGGCCAATGGAGTAGGCGAGACGGCCTCCATTGTGCTACTCGCATGGACCGACAAGCAGCATGTGATGTCTCACATGATTCCAACCAAGCTTTGGCCAGGTCAAGGGTTACTCGTGATCCCGTGTTATCGTCAGGCTGGAAAGTAGACTCTGGCGCGACATCAGACGCAACAACGTCAACATCAATTGTGTATGACGTGCCAAGCTGAAAAGTACGGTCAACTTCAGGGGCTTCTACGATGAATTTCATTTCGGTGCGATTTTCTACTGTCGAATCCAGTCGCTGATGTTCAATCTCGCCGCCATACCAGCCTTTGTGGACGGAACTCAACACATCCGATAGTTTCGTGGCAATCCATGTTGTGCAAATCCGTTTGAGACCTAGCTGCTCCCGCTCAAAATATCCGCGGACACTTGTGTGGTCATGGCGCATTCGATCCACATATTAATATAACCATCGGCAGATAGGACAGCCTTCCTGACCTGCCCGTCGAAGGCTTGACAGAGTGGGCTGATGAGTGCCTTTATCGTGATCTTTGCATGTTCGGAAGTTTCTAGAAACTGCCTGACAGGCGGAACACAGCTCTGCGACTTCGGGCATGACAGACTAGCCGTTTGGTTGGACGGCTAGGTCTGCTACTGTGGTCAGCCACCGAGTCCAGTGAGTCCTTTTGCCGGACAGTACTCGTGCAAGCGATCTCCCTTGTCTCCTAGGTGTACTCTACCTAGGTAAGCTGGGGTCCAACGCAATAAGACTATAGACCTACTTGAAGATCCGGGAGCACAGAGAGTTTGCGAGGGTAGCAAGCGATATGGATGATGATATATGCGGGTATATACCTGCTGCTGTGCGATACTGAGCAGGCTGGCAGGCCGTTGTACTGTGTAAGCATTGATTTGTGATGCTGCTGCTGGAGGATGGTTCAGGCTGTCAGGCTGCAGGCAACTGCAAGGTTGAGTGTTGAGTCGCCGGGGTTTGTCCGTGGGCCGAGCCGGTCACATGCTTTGGAGATTTGGAGAATAGTGGCCTTCAGAAACGCAACACCCATTGCGCCTTCTTTTCAGTCATTCTATCGCGCCCGTGATTCACTTTCAGGCCCCAGCAAGCGGAAAGTTACGTGCCTTCTCCAGACGGCAGGGGCTACCGATGGACCCGGACACGTCCAGCTCAGCACCACCGCCTCCTCCGCCACCGGCACCACCGCCGTTGCCACGACAATGCGACGCGAAACCATCCTCAATCGCATACAAGGTACGAAGTGCACCGCCCGGATGGGCATACGATAGCAAAGTCAACACGCCAGGCAGGGACGAATTAGCTCCTCCAGTCGGTACATACTTCTTCTACGGCACGCTCCAGGATCCCTCGCTGCTAGCCGACATCCTCGACCTCCCTGTCGCGCCAGTCCTCCGCCCAGCGCGTGTCATAGGATACCACCTCGAGCTCTGGGGCCAGTATCCGGCGTTGGTGTGTGGGCCGACGGATGCGGTCGTCCGCGGTTCAGCCTGGGAAGTCCCAGACGAAGAGGCTGCTGGGAAGTTGGCGGCGTACGAGACAAACAATTACGATGCGGTGCCTTGTAATGTCTACGAAAGTAGTGACAGCGACGACGGCGAGCAGCGTGTACCGGGCTTTACATTTGTGTTCTGCGGCGATCGGGCGGATCTGACTGAAGGGTCCTTTGATCTTGATGTGTGGCTTAGGCGTATGGACGTAAATAAGCCTCTGGGTGGAGGTTGACGTACTCCATGAGGAAGAGAGCGGCGTGACGGGAGCACTGAAGTACTGGGCCACCGTCGTTTCGTGCGTCGACTACATCATCTTGGAAAGACATGGCTGCTTTCCTGCCATCAAGGTTCGACGGTTGACGCCATCGTGAATCTTCATAAGGGACAGCCACATATTCATTTTGAGAACATATTGAAATTCCATAAGGCAACAAGATAATCAACATCGTCTTTACGCGTCAAGCGCGTCAAGTACACAGAGAAAGGTGAAGAAGACGCGACGAAAGCTCACCACATCACCACACCTCACACCTCACCTCGCCTCACACCTCACCTCACTCGGACCACTCAGCAACAGCGCCGCTGATCTCCATTTCTCGGTCGACAACTGCGTCACCAGCCGCCAAGGTCGGTGAGAGTTCATCTCGAGAACGGCATCCCTACATCGACGTCCTTCCAAGGCAAAGACGGAAATGCATGACGATGATGTTTTCCCCGCACTATGCTCCATCGAGGGTTCGTGGACTGATGGTAAGCTCATAATTCAACGTTCCGCGCAGTAGCGTGCTAATGTGCTGATAGTCATTATGGTCAATCCAAGTCATGGCCTTGACGAGCTGAAGCACTTGATCGACCGCTTGTCCCATTCGTCACCTGTAGTGAGCAAGGAGAGCAAGGAGACCAACGAGTGCAAGGAGACCAACGAGAGCAGGGAAGCAAGGAGGACATCGAGAGCAACAAGAGCGACGAGAGCAACAAGACAGTGGACACCATCACAGTCCAATGGGCCGGGAAAGACAAGCAGCTGTTCCCGAAAGAGACGCTCTTGACCGAGGATAATTGCGAGTCTGCACTGCGTATGATGGCCAATCAAGATATTTTCGAGGTGAAGATGAAGAACACACCGGAGTGATGCATCGTCAGTTGATACTGTATCGGCACCAGATTGGATGGGCATCTGGCACCTGAGCTGGTCTACAGTTTAACCTACAATTATCGTTATGAGAATCACCAAGGTTAATGATATACTATGTGCCAGACTGTAGCTGTGACTTTGCGAGGAGCGAACGTCGGTCGAGGTACGAAACGCCTTGGACATGTGAGGCGTCGTAGGAGCCCATCGCAACTGATCGCCTGAATTCACCGCGCATCATTTTGATGCTATCGAGCTTTTGGGATTGGTCGAAGGTCGTGCGGAATGCCGCATGTCTTCCATCCCATTTGGCATTTGTGCGGTCATATTAAATATCACGAGTTGGCTAAACATGCGAAGTCGTCTACACGGATGCGGTGGAATTAATTACATCATCGGCGAGGGGTTCACAGGATGGCGAGATAGACTCAGACGGAAAGCGAGTAGAGGCGGGAGAGCTCCAGGCTCTTGAGCTCGGTAAACGTGAGTATGCTTTTACTTTAGTATCGGGGCTCTTGGCCTCTGCTTCCGCCTCTCGAGCCTATGATCGTTCATAGCTTACTCCCTTCCATGCCTTCTTGACGTACTCCTCCACGTCCGCCAAAAGCTCGTTCGGGTGCTCCATCGCCTGCGGAGTGTCAGTCAGTACTACACAGAGCTACTGGGATAGCCGGCTTACCGCAAAGTGGCCGCCGCTCGAGTGACCCGAGTACGACACGAGGTTGCACGAGGCCTCAGCCCAGCTCCTAGGCACAGGATTCAGCTCCCTTGGGAAGAAGCTGTAGCCGGATGGCTTTTCGACATAGTCCTGCGATGGTCGCTTGCCGGATATAAGCGCGCGATAAGGATAGATGCAGCGCGGAAATGTGTCGGTCAGCCAGTACAGCGAGATGCTCTCGAGGATCTCGTCCACCGACGGGTCCGTGTCGGTCCACTCGAGGAACTTCTCGCCGATCCACGCAAGCATCGCCAACGGCGAGGCGCTCAGCGCCAAGCCGATGGTGGCAGTCCTGGTGCCGTGCTCAATCGCGTACGCTTGGCCGTTGGCACGGAAGGCCTCACCTCTGGGAAGCGCCTTTGCTTCGATCTCGGACATTTGCTTCTTCTTCTCCTCGTCTTCCGGCGGGCCGATGGCGAACATGTTGAGATGCATGCCTTTGCAAGCATCGTGGTTGAGCGCTAGATATCTGCTGACGAAGCTGCCGAGGTCGCCACCCTGAGCGAGGTAGCCCGACTCGAAGCCAAGGCCTGCCATGAGCTTGCCCACCACGTCTGATGCCTTGTCCGTGGTGTAGTCCACGTCGACGGGCGGTCCGGAGGAGTACCCGTAGCCCGGCAGACTGGGTGCGACGACGTGGTATGGCAGATCCTTGGGTGAGTAGCGCTCCTTGAGTAAGCCGAACAGCTTCAGAAACTCCAGGAAGCTTCCGGGCCAGCCGTGGGTGAAGACGATCGGGACGGCATCCTGTTTCTCGGAGAAGAGAGCCATGAAGTGCATGTCGATAGTGACGCCATCGTCGCCGGTGACGGGTACAGTGAAGTTGGGGAACGAATTAATGTGATCTTCGTGTTTCCTCCAATCGAACTGATTGAGCCATTGATCCTTGGCACTCTCAAGCCAGTCCCGTCTCATGCCATGGACTCTGGCAGGGTTGGAGAGCAGAGTCTCGCCTTGGTCTTTGCTTGTGTTCTCCCATACAGCAGGACCGACAGGTGATAGCTTGAGGAGATCTTTCATGTTCTGGAGCTTTTGCTCGTCGACATGAGCTTTGAATGGCTTCGGCTGAAGCGTTGCCGTTGACGGGATCTTGCTGAAGTCAGCCATGTTGGATGAAAGTGCTAATGGTAGTGAATAATAGGTATGGTTAGGCGTGGACCGAGAGTTCGATACTTTATACACTTACTCGCCAGGCCTAAAATCGGCTTTTCGGCCGAACGAGTAGTACTCACGGCGGGAGAAGGGACATTTCTGACGGCGTGTGCATAAATGTGTTCGGGTACTATCGTTTCCGACGGAACTTAAGGTAAGTATCAACCCCCATTCGTACAAGTTGCTGCTTCGTGACGGGCCCATAAGTCCAATGACTCCAATGACATCAGCCAATGCGGGAATCCGCATGGGAGCTAGGTAATACAGGTGTCCAGGATGTTAATGGCCAGCGGTTCCACGTGAATCTGCAATGCTAATAGGTAGAACTTCACGCGATGGGAACTTTCTCATACGTACATAGTCGGCTCTCGTGAGACGGTGAGTCTGTATGGGGCTAATGAGGTAAGTCACAAGCTTCACAATATCCGTCTCTACCATCTCCAACCCCGGCTCATCCGGTACATGCTGTCCTGCGGATACTGGGGATCACGTGACAGGTAGGTGCCGGACGGCGGGCCGATCCGTCTCTCCACCCACCCCCGCTCAACTCTCCTCGGGTATCACGACAGGTTTTATTTATGCACCTTGATCTTAACTTCTAAGGTAATTCACATCTTCAAAAACGTTGCCCTTCATCCTCTTCTCAAGCCAATTAATAGAAATTCGATCCAAGTCCAAGCCGCCCCTCACTAGACGCACAGCTTGTTCGACGTAGAGAAAACGCAAGTGGCAAAGGAGCAGCAAACCAGCCTTTCTTATACTACCGGTACCGAAAAACCCATCATGCCCTCCCCGGCAGCTCTAACAATCTATGCCTTCGGCCTAACGGCGCTGTTAGCCGGCATCGGCTCCCTACTAGACCCAGCCGGATCCCTGCCGCAGCTGGGCCTGCCGTACGCGTGCGTGGCCGCGGCGCGCGGCAACGGGCTCGCGGCCATCGCCATGGGCCTTTACTACTCACTCGCGGCGTACCAGGAAAACACGGCCTTCTTCGCCGTCACGGTGCCCATGCGCTCGCTCACTACCGCCGTCTTCTGGGCCCAGGGCTGGAGGCTGCCGGCTGTCTGGGAGGGTGCGGGCGCGCTGGCTACTGCGTTTGCACTCTTGTTATGGGGTCGTGCTGCGGCTGGGGAGGGGAAAGGGAAGATTTATTAGGTTCGTTAGGTGATGGTTGTTCCCGTTTCTTGGGGATTTGGGACCGGGAATGATTGGGGCCGGTCTTGGCCTTGACTTGGCCGGCATCTCGAGTAAGGGCTGCGTTGCTGTCTCTCGCCTCAGGATCGATTGCTACTGCGCTGCACTTCGATGAGGCAGGAAGCCGACCTCTTGCAAAGATGTGACGTACTGGGACCGGGTGCGGGCAATGTCCACCATGGTCTGGTGGTTCAGGAAGTTCTCATCACACCATCTTCGAGTAGATGAGGTCGGCTTGCCTTTCGAGCGTCGTTGGGACCACTCTTGGAATGCTCGCAGGCCGCGAGCGTGGTCCGGAAAGCCATGCGCTGCTGTGCGACGCGGCGAGTTGACCTGTCGAACGTCTCAACACAAAAAGTTCCGTCCTGTGTTAGCCTTACGAGTGGGCGGTGACGCACTGGCAACGCATCGCTGCGGCGCATGCGGCCAGCATTACTAGAAAGGTGACCGAAAACCCTACTTCCGGGTGACTACCTACAGGGATGATTGGGCTTAACTCCTTTCTTCTCCGGCAGATAAAAGTTCCAACCCATATAAGACGTCATATGTTGGTGCTGCGGCGGCACAGCACTAGAGCCCATCATTAAACAAACTATAAAGTACGTGAGAGAACATGGCAGAGTGATTCCCCCTTGGGGTTTGCATGCAGAAGCCTTCTGCAATCTCTCACCTCGGGCACATGCACAAGACGGTCTCTGCTCGCACCGTTGAACGAACCCCAGAGCCGAATCCAAGCCCAAACGGGTTTTACCAACTCGAAAATCGACAAACCATGCATCTCAAGGGCTCCCTCCTTGCCAGCCTCCTAGCCTGTCTCTTACAAAGTCCTGCTTGTGTACGTACCCCATACCGCGCATGTGTATGTGGTAGAGATCTTGGACTCGTCTGACCCGGCTACCAGGACGCGAGAACACGTTACGACAAGAACGCCTGGGCACAGAAGCTAAACACCATCCAGTGGAGCGGGAAGCCAAGACTGCAGTGGGAGGAGCTCACCAGCGAGTCGTTCAACTGGGAAAAGTCGTACCAGATATCCCCACCACAAACAGCCAAGGGCGGGCAGATAGGCGCCTCATTTATCGTCAACAAGACGATAGCGGACTGGAAGACGCACTTCTGGCACGACAAAGCTCCCGAGCGCATGTGGAACGAGATCACCACGTACCAGCGGCTCGAGGGCACGGGCATCGCGCCGGAGTTCCTGGCCATTGCGGTTCAGGGCAGCGAGGTCGTGGGTCTCGTCCTCGAAGCGTTGGATGGCACGCACGCGCCTAGCGCAGACGAGAAGAGCCTGTGTGCACCGCTTGTGCATCAGCTTCACGGCCTTGGGATCACGCATGGAGACATCTGGCGCGACCAGTTCCTGTTAAAGGGCCACCGTGCTTGGCTCATAGACTACGAGCTCCCGCGGGACGCTACGAAGGAGGGCATCGAACGTGATCTTGAGGACTTGGAGGAGTTTGGGTCGTCGCCGCCTGATAACGGCGATGAAGAAGATTAGACCCAACAAACACGTTTCCTATACGGATGGCAATAAACACTGGCTGCGCTGATGACAGATTGGCACTTTACCGGCGGGAGAATCATCAGATGGAGAGGATACTTGACCTGCCAGTCAGTGGATTGGGTACTGTTAGTTGATTAGCATGCAAATGAAAAAGAGTTTAACGCTTGAGGACACTTTGACCCTGTTACGGCCAGTCTGATCTGGTGCTCGGCTTCTATCTTCAACTGCTTAGAGTTGGTGTTGGTCGGTATGATACCCCCTTGAGTGGTTGTGCGCACCAGTTTGTAGAGTACACTGAGCGATGCTCCCTAGCCACAGCATATGGGTATTCTCCAGTGATCTGGACCAATCACGAGAAGTATAACGTCATAGTACGGGACTTGGATTGGTCAATCTGTGTGGCTTTAACAGATCTCATAAGGCGCAGCAAAACCTGGAAGTACTATACTTAATTTTTGGTAAGGTGGTGCGCACGACCACGCAAGGGGATAAATAAGCATGCGATGTCCAACCGAACATGAAAAGGCATTCATTCCATTGGAGCGAGAGCAACAGTCGGGGACCTCATTACAAACAACATGGCAAGCAAAAAAAAAACCCCGACTTAGCATTTCCCCTATTCCATCCAGTCTCCCCAAACAAGCCTCCAGAGAGGAAGCTAGTTGGGTTAACAAAAAGTAACTGAGAGGAAAAAGAACTTGATGCGGTGTGTGCGGATTGAACGCACGACCTTCAGATGATCTCGTTGAAGTTTGACTTCAGTCTGACGCTCTCCCAACTGAGCTAACCCCGCGCCAATCGATGAAAATTTGGGATGATAATAGCTCATACATCAAGTACATTTCATTACCCCTGCAACAACACACACCAATACAGTCGCCTGAATAGGTATACAGCAGCAACAAACTTACTGACTGCTGCTGCAATCGTGCTTGCTCACTGTGAAAAGCAGCAGCGGGATTCGTAGACATGCATTTCGTGGTGGACCAACATGGTAAGGCGAAGGCCATACACAATACGATTGGACCATGCTAAAGAATCACAACAGGTAGGTACATACATGTTGATTGCCTGATAAGTGACAGCTAGAGACCGCTGCGCTCTGAATAGAAAAGGGAATTGGCATTCCTGCCCTGGATTGCGCCTTTCCGCTTCGGTGTCTCTCGTGATCACTGATCAGCTGAGAGCTCCCTCAATACCTAAGCTCCACAGAGAAAAAAACACGAATGACAGATCACATTAATGGCAACTGAAACCTCAGTACCTTAGATTGATATTACCCAAGGAAAACAAGGCAGGTATATGATCTCATTCGGTAAGCAGCAGTCACTGCACCCGTGAGCCCCTGAACCCCTGAGACTCCAAAAGCACTCGGCAGTCTCTGTAACGACCCGTTAGCCCGGTCCACAACCGAGGTCAACACCGGTGTGGGGAGCTGCAGCTGCCTCCGAACGCGGGGATGGGGGGCAGCTTCGCCGCCTGCATGCAGCTCGCCCGCCCCGGATTATCAATCACCATGACGTCCGGATCTCCATTTGTACACCGCTGTCTCCTGTGAGTTGAGGGCTGGCCCATTGAAGACACAGACTGCTGTACAAGACTTTAGTAAGTCTAAGCTCGTCTACCGTATCCCAGGAAGGAAGAAAGCACCAAAAAGAAAGCACCAAAAAGAAAGCACCAAAAAGCCAACATGTCGCGCTCATTGACCATCGTGAAGATCGACGGCAAGCCCGGCCAGGTCTACTACCCGTAAGCTGTACCCCCTACCCGTCGGCGAGTCGAGTCGAGCTAGTAGCATCATGACTTCCATCTGGCCATTCACTTACAAGCTCACTAATTCACCCCCACCAGCCTACAACTCAACACCAACCCCAAGCCCGTTCCCGGGCCGGGCGAGCTGCTCATCCGCCTGCACGCCACGGCCCTCAACCACCGCGACCACTTCATCCGGCAGCACCTGTATCCGGGTCTCTCCTTCGACAACGCGCTCCTCGCCGACGGCTCCGGCAACGTCGTCGAGGCCGGGCCCGGCAGCGGCACGGCGCTGCTCCACCAGCGCGTGATCCTAACGCCCATGCGCTCCTGGGCTCCCACCTCCCCATCCCCCTCTTCCCTCCCTCCCTTATCCTCATCTTCCGGCGCCAACCCGCTCGCAAACTGGATCGCCATTGGCGGCATCACCCAGTACGCCGCCGGCGCGGCGCAGGACTACATCTGCGTCCCAGAGTCCGAAGTGGAGGCCTGCCCGGCGCACCTCAGCGCGGCCGAGGCGGCGGCGCTACCGCTGGTCGGGCTTACCGGGTGGCGCGCGCTGGTGAGCAAGGGCGGCTGCGAGAAGGGGCAGAATGTGCTGGTCACGGGCATCGGGGGCGGCGTGGCGCTGGCGGTGCTGCAGTTTGGGGTTGCGATGGGCGCGAATGGTGAGTAGTACCACACAGACTGGATCCCCTCACCCAGTTACTTCTCTCAGTTCTGGTCCGGGCCTGAGAAACGGTATCTGAAGCCGCGCTTCGACCAGGGGTGGGGATCGACGCAATGTGGTAGTCCAGGACCCGGGCTTCGTTTCTCCCAAGCCATGGTACTGACATAAAATTCGAATTGGAGTGCTGATATCCGGGGAATGCAGTATATGTGACGTCCGGATCGCAGGAGAAGCTCGACAAGGCGAAAGCCCTGGGCGCAGCCGGCGGCGTCTCGTACAAGGAGGCCGGATGGGAGAAGAAACTGGCGGGACTTCTGCCGGAGTCGCGGCCGTACTGTGAGTATTCACGCCTCAAGTTGATTACCTCCCCCCTTTCCTGCCTCGGTGGGACAAAATAGTCGACTCTTTTCTCCTACAGGGTCTCCCCTCCTAACCGTCCCCCCTTCCCCCAAACCCATCAAGCCAACCCCCACCCCCCTTCCACACACACACAACCTGGTGATTAACCAAACCCCCCAAAACCCACAGTGGACATAGTAGTCGACGGCGCCGGCGGCGACATCGTGTCCAAGACGGTGCGCCTCCTCAAGCCCAACGGCGTCATCGCCATCTACGGCATGACCGTCGCGCCCAAGATGGAGTGGAGCATGCAGGCCGTCATGAAGAACGTCGACCTCCGGGGGTGCACCATGGGGTCGCGCGACGAGTTCCGCGACATGGTCGCCTTCGTGCGCGAGCACGGGGTCCGCCCCGTCGTCAGCCGCGTCGTGCGCGGCCTGGACAACCTCGACGGCATCGACGGCCTGTTCGCCGACATGCGCGACGGGAGGCAGTTCGGCAAGCTCGTCATCGAGATCGCGCCCGAGAGCGAGGGCGAGGCTGGGTCCAAGTTGTAGAGAGAGTGGCTGGTTGGGAAGGAAACTCGGATACGAAACACATAGTCTTCCTCATTAATCCACACACAACATCATCGGAGACAGAGACAGAGCGTGTGCTTGGATCATTATGCCACTTGTCGTTCAATTTTCATTGATGCTGGTAGACGATCCCGTCTACCCCATATGGAGTATCACGAGACTAAATACCGAACTATCTGCCGGGTTGATTCGTAGTAGTACAGGTTGATGACATTTCCCCAGCTCATGGTCCTCCGATCCAGACGCAACGGATGCTTTGCAACGTGTTGCGAGGTAACGCCCATCGTGAAATCCCAGAGAGAACGAGAACATCTCCTTGGATCCTGGTTTACCGTCCTGGTCCTGGCTCTCCCAAATCTCTAGCCTCTAGCCCTGCTAAACACAGGTAGAAATCCACTCGCATAACGCCGGCCTCCCGCCCCGTCATCATTGGCACATAATCAGGCCTAAGTCATGGCCGTACGCAGAGGGTATTGAAGAAATCCGAGACCTTCGTCACGCCTCGTCGTCGGCTTGGTTGCCACTCTGGCCATCGCCAGACTTGAGGTTCGAGGAAAGGCTAATGGAAATCTTCTTGGGCCCACCGCCAGAATCTCGACCACCCACCATTCCCTTCTTCTTTCGGAGTAGACTGGAGGTACTTGACGCATTGGAAGTGGCCGAGGTGCTGTTTCGACGCTTGTGTTGGATCATTTTGCTCAGATCGTCCTCTTCATCCTCCTCACGTCGACGCTTCTCAGACAAACGTTCCGGCGGCGTTCCAACGTTAGGGAGTCCATCGTCCGACTTCCTGACCCCATCCTCTTGCCCATCCTCGTCGGCGGAGATCGCTCCAGCGTCGATATTATCATCAACTTCTTCGTCGGAAGCATAATCTACCAAAAGCTTCGAGCTTGGCGACGCGCCATTCAAAGCCGACGTCCGACCGCTCGATTTTGCCTGCAAGTCGTCTTCGTCATCTGATGTGTTCCAGTATTCCTCCTCAGCCTGGTCCATAGTCGTCAGATGCTCCATTGGTCCTCCCGTGCGGGGGTTGATATTCGTTCGTCTCCGCCCGACGTCTTCCTCTACCTCGAGAAAATAGTCCATATTCGCCGTGAACCCTCCAGTCTGGTCATACCGGATAATTAATGTCCGGAAGAGGTCCAAGTACGCCAACTCCTGCACTTTCTCCCGGTAATTCTCGACGATGTGCTTCACAAGGTCCTTGATACTCTCCTTCCTGATGAACTCGAAGAACTCGAGACACGCAGAACTAAGGAGATTGTCTCGCGGCATGGTCTCGATGAGGACATCCAGTATGGGTCCGATGACCATCTTTTCCGACATATGCTTGACGTAGAACTCATCCTGGAGACCGACGAGCTGACGCAGGAATCGCACGGCAACTGTAACTGTTAATTTCGACATCAACTGGGAAATCTAATCAACTTACTAAGCTTTAAGAACTTCTCCGGGCAGTGCAGAAGCTGCGCAATGCGTGAAATGATGTTGTTGGCCAAGACGAAGTATTTGCTACGATGGTGATGTTGCCGAATGAAGAAGCACAAAATCTCGATCAAATAGGTGAAGGAGGATGCCTCATGGACAGTGAATTCCATGCTTGTCCGACCTTCCAACGCCGTTAGCGGCTGGAACAGTTTGGCGGCCGAATTTTCGTAGAAAAGCGTCAAGAACTGGTCTTGTTGAGGATCCTGACTCGGCGGCAGTCTCGGTGCTGCTCTCGCGGCGTACTCGCCATTGGCTTTCGCGAATGCCTCAGCTTGAGCTGGAGGCCCTTGGTCAAGGAGTACCTTCAAAGCGTCGGAAATCTGGGACTTGACCCCCAGATCGGTTTCAACTAGTAACATGTCGATGAGTGTGTCGGTCAAAGGGGCGCGCTTCTCGTGAATCTGCCGATATATCGTTTGGCGGATCATTTGCGGGTCGTGATCGATCATGGAGACCAAGACGTCGGTTGCGCCAACGCGGACTGCCACGTCATTATGCTTGAGACCAAAATTGATGACCTCAAGCAGACCGTGAGCGATGAAGTTGTTGTAGAGGGTCTGCCGAGCCGGTGGCTGAAGGTTCTTAGCGATCGCGCAGCACTGCTGTATGAAGAGAACGGCTTCTTTCTTCCGGCTCGCATCTTGTTGGCCAGGTTTGAAAATATTAAAGAGCTCGCCTAGGAATTTGCCGTTCGCCTGGAGATGTTGGACAATATCCACCTGGTTGAAGAAGATGAGAGAGTTCAGGACCGAGAAGGTATTATCATCCAAGATACGGGCCAGCACAACATCCTTCAGGTACTGTAAGCGGTACGTCTGGTGAATCTTCTTAAGAATCTGATCATCTTCGATGCGCACCACCTCCTTATACCTTCCCTCACCTTCCAACCATTGGCGATGGTTAGCCTTGTGGCTCGGGAAGTCCGGATCGTATTCCAAAGCGCCTACGACGCCAATCACGCACTCGTCCGATACGGCGTGTTCTATAATGCTCGTGTCGTTGAGAAGAATGATGATCTTCATAATATTGCAGAGGCGGTGCAAGTCGTTGAGACTCTCGAGGTCTTCGGCGTCAGAAACGATGGGGATCAGTCTGCCGATGAAATCCTCGGCAAGAACGTACTTGGTGAGAGCATCGCGACCATTAGCTGATCCACTCATCATACGCATTTGCGACTCAATTTCGGCGAGGTTAGCAATCGAGGCCTGAGGAAGGGTTATTGGGTTCGGCATGTCCATAGGAAGGTCGTCTGAGAGGCTGTCATCTACATGGAAGCTGGATTAGTACTGCCAGGTCAATGGTAGCCATCGGATCAAGTACCTTGCGGGTTTGCAGCATTGTATTGCTGTTGAACACCGTGGATGAATTTCCTACGCGCTTGTTAGCTTTGGCTCTCTTAATGTATGTCTCAGCGAAGACCGGGGGATGCGCGTACCAGATCATGGCGCAACCCTCGGCTTCCTGGAAGCTCAGGGCCATATCGATGCCATTGCTCGGTTCCGTCCAGACGATGAGGGTTTCTGAAGGTGTGTCTATCAGCTCTTATATCTTCCCAAGCAAAGAGCGCTCCAGTCCCCACGTACCCTGCTGTTTGTGGAAGCCGTCGTCTTTGCATATTCTCGTTTCAAGCAAGACACGGTCGGGCTGGTCTTCGGACTCGACAATGACGCGGGGGTTTCTCTGGCCTTCTTCGGACTGCGCGTACCAAGTTGGGTCAGTGGGTGTTGAGCAGAGGCTGATGCGCAGAAGATTGGCGACAGCGCATGGCAGGTGACGAGGGAATGAGGGAAGCAATGGCTTACATTGAAGGCGGCAGTACAGAAACCGGTGCCGCGATCGAACCAGTCGTTGTTGCGAAGCTCGTAGACCTTGACCCGCTTCCTATCCGTCGACGGATGAGGCACTGGCTGTGCCGCCATCGTCAACGGCTCCTCGGAATGCGCCTCCGTGGCCAGGCGGTTGTACTGCAAGAGATCAGGCGCGAGGTCGAGGTGCTGTTGAAGCGATAGTTCGGTGTCGGGTTCCGAGAGAAGAGTGAGCGCAGCCACCTTTTCTCTCGATGGGCGCGCTAGTCAGCGGGCGCGCACGCGACGGAAAAGTACGCACGGCGCCGGCGGCAGCAGCGACGAGAATAGCAGTTGTTACGATTGAAGGAGGCCAGCGGGCCGACAGAGGAACGGACGGGAGCACAAGGTGTCTGGCCGTGCGTGCGTGGTGCCCTTGTTGCCCTTGTTACGGCTGATTTTGATTAGCAGACCTTACCGTTAGCAGCAGGCTGGCAGGTCGCGTGTCGAAATGTGTGGATGCCAGATGGATGGATCATGGGCCAAGATGGGGCGCCGTGGCTCGCGGCTCGTGTGTGGACACTGGACACTTGAATGCTGACGCCGCGGTGGCCTGTCTGGCTGTGGAGGTTCAGCGTGGGTGGTGTTGATCAATGATCAATGATCTGACCAGGCGAGGCGAAAACGGGACGGACAGACGGGGAGGGCTGCGAGGATTGACAGGATTGCTCCGAATTGCGACAGCGGCAGCGCCAGGGTCTGCAGTAGTAGCAGCACGGTTGCACGGTTGTAGTTGGGCGGTTTGAACTTTGCGGTCTCGGGTCTCGCTGGGCCTCGCTGGCTAGCTGGGTCCCGACGGGCGAGTGTGACGTAGAGTTCCGGGCAGCGCGACGAGGGGGGCCGACGGCAGGTTAGAGCCTTGGAGGCGCAGCGGCAGCCTCACGGATGCGATGCAGTAAAAACACACGATATGCAATGATCCAAGTCTAAATGCAGGCCATTAGTTAGGTAGGTGGTGATGCTTGGTGATGGTGATGTCTGACCGCGCGGGTTTTCCCTAAGACAGCCTGTCACACACAGACCCGGGCGCTTCACCACCAGCGCAGGCCGGCAGGTTGTCTGTCAGGCTGGGCTGGCCAGAACGATGTCGCGCGGCAGTGGGAGACGCTCGGGCCACACTGAGGCCACACTCGGGGTGGGTATCAGAAGTGGAGACCGCCTCTTTTCGTCGAGCCGGACCTCGTAGTGCTCAGGGTCTGGAAAAATACTAATAATAATGTTACTTAATATCGTATCGTATTAATATCGTATCATATCGTAACGAAGTTTATTACTATACGTAATATTATAATAATGTCGGATATGGTGGCTCAGAGTGTGTGATAAAAGTGGTCTGTGCGCAGGGATTCAGGGTGGTTCGAGCGCGCTGGAGAACGGTCCACTAGGAACCGTTTGCTCCACTGCTCAGCTGTTACGCTAGTGGGATGCGTGGGTACCGAATTTGCATACAAACTCGTCCACACCAGATAGATGCAGCCTTTAGATAATATACGACCGAATAAGAACGATAACCCGCACTAATGTTTCACAAATAATTATAACTTCATATTTATATTTAAATATAATATTTTAACTTATTTTCAAACACGTATTGTCAATTGAATTAATATTAATTAATAATATTATATTTTCATCCTATGAATATTTTTTTTTTTTTAAAATTGTCAAATGTTGGATCCCAGATATGGTGCCCTTAGGTGCAGTACCTACTAAGGGGCTGTCAAGGGAACAGTGGATCCACCCTGGCATGGTGCAGTATGGTATTTAACTGTAGATTAGTCCTGCCGAGCATACTTGAGAATGACAACAATATTTGCAGCGACCGCTCACACCCCCAAGGCTTGTGACCCTTCTAAAATCTCACAAAAATTATATAATTAAACTACATGTTTTATATATTTTTATAACTAAGTTTAAAAGATATTAATAAACTTACCGTATTAAACGTAAAATAATAATAATAAGATTAAATTCAGAATATACTTTATATATATATATATATAAGTTAAATCAAAAGGCTCCACTTTCGAATTTTCTTACTACTTTTCGTATTACTATCGTATACTATCGTAATAGTTAGTATCGTATCGTAACGGGCCATTACGATACTAAGTATCGTATTTTTCAGACCCTGGTGGTGCTGGTGCTGTCATCCAGTCACCACCTGCATCCCACGCCGTTTTTACCACCTGCACCACCTTCACCACGGGCCGCACTTCAATGCTCCGGTACCGACCCCTATTTCCCTATTCCCCTATATAGGCAACATTGAAAAACTCGCGCCTTTCTTCACCCATCCAAGTCTGCGTTCGTGCCAACACATCAACATGCCACTTATAGCTCGCTCGTGTAACGCGACCCCTTGCTTGTTTCATCATGTGAAGCCTCCCATGTCATAGCAGCTCGCCTGCGTGACCCATTGGAAGGCCGTGGCATGGGGTGAGAAAGGCTTAACCCGACAGTGCGTGCCTTCACTACATATGCCCGGGTGCACCTGGTTGCCATTGCCATGTCTTTCAGCCTTGGCAACGACTTCAAGGCCCATGATGGAAGACTTACCTATATTAGTAGGATGCTTTCATTGTCATCGTCTGCAGCATCCACGGCGGCTTGCTCAAACTGCAACTGCCGGATGAAAGATCTATCGCTTGGTTCGAATTGTGTCAGATCAAGAAAGTGCTCGAGCACTCAAGACTATTATAGCCCAAACAGCTGACCACATGTAGAGAGTACTGCTCCCGATTGAACTATGTCGTACTCGATGTTCCAGTCAATGCGTTCTGCTTTGGGTGTCTTATACGCAAGTCTGGGGTTGCCAGTTCTTCAGGGTGTCAAAAGCGATCGCGCGAGTCCACATACTCATCCCTGGGACAGTCTCATATACGACGTCTGCCAATAGTCGAGGGAGTTTGTGTTGGTGTTGAAAGCAAGACGAGACCGGTATGTCAGCTCGGACGGCCGTGACATGAACTCAAGATGAGTATCTAGCAATGGCAAGCCACGTGGAATATCATCGTCTCTTTTGCCACCTACGAGAGGAGTGTTGTCCAAAAACGGGCTTGGCTGCCACCACGTCGATTAGCCTTGGCTATAGAGAGCCACTCGCTCGGCAGTCGTTTCTAACGCTCTATGAGAAGTGTATCGTCAGATATATTGCTCGTACTCGACAGCAGGCCATCCATCGAGGCCGATTCAGTCGTGTGCAAATCCTTCCATGAGAACAAGCCCGCACATGCTTGAAGAGCATACAGACCAGGAGGAATCATCTGCGCTGTTGCCACGCCTTCGTATGGGAATCAGCTTAGATAGGTGAGTTGACGGAGCCGTTAGTGACACTGACCTGAGCCGTTGCACACTTTTCAGTGACGCTCTCGGTATTCTAACTGAGCTACTCTGTTGTAGACGTGAAGAGTGAAAACAAGATTGGAGTCGTTTCGGGTTGTTGGGCAGGAAAGCTTTATATATTGGACTTCCAACATCCTCAGTCTCTCGCTTGCCTTGTGCCGGGTTGGATTCTTCGTAGCCAGCCGACTTGTGATCAGAGGAAAGAAGAGACACCAATGCAACCCAATAATCGAGCATTCCGCGGTGTCGGTAACGACAGGGGATGAATAGTTGGATAGAGTTCAGACTGTGACAATCAGGCCTGCAGCTGCGCTGGTCAGGGCTGATGGGATGAAATATCTAGATTCAACGATATCTAAGGAAGAAGAGGCAAGGTCAGAAGAGAAAGGGGAAGCTAGAGGTATATATGTACATAAATATGTGGAGGTATTATGTGTTTGTTGTTTGTTTTGTATTTAACGTGGGGGGTAGCTCCTCAGTAGTGCAAACCACGCCTCTCAGAGCCTCTGTATCGCAGGGTTGTAGAGGTCTCAAGATAATAAGTACAGTCAGTCCCGCTCACGGGCCCATCCCCGTTGTTGCGGCGGTATGATCTTGGGGTCATCCATCTGGTCCTTCAAGAAAAGCTATCTATCGGGGCAGATTGTTGAAAAGAACTTGCTCTTCTCCACGAATTTTGCCCATTCTGTGCTCTTCTCCCTTAAGTATTATAAACAAGCTGTCCTAGGCGAGTACCTAGACAGCAGCCGGGTTTTCCCCAGCCTCTTACAAAAAAAAATGTGTTATGGTGTTTTCTTCTCACCACAGCTGCAGTGATTATTTGAGTCTGTATGTCCAAAGCGTTCATGGTATCTGGCAAAGTCGCCATGTCCAGATCTGGCCGCTAGAAGTCTGTGTAAAGTACTCCTCTTAAAAGATATAAGGTCTCTTTTAATTATTATATGTGAGTATACTTCTTGATACCTAGGTTCTGATTAGTCTTTTTATTATTAATTGAATTCTTTCTTGCCCTTTTTTTTGAGATCTCTTTTAACCCAAGAGATTATAGGAAGGTTTGTCATGTCTGTTTCTAGCATGGCATCCTCTTTTATTAGTGTGTCGGCAGCTTCGTTGCCATCAATATCTCTGTGTCCAGGAATCCACTTGACAGTCACTCCAGGAGTGTGTGCTGTGGCAAGTTCTTGAAATCATAGAAAAATGTTCTGTGATGTCTCGGGTGGAGTCCCATTGAGCCCATCTACCACTGACGTGTTGTCCAGGCAGACATATAGCTATTTTCTGTGTCCAATTGCCCTGGCTGCTGTAAGACCTTGGAGAGCACCATAGACTTCAGTATTTACTACTTCTGTTTGGAGAAGTCTGTCCTTTCTCCGGTATACTTCTTGTGTAGTGCCGCCTTTCCTAATGATATAACCCCATCCAGTGCGGGTTGTGCCTTGGTCGTCCAATTGTGATCCATCTGAATAGATGACAAGGTCAGTGTTCATATTTCTCTCTTATAGCCATCGCTTAAAGAGCTCTATTTCTTTGTCTTTGTCTTTGCGGACTGGGGGCTTCTTCCATAATGGCCTGGTAAGTGTTGGTCTCTGGAAGTCAGGGACTAACTGGAAGCTCCTTTGTAGCCTTGTTGGATTCTTGCGAGCTTGAATTTAGAGCCTGCTAACAAGAGGGTGTCTCTGGTCTATTCGTCCTAGTCAGAGGCCGTGATGTCGTCTTATTAACTCTGCAAGAACTCCTGCTGGGGGAATCTGCGGTTCAAAGTGTAGGATATGTCCAGGGTATGTTTTCCAGACTGGCAAGATAGCCCTGATCGCCGTTCGTAGTACGGCATCTATTGTTCTAAGAAGCCCCTTAATACGACATGCTGATGTCTTACCTAAGCTTCTAAGTTTCTCGATTCCTGGGTACCAGGCCTCCAGGCCGTGTGTAAGAATAGGAATAACACAAGCTTTCACAGCCCTCTTGGTTGACTTACTGGAAGTCCTTTTACTGTGTTGCATAGTCCTCAAAAGTGATTTGTTACCCTATTAGCTTTCTTGGCCCAGTAAGAAATGTGATCTTTGAAGTTTAGTTTTCTATCCAGGAAGACACCCAGCCACCGCATGGAGTCCTTTGTTGTTTTGTTTATTGTCCTGTGGCGGACTGGAGGGTTGTTTGAGTTCTTTTTTCTTGAGAAGTGCATGATCTCAATTTTGTCAGGATCAAATTCAATAGTGTTGTTATGTCCCCATTGGTTGAGCAAATGAAGATTTTCAGAAGCCTCTGTAGCTGTTTCCTCAAGTTTTTTTCCAATGCAGAGAGTCACTAGGTCGTCTGTATATCCAAAACGTCTCTTTTTCATACCAAGTCGGGCACAGATTGGCTCTGTATACAGCATGTAAAGGATTAGAGAGGCTGGTGAGCCTTGTGGTAGCCCACAAGTGAGAGCTTTAATATCGGTCACAATACCTTCAAACCAAACCCTTGCGGACCGCTCGGACATGAATGACTGGATTCATCTTATGAGAACCGGCCAGCCCTGTTCTCTCATGCGAACCACCAGCCGTCCCATTAGGGCAGCATCAAAGGCCCCTTTCACATCTGACGTGACTACCGTTGCAACGAGGCCTTGGTCGAGGGCCTGCTCAATATCGTGTATGAGTGCAGCTACCAGGTCAATGGCAGAGCGTTTTGGTAGAGCTCCAAAATGTTGTGGAGCTAGAATTCTAAGTTTGACAACAAACCAGGTAATTCCTTTCGCGATGAGTCGTTCTAGGCCTTTGCCAAGACATGACAGTAACGATATTGGTCTGTAGGCCCTGGGATTGGAGTAGTCTTTCTTTCCTGGTTTTGGGATCATCACTACCTCAGCTACTTTGAATGGTTTAGGGTGGTGTCCAATCTGTAGGCAGGTCTGGAAAAGGGCTCTGATATGTTCCCCAATGAATGGCCAGCAAGCTTTCAGAATCCGTACTGTGAGGGTATCTACTCCCGGGGAGTTGCTCTTGGTCCCTAAAGTGCACCCTTCAGCCTCTTCCAGTCCGACATGGTATTCAAGGGGGATGTATGGCTTGGGTTGTATGATCTGAGCGGACCAGTGGAGGTATTATGTAATACCGTAACACAGACTATCCTGACGAACTACTGGATCATGCAGAACTGACAAGGATTTCCCAGGAAGGTCTCCTCGGAAAGGTCAGCCGATAACGGGCTGTGCCTTGTCGTGAAGCAGCTTACTTCTCGCCCACTTCGCTCCACTTCTGTAGGCTGAACCGTTTATCAATATCGACCCCATGGGATGGATCAGAGTCTGATTGGGCATCGTCAGCGACCTGAAGTGGGAATACGACATTTGACCCGTGTCGTGCTTATGATGCAGTCAGCATGACGACGTCAAGCTTCCAGGGTGTGGTGAGGCTACTTGACCGTGGCTCAAGGTCAGCTCTAACCTGATCTTTACTATAACATGTCGGGATAACTCTCAATACTAGAAACGACTCCTGCATACCTGCCATCTGGACTAACAGTGACAAGAGCGACTGCCTTTGTTCCAATGGGCTAACTCGGCGGACTCGACTCCCCTCAGAACTTTCGTTTTCGATGCAGTACTGTGGAAGGACCAACCGTGGGTGGACGTTGACTTGACTCAAGGTACCAATGGGGTGGTATTGAACCCACTTCAGGATTCCCAGATATCGTAAACTCTATCCTGCTCTTTCACTATAGTACGATATCTCTAAGAGTGTGGATCCAGTGCATGGACCCATATGGAGTATTCTGGAACCCCACCATATATGTTGGAGGTTACCTGATGAAGGCTGCCTGGCAACCCTTTGTTGCCCCAGGTACCTCACCACTGTAATTTAGGTATTTAGATACATCTCGGATGGAGTCCTTTCCATCCGACCTTTTAATCAAGCACCACCCAGACCACTGATAGATTACAACAAGACTTATGATTTGTCAGCATCTGGGAAAGCTACCAAAAGGCACAGGAGGACACAATTATCGACTATTCACAAAAGATAACGGAGAGCTGCAATCCTACAAACAGCTGAGTCAGACAGCTGTGGCTTTAGAGCTTTCGTGATACACTGAGAACGTGACGTCTGGGCTCTCAGTTGTCCCGTCAATATAATGGGTCTGGTTCGGACGTTGATGCAGGCAGTGAGAGCGATGAATGCGTACGTGAGATTCGATACGGCGTCCAATAACGCGACAAGGTACCAATCGGCCGATCCATCGCAAGCCCGAATGCCATTGAATTAACGAACATAGTAGCCTCGTGGTTTCTGCCACAGTCCACCGGCCGAGCAATGGGAAATGCTTGCCAATGCTCCCAACGGCTCTGCAGAAGCCTCACGATATACTCAAGTAGATGAGAGTTAATACGGAAAAAAGACCCCGCAGCGCCCTTGAGGTGGAGGCACTAGTGCCAGGATCCGGCGCTGACGGACTGACGGATTGTCGGTTATCTTGACAGCCCCGGGCCCCCGATCCCCGTTAGTTGAATAGACCGAGACTGCCGATATCCAAAAGTGGGTTCATGGCCCCTCTATTCCGAATCAGCGACGGTTTCCAGGTCCTCTCTAGCTCCACCTGGGCACGCGCCAATCCCCGGGCCCATCTCCTCCAGCTTTTCTCATGTGCAACCTCTACTCGCTCCGCATCATCATCTTAATCCTCTCTCAGCTCACGTATCTAGGGGCCTAGGGCAGCTTTCAGAAAGGTCGGAGGATCTGCCGTTTCATCTAGACCCACGAGTCATTGCTCCACCCTACCTAGGTACTTGTCGAGATCAGCCGGCAAGGATACCCAGGATCTCGCAGCATGTTGATGCTCCTTGCTGATGTCACATCGGGGGATATACCAGCCCAAGATACCAGCCCAAGCCAGTTGCCACCGTCCAGCAACTGGTACCACATTCCATGATTCCACGCAGCACGAAATGCGCCTGGAGGACTGATGAGTATTGACTTGCACCTGCGGCCACGGATGGGCTGAATACCTCGTCGGTCGTTGTTGGTCGTCGGGCGAGCTCTCAAGCTGGAGCCCGGCAGCTGCCCGGCAACCCGGGTACCCATCCATGTTCATGTGAATTATACTGCGTACTACGCAATAGATCCTAGCAGCCCTAGACCCAGGCCTGGCGTGTACTGCCTCGATTTATTACGGTGCAGGCGCTTGGTACGGTACAGCATTGCCTTCCATGGGTGTATGCATGCTGATCAAGACCGAAAAGGAATACGAGCCCAGGATCCTGCATACTGCATATGCTGATAACTATTAACCACTCCCACCAACCACCCCCAAGGCCCTTTTTACCCTTTGCGAGATCCGACAGGGCTTTTCGCCTTCAGCTTCCCCCAGCGCAGGGCCAGAGGCGTTAAACATTGACGTGAGAGCCCGCGACCTGTTTCCGAATAGTCCTCCTTGCTTACATTTCTGGAGTTGACCACTTCCAGTACTGAGGGTAACCTGCGCCTTGATATCGACTTGGTGTCACTCACAGGATAGGGAACTTTCGAGTCAGATGTCCCATTGGGGTAGGTGGTTATTCCACTCTCGTTACGTGAAGGCAGGACGACGCTTGAGGGTGTACCCTCGAGCATCCCACCTCTGCCTCCTGATTTCCTGCTCGCGATCCACTCACCTGCGCGCAACTACACCATAGCGGGCGCCACCAAACTATATCATAGCATATCTACCGCCAGCTCCTTGTGTTGCCGAGGTCACGCCTGTTGTGGGCGGGCACATAAGACAGCTTGCCGTTCCTTCTGGTCTGCAAATGGATCGTCTTCCGGGCCAGCATTCCCAGGTCATTCCGTCTTTCCGGGGCCAATCCAGGTCTGGATCTGTTTCGTTGTTTAGCAACCACTGAACCGAAACAAGTAACATCACATCTATACCCCCAAGCTGCTTTCGTCACTCCCAGAAAGCCATTCCCGCCCTGGTTGAACACAACGCAACACTCGTTTCCACGACGCCTCAACATCCCAGTGTTTTTTGCTTCTTTCCACCAACCACTGGAATCATACTCTTATATGGGTGTTCGCATACGTCGCGAACACGGCTCATCTGGATGACCTTAAGCTGCCGTGCTCTTGGGCAGGCCTCGACTTGCGATAAAGACCACAGCCTATCAGCACCATAAGCTGTACTCGCACGCACATTGGAGGATTCCCTTCAGCTCATTACACAAAGCCCACCATGCCGACGTTTTCATTTATGAAGCAAACGCGGATGGAGCTCAAGGAGCGCAAAGCGATGCAAGCTGAGAAAGCGAAAGAGGAGCCCCCTAAGAAGCCATACAAGCATGTTCCCACACACGCTGCTGTGGACGCGATAGCTACAGCTCCTGCTAGCTGGAAGCACGACGACAGACCCAGGATCATGGAGCAGAACAAGAGACGAAGCGCCATGGCAGCCGGTGGAATGAACCTCGGTGGCTTACCACGAGTCGGAAGTTCGCTGTCTTACGTCTCCTTCCCCTCGGCCTATGCTACACCGGTCGTCTCACGTCCAAAGAATTATAGTTACAGCAGCATACCCAGCTCATTTCGTGAGAGTGTGGCCAACACCCATGGCGACGGCGATTATTTAAGCCAACCAGTGAGTGTGAAGGGCAAGGAACGAGCAGTTGGGCCACGGTTCACAATAGGCACTGAGACTCCATTGATGTCTTCGGGACGCGCTAGCCCAGTACTCAACAGAGGTAAGAGGTCTTCTGTCAACTGCGTATTGACCCATGACACATTTTTGACAGAATAGCAGGTATTCATGCATCCGTATCTGTTGCGGGAGGCTCGGGAGGCTCGGGTGGAACCGACGATGAACAGGAGATGAGGAGGAAGGCCCTCAAACGAGCTGCATCTGCCGCTGACAATCAGATCCTACCTTTACCGAAGGTCTCCTCTTGCAATGAGAGCTGCCATCGCCTGCATCCATCTCGCTCACGAAGCAATTCGGAGACTCCTACTGTGGAGGCTTCTGACCGGCACTATCCTCCCCCAGCGAAAAGCACCTTTTACGCGACTCCCCGTCCCCTGAGTGGGCGGGCATTGACTCTGGACATGATTGTCCCGCCTGTCCTAGCTTCACCCGACCAACCTGGCGTGTCTCCCTCCTCGTCATCTGCCTCTGGTCGGGTTTCAACGGCTTCATCAACGGCTTCCATCGGTGTCGCAAATTCCACGGCTCCGAGCTCTGCCTCATCATTGCGAGCGCCCTCTATTACCGACGAGTATCAGGCTCCGGCACAAAATCAACAGCCTCGTGTCTACTCCATTCATCCCCCACAGCGGCAGACAGTGAGACGGGTATCAATGGAGAGGAAGAGGGCATCAGCAGATACTGTCGTGCTCATATCAGGCGGGACCGATATGCAGTCCCCTCAAGCCCAACAACCCCAGTTGCCTCAGTCGCCCCAAGTGCCGCAGAAATCGAGAAGACGACTGTCCAAATCCAGACCGCCATCTTTCGTGGGAACAGAGCCACCGCCGAGCGCCGATGAGTCTCCGGTGAGACCATCGGCCGAAATGGAGCGAGCCAAGGTACCCAGCGCCTCTGCTACCGAAGCAATGATCCGCGAACTCAACAAGATGAATGAAGCCACCGCACATCCCGCCGTCGAAGCAGAAACTGCCCCAGCGCCTGAGGTGCATCGGCGCAAATTGAGCAAAAAGCCAAAGGTGGTGAACCTTGATGAGAGTCGTCGTCGCTGGTCATTTCGAACCAGCAAAATCTTCTTCACATCTTGAAGGACCTACATCATTCCTATCCATCAAACATGTTCACACGACTTGTATCTAAATTATGGGTGGCAATGGGTCGGGATATGACTGCAGGCGTAACGGGACAACTTTATAGACATGAATAATGCGCATTGACGATATCGCAATCTACTGTACTCTTCAAAATACCATTGTATTTCCAGTTCATGAAGCCCCGTTTCCACTGGACACTCTCCATTCGGACGCGGAAAACCTGGTATACTACAGCATCGCGAGCAATCTATAATGGCCTTGAATTCCTCAAAGCTGCAGTCGTACAGGGCAAGGAGTTCATCATATCGTGCTGGATTGTGTCAACTAGCTCAAAGATTACGACAACAACCTCAAACCCGTCTCTCTTACCATGAGATCCTTCACGCGGCTATGGGAGATAAAGCCGTCCATCATCACATGCAGGAACGCCCACCATTGCATTGGCCCGATGCCGCGATGCCTCGAATCAAGCTCATGACAAGTCTGTGTCGGACCGAGGAACGGAAAACTATGGCCAGACGCTCTAGCTCGTCCTCGAAAGATTACTTCCGTCCTTACTTCGTTCTAGGCTACCGAATGCCAGCGGTTGGGAAGCCACGGAGTGCATGTGGTCTTGTTCTTTACGGGATCGGATACCTGTATCACATCTAGTCAATAAGATGCAACCGAGTTAGCTTGCAATATACCTAGCTAGCCTTAGTTAGCTTATGATAGTTGCGAATATACTTCCAGGGGATCCTATTCCCATCTAGACTTGAGTTTGGTACTAGACCGCCGGCACGTCCCGCGCCCCTAGTCGTGCAAGGAGTCACACCTTGTACACCGTGACGGGGAGGGGGCGGGGTTTTCTCACGTCATTCGTTACCTGGGAAGGCAATAAACTATGCTGATCAGGTACCGGACCTGACCTAGGTTAGAGGCTAGGATGACATCGCGTCTGCCAACTCTATCTGGTATTGGCGTTTTCCTCATGGGGGTGATCGCTACAATCAAGATCTTGCAGATCGTTCCACCTCAGCCTTCAAACCAAGAACTCTAAAACCCGGCCCGTTCCTGTCGGTAACCCTAAGAGACCTCGGGCTCCCAGCCTCCTACCTTAGGCACATGCCTCATGGCGGCCGGGGGTTGGCGAGTCGGGCGAGTCTGTTATCATCTGACATCGATAGTTCTCTAGACCCCTTTTCGCGTCCTTAAGTTGGGTAGTCAATTCGTCTCAGATGGGGGCTGGGGTTTACCTCGCGAGGCATTCATTACCTCCCACTACTTTCCTTGAGATCTTTGAGATCTTTGGAAGCATGTGGCATCTAACTATCAGCATGACATGTGCTCGGGGAGATTAGGTATGTATTTATCGAGCATAGCTAAGGTACATGTAGGTAGGGAAGTCCTGCGCCGAGCCCATGTCGCAGATGCAGTCCGATCCATCTGGCCGCCGGCCGCCATGGGGGCCTGTCGCCGAACTCTCCTCGTGAGTCGTGGCGTTTGCTGTTAGAAACACCGTCTAAGATTGAAGCCTAAACGACCTCTTTTACACCAAGGAGTCAACGACTGCCGACAGTTCTGAACGGAAGCAAAGCAGCACCAGCTGCACCACCAACGAGTCCTCCGTTTCAGATGCATACAACGCAGTCTGTGCCAGTATTCAATGCAAAGCATAACTCGCGAGATAGCCACTATTACCGGAACGAACCCCTGCTCATTGCGGCTGAGGTTATTTTCGTCTCGAGGCCCGTACAGATCCAGGTTTTCTTCCTGTGGCTTTCCGGTCATGTAATATTTGTCAATCATATATGATGCCCTGGCCCATGACCGGGGTGAGATACCGGATATCAGGCCTGCATGACATTCAGGTGACCAACGCGAGGTGCAGCATGTTCATGTTTGACAGGCCCGGGTCCGATGCGTGGCGCACCCGCTGGCGGTTGCGATTGGCAGGCTGGGTTCGTGGGGGTTGCGTCGGGCGTTCGATACCAGGTCTGGTTTGTTCTTATTCAGCGTTTATTTATTTAATCAGTGCATGCATGACCATCAGGTGTTCGGCGGTCGTCTCTGTGGTGGTAATTAACCTGGTCAATCGGGCTCAATATCCGGAGTCAATACTCTACTACCTTCCCAAATCCCGGACCTCGAAAGGCCTGTTCTCAGTCATATCGTCTGTCACGACCATGTCTGTGAGTCCTCCTCCTGCCTCTGAGCTGGCTCGTTGCCTCCAACATGGAACGAATCAGGTAGTGGTCATCACTCTCTTCGTCCCGAGTCCCTGGTTGTTATCACCTCGCTCCCTCGTTCGCCGCAATACCAGCGATGTTGCCAGATGATTGCAGGAGCCTCGGAGATTCCATGTGGCTTTCTGCAAGGATACTCGCCCATGTAATGCTGCCATATAACTACATGGGCTCATCTTGCATGCTCTTATCAGAAATACATGGGTTGCCTCGCCCTCTCGGTACGCTGCTATAGGTAAAGAAGAGCGCATAGATAACCCTGGCACGGTATCCACGAGGAATGATAGGCCCCCTCGACATCCGACGCGCGTCGGTTGTCCGGCAAGGGCGTTCGTCGGCTCCTTGCATGAGGTTCCTGCACCCCAAAACCCGGAGCGTTGCAGGTGCTGTAGGATGCCGTGAGCCCCGGCTTCTGGTATCTCTCGCTGTTCAGTGTTCACAACATCTGAGAATCGGATCTGGTCTTGGTGTCACAGCTTGCAACAATCTTCGATTGATCGCGAGCTTATCCGCAGCTCCACTGACGCAAGTAGCTAACTACTTCAAGGACTACCATATCAGGTGATGGGACCGCAAATCAGAACCTGGAAAAATACACATACGTGAGTCCTAGCTTGGTCGTGGATTGACCTATACAGTATGTCCTGATTTACTGGCATCCAGGATGAGCACGAACCGGACTACATGTCCCGGATCCGATACATGAGAATATCCTTAAGCCCCGGCCACGTTCATAACTTCTCCGCTTTCCAACAAGTAAGGTGTACAGTGCCCCAGGGAAACCATAGCCTTGGCCGTGTCGACCCAATCCTCTTGGTCCGCGATAGAAGCCGCGAAATCAGGGTCTGCCGTGAGGCTCCGGATGGTCTGCACATCAGGGAGCGTGTACTCGGTGACACAGTCGAAGTCGGCAAAATCCCAGGTAGGCCGCATCGGTTTCATCTCCTGCTCCAGCGCGCCATTTAGGGAGCCCGGGGTATCGAACTATTGGAATACTTCGTGAGTATTTTGCATGCATGCTACTTTGAGGATGAAAGGCAGTGGAGATTGGCAAGCACTTACGAGGGAATACCCAATGATGCCGTGCTTCTTGAACACGGGCACGGCAAGGGGCACGTGTTTCTCGACGATCCACTTCATGAAGGCCTCGTGAGTGTGTTCCGGCTTGCGATGGTGGGTGATTGTAAGCTTCATGGGCCCATTCCCTTGCGGTGCAGCAGCTTCGGCCATGTTGACGCTCTTGTGGCACCTCTGGTGATCTTGGAAAAGAGGTTGGTGTAGGAAAAGGTGGTAACTTAGCTGAGGGACATGCAACCAGATGTAGGGCACTTGTTACCTTATATCATGTGGGCAGAACCCCATCTTTGTATGCAAGGGGTATGTGGTGTCAGCTGATGGTCGCCGGTTGACGTCTGGAGCACGCTGTTGGGTGCGATGAGACGAAGCCACGTATCGGTATTGGTTGCGGCACGGCGTAGGTAGTCCCAACGGCATAATAAGTTCCAATTTCTTTCCCGCTGCGCCACTTCCAGAGACGGGGCTGCTGCTATTGTTAGGAGCAGATGTGCCGTAACCCACCCCGGGCCGCCCATGTTCGAATACGACCCTCCATCCGGGGTACCAGGGATATGGAAGAAGTTTGGTTGGTTGGTTGGTTGGTTGCAGTCTTTAACGTCGCCTGGTTGCTGCGAAGCAGCAAACCAGATGCAGGGAGAAGGATTGTACCAACACGAAAGGCTTGTCAGCTTCGTTCTCGCCAAACTGAAGGCCGAGACCTCCAGATTTGGCTAGATGAGAAAGAAGCTGACGCAGCTGCTGTGCCGTAGACTTGCGAGAGCGAAACCGAAAGTACTAGAAGATCCACCAGATGGTAGTCCTCTTTTGCTTCTATCTCAGGTGGGTCTTCTAGTAGGTGATTTGCTCTTGAGAGTGGTGTTGATCAAGTTGGTTGCCCTGGCATAACGATTACATAAAATACGTGGTATTCTTTCAGCGAACTTGAAGACGAAGGCTGCTACCTCTTTGGCGAGTCTAGGTCCAGTGGGCTCGAAGGGACAGTGCAGATGAGGTCGTTATGGTATTATTCAGGCTGTTAGAGTGTGACACAAAAGCTAGCAATGGGATCGGGACACTGTTGGTTGGCTTTAGCTACCATGTTCCCAGAGAGGCTGGTCAATCTGCTGGTAGCACAAGAAACCACTGGTACCGGGCTTCTTACGGCTCGGGATTCGATTTTGGCTTGCTAGACAAGGTAACAGTGTCAATGTATGCTCACGGAGGCTTGGTGGGTGATGCCGCGTTGGGAACTGATCGCATTCAACTTATAGATGGGAAAGCACGACGTCCAGAACAGCACTTAGGTGGAAACCCCATCTCCATCCTATTGTGTCGGTAAGGACACCACCCAGCGCAAGAAAGCTCCTCGTCAGGCAGAAGCTCCCGATTGAAGACAAAGCAGCTGACACTGTTGCTAACATCAGTAATGTCCTGAACAGTCCGTTGTCCACACAGTCTCCCAGCGCAACAGCGCAAACTCTGGCATTTCACCATGCTGTCCCCATTGAGTCATGTCCTTGATGTGCAGGTTGGAGAAAGGTGTGGCCGGTAGAGCAGACGCGGACAAGCATAGATGCAGAGAGGAGGCCTTCGTTGCTTGCGGTAGGCAATTTGCAGCACCTACACCGGCGAGGATAGCATCAGGTTTTTATTTGGGGTAGAGCTACACGTATAAATCAAGAAATTCACTGTCAATTATGTATGCTACATTCTGTACTGGGGGCAACCATGCGGCAGGATGGTGGAAATCATCCATGGACCAGGAGGCGAATACTACGCAGCAGGCGCCGAGAAGGTGTTTCTACAACAGATACAAGGTCACCGTAATGACCAGGAGAAACAATGGTTCCAAGTCTCGGGATACAAATGTGATTAAAGATCCGTGTTTGTCATTACCTCCATCAACAGACGGGGCACAACGCGGCACAATGCGCCATTCCCTGTTCCAGAATTCATATCGCGTCTTCTTCAAGTCCCGGCTCAAGGCCAGGTATCTCAATGAAAAACAAGAGGTGAAAGATCAAAAATTAGACCGGTTTCCGGCCAAGGAATCCAGCAGTCGTGCAGCTGGAGTCTGGCAACATCTGTAAGCGAAGCTAGACCCGGTCGCTGGTCCCGTTGGCTTGCGCCCCCGGTCCCGGTGCTGGTGGGAAAAAAGAAGAGAAGAGGGAGAGGAAGGGGAGTACGGCGAGCCTTTTATATAAAAATCTCCATGCTGGCTGATTGTGCAGGGCGGTCAGGCAAGGCAGCAGCTGTTACTGATTGTTCCTCGGAGCAACGCCTCCTGTACTATGGTTGCTTCCCGGAGCAACGCCTCATGTACTGTGATTGCTTCCCATGACATTGCCTCACAGCTGGCGGCGGTGTCTAAATGCAGCACTCTCTGGTCACAGCTGGTGGGATTGACTGGCCGTAATATCTGGTGATTTTGGAGAATAGCCTCTTACTAGGTACTGGACACAGTCCTTTCAACTGATGCCTTCCAATTGACAAAGACCCTGAATTCAGTTCCACGAACGAACCCATAACGTGCACCACGAACCCATTCCTCCAGGACATCCAGCTGACCTTCATTCCTTACCTTCCCGCTGGACTGTTACTGTATCGAGACGTTGGTTGTGACCCCAATGCTCGGGGATATAAAAACCATGCAGGGACATCTATGGGGTGGGAACTTTTCCCTCCCTTCTTCTTCAAGGCCTTGCTGCCGCAAATCAGCTGGCATCGAGGCGACCATGAAGACTTCGAGGCTGATTCATCCCTGATGAGAGTAAGGCATCTTCCTACAGCCTGCTGCTCGAACTTTGGCTCCATCACCACTTTGTAGCATACTCTATTATTCATTCGGCTCTTGTGCTTATGCATGGACTCGAAGAAGATGACGAGATGCGTCCAGTACATACTAAGTATGTATATACGCCATTAGTCTAGGCAATTGAGAGCACTTAGTCCTGCAAAGGTTGCTGTGTAGGTATGTAATGTCTGGCTGTTCACCTTGTAAGTCTGTGGTAACATCTGGTTTGGAGCATGAGCAGCAAGCAACGAGGTGAACCAATCAGACAATGAGGACACTCAACTATTACCTCTTTGGACAGGGACATGACGAAGATAGAGCACGACTGAAGCTTTCAAAGACCAATAGCAACACAGGTTTGGTGCGAGAATGGAATGCTATGAGATACGGTAGTTACCGAAGAACCGGTCGTCACTGGTCAGATCTCAGTTTTGGCTGCCAGACGTGTAAACAGAGTCTGCCAGCACAGAATCCAAGCAACGTGGCAAGTCTGACTGTCTCGAAAGGTTAATTGCTGCTACGCGGCAGATACAGGTAGGTATTAAGCTTCATATCCTGGTCAACTGTCGTTCGTGGGAAGCTCAGGGGATAAAGGGGAGAGGGGAGAGGGGAGCTGGACGCGAGGCGAGCTTACCTAAGACGGAAGCTGAGCTCCAGTTCCAGCTTCGCCCTGCCTCGGAATGTGGGGGGAGCCGGCCGGCAATGCCAATGCCAGGGATTCCGCCCGCCGCCCGCCGAGCTGGACCCTGAACTCGTCACTGCGTCGTGGCATCTCCAAGCCCGTGCATCAATACGAAGGCACTTCTGCTCTAGTCATTCTAAACACCTCTGGCGACCTGGACACTCTTCAAGCCGGCCATAAGATGGTGACCTGAGGGACGTATCTTGCGGCTGCCTTCCGATCCCAGCCACAAACCTCTCTCTGGAGACTTGGACGGCGAGCTTCCATCAATGCGACACCACTAGCCTTGGTTATTGTTACACCTTGCGTTCGCGACGATGGACTACCTTGTTGAAGTTTTGAAGGAGACACCGCTTCCCCTCCTGTTGCTCGCTTCGGTCGCATCAGTCGTGGTCGCCTTCTACAGCGTAAGAAATCATTGCAATGCCGGCTCGTAGCTTCCGTCTGCTGACATCGGATCAATAGCTTTACGCCATCCTCCACCTGATCGCGCCGAAGCCCCGCGCAGTCCTCCCATCCGAAAAGACATACATCACCACGACTCCAGACGGTAATGAGACCGTCACCCGCCAGCTGCCATGCTGGCACGACCGCTGGCTGGCCGAGCGCCAGAAGAGCGAGACCCAAGCCAAGCAGGACCCGAACGCCATCCTCGCAGCCGACACCGGAGACATCGAGCCGGCCCAGCTCCACGTGAGCGTCGTGTTCCCAGCCTACAACGAGGAGGACCGGATCCTGCCCACGCTGAAGGAGGCCGTCGAGTACCTGGACGCGAACTTCGGCCGTGCCAACGCCACCCACCTCAACCCCCCGAACCAGCTTAAGAAGCCCGGCTCCAGACCGTTGAGCCCACGCCGACACCACTCTCAGCAGAACGCCCCGCAGCAGGACCTGTCCGGCTACGAGATCATCATCGTCAACGACGGCAGCAGCGACAAGACGGTCCAGGTGGCCCTGGACTTTGCGCGGCAGCACGACCTCCACGACATCCTGCGCATCACCACGCTGGCCAAGAACCGCGGCAAGGGCGGCGGCGTGACGCACGGCCTGCGCCACGTGCGCGGCGAGTACGCCCTGTTCGCCGACGCGGACGGCGCCTCGCGGTTCAGCGACCTGGGCAAGCTGATCGAGGGCTGCGAGGAGGTCGTTGACGGCAGCCATCGCGGCGTCGCCATCGGCAGCCGGGGCCACCTCGTCGGCAGCGACGCCGTGGTCAAGCGCTCGGCGCTGCGCAATTTCCTGATGCGCTCGTTCCACCTCATCCTCACCATCTTGACGCCGCCCGCCACGTCGCGCCTGCGCGACACCCAGTGCGGCTTCAAGCTGTTCTCGCGCGCCGCCCTGCCGCACATCGTGCCCTACATGCACGCCGAGGGCTGGATCTTCGACATCGAGATGCTGATGCTGGCCGAGTCGGCCCCGGCCGTGCCCGTGCTCGGTAGCGACGGCGCTGTTATTGGCAGCAGCCCCGGCATCAAGGTCGCCGAGGTGCCCATTGACTGGCATGAGGTCGGCGGCAGCAAGCTCAACGTCATACAGGACAGCATCAAGATGGCTATCGGTCTCGCCGTGCTCCGCGCCAGCTGGATGATGGGCGTATACAGACGACGGCTGACTTGATGAAGACAGGGAGATAGAGATAGATCTTCTGGCTGGCTGGCTAGACGGACGGACTTGTTTGCCGATTTGTGTTGAGCTTTGCATTGTACCTTGATTGCATTGCGTTTATACCCAAAAGCTGACTGACAACGGTCATGATAGATAACTAGATCTCTGCAGAACTAGTGGAATACAGGAAGACATCCTTCAAGACTTTATGCAGGCATCTTGTGGAATCTCGCATCGGTGAAATTTAACGGGGAATTTGGTCTCAGACACACGATTTGCAAGCAGTTACTCCATGGCATATGCGAGTCTCACTGACATCATGCTTTGAATTGCAGGCACGGCTTCGAAACCCGCACGCAGCCCAAGAGTCTGGGATAGAGACTCCTAATTATACAAACGAGAACTGTCCTGAAGTGAGTTGGTGGGAAGGGAGGCAGAATCATCAGTGTCAAGAGGTGTTGATCGGTGGTATTTTGATTCTTGAGAATTATAATTAAGTATCAATATGTACACTATATCCCCAAGTCTAGTGGTAGTTGAGTAGAGAGCGTCCCTCTTCTATCCTGCCACTTCCAGACTAATATCTGCAAAGTGTTTCTTCATATACACATGAGATTATGACTGATTCTCCAATGAGAATCGAGCGCCTCTCTGCTAGCCAGCCAGCCAGCCAGCCAGAATGCTAGGCCCCACCAGCTGATGATGTACAACGACTAACGCCTCTTGTCGACTCTGGAGTTCTCCCAGATAGTTCTATACGTACGCAGCACGCAGCATCTAAACCAACGCCTCGCTCGCACCATCTAAGCCAGCTCCCTCCACATGACCGGCAGGAACACGACAGTCGCCGTCCACAAGATCCAGAAGGCGTTCCAAAGCAGCAGCGGCACCTTCCACAGCCCCGTCTGCTTCCAGTCAAGCCAGATGGCGACAAAGGCGACGGAGAAGAAGTGGTACGCGAGCACAAACGGGCGCTGGATCAGACCCCCGAGCAGGCCCATGGGGTCGGCCGTGTAGCCCCGGCGGAAGTACTCGAAGCAGCCGCGCTGCAGCTTAGCCAGGTTGGCGTCCTGGGCCGCGAAGAGGCTGTACAGCGCCTGCGCCAGCACATTGATGATGGAGGTCAGGTTCTTGCGCCGCCAGTGGAACGTCGACATGGCGCGTGCCACGGCCGCCGTGTCGCCCAGGTTGACAATGTTCTCGGGCGATAGCACGTCCGAGAGGATCACCACGTCGTTGAGCGCGACGGTCATTCCGCCGCCCGTCAGCGGGTGGCGCATGTTCATCGCGTCGCCCAGGATCACCATGCCTGGGTTTGAACCCTGCTGCGTGGGCGGGAGCCAGCTGTTGGGCATGCTGGGTGGAATCTTGTTATCCCTGTCTAGAGCCTCCTCGAACGACGGCTGGATGGACTCAGGGAGTTGTGGGAGAACAACATTGCGTAAGTATCCGCGTACACCCCCGACGGCTGGCGATGCTTCGGGCAGCTTCTCCGGGACGTTGATGAGAGCACGAGTCTCATGCGTGCCGATCTGGTACAGCAGTGCAAGAGCCTTGTTGCCAATTATGACATGGCCGTAGTTCTGATGAGGCAGTACACAATCGTGCAGCTCGAGTGCGTAAAACTTGCTGCGTACCACGGGCGTCTGTGTGATATACTGTTTGCGAAACTTGGACGCATACCCATCGGCGATGATAGTCAGTTGTCCAAAAAAACAGTCTGGCTCCTTCTCCCCGGTGGCTGGGTTGACGGTCCGCGTCTCGACACCGAGGATCTCGGGGCCGCAGTCGCCTTTCACAGTGGCCACAGCCTCGGTCTCGACCACTGTGATGTTGGGATGCTTCAAACAGGCTCGCCGTAGTTGCATGATGAAGCGGCCATGGTGGAAACTTCGCCCTTGCGGTCTGTAGGGCCCCTTTTCGTTGTGTGCCGAGCCGTTCGCTGATCCATTCGCACTCCCGTTGGCCTTGCCATTTGTTGAAGCATGGCCATTCTCAGCTATCGATCCGCCCACCGAAGGGTAGTTCATGCACATATCCTGGCCAAAATAGACCACATCCATACCGTAGCTGGGTACTGCATCGATATCCTCGACGCACTGTCCGAGACCCAGCTTCTTCAGTGCCTCATAGCCTCCCGGTTGCAGTAGCTCGCCAACGATGCGATCTGGTTCCTTCATCCATCGCTCCAGCAGTATGATACTCCGTCCTTGGTTGGCAAGGGCGTAGGCGACGGCGCACCCAAAGACACCAGCACCGACTACCACGACATCGGCCTCGTGGTAAGTGGTCCGCCGCTCGACGTAGTCGTCGGTATAGACGGTTCGCGGGGTCATAGGAAAGGGATTACGATTACGTCGACTCGGGGTCGGTTGTCAAGACTCAATGGCAAAGGAGGCGGCGGCGGGGTATTGTTGAAGCAAGAGGACGGACGAGTCGCAAGTCTGAGTAGGGTGGTGGCGAAGGTCGGTTTTTTGGAATTGGGTAGCCTTGCAGAAATCAAGAGAGCCGCAGTCAGAGCCAGAGCAACAGTTGGCGCGTTGAAAGGTACCTAATGGCGAGAGGCGGTAAAGGCCCGGGATGATGGATCAAAAGACACACGACCTGGGCCCTTTCTCAGGTCATGATGGCACCACTTGTCGAACCATGCGCTAATCAACGAAATAACCTTGAAATGTTCTCGATTTGGGCGCCGGGCAATGGTCCCTCCATCGGACAGGTGCCACATGCAATTAAGGGGTCCAGCTCAAACTTCAAAGGGGAGCCAAGGCGCTAGCCTGTTACCCCACTACCACTCCGTTGTACTCCACAGTCACACCACACAGCCACCAATAGGACTGCCCATACCTTTGATAGGGGAAATCCCAGCTGGCAGTAGCTGTCGAGGAGCGTCGGTCAGTTGTCCTCAATATCCTTCCTGAGTGTCAGATGTTGGATCCCAGATATGGTGCCCTTAGGTGCAGTACCCACTAGGGGGCTGTCAAGGGAACAGTGGATCCACCCTGGCATGGTGCAGTATAGTATTTAGATGTAGATTAGCCCTGCCAAGCATACTTGAGAATGACAACAACGTTTGCAGCGACTGCTCACACCCCCAAGGCTTGTGACCCTTCTAGAATCTCACACTGAGTTATTATTGTTCTGTGCTGCTCAGGGGTAACGTAAGATACCTGCTAAGGTGCCCAAGACACACGCCTCCCAGAATTCATCGAGATAGAGTTCAATCAGGGTCAATCATAATTGAGGGATCCAGGTCCTTCACCAAGATAATGCGTCACATTGCCGGTTTTCGATTTAGCTACGCGCGCTCGCAGATCTCCCAATACCACCTAATCACCCGCGAGCACATACCAAAATTCTTGTGAGTACCAACATCAGAATCTCTACACCAGCAGTCCCAGAGCACCGCAAACAATCCCTGAGATAACCACACCGACCCAGCCGCCCTTGCTAGAGGACGCTCCAGACTCGGTGCACGCCGTCGCGCTTCCCGTGACGTTCCAGCACGTCAAGAATCCGTTGTTGGATTGCACCAGATCTCCTGCCAACAGTTCAAGATAGGGTCAGTACATTACGTAAGCAGTCTGATTCCGAAGCTCGGCTCTCTGACCCGGCCGTCTCGGTTGCCAGTGAGTGATCACGGGAGGTCGTTGAACGCGGTTACTCACTTGTATCCACGTAACTCTGATACTTCTGCGGCTTCGGCTTGCCCTCCTACGCCTTCTCGACATCGCACCAGCACCAGAGCTCCGATCCCTTGGCAGCGCCGAGGTTAAACGAAATCTCAGCGCTGCAGTTGTTGCAGCTGCTTTCGATGTGTCCACTGCCGGTACTATCAGCTGGCCATGCTTGAAAGCACGTATGGCCGGATGGGCGAGACATACTTGTATTGCTCCTCCAGCTTCCCGTCAATGTTGCCATAGCAATCTCCGAGGTTCAAATCGTTGCACTGCATAGCGCCGGCGTCGTTCTTGCCCTTGGCGTGGAGCGTCGCGGTCGAACTGTCGTCTCCAATGACAATGCTGTAGTCACGGCCACAGGCGGCGAGGTATCCAGAAGGGGGAGGGGCGTGCCATTTACCGTTGGCGAGAGTGCCAAGGACGAGCATGTTGGTGAACTTCATCGTCGATAATGTCCGGCGCAACAGCGGTGTTCAGCGCAAGGTATGATGAGTGATGTTTGTTGTAGGCTGGAAGGTGGCCGTTTGAGAGGAATACGCAATGCTGGGAGGCAATACCTTAAATAAACTCGAGGACATGGCCATTTGCACGGTTATACCTGCATCTGATACCTACCTGGCAGAGAACTCTTTGTTTCTCTGGCATGCCTTTCGGTGGTGACTCGTCCAACCAACCAATTTATCACCAACCGACCAACCGGCCTCGTCCAGGAAGAAATGAACTTGAGATCATACCAGCCCTACCAAAGGCTCATGCAATCACAGATCCAAGGACTTTTCCGTGACTCCCTTCCTGGCGTGAATATCACCGGTTAAACATCAGAGATGAGATGGAGTCAATTCCTCTCATGCTCATTTCCAAAGCGTCGTGTGATACCAAATGCAAGTGGTGTTCAATGCAAACCACATACATCCCATCAGCGGCCCGAGCCGAGAAACCCGCCTGATGAGTATAGGCAACAACGGGCGAACCCCCCACCGAAGCCTCCAGCCTATGCTATCACTAGTCCTCCTCACAAGGAGAGCCCGGTGAGCAAAACACTTCAAGGGGCATCCTCCTTCCCAACAAGTATATCTGCAAACAGTCAGCAAGTGTCAGCCTGCCATCATCGCCCTGGAGGAGAGTAATAGGAAGACAGACACGTATCAACATATCTCTCCTCCCTCTCCGAGCCCCTTGCCCCTCCGACTTTCACCGCGTGAGACTGAGGACTGAGAGGAATACCGAAACGGAATCCAGACAATGCCGACAGTATCTGGGCATCATCTCAACCGAGGCGGTAGTCCCCGAGGTAAGGACGCAATTTGTCGAATATAGGGCCTACCTGGCGCTGTTCGAGGCGAACGGACTGCATGGCATCGGGCTGGGAGCAAAAGATCTGACGCAGATCCAGGCCGAGGTGTTGGCTTTCACAAACCTGGTTGGATGGTGTCACGATTCTCGCCTTCAACACGCGTACCGGAGCAGTGCCAGTAATGCGATTGAGAGTGTCCGAAATAGATCGCTGCTACACTGAACAATAGAGGATTTCCAGTAGACCCAAGGACCACAGCAGGAAAGTCCAGGAGGCAGGATTGCCCAACCAGCCCAACCAGCCCCTATTTCAGTGAAGCTCAAAAGCTGGGTTCATGCATGAGCGAGAGTGATATCTTTTGATACACCAACTTACACCCCGGTATTCTTAGCTTTATGGTTACAGATGGCACAAAAGAACCAGTGGCGAGCTGTGTTGCCCTGTTCAGGGATCATCACGAGTGAAGCAATACAGGAAATCCGCGACATGGCACCGTCTTCAGCAAGCGCCAAAGGCCGGCGGACGAGCAGAAACGCCGCTGGGCGTATTACACAACACATACAAATGTGACATGATTGGAATATGCGCAAATTTCGGCCTTCGAATAAGGAACTGAACAGGTTTCATATCGTCTTCAACCATGCAGACGAACAGAGTAGAGAATGCTACAAATGTCAACACGATGATGAGATCGTGACCCTCAAACTGATGTTGCATGGAAGACAGCTTGATACATATCTAAGGTAATCTAGCCTTCATACACCTCTTTAGAATATTTGGTCCAGAGCGTATAAGTTGTCGTGAGTATAAGCCTCTATTCTAAGCTCCTCCATATACCGCGCCGCACCGTCCCTTCCCCTATATAGTGACTCACAGGCTGGCCTTGTAGCCGTTCTTCTTGACCCATGCTGCCACGTCGTCGCGATCACGCTCTAGCCAAGAGATCTTGCTGCGGACACTATCCTTACTCTGCGCTAGCGACTGGTCAAAGGCCGTGGTGTCGACATCCTTGAAGAATTTCTCGACTCTCTCAAGTTGCTCTGGCTTCGTGAAGCTGGACGTGCACAGCGTGACCATCGTACTAAGCATGGACGGGGTGCCGCTCAGCCGCTTGTTGATCTCGGGCCACTTCTCGGTCAGCCAGGTCCACAAGGCCTCAATGCCCTCGGGGTGGCTTCTCAAGGCACCCGCTGGGAGGTACATATCTTGGCTCTTGACCTCGTTGCCTAGGATGAGGCCTATCGTTCTCTGGATGAGCTCGGGGTTCTTCGCGCGCCCGAGGCACCGCAAAGCCGTGTTCCGCTCGTCAGTGTTGCTCGAGGTACGGAAGATGTTGAGGATCGCATCGTACTATACCACCATAATCAGTCAAAATGTCAGGGCTCCAGAGTGCATCGACCTTACCTCTTCCACTCCGCCATACTTGAGATTCATGCTGAAAACGCTAGCCCGTATGTTCGGGTGGATAGCCGACTTGTCGCCGTCATTGTACTTAGTAAGCATCTCCTTGGCCGCAGCCTTGATCTCCTCGTCACCAGACGTTCCAGCAGCACTGAACATCATAGCCTTGAATTGTTGCTCAATGTGACCATCCTTGTCCGAGAAGTTCCAACCCAATTTATGGGCTCTCTCACTAACGAGGTCCTTGACGAAAGCTTGTAGGCCATCCTTGACTGCCTGGTCCTCGAACACCCACGCGCCCTGAACAACACCAACCCTGGAGATGAGTTCACTCCACACCACGAAGGACTCCTCGGTATCGAAACCCTTCAGTAGGTCCAGAACACCCGAAGTCTTCTGGTAACCGGACGACGCAAGAGCAGCCGCGTCAGCGATCATACCAGCTCGGTCTTCAACTGTCAGTAGCCCCTCCTTGGCTGACTGACCAAGCTTCGCTAGTCTCTCTGGAGAGTAAGACGTTCGGTAAAGGCTTGTGTGGTTCGCGTTCAGTTTGAAGAAATCCGTATCGGGGACCTTGTAGACCCCATCCCTCTTTGACAGCGTTAGAGACTCGTCCACACCGTCCTTCGTTCGGAGGCCCAAGAAGACAGGGTATAACACTTCGTCTTCCTCGGGCTTCGTATCAGCAGTCCGTAGGAAGCGGTTTTGCTTCACATGGATCGAACTATCCTCAGGGTTCTCGGTGACCTGCACCACAGGGTAGCCAACGTTCTTGGTCCAGATGGACATGATTTCCTTGACAGGTTTACCACTGGCATCTTCAAGAGCAGCCCAAAGATCTTCGGTCTGCGTGTTGCCGTATGCGTGTTTCTTGATGTATCGCCGGATGCCCTCCAAGAACGTTTCCTCACCGAGGTATGTCGATATCATGCGAAGGACGCATGATCCTTTGGAATACGAGATGGCATCGAAAATCTGATCGACTTCACTGGCGCGCTTGACGGGCACTTCAATGGGATGACTGCTTCGCAGCGAATCTAGGCCAAGGGCGCTTTGAAGAGTACCGGACACGTAGCTTTCCCAGACCTTCCACTCCGGGTAGAAGTGGTCGCAGCCTATAGAACAGATTAGCATTCACACCAAAGTCACACGAATATAGGGCAAGACATACTCTGCCAGCTCATAAGAGTAGCGAAGCCTTCGTTTAGCCAAAGGCCTTCCCACCAGTCCATAGTCACCAAGTTACCGAACCATTGGTGCGCCAGCTCGTGCTGCACAACTTCTGCCACACGTTCCTTGGTCGCGGCGCCGCTGGCCTTCTCGTCCAGCATCACCTCAACAGTGCGGTAGGTGATCAGACCCCAGTTCTCCATAGCTCCCGCAGAAAAGTCAGGAATGGCTACCATGTCCATCTTGGGCAAAGGGAATTCGGCTCCAAAGATCTTCTCGTAGTACTCCAAAGTCCGGGCTGCGAGTTCAAGCGAAAACCGGCCATGCTCAATGTCCGAGTTGGGAGGGGCGTACACTCGAATGGGGACACGGAACTTCTTGGTTTCGATGTGGTTCAGTTCGCCAATGATGAAGGCAACCAGATAGGTGGACATTAGGGGAGTCGTGTTGAACCTGATGGCCTTTTTGGCTGTGCCGCTCATCTCAGACTGCACCTCGGACTCGGAGGCGACATCCATATTGCTCAGACATGTCAGGTGCTTGTCGGCGATTAGAGTGACGGTGAACTTGGCCTTGTGCATGGGCTCGTCAAAACAGGGGAAGGCCCGTCGGCAGTCATTGGCCTCCATCTGCGTGGTAGCTAGGATTCCCTCGGAGCCGTCGGGCTTCTTGTAGGTAGAGCGGTAGAACCCGGCCATCAGGTCGTTCAGCTGGCCCTTGAACTTGATCTCGAGCTGCGTCTTGCCCTTGGGAACGGCATCCTTGAGCTCGATGGTGGACACTTGCTTCGACTCGTCGTAGGTAATGGAGGAGGAAGAACTGAATCCAGAAGTCAGATCTATCGGAAGGTCAGAAGCGTTGTTGCCATGGGAGCTGACCTTATAACCTGGTCGCCGGACTTGATATGGGCGCTGTGGATATCGAGCTCGAGTGTGTGGAGAGATATGGACTTGGTCTCCTCTTGCACGTCGAAATCGATGACGACGTGGCCGTTGAAGGTGAACTTCTCCAAGTCGGGTTCCAGAGTCAGGTCGTAATGTCTGGGGATAACATTGGTTGGCAGGAGCTCGCGACCCTTGTTGGGGTCGGGCGACGCTCCGCCGAAATGCTCAACATCGCCAGCCAGCCTACACATGTTGTGTCTTCGGTAGGAGCAGTATCGTACGAAGGATCTCGAGGGGGGCGAGAGTCGAGGGTGGTGGTCTAACGAATTCGGTCGTATCAAGGGGGCGAGCGAGGAGGTCTTGGTTAAGGTTCGCGGATAAGAGCTTAACTGCCGGATTAGTCGAGTGGGAAGGTCGGGATACAAGGACAACGTACCTATATGCAGCGCTACTGATGGAGTATCTCTGTCCCCACTGCAAGCTTGAGGAAGGCAAACGGCGGCTGAGCCTGTTGGTGATGACGGAAACCCGAGGAGTGAGCTCGACACGGCAAGCAGCTCGAAGAGACATATGTACACGGAGGCAAAGGAAGGGAGGATGGCGGATGCTGGGCTATATAAATACAGAGTCACTAATGGCATAGACAGTACACGTAGTATACAATAATACAAGTTGCAACAGTGGGACGGCGGTTCCCTATTCGTGCACAATAGCCTCTCGTTTGGGAAAGTCCTGTCGAACTGCACCTCCTGCTGTGTAAAGTAGAGAATTGGGATTTCTTTTTGGATGATACGGCTGGCGGTGTGACGGCTGACGGCTGACGGCCGATTGAATTGGAGACGGGTAACTGGAACCATTTTTCCCGCACCCGAAGCCGCGCCCCCGCCAACTTTCCGTCTTTCTGCAGGGACCATCAAGGTTCTCAGATGTGCGTGCGGCATCTGGTGCACATACCGGTATGCACATCATCTGGAACATCACCCCCAATCAAATCCATTGGACCATCTTGGTACATTTGGTGTTGCTCCCCGTCGAGATCAAAGTGACAAGTTCGTATCCGACGTCCTGTAGTCGCCCGTCCGGGTGGTCTTCCCGCGCCACCTCTTAGGTGGGAAGCAATAAGAAACCCCATTTGGGAAAATCAACTTTTATTGTGCGTGCGAGATATAATAGTAAGCCATTCTGACATGCCGCTTGGGCTATGGATCATGGGGCACGCGACCAATAATACTACCACGATATCTGAGGGTTGCGGTCAAAGGTCCCAAACAATTGTAGCCAGTTGTAGCTTACACACAAAACGCAGACGCTTCGAAAAATGAAGGCCCGGAACAAGTACTGGATAAGGTAGATTCGGAAACAGCTCATCGCTGTTGACGCAGTGCTAATCGCGAGAACAATCTTTCTGCCCTTTGCATCTACTCTACAGCCTAACTCCAGCCCCCCTTTCCACCAAAACCACTGCTTTCCTCGATCTTCTTGCCTCCTCCGCCCTTCGTTGGCTTCTGCTGTGCTGCCTCGTGACGCCGTAATTCCTCCGGGACCCTAGAAATCGAGCTCTTGGACAGCATCTGCTTGAGGTCATACATGACGTCGGCGTCCTCGTTGCCCAGAAACGAGATAGCCACACCGCTCTTGCCGGCACGACCTGTACGACCGATACGATGGGTGTAGCTCTCGATGCTGAGCGCCATGTTGAAGTTGACGACGAGCGAGACGTCCGGGACATCGATACCACGACCAGCAAGGTCTGTGGCCACTAGAACGTCCGTCTGGCCGTTGCGGACTGACAGCAGGGCCTGTTCTCTCTGTTCCTGAGTCTTGCTTCCGTGGAGTGTGACGGATGAGAAGCCCATGTGCTTGATCTCTCGAGCCACCGCGTCGCAGTTGCGCTTGATGTTGACGAAGACGATGATAGGGGGAGCGAATTCGTTCGACGACAGGATCTCCTGCAGACGCTTCTTCCGGCGGTCTTCGCCACTGACAAATTCAACCCGTTGCTCAACCGTTTCGACTGCCTCGCCAGCGTTACCAATGGTGATAGTGGCAGGTCTCCGCAGATATTTCTTGGCGATCTTCTCCACGGCTGCCGGCATTGTAGCTGTGTACATCATTGTCTGTCTATAGCGGTCCTTTCCGCCCAAAGGTCTACTCATCAGTTGCGCGTCTTCGGCCTCTTCAGTGTCCGGCTTCTCATTGGTAACGGGGAGAGCGTCCAATATCTTGTTCACGGGTTCCTCAAAACCCATGTCGACCATGCGGTCAGCTTCGTCCATAATGATGTAGCAGCACTGTGACAAGACAAGCAGTCGACGTTCGATACAGTCCACCAACCGACCAGGCGTAGCAACGATGATCTCAGCGCCATTTCGCAGGGCGTAGGCTTGCTCTTCGAGCGAGTGGCCACCGACGAGACTGACAACGGTGAAGCCAAGCGGCGTTGCAAACTTTCTTGCCTCCGACTCGATTTGTTGAACCAATTCTCGAGTTGGTGCGATGATGAGGGAATATGGCCCATCGTTGTTTGTTGCCTCGGTCAAGGGAGGCAGCTCAGAGATATACACCAACAGGGGCAGGAGAAAGGCAGCTGTCTTCCCGGAACCTGTAACAGCAACTCCAATAATGTCTCGCGCCTGTAGAGCGACGGGAATTGCGGCCCGCTGGACGGCACTGGGCTCTTCGTATCCAACGCTGGCAATGATATCCAGTAGTCGTCGAGGGAGTCCTGACTCCTCCCAATTTCGCATGGGGTGCGGGATGAGTCCGCCCTTGGTTGATATACCGAAATCCTCTTTGAAGATGCGCCAGTCTCGCTCGCGCATATCTTCCAGTTTCTTCTCCGACCAGTGTTTGCCTAATGCGTTGCGATTAGACCTCTCCTTCGCACGCCTGGCCATTTCCAGAAGCTCCTGAGCGCGCGCCACGCCGTTCTCGGGGTCTCGCTCGATGAGTGATCTGGCAGCCCTTCGAGCATTCTCCTCCGCCATCTCATCGCCATGTCCAGCCAGTTTCCAAGTTGGCTCGATCCTCTCGGAATATATAGGGTCGTGGTCTCGACTGGTGTCCTCATCGGGGTCCCATTCGAAGTTGAACTTCTTCTCTGTAGTCCTTCTGCGCTTCTTCTTGGCTGAGAATGTCGACTGGTTCAGTTCCGGTCCCATATACCTTGCTCGCATGATGGCGGCGTCGGTTTCTTCCGGGGCGGCTCTCTTTTCTCCTGCTGACCCCTTTTTGCCTGTCCTCTCGCGCGTATCGTTCTGGTTGCCATTCACCTCGCGCCGATCGTTCTGGCGCATAGCCCTTGGGCCTGTCGGAACAGCCCGTGCATCGCGATCGCGGTCGCGCTCACGGTCTCGTCTGTACGGAGGTTCTGGCGCTGTTGTTGGTTTGCTTGGCCTTACTTCAGCTGCTTTTCGCTTCTTTTCTCCCTCCTCCTTCTTCTCTGCGGCTAGGCGTTCCCGCTCGGCCTTGGGGATGAATCGGGGCTTCGCTGCAGCTTCATCTGCGGCCTTCTTCTTCTTCAATATTTCTTCGAGATCTAGGGGTTGCTTCCGTCGTTGAACAGCCGGGGCGACGTCGTTGGTGCCATTGTTGCCATTGGTGCCATTTGTGCCATTTGTGCCGTTGGTGCCGTTGGCGTGCGATCCGGACCGAGGTTGCATCCCCATGGCGAAGGTATATGATGTGGACGTACAAAGCTCGGTGGACAGAGCGAACACTAGGTAAAGAGGTACAGATAAGAATTAGTTCTATGTGTATTCCAGCAGCTTCAGTGATGGTACTTGTATGCTTGATGGCGAGGCGCAACAGGACAGGACCGCGCTAAAGGTGGACTGCCGTGTTAATTGTAGCTATCAGTGGGAAACGGCTTATCGATTAGATTCTACAGCTTCTCAGCCAATCGGGGCATTTAGCAGCGACGGGAAGTAGGGGTAGCATCGGAGTGCTAAACTCTTGCCATCCAGCAATCACCCTATTCCATTCTCATAGACCCAGGCTTGCAAGCTTCATCCACCGCACGAACTTCTTTCGAACGATCGCCAACGACTGCAATGGCGACCAACTCCAGATACGTCGAGCTGGCAAAGCAGCTGCACCCGCGGCTGCAGCGTTTCTTCGCCAAGTACCCGCCGAACCAGATCCTGCCGGCGTCGGCGAGGATGAACACGATCAAGGACGGCGCGACCGCGAACCCCTTCCTGCCGCACAAGCACCCCGTCACGGGCAAGTGGCACGACCCCGAGTTTTCGCTCAGGCGGCAGGCCGAGCTGGTCAAGATGGCGCGGAACGAGGGCGTCGAGGAGCTGCTGCCGTTCACACACAAGGGCACCGAGGAGCGGATACGGCACAGGGTCGAGCACGGCCTGCGGGTGCGCGGTACGGGTGTTGGACAGAGTGTCAAGGGCCACAAGCACGAGAGGATGCTGGCGCCCAAGTATGTTGCATCTTTCCGCGAACGGTCAAGGCGTATACTGACTGCTATAGGATGGAGAAGAGGAGAACAGCCATGCTGGGCATGCCGAGGTTGGTCAGAGAATGGCGGAAGGTTCGTCGTCGTCGCCCCAAAACAAGTCGCCATGCTATAAGTACCTTATTCTTACTGACAAATTGCACAGACAGGAAAGAGCAAGTGGAACAGATACCCCAAATAGACGCGGTCGGACAATACGGATATGGCAACACACTAGCGGCCATCTCAGTGTACAACCCAGTGTATCACCTTGTATCATACTACTACTACCTATCCAAGAGAAGAATCAAGTCGAGCACGTCGGGAATGCAGTGCTATGCAAAGCTCAGTGGCTCACGGAGTTGCGTCCTAGCAGCTACCTATGCTCCCAGGTACAGTGAGAGAACACCCCTGAAAATTCATAACAAAGACGGGCTCTAGACGGCAATCAAGATACGAGGGAATGTACCAGATAGGGGTAACCGCCACCATTCTCTTTAGTCCCTCTCCTTTTCGCAGCCGTGGTGTTCGTTGTTGGTGATATCCATCCGGCGATCGAGCTCTTCAAGGTGCTCACGTGACCCCTCACCCATTTGACTTCGGATCCAAAAAACCGGTTTTCCATCAGACCGGGATCCTACCAGCTTACACGGAATGCCAAACGTTGCGATTCACTCTCACCATTTAACCACCCGGCCGCGAAACAGCTCACACAACCACTGAATCATAATCTAGAAAACACAGGCGTACACATACATCAGCCATGCCTCGGATATCCAAGACGGCTTCAGAGCCGACGCTCTACGAGATCCTCTCACTCACGCCCAAGCACCTCGAGGGCCAAGCAGCCTCGGCACAGCAGCGGGTCGTGAAACAGGCATATCACAAGGCGCTGCTGAAATACCACCCGGACAAGAACAACAACGCCGCCAGCTCCGGATCCGGATCAGATTCACCCTCCAAGCCCCAGCCCAAATCCAAATCCAAATCCAAATCCACCACCACCAAAACCTCCTCATCCTCTACCCCAAACTCAAATTCAGACTCCTCCCCCATCACCTACACAGTAGACCAGATCCAGCACGCCTACACCATCCTGTCCGACAGCAAGACGCGCAGCGAGTACACGCGGTCCCTGCAGACGTCCCAAAAATCCATCAGCACGCGGCACCGCGTATCAACACAATTCCACACGGGCGTCGAGACCGTCGACCTGGACGACGTGGGCTTCGACGAGCGCAGGGGCGTCTACTTCCGGTCCTGCCGCTGCGGCAACGCGCGCGGCTACGCCTTCACCGAGGACAACCTCGAGGAGGTCGAGGACGACGGCGTGCTCATGGTCGAGTGCCTCGACTGCAGTCTCTGGCTCCGGGTGCTGTTTACTGCTGCTGCTCCTGATGATGATGACGAGGAAGAGGATCAGGGGAATGTGACTGCGACTCGGCATAGCGGCAAGGCCAAAGAGGCCCGGATGCAGCAGCAGCAGCCACCGCAGCAGATGCAACAGCAAAGAAACGACGTCACCTCAGAGAGGCGCGGCAGCGGCGCCGTCAAAAAGAAGGGCAGGGGCTGGAATTTCAACTTCAGCTTCGGCTGGGGGCTCTCGGTTGGGGGTTCGGCATCAGCGAGCGGCGGGAGTGGGAACTAGGCTGCCCAGCTGCCCAACTGATGCAACAAACAGAAGATCTACCTACCTACGTCCTTGCCATCGCATCGTATCCGCTCCATTTCATCCGGTTGCTACCTGGAGAAATGCGTCTTTTGGCCGAGAAACACAAACTCCACCACAACGATCTATCCCGGCCGCGGATTCTGGGCCGGGGTAAGGCATTCGAGTAAACGTATGTACGGCATTCATGCATACAAGGAGTTGGTGACAGGTATCGCGTAGCTACTGCGCTATCGACCAGTCAGATCAGCCACATGGACGTGACGGGGCTTCGACAGGACCCGCGGCGCATTCCGGCCGGTGCCAGATAACGTCAGACTCGGACGGTAGCAGCGGCAGCCCTTACTACCGTTGCCTCGGTGGTGCCCCGCGGTAGCCGTAGACCACTCCGGTATGCGAGAAAACTGGCGTCAGAGAGCAAAGCAGCGCCGCAGAAAAGGTGCAGGAAATGCCCTCGTCGAATTGCCAAGCTGGTGGGATGTGTAGAATAGACATGAGTACTTTGGGCTGTTTTCCATATACAGCGCATACAAGCGTTCATGCAATCGGATACACAGTAAAATGACATTATTTACTGTATATTGGGCCTCATCATTTAAATTAGTCACTGCGAAGCCATTGTTTTAGATGTATAGTGCATCTGGATTCCTTGTCGCATTATCAAATACAAAGACGAATCTTACGGGAGCTGGGTGCCTGTCTGGAGGAGCCACCATGCCAACTTCGCTTCACAACAATCAGAACTTGCATAGTACGGACTCATAGTCCAGACATGATTGCATTAGAATCTAGAAGGCAAGCATCTGCGATGAACGTCCCAAAGCTCTTCTTTAGCCCTTTTGCCTGTAGTAGGAGATCCCTCCAAAGTCTTTGTTGCATTGCCACGCGCGAAAAATCATGCAGAATCTCAATCAGAGGTCTTCACAAGCAAACACTCCGTAGACACCAGATTCCACCCCGATCCACAACCAGTCCCTGTAGATATCTCAAGCGTTGAAGGGGAGGCGGAAATTTACTCGGCAGCCTTGGGCTCCTCGGAGGTGGCGGCGGGTGCCTCGGCGGTCTTGTCTGCCTCCGTAGTAGCAGCAGCACCTGACTCCGCGGAAGGCTCAGCCTCAGAAGAAGTCCAGAGAGTCTATATTCTGTTAGCAATCATCAAAAACTGTCCAAGACAGGCGCATACCAAGTTGTCGCGGAGGAGTTGCATGATGAGGGTCGAGTCCTTGTAGCTCTCCTCGCTCAGGGTGTCAAGCTCTGTACAAAATGAGTCAGTGATATGCTTCTCCAAGGTGATGAGGACCGACACATACCAGCAATAGCATCATCGAAAGCCTGCTTGGCAAGATGGCAAGCCTGGTCTGGAGCGTTCAAGATCTCGTAGTAGAAGACGGAGAAGTTGAGGGCGAGGCCGAGACGGATCGGGTGCGTGGGAGGCAGCTCAGTCTGGGCAACCTCGGTGGCAGCCTTGTAGGCCTCGAGAGACTTGTCGGCGGACTCCTTTCGTCGGTCACCAATGGCGAACTCGGCCAGGTAGCGGTGGTAGTCACCCTTCCTGTCGGGGAGGTCAATTACGTAAACAAAGGGAGCGGGAACGAGAAGTGAGTGTACATCTTGTGGTAGAATACCTTGGACTCGCCGGACTTGGCAGACGGGATGAGGTGCTTGTCCAGAACATCGAGGATGTCGTCGCAGATCTTAGCCAGCTCCGCCTCGATCTTCTGACGGTACTCCTTGATAAGGCCGACCTGGGGCGAGCTGGCCTTGGACTCCTCCTTCTGCTCAATGGAGGTAACGATTCTCCAGGAGGCACGGCGGGCACCGATGACGTTCTTGTAGGCGACGGAAAGAAGATTGCGCTCTTCGACGGTAAGATCGCGGTCCTCGGAGGCGACAATCTTCATGTTCTCGACCATCTCTGATGGAGCAGTCAGCGGTGTGCCATGGGTACACACAAGCCATCCCGATATTACATACCCTCGTAGCGCTCAGCCTGCTCGGCCAGCTTGGCAAGATACACAGCATCCTCGTGACCCATGTTGGCGACGTGAGATTCGGTGGAATCGGAACTGTTGGAGGATGGCGTGGTCAGTTATAGTGTCTTGACGGGTGTTTTATTGTAGAGTACCAAAGGGGCGGTGGAGTGTAAAGGGGTGGACAAGGAGAAAGGAACGGTCGTCAGTTTGGGAAGGAATAGGAGAAAGCAGGCTCGCGCCCAGCACGTTTCGAAATGGAAAGCCTTGGGGGGTCTCTGGGCGATTGGGGTATGGCAGTTGCGCTGTGCTGCGATGAATGTTCTGGAGGTGAGGTGGAAGCAGATGTGACCCCCCGCCTTCGGTGGGGTTTGCGCCTACCACTGCAGCTAGATAACGCATAGGTGAGAAGGAGTTGGACGGGCGTGTGCGATGTCGCAAGGGGCAATTGAAGTCGAAGATGTGTCGAACTTTGGTCGGGGATAGGCTGTTGTTGTGTGTTTTGAGAGATGAGGCGGTCGTGATGTGGGCGATGACGAAAGGTGCAGCCAGGCGGGAGATTTGAGGTTCAGGGTTGCGAAGGCCAAGCAGGGAAGGGGACATGTGCAGCAGACAGACGGGCAGACGGGCAGACACGCAGACCAGCAGAGGACCAGGTGACTGGCGGGTTGAATACCTACGTACCTTGGTGTTGATGTTGTTGTTTTGGTTCTGAATTGACGGTTGTATGTGTGGTGAAGGGGCGACCTGCACAAGTTGATGCACAAGAAGGAAGCGCAAAAAGAAGGGAGAGAAGTTGTATGTAGGAGAGCGGGCGTGGGCGTGGGTGTGGGTGACAGGTGTGAGGGTGATTGTGGGTTGGCTGGAGGAGTGGATGTTGTTGTCCCGCCGGGTCGTCGCTGGCAGCTGGAGGCGAAAGATCCGGGAGGGCTTTTGTGGGCGGTGCAGCGGACATCGGGAGTGATGCTGTGGTGGGGCAAGGCAGTGCAGAGGCATAGGACAGCCTGGAGCCCCAGCTGCAGCGCATGCAGGTGGTGTCCAGGTGTCTTGGGGCCTGCTACCCAGCGCGAGCCCAGCGTGTCTCTGCCTGGGGAACACCGTCCTTTTAGAAATTTGGCGGGGCGTGCCGGCAGGTCATTTGACGACCTTCAGCAGGGTTTGGAAGGCGCCATTCGTCTTTCTTGACTGGAACGACAGTGAACTCTACCTTCAATGCTATGAAACAAACAGAACAAGACTTCTTTCAGTCACGCCATCTTCCTTTTCTCCTACCTACCTAAGGTACCTTACCACGACTCAGATACGCCTGGTCCTGATCAACCCGTATCTCTAATTATTGCTTATCTCTCACATACTCGTCCAATGATAGAATCTGTGTCAATATCTCGATTCTGCATCTACACATGATGCCGCTAGTCCCTGATTCAGGGCCTCATAATCCACAGCCTTCCTGAAATCTCACGCATCCTGCTAGGCAGGTTATCTTATTTGCGCAACGACCCCTTGGTTCGTTGTCTCTGACCACGTACATTACTACCTACTGTGTGAGCACAGTTGTCCTCGTGGCCATCTGCCATTGATTATATCAGTGTCACTTCGATGCTGTGAGAAAGGTGCAGTCCGAAAGGAATTAACCTAGAACGCTTGTTTGATAATCACCACACGACCAATCAGTTGACGAAACACCAACTTGAAGGCAACCCGGCCATGAGCCACGCTCTTATTCCTCCGCGAGATTTGATATCTGCCCAGTGACTGGCCCATCCAGGACACAATTTATTATTACCTGACATCAAAATCTGCAGCCCACATGGCTCACATCTGCATCCCGCACCACCACCACGCCACGTGAATATCTCGAGTCATCCCTCGTGGTGGTAGCGACACAGGGGACGCCCCCTATGTGGCCGGTCTGTACCGGAGCCGTGCTTGGGTACTCCCCAGTGCCCCCTCAAGTGACGGGAGGTTGAATCGACGGCACCACGTTGCAACCCCCAACGTGAGGTGAGACAGGGGTCAATGAATGGTTCAGTACCAATGCCTCTGCGCATTTACCCTTCACCCTTTACCCTTCACGCTTCATTGCCTTGGCGTGTCGACGACGATGCCAGCCTCGCCAGGGGAAACTTCAATAATCGAGAGGCCCTTCATCAGGCTTCAGGTTGTTCCCAGGGTCCAGGGACCAGGCATGCTCCCGGAAAGGTCCAGATCGGAGAGGAACATGAACAAGATCCCTCACCGTTGATCATGCAAGCCTATTCCCCACAGGTCAGCCGCAACTGGACCGGTCTCTTTTCCAGACTCCAGACCGATGGTCGGTCTACGCGCATCGAGCCATTTCCAATGATCACTCCACGTCTTTTCTAGACCACGAGGAATGTCGCACTCCGCGGCATTACAATTGCCTACAGCTGCAACTCATAGGCCTTGAATACATGGGCGCTTATGACAACCTATTTGCATATCTCCATGTGATGGTTGAGTACTTGGCCGCATTAGACACACTGCGGCGACCAGGGCTGAAAACTTCAAGTACAGAGCAGCGCGTATGACCGTATGGCGGTATGTTCGTCTTCGAAAGCGTACACACATAGTATTCTACATATTGTATGAAATGATCTGCTGACATTGTCGCGTGATGAGCCGAGAGGAAGTCGACACCCAGATTCCACGATTTCATGATGCCCGGCCTGGTCCCGTCCCATGTGGTGCAGGTGCAGGTGGTCTGTGCTTGCTGGATAGCTCCGCTCCGTCTCGCCCCGAGCCTGCCAAGCTCCAGTCTGTCGGGTCTGTGGGCTTTGACGCAACCTCTAGAACAACAAAGCTCCAAATCGTCAGTCACCTTGGAAGTGCCTCTCGTCTCGAACACACCACACACCACACCACCAAGGTAAGCAATTCCATCGCACAGATCTTCTCCCGCGTCGGGATCATCAGCCTCATGACTCCATTGCTGCCAAACATCGGCTGGTCGCGATGGAGTGTGGTCCAGTACTAAAGCATCTTGTCTGCAACCACCTTCTTCTACATAGTTGCTAACGTACCTTTCAACTACAGGCAACCCTACAAAGAACGTAACCATGTTCCGCCAAACCCTCACCAAGGTCCCGGCCCGTGGCCTCGCCACCCCCGTCTCGCGCCGAGCTTTCACGACGACCTTCCGCGTCATGGCCGCCGGAGACACCGGTGCTCCGCCCGCCATGGGCGGCCAAGGGTACGTCTCTTCCGGTTGATACACCACAACCCTCTATCACGACATATACCTCAAGCTCTGGGTCGTCCGCCGTCCTCCCCTGGTTGAGTTTCACGGAAGGGGCAGAAGCAGGAAGCAGAATCACTTCGATCATAGCACCAATCCACAACCACTACAACATATCCACAATGTCACTGAGAAAGAGATAGTATAGCTAATAGAGACTCGCTGCAGTGACGCCTTCCAGAAGCGGGAGAAGGCCAACGAGGACTACACCATCCGTCAGCGCGAGAAGGAAAAGCTGATCCAGCTCAAGGCGAAGATCGCCGAGCAGCAGGACCACCTCAAGAAGCTGTCCAGCCACATGTAAGTACCCATTGGCAGTCACGGCTGCCCCTTGTCACTCAATATCAGCATGAATCGTCTACGACATACACTCAGAATCAGCATCACTGTCGTCGTCCATCATATCCGAGTTCTCAAGACTTAATCAATGCTTCATTCCTATATCAGTATGGGGAAACGCAATGGCTGGGGGCTAATACATATTTGATACACAGCGACGAGTTGACTAAGGAGCAAGGCGGCGAGAAGAACTAGAGGTACATGCAGACGTGTCATGGAGACAAAACCCAGGCCTCGGGCCCCGTGGTTCAGCTCATGCTGAGTGTAGTGTAGGATGAGGGAAGACGGAGTGCATGCGCCAGATGTGGGTTGAGAACGAAACTGTCCTTCAGCCATCGAAGTTTTTTGTGTCCTAGTGTACATACATACCGTTTTGCACTTGAGTGCAGTTTGTGCTCCGCTATCTCGAGGAACAATCTCGTCTCTTATCATATCATAACAACCTCTCGGGGTGCTTCTCAGCCTCAGTCCCTTCGTACGTGTCTTGGTGAATACGAACACGAACATGCGCATGATCGACATCTGTGCGGTCTGCCACACACCCTGGCAACTTATGCCTTTCGTCCTACCGGCCTCCGCGTCATTACTCATCTCCGTCCCATGTAGGATCGGTAGAAGCTGTCCACGTTGTCCTGCTCCGGACCGCCGTACTGGTTGCCGACGGTACTGCTCGCCTTCTGCGCAGCTGTGACCTTAGCTTGCAGTGCTGCAGCATTCGTGTCGATCCATTGCAGTTGAGTGAGATGTCCATTGAGGACACGCACAATTTGACTCAGCTGTACAAAACACATTAGTCAACCGTAAAACATGACGAAAAATTGTATGCCAGGACTTACCGGGTCGTCAGGCTTGCTGCCCTTGCTGACAGTGCCGGAGATATCGTTGATTTCCTTAATCATCGTGGTCAAATCCCGGCCCATCCCGTCTAGCCGCTCCGTGATCTTCTCGGCCAGCTTATACGTTCTCTCGCGCTCTTGGTCAGGGCCCGCCAGCTGTTCACCAGGTCCTATTTGTTTAGAGAACAGAGCATCCACCTCACCCTCGTACTTGTCAAGCCAAGACTCAAGTTCTTCCTGTTGGCTCTCAACCGTAACCAGATGGCGCTCGACTTCTCGACTAGCCTTTTCAGCCTCGAAGGTGTTTAGGTAAAGCTTCTGGATCTTCTCTCCATTCTCAACTAGGAGGCGATCCCAAGCAGCCACTTGAGATGCTTGATTCTTGAAATCCTTCTGGTACTCTGAAAGATCTGTGGCCCAGCGGGTAAGAATTTCGTCCATCGTCTTGTTCTTCAGACGCGCCATTGACGAAGTTGGGCCCGTAGTCGAAGCTCCTAGATTAGTGCTCTGAGCTGGCGCTTGCTGTGATGCAACACCATCAGCTGATGAGGTAGCCTTCGATGCGCCACCAAACAGCGAACTCGTCACAGGAGCTGTGGTTGTGGTTGTAGAAGGAGCTGTTCCGGTACTGGCCGCAGGGGTGGCAGCTGAGGTTGCTGCCGGAGTAGAAGATGCGCCACCAAAGAGACTAGACGTCGCCTTGGCCGGCTCTGTTGTAGCCGTGCTTGCAGCTGGTTTCCCTAGCGTAGAGAACAGCGAGCTCGGTTGCGTCTTTGCAGGTTCGGAGGAGGAAGCGTTAGTGTTCGGTTTGCTGAGGCCCGAAAACAGAGAGCTGGTCTGTGTCGACGCTGGGGCAGCGGCGGAGGTAGTGGCTGGCGTAGAACTGGCGCCGCCAAATAAGGATGAAGGAGCGGTCGAAGCGGTGGGCGCCGCATTCGCTGCTCCAAAGAGGGAAGCAGGCTTTGTCGAAGATGCTTCAGCCGGTTTGGATACTTGTTGACCGCCAGTGGTCGTAGGCGCAGCGCCGGTACTCTGTGTCGTTGCTTGGCTTCCACCGAATAGGCCTCCTGGAGCCGGAGAGCCCTCAGCAGGCTTTGCACCTCCGAAGAGACTTGTGTTCGACTTCGGGGCAGCTTGGCCAGTATTTCCAAAGAGTGAGCTCGGGGCCTGTGTAGAGGTGGGCTGGCTTGATGTAGTACTGGCTTGCGCGGAGCTGCCCAAGTTTGAAAACATGCTGCTTGGCTGGTTCTCTTTCTTGTTGCCCTGTTGGGCAGCACCAAAGAGGGAAGAAGTGGCACCTGGAGCAGTGTTTCCAAACATGGACTTGGCTCCCTCCGACGGAGGAAGCCCGGCCGGTGTAGTCGAATTGAGGAACGACATCGGTTTTGCTGGCGTCGCCTGTGTTGCAGACGCGCCACTGTTTGGGGTGTTGCTTGTGCCTGTGCCACTGAAGAGGGAAGACCCAGTATTGCCTCCTGCGAATAGGCCTCCTGGTTGAGAGCTAGAAGTACCCTGCGCAGCCGGTGTAGAAGCGTTGCTATCCTTCGCGCCGAACAGCCCACCAGAAGGAAAAGCGCTGGCCGTTGTAGGTGTAGTGTTCGCCGCACTGGATGTTGGTGTGGAAGAGGTGTTACCGAACATGCCTCCTGCTTGTGCTGGCTGAGCACCACCACCAAATAGATTGCTGCTCGATGAGGTTTGGGAGCTGCCGCCAAAGAGTCCGCCGCCACCACCAGCAGCACCACCGCCCGGCGCGGATGACCCAGCAGCACCACCGCCCGGCGCGGATGACCCAGTTGTACCACCGCTTGTCGCTCCCCCGAAAAGTGAGGTCTTCTGCTCGGCCGGTTTTGAAGCTGTATTGCCAAAGAGACCATCGCTTGGAGTACCGGACGAAATGGTCGGTGTATTGCTGCCTCCTCCTAGATTTCCGAAGGAGAAAGACGGCGCGCCAGCAGGCTGTCCACCAAAAATACCGGACGACGTAGTAGGAGTATTCGATGAGCTACTGCCAAACAGACCACCGGTGGCAGGCGCACTGGAGGTGGGTGCATTGTTGTTAGATTGGCCCGAAGAATTCGGGGCACCGAAGGAGAAAGCCATTATGCGTTGTTGTTTGTCGGGCAGGAATGTGGTTGGTTCAGGGGTCGACGTGTTTGCGCCGGGAATGTGATGATCCAGTCAGCTATCGTTCAGGACCTGCACTCATCCCCAGCTTGGCCCTGGGCGAAGATCGAGGTAGCCGTATTCCGTCGTCGATTATGCTCCTCAAACGGGAGAGGGCGAATGTAGTAAACTGACGTTGGAGTGGTGGCCGAGGCAGGGTCGAATGAGGCGAGCCTGGGGAGGAAGCAGAGAATTGGGTATTCGTGGCCAAGTCGGGTATGCGGTCTTGATGTTTATGACCAGCCCTTCTGCTTTTTGCGCGACAAGCTTCCAAAGCTTCAGTTTCTTGACGCGCCCTGCAAAAGCATCAGTCCGTTGCCAGCTGGTGGGTCTCGGATGGCCTGTCCCCTGTAGGAACAGCACGAGCACAGACTACTTTCACTTGGCCCTAGTCACCAGTCAAGCCACATTGCAGTGCAAGCTCCCAGCCACATGAGGCTGGGTCGGATGGCCCCTTATCTTATCTGCGCGGATCGAGGTCTGGGCGCATGAGAGCGTGAACCTTGGCAGTTTGGAAGCTGCCGGGCCAGATCACCGCCTGCCCGCCCAATGCCCATTCAGAATGTCTTCGATCATCGACCCCAAATCCCGATCTGCCCACAACCACGTCCAAGCAGGAGCTAATCATTGGGAAGACACTACACAGCTGTTGTACGATTTCTCATGATTGCACAGCATTTCTCAGACTCGTCTTTCCTTCCAGCCGTGGTCTTTCAGTTGCACCAGTCTCCCTTGAATTACCCCTCAGAAAGCGTCATCCTGCTCCTGCTGCTGCCAGGGAGCCAGCCTACCGTGCCTTCTAGAACACCAAAAGCCGAAGCTACAAAGGACACCCGGCTGAAGCCTCCTCGTCAAGAGCTTCAACTCCTACCAAAGTCTTGGTCATGTCTGGAGACCGAAGGTCCTCGTCCTCGAGCCTCGAGGCTCCCGAGCGAAAGGGTACTCAGGATCCTGGTGCTCACGAGCTGGGTAAGTTCTCGCGCTGCCATGCAGTCTTGTCTCCTTTGTACTGACCTTCCCATTGCAGAGTCCTCAGATTCCGACGAGCATTTCTCCGATGCGCAGTCATCTCCGTCGAATAGTGCTGGCGATTCCTCTCCAGTTCCCAGAACTCGAGTCGAAAAAGTAGATGACGAGCCATCCTACGGCGAAGTCCCCGGCACCGTCGCATACGACAAGCGCACCGAAGATGCCGCACCTGATGAGATTGCCATCATTCAAGACGAAAACGCCGAGTCTGCATCTGCGGACGAGCCTGTAGCTCCTGGTGGACAGCCAATCCCGAAGACAGTCGTCGACGAAACCGCTGATGTGCCCGGTTCGTCGTCTCACAACTATCACGAAGATCTTCACCAAGCGGATGCTACGCCGGACCTGGTCCGCAAGCCCGACGGTACGGCCGAGGCCAACCCTATACCTTCGCCACTAGACGCCAGCTCACAAGACACCGGTACGACAGCCAAGCCCTCCTAAGCTCCGCAGTGCGATTGACCCTGCCCTCGTAGATGAACCGCCTGTAACCCCCGCATTGAAGTCACCATCAACACACCGGCGGAGGAAATCTTCAGCCGCAAGGTCAATAAGGAGCGTGGACGGTGGAGACGCGGATGATAACGACGACGAATTTGGTGACGACTTTGACGATTTCGAAGAGGGTGATGAAGATGCCGATTTTGGCGATTTTGACGACGGCTTTCAGCAGGCTGAGGCTGACACGCCGGCTCCTCCGCTGGCAAGCCCGCCCCAAGTCTCAATACCTTCATTTGTATGTTTAGAGCCCTTCATAGGTAGCCCTTTCATAGTCATGCTAACGACAGCTTTCTCAAGCCAATATTGGATCTCGATGGGCTTGACTCGGAAGATATCTTGACTGCAACGGAACCATACCTAGATGCACTATACACGCCTGATATGCTAGAGCTGCCTGTCCTGCCATCTCCTCCTAACGACAACCCCATATTCTTTAATCCTAGGAGTGCTTCGCTATGGTCACAACTAGCCGCCCCACCACCACTTCAGCCGCCTGATTGGATCCGTTCGCGCATCCGGCGGCTCTTCTTGGTCTCACTCGGAGTGCCGGTTGACCTGGATGAAATATTACCTGCTTCCAAGCAGAATAAACTCGTACTCCCTTCCCTCCACCGCGTTACTTCGAACGGCTCATTACGTACATCGTCAGATTCGCGTTCCGTTTCTCGGCTACGGAAAGCAGAGGCTAATGGATCGTCTATTTCTGTGGCCTCTCAAGGCAAAGAGAAGTCTAGGTCTGACTCCAAACGGCGGAAGGGACCTCCACAAGCGCCAGCGCTGGATCTGGTATCATCGAAGCAGCTCTGTACGACTACAGAAGAGGCTTTGGGTGGGATGACCGATGCAGAGCTCCAGCAGCACGTGGACAAGCTGAAAGACATGGAAGTTGTGGCAAACGAGGTGTTGGAGTTCTGGAAAAAGCGCACCGACGAGAAGATAGGGGACCGGGAAGCATTCGAGGGGGTGATCGAGAACCTTGTGAAGCATGCCCGGAAGAATAGGAAGTGAGGAACACCATAACAAGACAGTAATGCGAATCACTTGGGTGCAAGAGCTGCCCGACAATGAAGCCGACCCTTCTCGGACGATTCATCGCGCACGTTTGCCTGGAGGGCTTGCATGCCAATGCGAAGCAGCACTCTATCCACTACAACATCAACTTGTATTCACCTGCCGTATTAACCCTAGTCAACGAGGAGGTTAACCCTAGTCAACGAGGAGGTCAATACTCAAAATCGGGGCTGGAGATGTGAGGTGACATTATATGCGCCCATGGTATAGTGAAGACTATCTACTGATCCAGTTCATCTTAGATGGTTCGTCCTTCGAGTCGGAGCTCCAAGCAGAAAACCTTCGATGGCTTTCTGCAGTTGTCGATGTCCCTAAGCTTTCCAAGCTACATACCAACCCCATGTCTACTTGCTGTCGAACCTGTCAAGTCTCTACTCCTGCTTGCCTGTCATCACGGCCTACCCAAGGGACGCCAGTCGGGGCGTCAATATTCATAACACCCACTTAACGACGTGCATATCCGACACCCTTCGCCCCTTTAATATACGCCTTCCCACCGGCAACGACAAGGGTACGACGATGAGCTCCGAGGGCTGCGACGGCGATGAATGGTCTCGAAACCTTTTAGCAACTAGAGCGGAGGGCCGCCTCCTCCTTTTCCGACGAAGCAACAAAGGGACCGAATCAGAGGAAGCGACAGAGAAGCGAAATAGAGGAGCCGACAGAGGAAGCGACAGAGAACCGAAATAGAGGAGCCGACAGAGGAAGCGACAGAGAAGCGAAATAGAGGAGCCGACAGAGGAAGCGAAGTAGCGGAGCCGACAGAGGAACCGGAACGGATGAGAAGTAGGAACCGAAACAGACTCCTTTCCACCCGGCACAGGCTCCACCAGCTGAGAGTCTAGAAGCCCATCATCGATGATCACGGTAGTAGATCAGGCGCAAGGGTCGCTTCCCCAAGAGATCTTGACCTGCCTCCAGGCCTGCCGCTCCACCAGCGACATCGGCGCCCACGGGATCTGGCGGCCGTGCTTAGCCTCCCGACACCACTTTTCCGCGAACTGGGCCTGGCACCGATATGAGGCGAAGCGGTACTCGAGCTTGCGCACCTTGTGCACCTGGTCCTCAATTATCACGACAACATCGTTCATATCGAATGTGAACAACCGTTGGAAAAACGCTGTTAGGTAGTGTCGATCAACGATGCAGCTCGGACCGTGGAGTACGAGGACCCGCGAGCACCTCGACGCCACGTGCTCGGCCATGCGGATGCGATTGGGCCGCAGGATCAGCATATAGGTGCCGACATACCAGTCCCCCTGCCCCCACAAGTCGTCGAGGCGGTGCGCCCCCGCGCGGTCCCAGAAGACTATCTTGGCGCCGGCCGTGGAGTAACCAAAGCTGCTGTCGGGCGGGACCATATTAGACGAATAAACCTTGCCGATTTCGCGGATGCTGCCGAGCAGCATGTTGATGGTACAGTTTGGCGGCAGGCCCGCGACGAAGCGGGATACGTTCTGGTCTGAGGGGATGTCGGCGCATTGGTTTTCGGGTGTGTTCGGGTCTCCTCGGTAGTTGCTTGTCGGGGGTAATATCACGGCTTGGGTGTGGCTTTGACTGGCAGAGGGACCTGGGCTGTAGAAGGTAACTTGACCGGGGGAGACACTTTGATCGGAAGAGACACCTTGACCGGAGGAGAGACCTTGACTGGGGAAGGGACCTTGGCCGGGGGAGAGACCTTGACTGGAGGAGAGACTCTGACCGGGGGAGGGGAAGAGCTGGGTGTCGACAAGATGTGCTGGTTGCTGTGTTTGGAACGGTCTGGCGCTGGGGTTGAGGACGTGGGTGTTGGCTTGGGCCATGCCGTATACTTGACCACCCGCATAGCCAGCTGCCGGGCTGGAGACGTCGTCGTGCCAAACACCGTTTGCGTACGGAGGAGACGATGCGGCCGTGGACGCTGGCAGCTCTAGGCTGGTGTCCTCTTGGTCACGTGCATGGGGCGAGGCAGCTTCCTGCGGGTAGGCAATGGTCATGATTGTATGGCCCTGTCCATTCACAGGTTGTTGGCCACCATGAGCTGCCGGCGGGCTTGGTTTTGCGCTCGGTGCCTCGGTAGCCGCTGGCGCCCCGGGAGCAGACTGTCTGGGAGCATGCTATCTTGGGTTACTTACTCCTGCGCGGAGAGCAGCTAGGTCTGCCTCGATAACCTCTACGTCGGAGGCCTGGAGCATCGGTATGATGGTCGGTCCCCACGGCGACAGCGACTCGTCGGCCGCCGGTATCCATCCCTCCCTTAATACTCGGATTCGAAACGTTGGTCAAAAGGGGCCGATTTCAATGAGCCGGCCCCAAACGTGCGTGGGTTCGCGCTGCCTGGTCTCCATCGTCGCAGAGCTTTGCTCGAGAGGCGAGCTCATTCTTGGTCGTCTGCTTTGATGGCGCTGGGCAGGTTGGATAGGTTGGGCGGCCTCGCCAGATTGGACTGTCAGCGGCTAATCAGCAGGAGTGAACAAGTGGGAAGCCTTACGGCTAGGCGTTGCGTTACCTGGGGGAGAAACCTCTGCGGGTGCGCGCCGAGCTGGAGTTCGCGCCCATGTTCAAGATGACTGGTGTTCGATCTGGCTGTTGTTCGACCTGGCTGGTGTTCGACCTGGCTGGACTGTCAGTGGCTACTCAGGATTGAGAAAACGAGAAGTACGGCGGCTAGGCGTTGCCGGGGGTGATGGGCGAGGGGACCTCTGGGGGTGTTGCGCGAGCTGGTGTTGAAGTGCTACGGGGGCAGGCTGGGCGGCCTCGTCAAGTCTCTCTGTCCCGGTTGGACGGTAAGCGGCTGTTTAGGAGTGAACGAATGGGATGTCTGACGGCTGGGTATTATCTTGGGGGGGGGGGGGGGGTTTCGTCGATGATGCGCGTGTTGGTGGTCGAGATATTTGGCGTGGTGAGATATTTCGACGGGGACAGACAGCACGGAATCTATGCATTAGAAGACTTGGATGGCCGTCTGTCAAGGTCCCATTAGCCAGATATTTAAGCCGCAAGAAAAGCTCTGTCGGAATAAGGTGCAAAAAGATCTGGCAACGTATTTAGTTCTACTGCTAGGTGGCTTGAATCCGCTCAAGGGCGACTAGTTTAACCATTGTTGCCAAACTCTAAGTCTTTACATTTATCTTGCAACTTGACTAGTTTTGCTGCTAGGTGGCTTGAATTCGCTCAGGGGCGACTAGTTCAGCCATTATTGGCAAACTCTAAGTCTTTAAACTTTGGCACACAATCTGATTTCGTGATATCTAATGAAAATCCTGGAGGTGTTGGGCAGGGCTTTTTCGGCAGCTCCTGGTGAGCTGGTTTAGGTTATGTACAGGAAATGCGTCGCGCTCGCTCGTGATCATGCCTCCTATGCCTCATATACTTCCCGTGTGTTCCACCACTCCACCACCCCAAGGTCCCCATCACTCCCTTCGACGAGCATGATCTTGGCCGCGGCGTACCGTAGAACCGTTCGTAGGATCGAGTCAACTGTGACCTGGGGGAAGGGGGCGGTGTCAGTTGATAGTGAAAAGTTAAATTGGTTTAAAGACCTCAGAGGTAATAAACTTACTATAGGCGGTACTTGGATTGGTTTAAGCCCGAAACTAGTTTCCGCCTCTACCCCTTCGACGAGCATGATATTGGCCGTGGCGTACCACATAATCATGTGGCGGATGAGTCATCTGTGGCCTGGAGGAACATGTGTCAGTTGGGGGTGAAAGTATAATGGCTCGGGAGCCTTGGAGAGAGGAAATTTACTGGTACGGTACACGGTACGTACTCGTCGGATTTGATCAACTCCAGAGCCGCAGTTTTCCTCGGCTATGAAACCGATGATGGACAGCTGCCCCTGAGGTTAGTAGGTTAGGTGACTGACGAAAGGGGAAGTAAGTTGGAGTATATATGGCAGTTGATAGATGGTAATAGATGGTAGTACGTCTCTGGATCAGCCGCATTAATGCGTTGCCCGGACAACACCCTGACAAGGAGGTCCCAGAGTTCGATTCCGTTGTCCATTAGATGGTCATGTCATATGGCTTCTGCGTACCCCGCCCAAACGCGCGTAGGCAAAGGGCGGGGCGGCAGTTTAAATGGCAGAAGTAGATGGTTAATAGATGGCAAGATAAATGGCAGTAGTAAATGGCAGTAGATGTCGGTAGATGGCGGGTATGGGGATAGATCAGGGGAGGGTGGTGAGCACCTCAGTTTAGCGTCGTTGCTCTGGACGGATGCACTTTAACGTCTTGCTTAGGACGGCGGAGAAGGTAGATGGCAGGTAGATAGGAGGAGGTATATGTTGGGCGACCCGAAAAAGATGGAAGCAGATCTGGTGCAGGATGAGGTTAGCGATGAGCGAAAAATGGCAGAAGATCCCAGGGCAGAGATGGTAAGGAGAGATCGAAGATACGCAAAGGCTAGTTGAACTAGGAAGGAAATGATGAGGAGAGAGGTTGAAAACGGGTAGGTAGATCGACGTATGTGGAGTGGGAAAGGTAATGGTAGATGGCAAAAGGTGTGCATGGCAGCGAGAGATCAGTGTGGGTACAGGTGGTTGCTGGGTGCACAGTGAGGAGACGAAAGGTTGGTGAAAAATTGCACCCGAGGTTGATGCCTGAGGCATCTGGAGGGACAAAGTGAGTCAGAGGTGCAAAGTGAAAGTTAGATCGTAGGATATAAATTCGAAGTAGAGAAGACTGGATTTGGGCGGTCCAAGGGCTGTAGGCGATGGCGAAATAGGTCGGGTAGCAGACTCGAGGGGCATGCGTGAGATGGGAGGACTCTGGGATCAGGAATAGATTGACAAAAGATGGGGTGAAAGGTGAAGAGGACGAAAGACGATGGCAGGAGATGGCAGTACCGGTGACGGGCGAGCGATGCGAAGAAGATGGAGGAAAGATGCGTGCGGAGATGATGGTACATGAGTAGATGTTTGGTGGTGGTGATGCATGCAGGAGAGCGTGGAGGAGGACAAGATGGAAGATGTGATATCGAGATCGATTGGAAATGGGACAACATGGGAACGTTGCTGTAGGATATTTGGTGGTGCAAATGGTTGTGCGGAAGGCCGATGGTAGGTGAAGGAGGGAAGGAAGATGGAGAACGCGAGTTGAAGAACGAGGAAGAGGACTCACCTTAAATACTGGATTCTGGACTGACGGGTCCCTCGAGTGATTGTGGCCCGAGAGAGGGAATCGCGACAAAGTTTCGGTGAGGAGGACATTTGTAGGGGAAATGTGCGTTATGGCGGATAATGGGTTTGCGGCGCAATGTGGCGCGCGGGTAGACGTGACGAAAAAGGGATGCCTGAGAAGGTTGGGAGCAAGTGACGGGATGGCTTTGGAGAGGGTGGGCGTGGAGAAAAAAGCAAAGCCCGATGGGTGCAATATTGATGGCGTAGGTGAGAGCACGATGGCAGTTAGGTAGGCAGTTGTTGTATTGGCGTTGGAGTGGAGGCAGAGGTGGTGTGGTGTTGGGTGGTGGTGATGGTGGAAGAAGGAAGTGGGAATGTGAAAGGGACCCGAGGAGGGAACCTGTCGTTCAATAAAATTTGAGAGCCCGAGTGATTGCAGCTAAGGTGATGGCCCCATCATGTTGCTGCAGTGATCAGGACCAACGTCTCTGGGATACGGGTATGCAGGTGGGTTTTGCAGAGTGCAAGAATCAGAGTGCATGACCCGGAGGGAGGCTGGTCGAGATGATTCGCAACCCCAAGGACAATGGTCTAAACCAGGGGGTGTCGTAATCAGAGTTCTCATGGTGTAGGAGCATCGCCAATGAATGGTCCTGTATGGGTGGAATGATGCTCATTTTCTCTACCTGTCCACAGTCACTATCTACCTAGCGAACTTGATCGAGACATGTTGCTTATAAGCTTTAAAGGCTTCAACATGATGAGTCGAAAGGTTGCGAGAATATCCCTATCGCCAGCCTCATGCCTTCATAACCTCGTTCCTGGCAGTATAGCCCAATTATCGTGCGCTCCCAATCCAGACTCGGGACGGTGACATGATGAGGTGCTGTTTGTATGTCAAGCCCGTCTAAATGACGGCTTTCATGAATCGCTGGGATCGAGTGTGACACCGCTATACGTAATGTTAGATATATGCGGACGTGAAAAGTAAATCTTTAATGACTTACGCAGTAATAGTGGCCCAACCGATAAGACGCCAATGCTTTTCGATACGTCTGCTCAGCGCGATCTTCTCACCCAGGTTCGTACAGGCCGGGCTCGTCAGCGACAGCTTGGCGGCATCCTGCCTGATGGCGGCGACCTTAGCACCGGTAGAAGTAGAACCGATGTTGACCATCAGCACCTCGTTCTTCTGTAGCTTGGCAACCTTGGCTTGCTTGCCGTCTGCCGTACGGACACCAAGCAGTCTCTTGAGCAGGTAGAAGTTGACCTCGATCTCGCTGTAGATCTCAGGGAGACGGCCCTTGAGACCGAGCACGAAGCCCACCAGACGATCGGCTCTGCAGAGAGTTGGGTCGATCCGTGTACCGACACCAATGAGACCACCGGGTACAGCGTACTTTAGGTCGTTGAACTCGGAGTTCAGAGACACAATGCGACTGCAGATGGGCTTGCACTTGAGTGCACCCTTGTCATCACGGCTGACAATGCCCGGTCTGATCTCGATCTCGTCGCCCAGCTTCAGCACACCGTGCAGGATACTGCCACCGGCAACACCACCCTTCAGCTCCTCAATCTCCGCACCCGGCTTGTTAACATCAAACGACCGAATGACCATCATGTGAGGCTCTATAGTGAAGTCCCTGGGCGGTACAGGAATGGTGTTCACAATAGCCTCGTTGATGGCATCAATGTTGAACTTGAGCTGGGCAGAGATGGGGATGATGGGCGACTTGGCAGCAGGCGTTCCTCGCACGAACTTCAAGATTGACTGGTAATGTTGTTGCGCGGCTTCCTCGCGCATCAAGTCGACCTTGTTCTGAAGGATGATGATCTTGTCCAGCTTCATGATTTCTATAGCCGCCAAATGCTCGGAGGTCTGAGGCTGGGGCACTGTTTCGTTGCCTGCGATGAGTAGCAGGGCAGCGTCCATGACGGCAGCACCGGACAACATGGTGCTCATGAGGATGTCGTGACCAGGGCAATCAACGAAACTAAGGCGGTCAGAACTTGCAACCCATGCTGGCGAAAGGTTTGTCTACTCACGAGACATGGCGCAACAACCGGTATGTTCCACTGCACTCCTCCCGTTCGCAAGGCGGATCGACCTCCTTCTCACTCTTGTAGCTCCTGAAGCATCCAGGCCGGGGGCACTCGGGGTTGTCACACTTGTAGATCTTGGCGTTCGCATATCCCAACTTGATAGTAATATTCCGGATCAGCTCGTTCTTGAAACGAACGGTCTGTACGCCGGAGATGGCTTTAACGACGGTGGACTTTCCGTGAGCGACATGGCCAATCGTACCGATGTTGATGGTGGCCTGTCGTGCAATAATCTCGGGGGTGAGGGGTGTCAGAGAGTTAAGGTCGAGGTCTTTCGGCTCGGTCTGAGGAGGCAGATGCGGGCGTTCCACGGGGGGAATCGCGGCCATGGGGGACTTCTTCATGGCCGACTTCAGAGGCTTCTGCTCGAGCTCCTCAACATCGTCGACATCGTTGACGGGAGACTCGTTGCCCGACTCGCTGCCCGACTCGATGTCGTTGCCAAACTTGTCGTTGGTCGCCATGGTGGGTGGTTGGTGGCTTGTCGATGCTGGATCTGACGGTGCTCTCAAGTTGGCGATGCGGTCGTGGGTGGATTATTCGCTTGCTCAGATGGGTCTGAGTGGTGGGCTCGAGATGATATGACGTTTGGGCGCGGAGTTTGTGATTTTGGAAAATTGTGTATGACTCCCACGCTGGCACTCTCGCGCAGGCGGCTGATTAGATAAGAGAAGGAGGGGCAATTGTTAACTGACAGCACTGGCCAGCAGCCCCACAGGACGGGACAGCCAGGTGTACCACATCACCTACAGGAGCTTGCTCTCTGTCATCATGATTGTCTTCGTCTTCAACAACGACGGGAAGCTTTCATCCTGGCAAGACCTTCTCTCCTCTCTCGATAATTGAAGATGACTTATTCCTCAGCCTCGAGCAATGCCCGTATCTTACAAAGCAATATTCAAGTCAGTGAGTACGTACTCGAGATTCTATGCGTGTTCGGTCGGATCATATTGGTTCAGGTTGCAGGACATAGACCAAAGCCCATGAAGCAGCCAAGGTGTGTTTCTTCCAGAGTTGCAACCTTCGAAGCAGCAATATTCGTCCATTCCCTAGTCCACTACATCCCTTGATGCTGTCCTCCGGACCTCTGATCCGTGAGAGGCCTGTGTACATTTCCCTTCGGGTCAACAAACCTGATGAGACTCTCGGTCCGCTCCTTGAAGAGAACCTATGCGGTCGACCCGATCCCTTCGTACGATGTACGACCACTCGATAGTTTTTCTAAATCTGGGAAATCTGTTTCTCAGTATACGACTGGCTGGTCCAGACCTCCATACCGCACGAATCATCTGCGATACGAGGGCTTAAACGCCGTTCGAGGCTCGGGGTGAGGCTTCGAGCGAGCCCGATCTACACGGGCAGTCACTCCCCATAAGTCTCTGACGGCGTGCTTCAATCAACTCTTGGATATCAATGCTATATCAATGTCAATGGAATAAGCACCCTGGATTAAGCAGCTCTAATCCAACAGGTCACCTTTGGCGCTTGTTCCAGCGTGCTTGTTCCATTTATAATAAACGCACCTTTCGTGAGGTGCGTACGGAGACTTATGAGGGTTCAGTGTACCAAGCGTTTGCCGCCACACCGTTGCGGCTCCGAGTTTGAGAGCCTACTTCACTATAGGTACTGTAGCTCTTAGTTTCGACTGCAAAGGACGAATCATTATCAAGCCGACTATATCACTGGTAGCCTTCCAGCAAACTGTTCGTGAACATTCGCAAGGGAAACCTCCGCGAGCCGGCTAATACTAAGTGCGTGGTCCCACCCTTTCTCTCCCTTGCGCCGACATGCTCAGAGCTTCGGTATTCGACGGAGACGCGAGCACCAGCTGCTGATTATTCGCATGGAAGAATGACCCCGGGCAATAGAGAGTTGTCGCCTTGCCCCTCATCACGAATGAACGACTAGTGCTCGCATTCGCCACCTCTCCATGGAGAGTTATATATATTCAGCCTTGTCGGTTACATGGCATTGGACTATTTCGTTATAGCATCGCTTGCCAAGAGGACGATGTTAGATCATTCAAGAAGTCCAGGAGTTTTCAGTCATCCAGATCGACTGCTAGTGCATGCTGTCATCTTTGAGATGCAACCCATCGATTGAGGCTGGCGTCGGTCATTGGTGACTATCACCACACAGACTATAAATATCCATGACAGTCGGTGGGCAGCAGCAGCAGACTTGACTCCCGGACGACCACAGGCACGGAAGGCTAGCCCAGAATGTCCCCAACTGGTGGTGTGTGCCGAGATGGTACGATGACCGATATTGGTCCGAATAGTGAAGAGAGCGAGGTGTGGCATTCCAATCCCACCATCTGTGCAACCGACGGTCCACGACAGTCGGTCTTGGGTCGCATTTCGTCCTGTCTAGGGTTTCCTACCGAGCACTTTCTTCCATATTGGCCGTCCGGCTATCTGGTTCTTGCTAAAAGAAGACCATCTTCGTCAGCTTACAGTGTGATCGTCTTCTGCAAGAAACAAGTTTCCCGAGTGCAGCATTTGCGAGCAGCATCACAATTCACTCTGTGCGATGGCAAGTGTCGTCGTCGTGTGCTTAGGTATTGCTTATACCACGAGACCATGGCTCTGATCTTGTCGGCAGCATGGCGCACCCAATACCTTATGTAGTAAGCGGTCGCATCACGCATCACGCATCACGCATCACGCATCACGCACCATGACGACAACCAGACACAGACAGTTGAATGATGGGACGGAAGAAGGTTGGTCAGGGTTGCCACGGCTCGGCAGGCCAGATGCCAGACAGGCGAGAACGGGGTCTGGATGTCGTTGCTGTCCGGCTGTTTGCTTACCGCCCAGGAACATCCTGATCCATGCAGGCTGATCGAGGACATCACGTCGCTCGGTGTTCTGATTGGCGGCGTTTCGATATCGATGCATGTGGCACTGGGGCTCATCTGCCTATCAGATTTGCAGATCATCGACGGGGGCCCTTGTCTGCCCATGTCTGCCCCTTGCAAAGCGCTTCTCCTCACTACTCACGCGCCCAACCACAGCCAATATCCCTCCTCCCTCCATCTTCCCGCACGACGGGCAGGACAGCAGAGGGCCCTTGTCGTCCTCATCTCTTGTCCTCGACTTCACCAGTAAATTCTGGCATGGCTGGCATGCTGCCCGCATCCAATCGCCGCCCACCCTGCACCCAAGACGTAGTTGGTTGCGCCCGCGGACAGCCATGGCCCATGGGGGCGGCAACACCAACGTGACAGGCAAGAATACCTGCCCACCGAGGGCGCTTGTACCTTTGGCTGGTAGAGGTGGGTAGTATCTCATAGTACCATCCCCCAAATCCGGTCTCGCGAGTATCCGTCGACGTGTACTCCGAACATGGGGAGTGAAGTATCGTAGCCGGTGGCTATTGCTCTCGTGGACAGCGCCGCAGCCCCTCTCTTCTCTGATATACCACACCTTTCTCGCTCTCCTCGTCAGCGTCAACGTTTTCTCGCATACATCTTGCTCTCTCTTCATCAACTTTTCTGTCTCAGAAGTCTGCGACTGGTTCCGTCAGACACTGACGCCGACGTTGATACGTTGATCTGGGACTTCCGATACAGAAAAGCAGCTGTCCCGGTGTCATCCCGTCCACCACGGCGTTTGTTCTCACAACGAATCGCCCACTTGGAGATTGGGGTGCTTCTAGCCGCCCTATCAGAACACCTCGTCCAGCCGGTTCACCAACCCTGGTCCTCCGTGAGCGATCCCATTGCATGCTGCATGGTCCACCTCCACTGACAGTCCCATGCAGAAGCATCTCGGAAAGGTCGAATGAGCTTAGTAGAACGCAAGAAGGGCGCCTACTCAAAACCTACTCCTTCCCCAGTTGCCCAACCTTGGGAACCTTCTTCCCTCGACAGCTGGACTCTCAATCTTATTTCTCGAATCGCTTCATTTCTTTCTTGAGCCATACGCATATATATGTTCTATTCATACATCGTATAGCAGTAGCTTGCTCGCATAGACTGGGTCTTGCCTTTTACCTTCCCCTCACTTCATACCACACATCACCACAATGGCACCGCATGACGATAGGAGGCGGCCTGCCGCCCTCAACCTAACACCATCACGGTCATCATCAGAAGGGTCCTTCACTACCACGTCATCCCTCAAGGCACCACGGACACCCAGATTCGCAGAGGCAACCACAATTCACTCGCCGGTGGAGCAGGCGAACAGCAACCCCTTTGGCGGCAGAGATGAGAGGTCACATGTGGCTCAGGCCCAGCCGGCGGATGTTGGATTTGGATACATCAACGACGACCCGCGCACACAAACAGTCAACATGCCCATGACGCCGAAGTCACCACTCAAGAGCGCCATGAGAATACCAGGCACACCAGCACGGAGGATGATCGAGAACCCTCTCAGCCCGACGTTTAGGGAAGAAGACATCCTGGAGAGTCGGGAGAAGAGCACAGAGAAGGAACAGGCGCGTGACTTGGTAGGTTACCCATGGAGAGAAACGCATGCCATGGCTCCCAACTAACACGAACTGCAGGGCATCAAGTACAAAGTAAGAATGGCCAAGTTCGCCCTGCGAGGTGTCAGCTTCAGCTGCAGCTTGATCATCCTGGCTATGCTCTCCTCTTCCTTCGCCATCTTCCACGCCACCAAGGGTCTGGCACCACAGAACGGTCTACCGGCGTGGGCATCGGGGACGCAGACATGGCCGCAGTATCTCGTCTTGGCTGTTGCGTGCGTCTCGCTCGCCATCTGCATCCTTATATTCGTCGGTTACTGCCGAGGCGGACACCACCGAGCCGAGAAGGTCGGTGTATACTACACGCTGTTCGCCGTTGGGTGGTTTATTGTCTCCATGATCATGTGGGCTGCCGCGGCCGGTGTCCTGCAGTTCACCCGGAACAACAGCAAGAACCAGGACATGTGGGGATGGTCATGCGTCCAGAACCACCGATCCGAGTTATTCCAGGACAAGGTCGACTACGCACTGGTCTGCAGACTTCAGGTAAGCAATCTTTATAAAACCCGGCAGAGTTGCTGTGTCTATCTGCTGTTGCTGACACCTCCTTCCTGCAGAACTGGTCCCTGATCTGCATCATCATCGAGATCGTCATCGACGTCATCACCATCACACTCTACAGCGTCGTCTTCTACCGATACTACACGAAGCGAAGACTCCACAAGACGATGGACATGCGTGACCGCGCTCGTTCGGACCTGTACCTCGCGCAGCTGCGCTCGCAGTCTGCGCCCAACACGCCAGGCTTCGGCCCCAAGTCGCCCGCCTTCTCACAGTACGCCATGTCGCCGCGCTTCCCACCGTCGGCCTACAAGTCACTCTCCGACATATCCGAGGGCCCCGTCTTCACCCCTGGTGTGGCCCAAGAGCCTCCCTCTGCCTTCGCCGCCCAGGTCAAGCCCGCAGCGACACCATCCTTCAAGCTGCAGGCTCCGCCCCTCAAGGCCCCCAAAGCCACCCCCAAGCTCGGGCAGGGAGCCTTCCGCACGCCCACCACGCCCACCCTGCCCGACAACAGCTTCAGCTTCAACGCACACGGCCCCATGGCGCCTGGCGAGCAACAGTACGACGCTGTGCCGATTCCCGGCGCTTACGCAGATGCGGCTCCGCGGTGAAGAAACCAAGGATGGGCGATGACGAGAGCTAGAAGATGGAAGTAGTTTTAAAAGAATAACATCCGTTTAATTTTTCTTTGTCGTGGTGGATTCTGATATCTGCGTACGAGAAGAATACCAACCACAGGCGTTCTGTGGTGGCAAGGGATACCTCGGGGATGACGATTTACTACTGGTGTTGGACACCAAATGAGCGCGCGCGCAAGTCTGAACCTCAAACAGGGCTGGCTGGCTGGACACAAGTCTCTATCACATACTGTAATTGCCTATCATACATATTTTCTGTAAAATGTTGTCTCGAAATGGCATACTATCTCCATGCTTGATGACCTTCTCAGCTCACACCAATTCGACCGACGCACCTGTAAACTGACTGCCTTGATACGCATGGCTATGTCCAGTGGCAGAACCGTCAACCCGGGCATGTGGCATATCTCGGTAGTCTATGAGATCATGCCTTGGTCAATAAGTTACCTCCTATCGGGAAGACGGTTGGTTGCAATTCATCGCGGCTATGCCCACCCACCTCTACCCGTGCCCCACGGACTGAGACAGCGGGAAGGATTCACAGGCAGGTACCCACCCGAGCGGCTCCCTGTCATACCTCTAATCCGAGGACCTGGACGGGAGGCAGCAGCTTCCGGAGACAGAGTTCATGATTCTGGCCTTCAGCTGGCCCGGGGTCGAAGGGGCTGGTATTGCGCATGGATGTCGATCCGTGCTGTTGCTGTCTGGCACCGAATGAAGAAGTGTGGATCAGTGGTAAGCGGTATGGGATACCAAATGGCGATTATCGAAGGGAACATACAAGAGCTACCTGGTGAATAAATTACGTGCAGGCTGAGGAATGGCTCTTCGACGACTTCGCAGGCAGTGCAACTTGGTGCCATCGTGCTGGGCCAAACGAACCAACTGCCAACCTCGCTCACTCATCCCTTAATGTCTGCCAACAACCAACCATGTGACAAGGCATAGGTACAGAGAACGCAAAGCTGCGCGGGGGGTCCGCTGCACTGATAGCGAGCCGGGAAGGTTTCTCCTGGCATGATTTGGGTGCCGCAAACCGTACGTTTCTAAGGTATCGTCTGCTGGTCTAAGGTATTACCAGTAGAAGCCAGCTGTCAACGACCCCGCAGCTGCCGCCAGCTGCGGACCACATCATCGGGTCTTGCAGCGGGTCGCAACTGCTCATCTCCTCCCGCCTCACACCCAGCGCCTACCGAAGCTCTATCAAAACCTGAACTCATCCAAACCCTTGTTTCACCACCACCCAAAGCGCGCCTGACAACACGACCCAAACCGCCGACCTTTCCTCCACACTTTCCGATATACAGAATAAGCAATGTCCGCACCCGCCTCTTCAGCCATGCGGACGACGGCCCAGCGGCTGCTCTGGTCGACGCGGTTTCAAGCAGCTACTTCATCACCACCATCAAGGCTATCTTCAACAACGCCAACTACGCTCACGGCAAGGGGCATTGCGTCACCAGCACCAGGCGGCCGACGGGCCTTCAGGCCGCTGGCCTCCCAGCAGACGCAGCCGCCAAAGGGCGCGAATAAGACGGTCAAGTTCTGGCCCTTTCTGGCCATCATTGTGCTGGGGACGGGGGCTTTCGTCTGGGTGACTAAAAATCATGCTGATAGAAGGTGAGTGGTGGGAGTTACGTATGATCTTGCTGGTTTTGTTGCTTATGAGTTTTGTTGCAGGAATGGGCCTGTGAGGCGGTACGGGTGAAGGGGCTGTTTGCTGAGGGCTACGACTCGACTCAATCCAATGGCAATGAATGCTATGTGAGGCTGGTTTCGTCATCCTTTGACCGTCTCATTTGACCGTCTCATTCGACCGACAATCGCTTGGTGATGGGGAACTCCATTCGACCACCGGATAGGAGTAACAAGAGGTTCAAGGTCACCCGAACTGATTCAACGAGCTGCTGTACACTAGGAGGTATAATAATCCATTGTAAGACCATTTCGGCCATCGACGTCGTGAAGCCTCAGTTTCATTATGAGTTGATCTGCAGAGTATTGTGTTATGATGGCGCTGTCTCGCATGTCATTCACGTGTAATAATATGTTGTACATCCACCGACCGCCCCGGTGGAGGAGGGGCAGGGTCTAGAACAAGGCGGGACACTGGTGAAATTAAGCGGTAGCATCAGAACCAAACCCTCATCGTAAACACTCAACCCCTAAAACACCAAAGCACTTACTCAAGCCTCCAACCCCTTTTCTCTAGGTCAGCCCGAGAATTGCCCTCTGCCCGTCTGCGAAACGACTGTCCTCGCCTCCAAGCTGCATTGATACTACGGTCCTTGATATACTTCCCACCCCTTATCCATCCCCAACTCCTACCCCGCCATCGAACGCAGCCCACCGCCAAAATGCCCGCCATCGACGCCCTCAAAGACCGCACCGCGCCAGCCTTCTCGGCCTCGGACGTGACGGTGCTCTTCGTGCTGGGCGGCCCGGGCGCCGGCAAGGGCACGCAGTGCGAGCGCCTGGTCGCCGAGTACGGCTTCACGCACCTCTCGGCCGGCGACCTGCTGCGCGCCGAGCAGGCGCGCCCCGACAGCCAGTACGGCGACCTGATCAAGGAGTACATCCGCGACGGCAAGATCGTGCCCATGGAGGTCACCATAGCGCTGCTCGAGAACGCCATGCGGGCCTCCATGTCCACAAACCCCGACGCCATCCACACAGATACCAACCCCAACACCCCCGCCACCACCACAACCCAGACCCCCCAAAACAAAAAGTCCAAATTCCTCATCGACGGCTTCCCGCGCAAGTACGACCAGGCCCTAAAGTTCGAGTCCGCCGTCTGCGAGGCCAAGTTCGTGCTGTTCTACGACTGCCCCGAGGCCGAGATGGAGCGCCGCCTCCTCGAGCGCGGCAAGACCAGCGGCCGCGAGGACGACAACGCCGACAGCATCCGCAAGCGCTTCCGCACCTTCGTCGACACCAGCATGCCCGTCGTCGAGTACTACGAGAAGCAGGACCGCGTCGTCAAGATCGACGCCACGCCCCCGCCCGAGGAGGTGTACCGCCGGACCCAGGCCGAGCTCGTCAAGCGCCTGGGCGAGGGCTTCTAGGTTGGCTGTGAGTGGAATAGCATGCTCCTGCTGCTACTGCTGCTGCGGGACGGGTATGGGGACAGGCGCGCGGTATGTGAGGGCGACGGCCATGTGAGCCCCCCCAGAGGTAGCGGACAAGGGAGCGATTCGACAATAAATACATACAAGACAGGACCGGCTGCTGAAATAGGTTGGTCATAGAGGCATTATATACAACAGGCATGGCGCGGGAGGTCCTTGACCAAGGATTGCGGTATTATGGCATCCTTATCCCAAGTAGCGTTTTCATATCATGAATAGAAGAGGCCAACAGCCCTGCGGGGTCGTTCATATGCATTTCCTAGAGCTCTGAATCTAGTACTCCTATGCTATGTGAGCTCGAGATCGAGCCGGCAGTGAAACCCAGAATATCATCCACTGAGTTCACTATGTGCGTCGAGGGGGATATCGTCCATATCGTCCTTTCGGCTCGCCAGCCGCGGTTCATAGCTCGAAAGAACAATCATTACATCGAAAATAACCTTTTCGCATCGCCATGCCTGCCGTACGCCAAATGGAGGAGCCTTCCCTATGCAGTCGACCGACCAAAAGCCGAGAACCGAAAAGTTGAGGAATGAGTGAAAAATCTAGTCGTCATCATCGGTTCGCTCCTTACGAGGCGCACGATCGTTGCGGTCACCACGGTCACCACGGTCACCACCACGGTCACCGCCTCGTCTGCCTCCGGAAGGACCAGAGCCGAAGCCCACATTGGCCATCTTGCGCTCAATCTCCTCCTGGTCACGCTTCTTCTGAGCCTCCACGTTTGCCTGTTCCTTGCGGAGCATGGTGATCACGTTGTTGACCGACTCCTTCCAGCTGTCAATGATGTCGCCCAGCTGGCGCCACTGCTTCTCGCCAAAGACACGGTACGTCGTTCGATGAACGAGGAATACCCTCTTCTGCTGCGACATTCTGCCTTCAACTTGACCGGAACGGATGACATCGATCGCCCAAAGCTCAACCTTCGAATCCGGAATCTGCAGCGCCTTCGCGATTTCATCGTAGGGTATCTCGCGGGTCGTCGTTCGGGCTGCGAGCGATGTGAATGTGAGGAGACGCATCTTGGTCTGCAGCTTCTCGTCATCCAGATGCTCCTTCTCGATGAAGCCTTCATGCTCGTCCTTGAATTGGTTGTAGTCCTCCAGGTCCTTCTCCGCACATATCGTCAACAACTCGAAGTAGACGGGGTGAGTATCCGAGAGAGCCTGAACGCTAGGTACGGCAAGAAGTTCTTGGAAGTCGAAGTGGGTGGGGGAGAGGATAGCGGACTTCAGGGCACGGAGGGAGAGTCGTTGGGCGTCTTCCGACTTGACATCGTCGTCTTCGAAGGTGCGCAGAGCTTTGACAACGAACTGATAGGCCATTCTGCCACGCGATCTGATTAGCTTAAGAAGCCAAATGATGTTTACATAGATGCACTTACGTCTCTTCGCCCGCCTCATGAGCCGTCTCAGCAACGGTCTCGTAGAGTTGACGCTGGTCGTCATCGTCGATTTCCCACTCCTTCATCCAAGCCTCCAAGTTGGACAGATACGGCTTCAGATTCTCGAACATGCTGTGCATCTTGAGGAACTTCAGAATCGCCATGAATACGTTGAATCGCAACTCGTTGTCCGGAGGGAGCATGTTGAAGATGTTGGTAAGCGCATTGAGAGCCAGACCGGGACCATTGACAGGTGACGAGGTGATAGGCTTCATGAGGTTGTCGCAGACTCGGGGGAGGAACATCTCGGCATTCTTGGACTGCAAGACCAGGTAGACCAGCAGATTGTACGCGGCAGTGAACTCCTTCTCGGGTACGGCATTGAGGGCGGTGGACGCGATGATTATCTTCTTGAGGACCTCATCGTTCTGTTCCTTCTCGAGAAGGGGCTTGACGCCCTCGCCGGTGTTGAGATAGTCGGCCATCTCCTGCGCCAGCTCGGCAAAGGTGCCGTCGACGAAGACGAGCTGCGACTGATGCGCCATGATTCCGGTTCTGCGTCGTTCGTGCTGAAACTCTTGGAGCTTGCGTTTCGTGTGCTGGAGAACTTTTCGGACGCGCTCGTCAGTCGGTACGTTTCCTTCGTCTGTGTTCTCCTCGGAGTTGTCGAATACGAGGCTTGGAGTGGTTTCCAGGAAGGTGTCGGGGCCTTCGTAAGAATCCTCGAACTGGAAATTTTGTGACTGATCCTGGGCGGGAGCGCCAGGGCCAGGAGGGGCAGATGCAGATATTGACATGTTCGGCTGTTCGTGGGTAGGTTTACCCGAAGATCTACCGAAGATCGGCTCGGATTTAAGAGAATCCGAGGCCGAAAGTCCGGTGGAGGGGTGGCCCGTGCCGCAATGGTGGGGGCGGGGGCGGGATTGCCTGGGCAGCTATGGGCCTGCAAATCTTGAGAGCCTCACTTTTTACATTATCATCCATGCACCAGCAGACATATACAAGCATCCAACCACTGATTTCAAGGGCCAGTGCTCAACAGCATCGTCAGCTCGGCACTCCCTCAATGAGTGCGTGTGAACTTGGGCTACATCCTTTCTTCAACGCAGTAAGTCTTCTCGGCCTCGGCACCGGTCAGTGGCTTCTCAGAGCATTGAACTTGTGCCGCCTTTGTAGGCTGATAGGAGCGGAAATTCAAAGCAGAACAAAGACTTGAAGAGTGGTCAAAGTGTGATGTCTCTGGATTAAGAGGATATCCCGAAGAAAAGCTATGAGACATGTATAGGCACCCGCGTTCGTCGAATGACAAGCGTAAACTCATCGTCGCTGTCAGGTCGCTTTGCCATCCAACTTTGCGAATACTATCCTTGCCTCAGGGTGTTGGAGTCTCGGTATAGCTGCGTACCCTCTATCAAGAAGATACAGCTGCCGTAGCATTAGTACGGGCAGCTTGGAGCTCCACTCCCAGAAGCTGATCGTCTTCGAAGTAGATTTCCAAAGTAGTCGGCTACATACCTACGTTGCATGTCAGTGACGTTTGACCTAAGTTGCACGGGTTCATGGAGTTCAGACTCGAACCTTCAGGAGCAAAATTCCGTCGGGAGCAAGCAAGCCAAGTCAAGCCTACAGTGAACCCTTATAAGTATCCGGACAACACCCGTCTCAGCAATCAACGGTAAAATTATCGAATTGAAATAAGCACACTGGAATAAGCATTAAACTCACTATATCATACTAAAGCTGCTTATTCCTGTATGCTTATTCCAGTATTTCTAACTATCTCACTGGTGATCTGGGGTCTTGCCAACACGTGCATACGGAGACTTATGAGGGGTGACTGTACTGGACACCTGAATCTCCTGGTCCATTGGTATTCCTCGAGACTGACGACCCTTGTTCCTCACGAAGTTCAGTCCGCGTCTATTAACAAAGAGGCGACCAAGAGTATATACGCCAAGGGGTGTGGGTTGCTGGAAGATAGCTTAGATACTCTGAGTTTAATGACCTACAAGATGGGATCGCATCTGCCCCTCTAGAATGAATGGCCACTACTTTCAGGTACGGGTGAGCCAGATTTTACGTCATGGGCGAGATTGTGGACGGAAAACTAGAACAGAGTCAACAAAGGACTATAACGAGGTACGCTCATGAGGAATCAGAGGGTCATAACGTCCACGCCAGACATCTGGGTCTCCTGGTGATCACTCGTGATAGTCTGATCAGCTTCGGAACTGTATTGAAAACGGAGTCTATACATTCATGCATTAGGGGCAGAAATTCAAAAGCGAAGAGTGTGGGAGCCGCATAGGGTTCACGAACTTCTTGTCGTTCAGGTGTACTGTTGCATAAAGCGCGCGGCACGAAGCTGTTCCACGACTTATTAGAGCAAATACTAACCCCTCTGCCGCCGGAGGATGCTGCGCGCGCGATACCCGCGCGGTTCGACGGGCAATTACATTACATCGGATCCGGCACCGAGAACTGGATCACTGGGATCACGGGCAATAATGTTTACTCGAGAAGTAAATATGAGGTGAATAAAAAGAGTTTGGTAGTAGTAAGTACGGTACCCGACATGGAGTCATGGGAACGATCGAAGCTGAGTCCTGACGACTCGCACCCCACTGAACTTCTCCTTCACCGCCGTGCCCCTCAAAGCTCGCGCTCGAGCCCCTGGCAGCCTGGGCTCACACGGACGCCATCTGGCATCTTCAGCCAACGAGTGAAACCACGATGCGGGTCCACGACGTTATTACGGAGACAACGGAGATCCAGGGCTGGCCACCTGACGGTCCGATTTGCATTGCAACGTTAGGTTAGATCAGTTGAAAGTGAAACAGCCTGACAGGAAGCTTATCTATGCCGGACAACGGGATGTTTAAGAATGAATTGATCGGACGAGAATTGGACTGGAACGCTATCAAGTTGAGATGTCTGATCTCATGCCATGAGAGAGCATATATATATTTCACGTGAAAATAATAACGAGTGACTTGGCCTTATCGTTGTCGCTTGGGAGCTAACCACATGTACAGTAGTCCCATATCTATTCCAAGCTTAGTGATGGTGGAGAAGAGCGGGAGGAAACCGGAATGAGGGCTAACCCAGAGTCTAGTAATGGGGTGACACCGCGATGGTCCATGGATGATGAAATCTCGGGTCGGCGTAATAAAACTGGTGCAGAGTAGGAATTACGGCACAGACATATCTATATGTCTTGTAATATCACTTGCTGCTGGTGGTTAAAACCCCAGTCTACACTCTCTTACTGATCAGACCGCACTCCTATTCATCTTTAGAGAACCGCCACAACGTTCTACTTGAAGTCGACGTTGAGTGCTTAGGTGGAAGACAATTGGCCACCCGACCACGAGGAACCGGCCTTCCAAACGCGACCCGATTTATAAATAAACGCGCCCGCCGACTTACACGACCCAGTCGATACGCAAGTAACGGCCTCATCTGCGACCACTTGCGGACGAGATACCAGCGATTCGTCCATAAGAGCTCCATTGGATACCCACATCCATACCAAACAACGCTCCCTATGTTCGGATGAATAGCTCAATGACTGCGAGGAACGCCGTGTGACCAGCAGCTGAAGCAACAAGAAAGAGTCGGGCGAATCGTTAACTGCTGTGCAAGGCAAACAAACCTGCACACAAACAAACAGGGCAGCACAACTGAAGCACAGCACAGCGCAGCGCACAGCCTGCAGCACCTCACGGCTCAAGTTCTCAACAGGTTTATAATCGCCATCAATCCGACTGCTGCTCACTGGTGATTGCTGCCACCCCCAGTCAAATCTTACAACTACTAGTAGAAGACAGGGTGCACGATTGGAGCTCCCCTCTAGGCCCTCCTTCAATTATCGCAAAGGCAGCATTCGATACAACAACATCTCCGAGCTCCATCCGGAGCCACACTCCTTTAAACTGTGCCGGTCGCAGTCCATGCAGCATCACTCACTCCTCCTCGACAGGAATATCAATCAAGAATCGCAACCCCGGCCGACGATCCAACACGCCCCAAGCACCGAATACCGCAACCATGTGGGACCGCCTTCGTCAAAAGGATGCGGGCTCGCCTTTGAACCGGAAGAAGCTCGAAGCCTGGCAGAACGCGCGCTCCTCACAATCGACATCATCACTAACAACCGAGGGAATCAAGGGAGGAAACAGACAATATCAATACGCCATCAAGGGAGGAAGACAGACGCCGCCGAGACCGCTGAGGGACATGGACCGCACATCAGAGCAGTAAGTGCCGATAGCATTTCCTTGTTTGGTTGCCCCTATTCCTCTGCAGTCATTTCCAAGTGGTGGTGGCCGGCCCCCGCGCAACGAGAAGGTTGCGATATTGGCTTTTTGGATGCAGAGTCAGCAAGTGTGGTAGTATACCACGCCGCGTCTGGGCAGATTGCATTGCATGTTGGGCACGTCACTCAGCCAGGCGCATCTGGTCCATTCTTGTACTGCGAAGGATGATTAGACTTGCATTGCAACCCTCAGAGACTTGGTTTAAGGGTGTAGGTATTCAGGTGCTGCGGTATTTGGCAGATGGATGACGGATGACGAATTGGAGGATGGGAGGATGGGTGGGATGTTGGATTGATGCAGATCCAAAATCCAGCCACAGCCCCAACGGCCACGGCGTCCTGCAGTAGCTTGCCTGCTTGCATAACGGCCTTCAGCTGAGTGTTACCATGGTCGTGGCCTCAAGTGTAGCTACTTTACCAGCAGCAGCAGCAGCAGCAGGCCTGCCCAAGGATCGTCATCCTCCCGCCAGTTCGTCATACTTTGACCCTGGACTTGGGAGTCATCGCACCGGCTGTCGAAGTTGTCGCAGTTGTCGCAGTTGTCGCAGTCTATTTATCCTTCGACTTTGGCTCGTTTCGCTCTGGCTGCACCTACGGACAACAAGATGCTGACGCCGCGGCATTATAGTAATCAGACATATCTGAGCGCACCGCCCGTGCAGCCGCCGCCCTCGACGCGGAACAACCACCGCAGTTCCTCCTACGGTCGTCCGGTCTCGTCCATCTACTCCCAGCCGTCGCCGGAAGCTGCCACCTTCGCTGCCCACCAGCTACGAAACGAAGTTGGGCGTATCAACCCGAGCGAGGTTTCCCCGCCTAGTTCACCTGACATCGCGTCAACGAGGCATGGGTAAGTCCCTTCTCTTTGCGGTTTGCGCCGATGGGGAAAGAGGCAGTGTGTCAGATGAACTTGTCCCGGAGAGCACAATGGGCTAGGGGCAACTTGAGTCAAAGGGAGAAGGGCGATGGAGTGAATAGATCTGGGCGTCTCATCCATCATATACTCCGTCACCTTCAAGTCCTTTGTGCCCCTTTGCGCCTCTTTTTGGAAATACATTGTTGGCTTGCAAAGGAGTTGGCTCCCGGGGCCCTTTGAGCATCCCAGCCCACCACTAGCACCCCTTGGACACCACACACTACATATTTCGGGCCAAGCCATGAAGCTAATGACTTGCCCTTGTTTCAGGCCAAACCCAGGAGATGTTTCTCCCATCGACGAGATCTCAGACCCAGTCATGTCTCAACACGCCTTGGAGCGACATGCTCCACCCAAGAACAATGCTCGCAGTAGCAATATACCCATGATGCGCCGTCAGCGTCGTAAGAACTCCGATGCCGCCCAGAACGCTTTGCGGAGTACCGCGTCACGCGAAAACCTTAGACAGCCTCGGCCTCATGGCAGCGATGTGCGCTGGGACCCTGCAACGGGCGAGCCCACCAGCAGCACCAAAGGTCGCCCGTCACAGGTCAACCCGCAGCAGTATGCCCAAGGCCTCGGAACCCGGGCCACGTCGACATCCCCACAGACCAAGCCTGCTCAGCAGAGCCCCAACTCGTTTGGCGAACGTGTGCGTAGAACGCGGCAGGCGAGTGGAAGCCCTCAACCCGAGCCGGCACCACGACCCGAATGGCGGGGGGCCAGTGGTAGAACCACCATCGTTGCTCCGGTGAGCGACAGTATGAATGTGGCGCCGTTGAGTTTGCCTTCGAAGAATAGCAAGAGGCCTGGTCCCGGTCCCGGAATGCTGTCCCCTGTCGAATCTGGCCTATCTGAAACGTCTTCGCCCCAGGTATCCGTACGAGGCCAGGGCATGGAAGGACGCAGCGGTAGCACCGAACCCTCGAGCGCACGCCCACTCAGAAGGATGAATCCATCGGAGCAGCAGCCACACCCTTCCCACACTGCGAATGCGACTTCGACTCCTCATCCGTCGGCCTATCCCAGCCCACCTTTGTCCGACGACATCTCGGTTCCAGCCAAGCTTGTCCCTGCACAACATCAGCCGCATCCATCATCGTCTGCTCAAGCCTCCCCTCGGTCGTTGTCGTTGCAGGTCCCCTCGAACGACAAAGCGATTCGTAGGAAACCGGCAGCCGGAGCAAGCCACCAACCTGATAATTCGACATCACCATCCCCCAACTCACCTCGAGACATTCACCCGTCTCAAGCTCCTCCTGGCTCGTTCCCAAGCGAGTGGACTCAGCCGCCGTCCCGCTTCAGTGTCACCACCTACGCAACGTCCAACTACACATCTACGCCTAGAGAAAGTGTCGACGAGGAAACCCCACCCGTTCCTACGTCATCTCAACGATTCGCACAGCCTCCCAAACCCGCATCAGGCTCCTCTGTTCTCGACCGCAAACGACCTGTGGTAAAGGGCTTCGAGCGCTCTTCCCGAACCAACTCGAACGAGCCCGTGAAAATCAACATGGACTCGCCATACTACGTGACGTCGTCGGTCACGAAGCCGCGGCACTCGAGCCCTAGGACGGTCCCCGTGCCGCGCGGCAACGACTCGACGCTCTCGTTCATCTCGGTGTCCTCGACCGAGAAGTCGCTCCCGCCGGCGCCGCCCGAGGTGACGGCGGCGCAGGACCGCGTGGCGCAGCTCAACGCCAAGCTCGAGGCGCTCGGCAACCGCCGCATCAACATCAACACGGCGATCAAGCAGATGACGGAGCTGATGCCGACGGACAATATCCTGGCGAGCGACGCGGTGGTGCGCAAGCGCGAGGACGAGAAGCGCAAGGTCGAGGTGCTGCGCGGCGAGCTGGCCGACGTCGAGCGCGAGTCCTACGAGCTCGGCCTCAAGCTGCACCGCGCTTATAAGCGCTTGGACCGCGACGCCGAGTACGAACCTACGGGGCTGTGGGTGCGCAGGGTTACGGGGTGAGTCTCTTTCCTTGGCGTACCTAGGAAGACGACGAGCCCTGTTCCCTCGTTCGGCCGGGACTGCGTGGCTAACTTCTCGAGACCGACTTGATTGAGTTTCGCTCGCGCATGCAGCCGAAAGGGAGCTTGTTACATCACGATACCCGACACTGAAGGTGGACCGTGTTGGCTGACGGTGGCCACCTTACAATTTCGACTCCAACTATATATACACGCCCCTATTCCCAGACCACGATATGACAGACTCCTCTACTAGGCTTGAAGCTGCGGAGACAATATTGAAGTACCCGCCGTTGACAGATATCACTCGCCACTGGGCGACCGAATAGGATAGGCCGGAATGGCAAGGCATGCATCCCTGGAATGACGGCTGGATGAAGAGAAAGATGGGAGCACGAGAAGAAGCATTCGCAATACTTTTTCTTTATACTCAACCAGGAAGATAGAACCTGGTTTTCTGCATGATGGCTTCTGTTGTTGCTGTTTGATTACGATACCTTTTCTGCGGTTTTCTTGAGCTTGGAGTAGAGGAGCTTGCTTTTTACTTTGATTTTCACATTAGGGAGAGACAGAGACCAGGAGACAGACAGGGTGAGAGATGGCATGTGGAGGTGCCAGTATTCCCATAATCACAGCACAGGAATGAGATGTACATTTTCATGCACATGCAAGCAACATTGACTCACCACAACTCAATTTGCAAGTCGATTGGTAATCGACCAAGCTTGTTTGACTTGGAATCAACGTTGAAATTGTACTGCTCAAAGCATCGCAAAATACTCGCGCGTTCTACTCATTACACATCCTACTACTACTACTACACATACACTTCCATATGTTGGCCACCAAGCGACCCATCATAACCTCGCCTGGGGAATACGTGATGACTGGGAAAACCGTCCCGCCCAAACCCCTGATCACTCACTGACCACCATGTTTTCCCACCAGCGCAATGTCAAGAACGCACCGCCAGAGCTCTCACTCGATAGGAAGTAAAGCGGTGTGCCGAGTATCAAAATCCATCGCGAAAACGCCCGAAACTTATCGTTCAGCCGTGAAATCGTACACATGTGCAGTGAGTCACACCAGTCTCTACAAGTGTGTGTGGCCTTCGGTCCAAGAACTGCATCGAAATTTGAGGCCAGCGGCAACCGTAGGCATCCCTTGCAGTAGTAATGGCTGGATGCAGGACCTGTAGCCATCACTTCCACGACAGAGCACCTTGTCCCCTGCCCACTAGGCCAACAAGATAGCTGCCGCTTTCGACTCCCAGAACCACCCCAATCAGAAGAACCATGGTGACAGCGAGGTGTCTGTTCATGCAGGGGTGCCCGTCTGCGGGGTGCCACTAGGCTTCTGAGGCGGTATAGTTGCAGGAATATCGCCATCGGTATCCGTGTCTGAACCGGAGGAATCATCATCGTCGAGTACGACTGGTGCCGACGCAGAGCCACTTCTCTCCAAGTTAGAGGGCCGCTGCAATGACTCTGGGGCCGAACCATTGGTGGGCGTCTGACCCCCGACATGCGATGACACCCGGTATCCCTGTCTCTGCAATGACGAAAGGCTATTCTGAGGTGGGTAAATCGGAGTCTGCTTTGCCGACGACATAGAAGCAGTTGGGTCAGTCGTGGCGACTGTCGCGCTCGACCCGCCCAGCCCGGAGTTGTTCATGTCGGAAACAGAGTGATGGTTGCTCGGCTCGGGTACACTGCTGACCGGGACGGGCTGCGGTGTCTGATAACCGACGCTACCAACTCTCTGCCTCTTCGCGCTTGGCGTGTCGTGACCGTAGCTTGTGGTCGGGGCACCGTGCTTCAGGGTCCCCATGCGTACACGCTCCTGCTCGATCTCTTCTTTGGTCCGCCGCTGCCGAAGACGCACTCCATACTTTTTACGGATGATGCTCTGCTTCGTGCTGAAGCTGTTCTGAATACCGTCAAGTTTCACCTTCCGCTCAATGGGATCTTGTATCAGTTCCGCCTCCCTGAATCGTGGAGCATAGTTGACCTCGGCCTCGCGTAGAGCCTCATTTAGTTCTGCCCTCTTCAAAGGAGTAAGATGACTATATGGGTCATCACCACCTGATGCCTGAATTGATGTTGGTAGACGACTCGGCTGACTTGGTGTCCCGACGCGCGGAGACGATGCCGGCAGTTGCTGGCTGCTGGGGTAATATGACTGGGTAGACGGATACGGCTGAGCAGGAGGCTGAGCAGGAGTGCTGTACCCAGGTGGACCGGCCATAGGGGAGCTACTGGCTACGGGAGCCCTGGGCGTTGCGGGCGCTGTCTTGTGGTCCCCACATACAGCGTTGGCAATATGCTACGACGGTCAGCAGCTTCCCAGGACACTGGGCGAAGCAAAACACTTACGTATTGTTTGCCAATCTTGGTGATGAAGCCCGAGCCACAGTGCTCACATGTGAACGGAAATTCATTTCCATTAGGGGCCTCTTTCGTGCAAATCTGCTTTTGGACATGCTGATATTATGTTAGCACCAAAAGCGCTGCCAGGTAGATATGAAACTTACGTATTCGTAAGGAGCCGTTGCATTGAACTTCTTCCAGCACAGTCGGCATTGAAGCTCCGCAACGGGAGCCGCGGCGCGTACAGGCGCAACGGGAGCTGCGGTGCGTACAGGTGGGAGGTTTTGAGGCACTTGTCGATATTGCGGAGGTGGTTGCTGAGGTGGCAGTTGGGGAGGTTGCTGTTGATGCTGTGGGTGTTGAATTGGTCGTGGACTAGGGTTCACGGGTGTGAAGGCAGACGGAGCCGCAGACGGAGCCGCAACATGAACAACCTTCTCCTTCTGATCATCAAGAACATCGCTGTTCTCATAGCCGAGACGCTCTGCTCGCGCAAGAGCATTAATCAACGACCGTGCGTCAATTGTCTTTAGCCTCTTCTCAAGTGCTTGGTCAAGGAAGCGATCACTGCATCTCTCGAGGATTAAGTTTCTAACTGCATCCAAGTCCTTGGGGGTGTAATGTGAGATAACTTCGTGCTTGGCTTCTGTTATCATCTTCTCACCGAAGTCTTTGATGGCTCTGCGAATGACCACTCCATTGGCATGGTGTATCACGGCGTTCAACTACGACCGAGTCAGTTCATAACTCACTAGACACAAGAACAGGATGCCATGAGTGGATTGAAGGAAGGTCCTACAGGTGCAAGAGGACACAAGGGCAATATTTCTCGAGCTCGGGTGCAATGATATGAGAAGTACTGATGAAGACAGTGTCACGCCAGTGTCACGCCAGTGTCGACCGGGTCACACTCATCTACTCGGACAGCGAACAGGAAGGAGCGTCATGATCTAGGAGAAATGAAGGGAAAGATGAGAGGGTGCGAGAGACGGAGAGTACTCACTAGGAACGCATGATGAAACTCGGAGCCAAGCAGGGCCTTTTCCCAGTTGTCTCGTACCACCCTCCTCACAGCCTGAGGACTGGCTTGAGCTACGCCAAAACTCAGTTGTGATATGTCCTCGTTGAACTTGGGAACCTGTTGGTGGTGGTTTGCCTTTGGCGACGCGAAGCCTTTTTGAGCTTCACTGGTCTGTCGCTGGATAGGAGGTCTGGCGGGAGGGATGATAGGTTGCTGATGGTTTGATGACGGGGTTAAAGGCAACATGCTTGACATTGGAGCAGGTGGCGCTGGTGCTGTCGTGGGCACGGACGGAGGCAAGGGTGTAGATACAGCATCGTGACTTCCAATGACAGCGTTCGTGCTGATGCCATTGACGCCATTGGTGGTGTTGGTGACGACCGCAGTGCTGGCAGCATCACCTGTGGCGTTTTGGGGTGCTTCAGCGATGGGCGTATTGGTGCTGCGTTCAGGGGAGGGAGGGTGTGATGCATCATGCGCTGCATTCGACGCCGGCGATGGTGCTGCTATTGCTGATGTTGGCGCTGGCACTGGCGCCGTACTTTGAGAGATATCCTGTGCCGCAGATGCTGGGGGGATATCCATCGTGACTTCCATGTGCGTTGTTTGCCTTGAACTCGAGTAAGCGTGAGCGCGTTTCGATGTAAGTGGGCACGCGCCAGGGTGAGATCCAGGTACCTACATGAGATCAAATTGCCAGAATGCAGGCGTTTTGAGTTGGAGCTTCAGCTTCTGTAAAAGCTGTGAGAAGGCAACGCGCCAGCCACTACTAGATAGGTAGTCCCAGGAATATTTCCTAAGAAGTGCTTGCCACCAAGGAGATGCCGTGGCCTAGTCAACCTGGCTCCAGAGCAACAAGGGATTGAAGGTATCTCACGAGGCCTTGAAGCAACCTTTCAAGATGTCAAGTAGTATGCGCCGGACTATCGCTCGCAGTATCGTCGGCAGTAATACCAGGAGAACGAGAGGATTGGGGTGTCGGGTCAATTATTGGTATGAGGGGATAAACAGGCACATATGTATTTTTTAGCAGCAAATTTACTTTCGTTTATCTAATTAAAACGGGCAAGCGCGGTTGTATGCAGGTTCCTTTATCGACCCACATTTACGGTTTAACAGCTTCTAATTGGTTATATTTCATGATGTTACGCGTAAGGTATGAAGCACAGACTCTTTTTCTAGCGTGGCAAATTCCTAGCTGAAGATGGCTCGGTTAATCGCCTCCCCTACTCCCCGATAGATCCGTGCGCTTCTACGTTTATATTTCAAGACCCGGGGTGGGGACATTACAATCTGCCAAGAGCTTTTATGGTTGCTTCTCGGACCAACATTGGCCTCTGAAGAAGCATTGGTATATCGTCAGCTCAATGCGTACTTGCGTACTTACTGTTCAATGCAACTCCTTTAGGCTGCTACACGTTTAGCCGCTTATCAATGATTTGCGCCACTAAGCAGCGTCGTATGGCACAAAACATGTGCCACATTTGTAGTGTGGCTTGGTCCATGGTCAGTCAGCACTACCTATTGATTTGATGCATTGTGAAACCAGCGAGCACAACAACCTCTGGCTATGCGAAAGCATCAAACGCAAATACATTCATACTACCACTCGAGTTGTCGGACATGATGCACCAACTTGAAAAGATGAAGGAGCCCCTGCTAAACCTGCTGAGGTTGGCTTGTAGCCTAGTTCAGGCTTCGCGTTTTCTCCCCGCTTACTTGCCCCGAACTTTGAAGCGGTACTGCTCGCCGCGGTCAAGGTAAACCACCCGCTCCTTCCACCCTCCCTCATCGACCTTCTTCTTGAAGTCACTCAGCGGCGACAGGAAGGCATCATAGTCATCGAAGTGGATCGGGATCGTCACGTCGGGATCCATGAGCTGCATCAGCTTCAGGCCCTGCTCGGCGTCCATCGTCACCATCAGCAGCGGCATCGAACGGCCCAGGATCGTCGTCCCGCCCAGGTGCACCAGCATCAGGTCGATATTTTCTCTGCCCAGCCGCTGCGGGATCTCCTTCAGCTCGTCGACAAGGAGCGTGTCGCCCGAGATGTAGATCCGGTAGCCCGTCTCGATCGACTCCGGGTCGCCGCCCGTCGGCGCCTTGTAGCTGTGGCCGAGCTCCAGGAGCCATCCATTGGTCGGCGGCACGGCGTGGAGTAGGTCGTTGGCTATGGAGAGAGGACCCGGCGGCACGTGCTTCCCGGGCGTGCCTGTGACCTTGATGACGCGCACCTTCCCATACCCGCCTGCGTTGGTGTGGCCTCCGCCGTCGACGTGCAGCATCATGCTGTCGAAGAAGTCCAGATCACGGACGGCCTTGAATGGCTCGGCCTTGGTGGTGAGGCAGTCCTTCGCATGTGGCGTGCTGATGATGTTGAATTCCCGGTTGAGAGACTTCTCCACCAACTGATCAAAGTGGTCTTCGTGGTAATGCGAGAGCAGGATGCAGTCCAGCGAAGGCAGCTCGTGGAGGTCGACGGCCGGATTGGTCTTACGCTGGGCTGTGACTCCAGGGCCGAGGTGGACATGGTCTCCAGCGTGTAAAAAATTAGGGTCAGTAAGGATGCGTATGCCCTCCCATTCGATCACCGTGGTAGCCGTGCCGATGAAGTAGATACTCGCGTCTTCGTCATTACTGGAGCCCTTTGGGTGGGTGAATACCTTGCTGACTGGTACCGACTTGGGCGCCTCATTAGGGCTTTCTTGGTCTTTGAGTAGAGGCTGCCTCTTTGACGGGTCCAGGTGAAGATGGCGCATTGGACTCATCTTGCATGCGGCCACCTATGAGGCCTGGATTCTGATGCAAATGTTGTAGATCTTCTGGGAGTTGTTGTTGTTCTTGACTTGGGGTTGGGTGGCTCATGTGGTTGAGGCACGCATGACGTGAAGGGTTGCGAGCGATGATGTAATCGCCATCACCAGCATATTAACACAGCATGCACATTGGATTAGGTACTATCGTTGCTGCCAGTTCAACCTCAACACCACTACAACACCACATCATGTATAAGACGTTGTGTATTGATCTGCGAAAGGCTGCGAGAGTCTTGTATCAAAACCTAGCAAAAGCGAGTCTCATCATCTTTGGTAACTAAAGTCTTGGATTGACCATCGCACGGCACACAAACCAGAAGGAGCCTCCATCTTCGACCTTGGGCATCCGATCATTTTCCTTTCGTGTCTCGGACATCCTCGAGATGTGCCTTGAGGAAATCCCCACACGAATCATTGATGTCTTGTCTGTCAGATGAACAGCCCATTCCGCCACGCGCAACATGCTTCTTCCAACAGCCTCCTGTCTCCGGACTACCAAATGTTTCCCACGAGGAAGCCGCGCAAGGTGAATACTGCAATGTTCAACATGATGCCCGGACTTGAGTGAATGCCAGATGTGTGATATTGAGGTTTTTACGACGCGCAGGTTGGGAATGCGTGCTGGGTAGGCTGGTCGTCGGTCGAGGTCGGGCAGGTAATCGGATCGGACCATCGTGGTAGGGTCGCTCTTGAAGCGCAAGCATACAAGATCACGCCTGTAGTAGGGGCCTTGGGGATGAGCGCGCAAGTTTGCACGGTACTGTTGGCCGATCTGTTGGTCGTACCGTCTTACGTGTCTGTGAGACTGTGACAAGTGGACGAAGGGGCTATCTTGAAGTACCTCCAACGCTGCCTCGTCCGGGCTGCCGGATGTCGGGAGGTAGCGGGAAGAGCTTGTCGAGCGCCTCTGGGTTCATGCCCATCCTGTATCCCGCCTGAGTGGTTGTCAGTAAGTTAGTTATGAGAAGGTGGACTTGCAGGGCAGTAGATCTCCCAGCCAGCAAACAGGGTACAAGACTAATAGGAGCATGCTTGTAAAGACGTCGCGATAGGAAGACATTCACCTACCAGGCCTAGCTTCCGCTCAATGGAGTGGTAGAAGTCCTTGGGCATTAGGATTCCTTGAGGCTGAGCCCTGGTCGAACCGGTATGGACATTGAGCTCTGTCTCAGTTCCCCAGAAGGCTGAAAGGAGGCGTTTTCTCATACTGCTCGAGATTCGGATCGATTTTGCCTGCAAACCGGAGGACGAAACGAAGACTCCGGTCTTCGTGTTCTTCCGGGAGTTGGGTCGTGGTGGGAGGTCTGTATCCTGACCCCCCGGCTGCGCGATGGTTCTGCTCGAACAGCGCGCGGGCAACTCGTCGGAGTCGGATGTTAATTAGCTTCTCTCTGGCCTGCAGCAAGACAACGCAAGCCTCTCTGAATCGGTTCATGTCGGGTTGGTGTGTCGCATAGTCCTTCAACCATGAATTGCCTCTGCCCTTGACACACGCGTTGTGGTAGTCGCAGATGGCTTGGATACGCAGCATGATCTTGTCTTCCGTGTGATCTGGGGACGTACCCATCTGGATCGCGGTGTACGGATAGCTATGCGCCTCTAGCACCTGCCCAAGTAAGCCGTGCAAGGCGCTGAAGTCAACCGGGCCTTCAGGTTCCTGGTATTCACCAGCCATTGTTGTCGGGTGGTATTGCAGTCAGGGGTAAAGGGGGTTGTCGGCCGGGTATATTCGAGAAAGGAAGGCGTGCAGATCCTATTAGTATGTGTTAGTAGCTTGTGTGATGGGTCGACGCCGAGGAAAACATAGGATCTGTAGCAACATAGAAAGGGGTACTCCTTGGGCCTTCTTGGAAGATGATGACTAGACTTGCACAAGTGAAATTGTACTGGGCTCCCCAGTAAGGTGACATATACATACCAACGAAGCTCCCAAGGAGATCCAGTACACGATTTTTCTGTGTGACTCGCCGGCAAGAGATTTGCTAGAGGCCAAGAATGTGTTAGTGAAGGGGCTGTTGGTCCAATGGTCAGTTTGAGGTAGAGAGACTGGCAACTGCGTTACTGAGGCGCCGAGCAGGAAGCTGTTCCAGGCCAAGACCGTGTGGGCGAAAGGGAGTTCTTGGTCAGATGGGCAGTATGGAGCCCAGTTGTAGATGCCAGTTCTGATCAGATGATGGCTAGGATGCTGCTGTTGGCTCTGATTCTTAGAGAATGTGTGGCTGAGGCCGCCGATAGGACTGGCTCCAGTTCAAGAACACCCAAGCGACAGGACAGCAACAACAACCACAGCAACCCGTAGGTGACGGATGCAGATTGAGAAAACTAGTTCTGCTCTCTTACACGTTTTGTCTTCAAAATCATGCACATTAGGTTTGATGGCAACCAATAATGGTCCTTCACTAGACCACACGTTGTTCATGGCTTACTTGGTGCTCTGTGGTGAGCTTGAAAGTAGGAGACGAACACATAATCCTGTGTCCTAGGACTTACAAAGACTCTCCTCTTACCCTCACTCCTACGTGTATATAATTAGAATCATCTACTTGGGTTCTATTTACCAGTGATATGTCGGCCTGTCGGCCAACTCCATCGTTACCTTCAGTAACATTGTGCCTCTGTCCTTGTTCAGGCCTGTATCTGCTTTGTGATCTGCGTCTACATCTATGCAAGCTGCTTGCTGGGAAGCTTCCAAAAATAAAAGACACGTAGTAATAGCAATAGAAGCGGCTAGATAGTCACAGCAGATTGGCCATGGGACGGTAACATATTCAGGAGGCCCCTAACGCACGGACCTCTCCTCCCAACGGCGGCCTGAGGGTTGATGGGGTTATGGCAAATGCCTGGATTCCGTCAGGTTCAGAAGAATGCTTTAGGCCAGTGCTAGGTACCATTTCCAGTGGATGGTATAGTGAGTTCGCTTAAACCCTGGACCGCGAATTGTGTTCACAAAATTAAATTAAAGTACCGCTCTCATTCTCCCAACATACATTTTCTTTACATCTTTCAACCCGCAGATGTGATTTTTTCTTGTCAACCCTCCTACAAATAGACGGCATCTTTCTAACAAGCACAAATCCTACACCCTTACTGATCACTTCCTACATTTAATCCAACAGACACACCACAATACCAACACAAAACACCCCATTGCCCCATCTTGCAATCAACCCCACGCCACGGGAGACCAGGCCACACCGGCTGTTGTCGACACTGCCGACGCTATCGCCATTGGTGATGCTGTCGCTGCCCCTGGTGCTGCCCCTGGTGCTGCCCTTGTCGCTCACTTACCTCCGAGCCAATCATCGACAGATCATCGGGTAAACCTACCCACGAACAGCCGAAGATGTCAATATCTCAATCTGCCCCAGGGCGCCTCCTGGCCTTGGTGCTGGCATTGCCACTGTTGCCGTCGCGTGGTCGACGTTGTCACACTCTTGCAGCTGTTGAGACTTCCGACAGTGACCAACTGTCATCAGAAGAGTTGATGAGCATGGCCCTCGGCTATTGAGTACCTGGTCAAACGGGAAGGCCGCTCCCACTTCCACGTCGTTTGGATGCCAGGAGGCGGCTGCAGGCATCAGACATCTCCATCGTAAGTAGCAGACCAACTTCTGAATCAGATCGTCAAGGGGCAGCTTGGTTGTAGATCTCAGATAGATCTTTCTACCACAAGCCCTATCCTGATATCCAATGGCGAAGTGAAACATTAGGGACTAACAGTATTCAAGGAATCACCAACGACGAGCTTGCCGCCGTTGATGCTGCCGCCGCCACCGCTCGCCTCTCCGTTCGTGCCGGCCCCGTCGACGCCGACGATGCCGACGATGCCGACGATGCAGTCCCCGGTCCGGCTGGCAACGCCGCCCTTCCCTGGGTTCATGGCGCGGCTTCAAGCACCATGCCATGATGCAAATGCAGCAACTGTAGCATCAAATGGCCCAAGGAGGAGGCGGAGCCAACCCTGGGAACAACCCTATGGCAGGCATGGCAGGCATGGCGAACATGAACCCAGCCATAATGCAGCAAATGCAGAACCAGATGATGGGTAATGGCGGCGCTGGCCAAGCGCGTAGCATTTCTCAAGCGTGAAGCAGCCCAGTTCCCGAAGATGGATTCCAAGTCTGGACAGGTACGCTTGTATATGTCCATTTTCACCACTCAAAGTCATTTCTAACAGCAAGTAGATCCCTACCGAGTTCACGAAACTTGGTATCTTTGTCACCAGAGCCCTTTGGCCGAAGATAGATTGTTCGGCCAACTCACACCCCGCTTCATCATCGAGGAGATGAAGGCACTCGCCGCAGAAGTCTACATGTCGCGCCAGCCACCAGTGAAGCTCGAATTGAATGAGAAGCGAAAGCGAGACCTGGAGGAAGGCAACAGACGATCGAACCGAGCCGCTGCTGGATCCAGCGGTACCATCGTTTGAATTGGACGAGGCCAATCTTGCATTGGCGCCTTCTGACGAGATGGCCAAGACAGAGCAGACGCGTGACGGGTGGGAAAATAACCACCCACCCAAGGACTGCAAACAACGCCATTAGCCACGGGATCCGCGAGAGGAGATGGGACTTCGGTGCTCGAGCGAAACCTCGACCAGATCCTGGGTCAGGTCGACTACTACTCGTCGTACGACATCAAGGAGCAGGCCGTCGAGGCCGTGCTCGACATCATCGAGGGCTACCTGCTCGTCGACGCCGAGCTTGCCCGCCCCTCCCACAAACATCCCGTCCTCCTCTCCCACGTCTCACGTTCAACCTGTGTCAGCTGGGAGACTGCCTGAGCGAGAGCCTAGGAGCTTCCGAGCTCCGGGTTCGGCTATGCGGTGTCTCCTGCGTCGGAGGGCTTGGTTCGGTGCCTCAGCTGCTGGCTAGACAGCTTCTCGTGGGGACTTGGTTCGGTATTTGCCGTGGTGTACGATCCCACGCCAATGCTCGCCCTGCTCTAAAGAATGATTGGGCCATGGCCCGGGACTTCTACCTTGACCAGAGCCTCAAGGATGACGACAATGTCAACCGGCTGCTGATCGCAAGTATGCTTCAACTCGCCTGAAGAAGAAGGCCCTCGACATGACCGCATTTAAGGACGAGGAGCTCGATGCCTCCATTCGCTCGCCGAAGCGCCCTCACTCACCCGGCCCGGGTACAGCCAAGCATCCCACGACCGCCAATTGCATCACGAAACAGAGCTGTACTGTCAAGCATGGCTTCTGAAGAGGCAGAGCCCATTGCCGTGGTTGGCCTCGGATGCCACTTTCCTGGGACGGCCGTGTGTTTCCGGAGGCTCTCTCGAAGATACTCCACCGTGGAGATGAAGGACTTGGCCTCAGCACCAGAAGGGTCCAAGGCTGGGGTGCTTATCTGCTGACTTCTCCATCCCACAGACGCAGAGCGCAGCCACCATCACCTCTTGACCTCGGTCTCGTATCTTCATCTCTCATGTCTGACGAGATGGCCAAGACAGGTTCCAAATCATTCGCCTGGCTCAAGAACCACCGCCTCAGTAAGTTGCTTGAGATCCTGCTCCAAAATCTGGAAATGAAACTGTCAGGATGATGCGATCATTATCTCGAATGGTCCGTTGGCAAGGCTCGTATAGAAGAAGGCTCAGACGGCTCAGACGGCTCAGACGGCTCAGACAATGAGGAAACCTCGGATGACTCGTTCAACCCGGGCGGCTCAGTTCACTCAGATGATTCGAAAATTGCTGATAACGCAAAGGGGAAGGAAGTGAAAAGGGTTCAGAAGAAAGGCCAAGGTCACCACCCCGAGAAATCTCATGCAGAGCGCCTGGTCAGAGGTACCCCAAGGCTGACTGAACATCAAGACTACTAACACTTGAAGCAGACCGGCAGTAAGTTTCATTCCACGATCAGCCCGAAGCGCGTCTAACCCTGTCTCAAGACTGACGGCCACCGCAGAGATGGGTGACGACGCGACATGGTTCGGCGCGGCGTACTTCTTCGCCCTTGTCGCAGTTGGTAGTTGGCGCCACCGCTGGCTGCGGCTACCTCATGCACCTCGGCATCAGACGCTGCCACCAGCGCCGATGCGAGCGAGAAGCTGCCGCTGCCGCTGTCGCAGTCGGCCACGAGCTGCAGCGAGTCGAGCGAAACGTCCTGAACGGCCCACACGTAGATAGGCAAGGCAGTGATTTGGCCGAACTTGTCAGACGAGAACAATGGTGCTGGCTTGGCCAAGTAAATGCTTCTTGTCGAGGGAGGCAGTCCGGCACTCGGCGAAGGAGATGGGAAGGGGTACCTGGAAATCAGCGACGGTCTCTCCGTGAGACTGCTCACACGAGGACCAGGGAGCTCAAGAGTCCCAGATTCAGCCCTGAGGCCATGCGGTCCAAGCATAATCAAGCACCCCGGGATGTAGCTCAGAGCACTGAAGAAAATGGATACGGCAATGACTACCACGACAACTTGGGATCGTCCAATGGCCGTTGTGAGACTTCTCACTCAGCGCATGTGCGTCGACTATCTCTTCCAGAAGCTCATGTCGCCCGGGACGTATCTGGCATTCTCGCTTGAGAAAGAACCAACATTGTTTGAGCTACAAAGGTTCATCGAGACAAACAGAAAGCGCTTGCTGCCCAAGAACAGTCTGAGCCCATGATTCATGAACTAGCCCAAGGTTTGCAGGATATCCTGGAAGATGCTGACCAAGCAAATGTCCAAGGACTTGAGCTGCCCTCCCTGGTAGAAGAACGAGCAGGCCACAAGGCCCAGATGACCAACCAAGGTCAGGCTGTGCAACAGGAAGAGGGACGCAGAAAACAAGACCGTCGGGAGGAGGAGGACAGAGCCATGGGGATGGACCCAAGTAGAGCCACGCATCCCAGAATGCAGCTCCGAGCACTGAAGAAAACGGATAGGGCAATGACTGCCAGGACGATTGCCTACCTATGTATGGTCCGTTATGTTAGCAACGACTTTCAGCACAAAGGTTGGATGAACAACATGGTCTGGCACGGCCTTCGGGCTGGTTTGCACGGTCTCCCGCTGTTTGGCAAAGGGAAACATCAGGAAGGATAGATGGCGGCCTTGGACTCTCGACCTTGGTCTTAATTTACCTTATTCTCTTCTCCGAAACTACCTTACTCAGCGGCTTCCATGGTACCCCAATGCTGTCGTGGCGCGAGGGACGAGGCTGCTGATAGCATTCACGACCAGACTGGCGCTTTGATCGGCCACGAGGTGCAATACGCGTGACAGGCTGCAGGAGCTAACCTGCCCTTGTGAGCGCAATGGATGTTAGCCACCACAATGATGAGTATGAATGGTCTGGCACGTCTTCTCGATGGTGCCAAGCGTCCAACGCACTGCATGGTCTCTTTGTCATTCTTGCCGTCACAGCACCTCCACCGACACAAATGGAGAAGTCGAGACACGCTACTTAGGAAGCCGAGGTGAAGGTTATCAACGAAGAAATTAACGCGCCGGGGCCGAGATGCCTTCAAGTCATGGTGGCTCAAGGGTCTATCCGAGCTGACTTGGAGCAACCCCGAACATGTAAAGCTCTCTCAGAGCATTGCAAAAGGGATCAAGACATTGTACAAGAGACGAGAACTGGGGTGCCAATGCGGTCGTTGACTATGAGGTCGCAGTGGTGTCTAGTTGAGCAGAGGGAATGGGAACGGCAACAGAGGCGATAGGAAGGGGAATGAGTAATCTGCCTTATACACGTGTGCGGACTTTGGTCATCAGTGTCAGCGCCGTTAAATCATACCCTGGCCAGGGATACTGAAGATGCGCTTACACCATGGTTTGCTTGTCAGGTTTCGGACTTGGGGCTAATACGTGTCAGACTGCAGTGTTGTGTTCTTGCGGCTTCGGGGCGGTGAGCGGGATCGAGTTTGGGAAAATTAGGAATGGCAGGATGATGATGGGAAAGTGTCTCTGGAGATGAATCCTCCACACACCTTCCATTTTCTGCAAATCTCGTCTCTTTCCCTTATTTTTCCTCAGCTTGTCAGCAGAAGGCCGACTGCCCGGTCTGCGGCAGCGGAGAATCGCCCGAGTCCAGCATCGACAAGCCGCACCAAGAAGCGAAGCCAGTACAGCATTACCTTGAGGCCCCTACCGGCAATGCTGATGGCAAGAATGGGTCGGTTTGGCCCACCGAGCGCAAACGTGAGCACTACTAGTTGCTGCTGCTGCGAGTTACTGTATACCTAACTGATTATGATCCAGGCACCACTCCGTACAGCAACCAGCAGCCGTACGCTCCCATTGCTAGCACCGACGCCATGACAGGGGAAGATGGTATCTGGGGTCAGGATTGGGGCATGTCGCTCGCTGAGTAGACACGTTTGCGATACCCCGCCATTGAGGATTCCCTCATGCTCGATGAGTTCTACCTCACTGGTGTCGGCTTCGTAGTCGCCCGTAACCGCCATGGCTACTCCGTCACTCTCAACCTGAACAATATTGCGGCCACCAACCCTACCATGGCTGACGACCTCGTGGACTGGCTCCAGTTCACGACCATCAGGATGTGTGCCGTGATATTCTTCATCTGCCGCTACTGCCAGCCGACGGTGCCGATGGGGTTCCAGTGGCGATGGGAGCATAACCCTGTTTGTTGGGTGCCGCAAACCGAGACGCCGGAAGCCGGACGTAAGTTCCCCTGCTCCGCATCGTGAAGTTCGTCGCCTGTGCTCGGGAATCTGACTTGACCACTAGCCCATTCCATGAAGTGTCCTCCCATGAGGTCGATCGCGAGACATGGCTAGTTCCCAGAACATGAAGCGCCAGGCGACTGAAGACGCATGAGATTCTCGGATTAGCCCTCGTTCCCGACCAATCCGCTTCATCCTCACGGGTTCCCCTTCTACTGCAAGATGAGCCGGAATCTCAAGAGACGACACCCGGGCGACGTTTCCAAGGATGCCTTTCTCTATGCCTGCTCCGCGTTGGCTGCTGAGGGTGACATGCGCCTGCGAGACCAACGGCTGGAGAGTCGAGATTGCTTCTAGCACCACAATGCACTCCCTCTCCCCTCGCCTTCTGAAGTACTGGATCGACACCAACAAGTGCTTTCCCAGCACGTCTACTTCCTTCGCGATGGCTGTGCCGAAGGTCAGTTCCAGCAGGTCATCGACCGAGAACTCAAGGAGATCAAGGTAATGTTCCGCGAGGCGAACGCTCCGGGTCCGCCTAAGTTCACTGTGATTGTTGCCATCAAGCGACATCACATTCGCTTCTTCCCCAAGCCTGGTGACAAGGCCACTGGCGACCGAAACAACAACCCGACGGTACGGACAGCGGTATGTCGATGAGATCTTGAACGGGTCTGCCACGGAGGAGATTACCTTCGAATCTTGGTATTACCAAGGACAAGGCGCCTCCGGCAGGCGTTGACCACCATCGCCAGTGCCTAGCAAGGACACGTTGAGAGCATCATATTTCGCGTCCTGCTTCCTTCTTACAGTGCCGAATTGCACTTGCACGAGAGCGAAGTCACCAAGGCGAGCAACAATAGAGTCTTCGATACCGCTTCATGGGCACCGACGAGGCCCATTTGACGCATACGCTCGTCGACAACCGACAGCTGGAAAAGCTGAGAGATCTCCTCGGCGCCCATGGGCGTTCAGTTTATATACCGGGCACAACCGCACCTCCAGCAGGTGCTTTCCGCCACCTTCCGCTTCGCGTACGAAAACCACTGGGCGTTAAGCGGTGGACTCCTTGATCGCCGAGACGATCGTGGCCCCGAGCACTTGATCTTCGATGTATGGTGATCTTTGTTTCCCCAATTCTGGTATGAAACTGTCATATCAGCCGGGCGACAGCGTGGTCTTCCGAGGTACGAATGAAGAGCATTCAGTCAGGGACTGGAAGGGAGACCCAATGTTCCTGCTCGTTACCAACCACCAGCCCATGTGGAATTACGCACATCGCGTCTTGGGGAGGCTTCCCCCTAAGCCGAACGATCCCTGTCACCCTGATCGACTGGCGCAATTCGCTAGGAATGAGGTGCTGCCGAAGGAGGTGCACTTAATCGCGATGCATCTATATAACCCACCACAATTCCAGAATCTTAACATGCTATAGATGCTAAGCTTGTTAGTAATGCCGGTACTGCTAGAATACCAACCTGCCAATCTGCACTCGGCCCTCGTGATGCAGCGTATCCGCTCTCTGTACACCAACATCCGTGGCCAGCGTCCTGGATCAGCAGGTGATCATGCGTCGAGATATGCAGACAACAACCTGGTGGTGGATTCTCCCCTTTACTCGACCCTCTAATGTCCGGCCTATGGGCAATGGCTATCACGACGGTGAATACGGATCGTCTGGTCGGCTGGACATGACTACCATGACGACCACCACAAGTGATCCGGTCGTATGCGGCAGCAGGTTCAGGATAGGGAAATATACAGGACCCAACCAACACAATGGCCTTGGATGCCTTTGAATGTGAAAGCAATCACAGACTGTGCAACGTGACCCTTTGCTAACAGTACTCAAATCACAAGGGTGTAGCTGATGCTTCTAGTATATGTGATTGTACTGGCACATGAAGAGAAATGCAATAGAAATGATTTGCCATACAGCGCCATAGCGCGCTAGGGGTGTTCCTAAAGTCGAAGGTAAATTAATGGGTGATCATGTCAAAGTCGAAGGGGGATACTTCCAAAGCCCACTGCAAGGCCATATATCGGTACACTCGTTGCCGCTACTGGCAACTCGACAGTATGAGCGTCAGGATAACGTATGTGGTGAGATATTCTTCCAATCTGACTACTTTCAAGAAGCTGTCCGTGCCTTCTTCAGAGACAATCCTGGGGTTCCCAGAGCCCAGAGATTACTGACGGGGCTAGTAAAGGACATAGGATCTACACGTTTCCACGAATGACAGTCCATGCCGCAAAGCCTTCAGGCATATCGTTACCTCGCAAAGAGGCCAGCCATAAAGACTACCGAGAAGTATATTCGAAGCAGGTACGGTGAGTAACACTGTTTGGTTACCGATAATATATGCCAAAGCAGGGTGGGTAGAGACTACCCTCCCAAAAATAAAAATAAAAAGATTGTACAGATGTCACTTGAACTGCAGACCTTTAGAGAGTGTTCAAAATAGCAAAAAGAACAGCATTCCGCCAAGGTCAGCTTATACTGTCGGAAAACCTGACGGCTAGGTCATCTAGCCTAGTCACTCCGTTCGGTTTATCCTGGCGACTACTTTACCGCACCCGGGGAGGGGGGGAACGTCTGATGCTGATTTTTGCTCACATTAGGATATATATCTATCCAACGGCATATGCCAACGCTAGAGGGGAGTATCCAACTTCGATCTCTATACGTACCTTATATACCCAAAACGCCCACGACGCCCCGTAACCCCATTTTCTCGTGACACGACATTATCATGAGCCCATAAGCAAACATTCCAATCTCCGCAAACAACCCAAATCCCAAAATCCAGAATCCAACCGAGCTTGCCGCACGTGCGGTACACTGTGCTACCCATCCCTCACAGCCGGCCCAGCCTCAACAACACGCCCCCCATCCAACCTTACGAAGTAATCCGCATCCCTTACCGCCTCGATCCGATGCGCAATCGTAATAACCGTGCTAAGCCTCAGCTCATCCCGCAGCACCTCCTGTATCGCCAGCGCCGTCTGCTTATCAATAGACGCGGTCGCCTCGTCCAGAATGACCACCGGACTCCTCCTCAACACGGCGCGCCCGATCCCCACCAGCTGCCGCTGCCCCTGGCTCAGGTTCTTGCCCCCGTCGTCCACGCGCGACGACAGCGTCCAGCCGGCCCCCAGGATCCGCCGTAGTGTGGTGTTGCACTCGGCGTCCGTGTGCTGCTGCAAAGGGTCGAGGTTGTCCCGCAAAGTGCCGGGGAATAGGACGGGGTCCTGGGCGACGAAGCTGAGGCGCCTCCGCCAGGCATGCACGTCGACGCGCGCGATGTCGACGCCGCCGACACGGATGACGCCAGCGCCTTCCCCGGGGTCGGGCCGCACCGTCGCCAGCAGCGCAAGCGCCAGCGTCGACTTGCCCGAGCCCGTGCGCCCTAGCACCGCGCACGTCGCACCGCCGGGGATCGTGAACGAGACCCCGGTCAGCGAAGGCTCGAGATGCGGCGCATAGCGGACCGTCACGCCCTCGAACGAGATGGCGTCGCCGTACGCAGGCCACGCGGCGGGGGGCTCGACATCGCCGCTCGGTTCCGGCTCGAGGTCCAGGAGCTCGACCACGCGCTCCACGGAGACGAAGTCCATCTGCAGCTGGCCGTACGCCTTGCACAGCGCATGGGTGGCATCGACGAATTGTGACGCCGTGGTGAGCACAAAGGCCGTCAGCCCGGGCGACAGGCCCTGGTACAGCGCCAGCAGCGTCAGCGCAAAGGTCGAGACGGCCGAGAGCGCGTCGAAGCGGTACAGCAGCCAGGCCTGCAGGCTCCAGTAGAAATGGTCCATCTTCTGGAAGGCGTCCGTCACGACCACATTGCGGTCCTGGAAGTGCGGCTGCGCGCGGAAAGCACGAATAGTAGCCAGCCCGTCGAGCAGGATACCAAAATTGGACATTAAGGGGCTGAGCGAAACCATTTCAAGTCGACGCAGGCTCTGCGACGTCGGCAGGAAGCGCAAGAATATGGCGACGAACCACGCCGTCATGGCCAGCGCGAACGCGAAGAATATGGGCGTCGTCGCCGAGATGACGATCATGCAGGTCGCCCAAGTCAGCGACCAGAACGCCACGTCCTGCAGTGGTGCGATGATGCCGCCGTCCAGCATGCCGATGTCCGACGTCAGCCGGTTCATCAGCCGCCCCACGGGCGTCACGTCGTAGAAGCGGAACGTGGCGCCGCTGACGCGCTGCAGCACGCGGCCAAACAAATCTTTGGCTGCCGTGTACAGGATCAGCAGCAAGCCGCACTGCGTCAGCGTGAAGAACACGGTCATCGCAACACCCAAGATCGCATACCACATCAACCACGGAAGGACGTCATCATCAGGACTCGGCAGCCCATCGAAAATGCCGCCGTCCGCCACGCTGACACCCGCGGACGACGATATCATCGCCGACAGCCGCCGGACCTGCGCCGCGACCTCGTCCGAGGCGACGGGATAAGCCTCGCCCCACGACTTCAAAAACCAAGAATTGAACACGCGCAGGAAGCGGAACCCCGAGAAGATGGCGATGACGAGCGCCCACCACGTCAACCTTCCCGCCTTGATGTACGTCCAGTAAATCCTAGCCACGACGCCGCCGGACGCCCTGTTCTCGTCCGTAACAAACTTATCAGGCACGCCTGCGCCGGCGGCCTGCTGCTCCTCGGTGGCGGCCTCGTGCGACGCGGCCTCCTCCCGCGCGACGGCGAGGGTCTCCTGCTCCCGGGCCAGGATGTCGATCTCGCGGGCGATCTCGTCCTCGTGCAGGACGCGGGCCCGGCCGTCGGTGATCTCGACCACCTGGTCTGCGAGGTGCGTGCACATATCCACGCGGTGCGTGACGAGCACCACCGTACGACCCGCGACCAGGGACCCGCGGAACAGTTTGCGGACGATAGCCTCGGCGGTGTTGTGGTCGAGCGCGGCAAGCGGGTCGTCGAGCAGCAGGATGCGTGACTTGCTATACACTGCCCTGGCAAGAGCGACGCGCGCCTTCTGGCCGCCCGAGAGGCCGATGCCGTTTTCTCCAATATTGGAGAGATCCCCGTGTGCAAAGTTAGCCAGGTCCTGCGTAAGCTGGCACGCGTCGAGGACCTTGCGGTACCGCGCGCCGTCGAAGGGAAAGTTAAACAAAATATTATCGCGGATGCTCATGTTCTGCAGCCAGGGCGCCTGCGCGCAGTATCCCACCATCTCGTTTGGCAGCACGCAGCCGCCCCTGACTTTGTCGAGTTCGCCCAGGATGGCTTGCAGCAGCGCAGTCTTTCCCGAGCCGACCTTGCCGCAGACGACGGTGAGGCCGGTCGAAAAGCTCAAGGTCAGGTCCTCCAGCACCCGCTTGTGGTTCGTCGTCCACTCAAACGACGCACCCCGGAATTCAATTATCTGAGACGTCGAGTCGTTGTACGCGCCCTCCTCCTTGTCATGCTCCGCCATGAAAGCCTCCAGACGGCCAATGGCAACAGAAGCATTGAGGAGCACTGTGATTAGGTTGGGCAGCTCCTTCAAGCTGCCCTCTAGCATCGTGAAGAGCTGCAGCGCAGGAAAAGCGACGTCGATTGGCAACGGCCTCTCTGCTATATAAGTATACGCAAAGAAACTGAAGACCGGAAACAGGGCGCCGGCTGCGAGGTTAGTAGCGCCAATGGCAATATTCCACAGCCCGGTGCGGATGCGCAAGTGCAGCTCCTTCTCCCTTGCCTCCATGATGGCAGTGAGCCACTTGGACTGCCAGTCGTACCACCTCAAAGGCCGGATAGCCTCGACAAACTGGGACGTGGCATGGAGTCGCACGTCGGACGCCGCGCGCCGCAGCCTCTCGTTGACGAGCAGGCGCCGCACACAGACCGCGTTGACCGTCTGCATCGTGACGACCCAGGCCATGCCCAGCAGGCACGGCCAGCCGAGCAGCTGCCACACCAGGGCGACGGACAACACGAGCTGCAGCGGCTTCGTGACGATGGACGGGAACTCCCAGAACCGCTGCGCTACCTCGTACACGTCGTTGCGCATCAGGTTGAGGATCTTGCCCATGGTCGCCGGCTGCTCTGCCGGGGCCTTGGCCGCCTTCTTCTTTGCGGCGGCGCTGCGCTTGCGCAGTTTTAGGAACCCCAGGAGCCGGGCCATGCGGCTTTTCTTGGGCTTACTATCGGCCGTACCGCCTAGAAGGTGCGTCTCTTCGTTGGACTCGGGCTGGGCCCCGTTCCCGTTTCCATTCTGGTGCCCATTCTCTTGGGTGGGCGCATCCTCCTTCTCCTCTGTGCGCAAGCCGAAAGACTTACGCGTCAAGGTCTTCGCGTAGATGGTGGTGAGCATCTCGCCGCGCGACCTCTCGTAGGCGCGGCGGCTGAACCACAGCGAGAAGACATTGGACTGAGCAGCCACGAGGCGGACAGCCAGGATGGCCAACGCCCACGCGACGGACCCGTTCCTGCGGTCAGGTCCGCGCTCGATAGACTGCAGCAAGTGCTGCAGCAGCACAGGCACCGACAAGTTCGCCACGGCCTCGAGGACTCCCAGGCCCGTGATAATAGCAAGATCGAGGCCGTTGGCGCACAGCAGCCGGCGGATGATGGAGCCCTGGAGGTCTCTAAACAACACCAGCAGCCGGCTATGTTGAAAATCATAAGGCAGGCACCACACATCGCCGTCATCGAGCCGCGTGCAGTAGCCGCGCGAGATCAGCGGCGCCAGCCAGCTGACCGTCATGAACTGCCATGGCGTGAGGTTGTCCTCGGGGCTGCGCAGCTGCGACGTCGGCGGCTCCTCGGACCCCGCTATGCCGAAGGCGTCCCCGAGGTCCGGGTCGCGCATGGGCATGGCCAGCACGGCGACGACGGCCGCCAGCGCCACGCACACGGCGGCCAGGTTCAGGACGTGTACCAGCCCGGCCTGGCTGTAGGTGGCGGCGAGCGAGACGACGCCGCACGCCAGGATGGTGACGTAGAGCGCCAGCAGCGCCTTGGGCGTCTTCCGCGGGCGGTCCACGGCCGCGATGAGCAGGGCCGCGGCCCACGGTGCCAGCTCCAGGATTCTGGACACGCTGGGGGAGGAGATGACGGCGGTGACTGCGGTGATGATGAGCCCGATTATGGACAGCATCTGCAGAGAGATCGCCCAGATCGTCCACGGCCTCTCGCGGATATCGCGCCAGTTCTCCTCCCTGGCGAAGGGGCGCAGCCATTGGGGCGCCTCGGGCAACGCGTATCGAGCAAAGTATATCAGGAGGCAACCGCCGGCTACGGCAGCCTGGGCGATGGAGCTGCGCGTGGCGTCGTCCATGGCGGGCGAGCAGCAGCGATTCTCAGAAGAGAATCAGAGATGCTGCAGCAGAGGCCCAATAAAGAGGAAGAGGGGTATTACTTACTAGCAACATAAATGAGTGTTCAAACAGGCACATATAGATATGAACTCATTGAAGACATTGGGGAAAAGCTCCTCTGACGCGTCCCCGTCTCCCGGTAGGAAAAGAGTGTTGTTGGTTGTGTGTGGTCTTGAAAGATTCACACATGCAGTCAGTCGATCCGAGGTGGAGACGTGCGGACTCCTCCCTGCGCCATGCCGATCGATCACCGGTCGACGGCTTGCACTGCCCAATCGTGCTGTATGCACGCAGTCTTCACCTGTCGACTTGCGGCAACGAAGGTGCGCTGATGACAGCTATATATCGCAGACCGCGAGCAATGATGGGATAGTCGCGGGCGGCAACTCATGTTGTGGAACCAGATGTTAAGGTAGGGATCGGCTAAGCTCATCCAAAGATCGGTTCGTCTCGCGACATGTGGGTTCGCAGCTTAGGGTTAGCCGTGAGCCAGTTACCCAAGACTGTTTCGTGGCGTGTTCAAAGTTTCATGTATCAGTCACTTTGCACTCATTCTCTGTTGTCTCAAAGAGACTTATCGCTTCACTTTACCCAAAAGACTTAGCTTGTGGATTGGGTACGGGGGAGTGCTCAAACCAGTTCATAATCAAGGATGAGTAATGTGCATCTGATAGTCATAAATGCTACCCAATGCAATTAATCGCAATCAGTCGCAATCAGTCGCAATCAGTCGCAACCATACAAAAAGAAGCGACCCAAGTGGTATCAATCCAGCCATCCCTCCGCCCATGACCAAACATCATTACCTAGATGGGTAACGGCATGAAGAGTCGTGAAATGCAATGCAACGGAAACCCTGAACGTCAAGCTTGGAGCCATCTGCCCTTTCCCCTAAAGCAGCACTGAGTGTTAAGAACGTTCGTCTACACACGTTCACCAATGCAAGCAAGCATGAGTCTTCCGTAGTCGCCACTGGTCTCGCCCTTGATGCGACTGGCGAGACTCTTGTGATAGCGCTGCTGGTATGCTCCCTTGATGTTCGCCATCGCTGACTGATCCCAGTGATAACGGACCACTCTGGAGACCAGGAGGTGGTCCTTGGTGCCCAAACCAGCCATGGCGTCTTCGAGCAGGGCCGCGGCGTGCATGTACTTGTCGGTGGCATGCCGGAGCTGGTACAGAAGAGCTTCTTCCATGTGACCGCGGAACTCCTATGACATAGTTAGTTCGTCTGACCTCGGACACACTTCGCGGGTTCAATCCTTACCTTTCTGATCACATCTTCCAGTCGTCTTCTAAACTTCTGCTCGTAGGCGTGGTTGATGGCGCGTATCTGGTTGTCGTTGCGCGTAGACAGTATCGAGCATACTATCATCTCATCGGTGCCCACCTTGCCCTCGGTGGCGCGATAGAGCTCCGTAACGTCCTGATTGATTGCTTGAGGAATTACGGGCGCGCTGTCTTCGGCACGATTTGCGCCTGTGACAATAAGGAAGTGGCGCTCTGTCTTCATCGATAGGTCCCCCTTGATATCAGTCTCGAGTGGCCGGTTGAAGGTGTGCTGATACATGCCCTTGATCGCCTTCATGTCCGCATTGCTGCGTCCCAGCAACACGTCGTTCAACACCTTTTCCTTCGTTCCGGGCCCGTCCATCGCCGAGTGAAGTAGGTGTATGTCATGGAGCAAAGGGCCTCTGATAATTGCGACAAGTCCCGTCTCGAACCAGCCCCGCGTCTCGGAAAGGATGTCCTTCTCGAGAGTGCGGCTATGGTCGCGGAAGTAGGTGCTCTTGATATTTTCGATCTGTAGAGGATCTTTAGTAGCCAGCACGCGGATTAGAGTCTTCTCATCCGTGCCGATTCCTTTCATAGCACTACGCAGCGCCCGGGCATCAGGACTCGCATCCCACTGTATGATCTGTGGAGGACCGTAACCGGGACTGGGCTGGGTCGGAGGACCTCCTCCTCCTGGGGGCGCATATTGGGGAGCGCCATACTGCTGCGGTGGTGGTGCTCCATACTGTTGAGGCGGTGGTGCTCCGTACTGCTGGAGTGGCGACGCGCCGTACTGTCCCGGAGGCGGGCCGGGAGGGGGAGGAGCTCCGTACCCTTGGTGCTGACCTGGAAGCGGTGGCGGCGGCTGGTAACCACCCTGGTGAGGATAATAAGGGTTGCTTTGCGGAGGATGCTGGCCTTGGGGAGGATACGGGCTGCTTTGCTGGGGAGGATACGGGCTGTGCGGAGGTGGATAGTGACCGCCTTGCTGAGGAGGGGGATATTGGCCGCCCTGCTGAGGAGGGTACCCTTGAGGCGGATACTGTCCATGGGGAGGCGGATATTGGCCCGGAGGCGGGGACTGGTTATTACCGTACATCTGTTCGTCTGAAAGGCTCGATGCGCGACGAATGATACTAGGTGTGCGGTGGATGAGTGATGCACGGAATGCGGGGTGATGGATGTCTGTAAGCAGGGTGGATAGGTTGTAGTTAGAAAACTAGGTACGGTAGAGGAGAAGGATGAATGGATTTTGATGGATAAAACAAGCTCGCGCGAGCGATGCGAGAAGGACACGGCAGGCACTTATAATGATTGATTTAGGAATTCACTTGCCATGTGTTATCAAACTTCGCCTCGCACGGGAAACTGCGCAGCTACCCAACCTTCACGCTTGCTACGGCTGTACGGCTTAAGGTTGGTGGCGGAGCACGAAAAGACACGGGCGAACCTGTGGCGTCATCCACCATCCCACCGATGGCCCAAATGTCCACCTGTCGTGCAGTCAGCTGCTTTCCGTTGCGTGTCACAGCCCTACCTTGCAAATACCTGTCACATATTCCGTGTCCCATACGATTTGACTGATCGTACTGGGCTATTGAGAGAGGGTTCACGAATAAAGAGATTCTTTGTTTTTAGTCGCGCCACCGAAGATCGGTACTTTAGGTACTTGAGCTCATTATTCTCATGTTGATGAGAGGACAGCCTAACTCCTTCCGTTTCGTTCGAGCAGTACCGTAAAGGTAGCCGTCAACTCCAAGACAGAAGAGTGTGAGTTTACCTACATCATAATAAGTTTCAGTGACAATGCTCAAACGTAAAAGTCACTTGGCGAAGGCTGTTGTGAGACTTCCATTGGGACGAACTGCGCGATGTATTTTTTTCACAGCCACTGGAGAACATTTCAGTGTGTCCATGTTGCACGCGCGGAGGCCTCAGCCACATTTTTGGCGGCTCTTGGCTGAGTTGCTCAGCCTCATTATGCCAAGCACTTCTCCAGCACCTAGCGCCACTGCCCAGCTGCCTCGGCACGATCACCAAGGTTGCAGTTGTCTCTGTTCGATTTGATAGAGCCTCTCGATCCACGGGAAAGACGCAGATTGCTTTCTTGATGAGCGTCCGAGGTCGTTGCCTTGAAGATTGACATTGACTCAGGGGCTCACCAGTTGATTACTTTGCTGACTCGCTTCCAAGGTTCCTTGGCGGAATGGTCTTACGGCTCTCCATTATCTTTCACTGCTTACACTGTTGAGAGGGTCACGGACAGCTCCGGTCCCCAGACTTGTTGAGATAAACTGTTCGTGGTCCACATATACTGATCGTCTTGAAATATTAATGATGGTCAATCAAGAGAGACGGATTGGTAGCACAAGAATATCCACAGATGTGTGAGTCTTCTTCAGCAGCAAATTTGATTACAAGCAAGGAGACACAATACCTATCTCGATACTTCCAAATACTTATTAGGCAATGACGACAAGTTGGGTTACGAAGTTCGACTCTAAGACTCATCGATGAAAACCTCGAACATGATGGTCTACCTCTGAAGATTAACCAATCGGCACCGGCGGAAGATACTAGCGACCCTACGCATCATAGATCAGACGATACACAGTCAATCAAATGCCAGAGAAATCATTGAGGCTGCTAGGAAGCCAGATATAGAGGCCAATGAATTCAGGGCCTAGCAGCAGCTTCCAAGGATCCAGAGATGCCAAGCTTTCTCGGATGGAGCTAATGCAGGTACGAAGCGGGCGCTAGCTAGGATGCCTTACCCGAAGCGGACTGATAGTGGTGGCTGGGGAGGCAGCCTGACCAATCAACGACCCCGTAGCTCCAAGTGGGGTCAACGCCCCACCAACCAGCCACCAGTATCTGCATCACCCCGCAAGGATACCGTCAACACCCAGATTCCTGTATCACGGCCAACTCCCAACCTTCTGAATATCGTCACTTGCGGACAAGCAACCCGTGCAATATATGTTCGTGTCCGCACCAAACCAACTCTAGGTCTCTCTTTTCTTCTTCATCCTGTGGTTCGTGTCCCTCTATCGAGCTTAAGGTTCAACCACGACAATCCCCAACCTGCACAACGAGCTACCCTAGCTAGTGAAGCAAGTCTCTTCAAGAAGCTTGCCAAGATGCAGCTCAACCTCCCCGTTTCTCTGCTGTTCGCCATCTCGTCTCTATGTGGCTCCTCCTCTGCCCTGCCCTTTCTCAACTCGAGAGAAGCGCCTGTCGAGAGCCTGGCTGCTCGTACCACCTACTCAGTCATCCCTATTGATGGCAGTGGCGGGCACGGAGGCAACTCGGACTCAACCCAGACCGTCGTCGAGACAGTTGTCACAACCTCAACACCCAAGACCACGACGGTCGTCACAACTCCAACACCCAAGACCACGACAGTCGTCGATTCACCTCCCCCGGTCACTGACACAGTAGTTGTTACTGCCGCGCCTACGACGGTTTCCACTACGATCTCGGTCATTGACATTCAGCCAACGACTGATGTTATCACTACAACCGTCACGGACGAGGACGACGCTCCATCCCCGACATCAACTTCCTCCTCCATCACCACCAGCTCAGCCAACACCAGCTCAACCGCCACCAGCTCAGTAGCTACAACATCCACGTCCTCCATTCCCACGAGCTCATTCACCACCAGCTCAGTAGCTGCGACATCCACATCCTCAATTCCCACGTCGACGACCACCACGAAGTCGATGGCTACAACGACGACTTCGGAGATCCCCACTTCCACCATCACGCCGACAATCCCGACAACATCCACGATATCGTATACCGCAACCTCCAGCTCCTCAACTTCAACCACTACAACGTCTTCGGGTGTCTCGAGCACCACGACCTCCGAACAAGCGTCTACACCATCATCCTCTTCTTCGGCGAGCGCTACTTTCACAACCAGCACGATAACATCGCTTCCGATACCTACAGAAACATCGACTTCGTACGACGATGGTTTCTGGCATACTACCTACCCAGCTTGGACTGGTACTATGGCTGATTGACTCAGCCGACGATAGCTACACAATTCATATACAATGGCTGTCAGCGACTCGGATATTGTGGTTTGAGTATGAGGAAGATTGTACGATCATCTCGCCTCCGAGTCAGGGGACCCCGTACGGGGTGGGCTGGATCAGATCAGTCATACAAATTGTAATGTAATACACGACGAAGCTAGCCAAGTGGATATGAGCGCCACTCACGCGACCCAAGCGCTGGAATGCGTGGAATGTGTTCCGTTCAACGATAATGAGAGGAAGATAGATGGACTAGCACCTCTAATACCAAATAATAATCAATCACTGTCCAAACCTGACTCGCCTAACGTGATACCTACACTTTCTACGAACCATGTTAGGGTTTATCTGAACCGATTCCCACGGTGTGAAATCGTGGAAATCCATAGTCTTGCGGACCCCCGGCTCGGCGTTTATGACGACTTGAAGTCAGGTTCTCGGCTGTGGTCGACACAAAGTTGGGAAATCGTGAACTCGCAAGATTGATCGGTACTATAGCAACATATTACACACAGGGATGACTGTCTGATGGCCCCTTCGCCCGGACCCAACATGGTGATGAAGTGCTCTGGAAGATGACTATCTACTGGTCTGATTCATTTCACACCTGGGAGGAAACCCGAGGCGATGTTGATGCGGCACTTCTTCACCACCCGACCGTCGTAAATCGCGAAGCCTGGTAGTCACACGTGTCAGCTGTAGATCGGTCTCAGGCAGCGACAGGGAAGAACTTACATTGCAAATCTCTGTCCACCAACTTGATGACCATCGTGTAATGAACCTTGTAATGCCACTCGCCTACAACTACGCCCTCCTCGGTGGTCGAACGTTCAAGACGAATTAAACCCCTATCCTTCAAGAATGTGAAGTCCACTCGTATCTCTCCAACCTTCTCAGCTCCTGGTGATAGTGGTCAGTCTAGTCCAGTACGCTGTTCGTAAGGAGAACCTTACCCTTGTTGCGACCCTTATTGACGGGCCAGTGCGACAGTGTGGCGGTGTCCGAGACGTAAAGCACTTCTTCGCAGCCCAGTGTCTCAGCGTCCTGTGGAAAAGTATGGATGCAGGCGAACGGCTCGCATTGCCACACTGATTCCAACTCCGTTCCCTGAGCAGAGGTCAACCAGGTGCTCATGGAAAGCCAAGGCTTCTATTGGCTTACCCGTGGAAGAACCCAGTCAATGGTATTGACGTAGTGGAAGCCATCTACCTTGTCTCTCGTTTTCGCCGCATGAATGTGTGATGGCCAGTCCCCATGAGACTCTCTGCGAAGGATTCCGTAGCTGGCTCTCGCAAACCTTTGAGGTCCCCTTTCCTTGTTCATGGCTCGTAGTACGGCCCCCGATGCAACCGCAGTGACACTTGACGTTTTAGTGAAGTTCTCGTTCAGCAGCCCGAAGACCTACTCATGATCTCCAACAATCATCTCTATACCGTGTCCATATTCACGGGATATACCTGCTAGGCGCTCTTCGAGGTACCGGCGAAGAGACGGAGAGGCAGCAAACCCTCCGATGAGAATGACTTTCTGTGTCAAGAGGTCAGCCGTTGTGAAACAGGGGAGCCCATACAAGTACCCACGTCGACCGGCACTTCTTTCTGTCTGGCTTGCTTGATCTGGTCCTCCATGATCGACGCGATCCGTTGGAGGAGGCCCATGAAGATACCGTTCTTCAAGTCCTTGCTAGCTGCGGGTGAGTAGACGAGCCTCCTTCGATGATGGATGGGGTGGAATGGGCTCTTACGATCTAACATAGAGCGAATTGTCCATGAAGTCTTTCTCCTTGTTCTTCCGTAGACCACCGATTTCATATCTTTCATACTTCTTGTGCTTGTCGTACATGTCGAATTTGCGTTTCGTCTTGTACTCGAACTCATTGAGGACGATGTGGTCCACAATTGTGTCCAAAGTAACTTCCCCGAATTCGAGATACTTCTCGCCATCAAGCCTGCGGCGAAGCTCCTTTCGGAACGCTTGATTGAGGAAACTTGACCCACAGAGATCACCTTAAGTCGCCAGTATTAGCATGTGAACGAAGTCATCCTGTTGATAATGGACCGGTACCTCCAGGCGGGACAACCTCCTCTGTCAGCCTCAGGGGAGTTGTCTGACTAACCCTATAGGTGTTTGCGTCTACCGTGCCGCCCCCTAGCGACAGTCAGTCTGGCTGTATTCTCAAGAGGCTGAGATCACCATACCGGCGTCAAGCAGCAAGATAGTGTCTCCAGGATTGACGCTCCTATGGGCATCCAAAACGAAAGCCGCAGCGGCCTCCGGCTCGGAGACAATGAACAGGTTCTCGATACAGTCGTTCTTCGTATCAAGGCCCTTGAAGTCGGCCATTCGCATAGCGGCCGTCAGCGCAGCTTGCATGTCCCGGCAGGCCTTCTGGCTCCAGATTGCCGGCACACACAACACCAGCTCGACCTCGTAGTTGTCGTATGTTCCCTTCGCCTGCAGCTCGCTCTTCACATGGCGCAACATGCAGGCTAGATAGTCGGCAATCGCGAAATGTGGCGGATCTACAATCTCTCTTCGCCGGAGTGACCGGAGAGTCGGTTGTAGGTTGTCTCGGATGAGCTTGGTGGTCGGCGACTTGTCTAGCATTAACTTGAACAAGCTGATAGCCTTGTTCGACAGGTTGCCGATCACGACAGGATCAGTCCGCGCCTGTTGAACTCCGCAGCCCCAGTGAAACGATGCGTTGGCGATTTCGAACATGTCGATGTCAGAGTCACTGCCTGATTCGGACTGAGTAGATGCAGGATGCCCGCGAACACTGTCGTTCGCTGGGTTGGAACAAGATGCTTGTGTTTCATCATTGAGCTTCAGTCCTAGTTTTTGACGAAAGTCTCGATTATTAGGGTAAAGAAGCTCGCTTGGCACCTGGTTCTTCATCTGGCTGGTGTCATCTGGCGAGTTGAGGTCGTCTGGATAGTTGCTTATGGGAGTGATAGCGTCTCGCCCGAGAACTTGACGTTGGTTGTCTTTGGGGATTGCAGCATACGACACGCATGAGTTCGTGGTGCCGAAGTCGATGCTCACAATCAGCCTATCTGAATGAGCGTTGCTGTCCATAAACTGCAAGAGATAGTCAGACACTTTCCCGGGTTGGAACCGTGGCTGAAGAGCTTCTGGTTGAAGAGCTTCTGGTTGAAGAGCTTCTGGTTGAAGAGCTTCTGGTTGAAGAGCTTCTGGTTGAAGAGACGCCATGATTGCCGTGAAACAGATTCGCGTATATTGGTTTTCTCATGAGGTAGGTAGGTACCTTAAGGTTAGGTAGTAGGTAGGAGGGAGACTTCCCGACAACAGACGCTGTTCTACTTTACCTTCCATACCTAATTGAAGGCCCGCCTGCCTGCTCGTGCCTGCCTGCTCGTCGAATGTGACAAGTTACATGTCCTCGCCGGGAAGGAGCTCCTGCCGGTTGAGAACTGTTCAGGGGCGAGGAGCACGCTGAGCCAATCATCCTGGAGCCTCGCCACGACTGTGCAAACGGACTTGGCCAATGGGCAACTACACGCGCAGCTGAGACTGCAGGTGCAGCTATGCGGGATCATGCTTGACATACCCGTCAAGTCTCTACCTCATTGTCACCGAAGTATCGATCTTCACGGCCTTGCGCTAACAAGCAGAAGCTTGCGTTGACCAGCAGCCCTGTAGACGCCCCAGGAGCCTGAACGAACCCCTCTTGGAGGAACCTTCCCCGTGGCCTCGAACACCCGACAGCATTCACGCTGGATACATGGCAGATAACCGTTCACTGCACGCACCCCATCAATACAGCATAACAAACCCGCCACCTTTCCTTCAGGCACGGTAATGGTGAGTCACGCATATACACACGGTGATCCCCGCTTCCAACCCCGATACCACCTCGTTCTCTTGCTGAAAGTAGTGACTTTCTCGAGCGATGCCTTCTGGTCGTCATACTAAATACTGACCGCATCATGGGAAGGACAAACCACGCCCTCATTCAAACCGGTTTTTCTGGACTGACGAGCAGACCGCTGTGTTGCTTGCTTACGCTGAGAAGAATTACGATGACGTTTCCATCTTCTTGCGGGAGAGGATGGAGGCTATCACGGGCGTGGACCTAGAGACAACACAAGTCGCCAAGAAGCTGAGTAATCTCTGCTTTTAGACGGGGTCCAGGAGTGCCATTTCCCCGGTTCTACAGCGTCGGGATAAGTTGCTTGACAAAGTTACCAGAGCGCATCGGAGTCCTGGTTCAACAAATCCAAGCCCGGGATGGCATCGTGCGGCGTCCCGGCCTACCCCCATGGCAGGGTCCTGCAAAGAACAAGCGTCGTCTACAGAAACACACGAAGAGGGCTACGCCAGCTACAGCAACATTTGCGCGCTCTGTGCCAGACAGCCTACAAGATCAGACACCCTCCGTGGCACAAGACCCAAGATCGACTCAGAACCTCTGGAAAGCCGTGAAGAACCCATGACCGGTCACCCAAGCGGCAGCGAGACTGGACTACCCCGAAATCCTGAAGCTGTGTGGTTCAAGGATTTAGCACCTTCGCCAGTTACCAGACGCGAGCCATCGAGCACGATCAGCGATTTTGGCAGCCTCCGATGCACAAATAACCATGACAAAGCCAGCCCTATGGTGCTCTCGTCTAGCGCTTCATCCACCAATGAAGTAGAACCTGGCATGGGCTCGACCGGGCTGATCGCAGATCTCACGGCCGACGCCAAGGGGTCGAACCTCAGTGTACACGAGGAGGCGATAGAGAATATGCAACACAGTTCTCAACTTTTGAGATTGGAGAAGGAGTTCGAAGTCTTTCGGGGAGAGTTCAAGGAGATGCTACGCAGCCGAGAGGCCACTAGCCGCTCCCGTCTGGATATCAGTGCGATGGAGGCCCTCCGCTACGAGAACTCACTCCTCAAGCAACAACTTCAGCACGACCGAACTGCGAACAAGGATACTACACGCGCAAGATCCTCCAATTTTCTTGGGCCTGGTGCGCCCGAGATTCGAGAGGATGTTGCTGCCCTTGATGATGACATCGCTGTCGCTTGTGCTGCTCCCTGGGACGCCGACGTCCCATTTACCGCGATGCTCGAACAATTACACAGTCTTCCTGACTTGCAGCCACTGCTCAAAAGAGTGCTCGGCATTAACGCGTTGGACATGACTGGGTTTCGGGACTGGGCGTCGACATACGGGGCATCGAAGCTCCAGGTCAAGCGGTCTCTCGCGGCGGCATTCCTTTCCACTTCAGTCTTCGAGGCAGCGTCTTTCAGTGCACTTCCAACGGCAGCATCGCAGCTGGACGAGTACAGAGAAGAGATCATGGCAAGTTGTGAGTCACAGTCTTCGTCTGCCACGTTGTGGGAATATCGGCTGACGGTATACCTATAATGAAGATGGTGCGGAGGAACTTCGTTGGCTGGACCTAAGGGCTCATAAGTCTTGGCTGTCCAGTAAAGGCTTTGAAGTCAACATACTCAAGACGCTGGCTTCGCGACATGCTTATGAGCTTGTGAAGCTGCTTGTACAACTCCGAGAGCATGATCCGTACGCACCCTCTTCCCTGGTGCCGGGTGCCCCTTAGAGGGACAACATTTGCTGACTCCCATGATCGCAGTCACGACCTCGAGAAGTCTTTCCAGTCTATCTTCGAAAAAGCCCTCCGTCTCAAAGGGCAGCTTGAATTATCCAACAAGCGATACAAGCTCGTCTTCCCTCCACCAGGAAGCAGCTTCGAGCCGCAGGCAATGAAGAGAGACGGCTCGGGCTACCATGCCAATAACAATGGCGTGCAAGGAGAGCAGGGTGGCCAGGGGATCATGGACTACGGACAACACAAAGTCAAGCTCTGCCTGTTCCCTGCCATTTTCTCCTACGACAGACCGGTGCCCCATCGGCACCTGCACCCGAGGATTGACGTGGACGAGTGTGTGCTCGAACGGACGAACTTCTTCATAGACGACGCCGCGTTTGGTGGAGAGATCGCCACTGTGGTTACCAAGGCGGTCGTCTTGGTTTAGTTCAAAGGGAATGGCTTCAGTGTGCGCGCAGGTTGACCCTTGATGTACCTACTTCGCCCTGCTTTACTATGCTCGAATCCAAAGTAGTGACCACACCCAGGCATGGGTCCTAGATACTTAGCTGGCTACAACATCCGAAGCGCGAACCATTTGACCGAAGAAGCAACTTTATTCTGATCTATACCCATCCTGCATCAAGCAGGAAGCCCAACTGTAAGACGGACGCCCCCGGCTCCCCTATTCGCCACGTGCAACTCAGATCCCACCCCTTGTTCCCGAACCTCAACAACATCGAAACTCGTCGGCTGCTTCTCCCAACTAAACACCCTGTGACGCCTATCCCTGCTATCCACCGTACCACCATCCGCACCTCCTCCCCTCTCCCTCTCCCCCTTCCTCTCTCCCTCCCTCTCTCCCTCCCTCTCTCCCTCCCTCTCTCCCTCCCTCTCTCCCTCCCTCTCTCCCTCCCTCTCTCCCTCCCTCTCTCCCTCCCTCTCTCCCTCCCTCTCTCCCTCCCTCTCTCCCTCCCTCTCTCCCTCCCTCTCTCCCTCCCTCTCCCTCTGCCCCTGCAGCAGTCCCTGCCCATTACCGTGGGCATCAGCCCCCCTATCCAGCGCAAAAGTCCGAATCTCCGCCTGCGCCTGTTGCATGCCTCTTCTTTGCCTTTTAAAGTGCCGCCGCAAACAGAAATAGCCAACGGCACTGCCAAGCAGCAGCACGAGCATGATGCAGACCGCCGCGATCAGCAGGCCGCCGGACCCGGAGCCGGACTTCGACGATGCGGAGACGGGCACGCCGACCGCTGCTGTTGATTTGACGGCGCTGTCTTCTGCCTGTCGCCGGACGTGGTGGGCGTCTGGGGTGGAGGACATGGCGCTGGCGCTGGCGGCGCGTGGGACCGCGATTGGGGCTGGGTCTGGTTCTGGTTCTGGTTCTGGTTCTGGGTTGAGGTCTGGGTCTGTCGGGTATAGACGTCGGGCTCGGTTTCGAAAGAGGTTGTGGGGTGGGTTCATTGGGTCCCGTCGGCATGTAAAAGACTGGGAATTGCGTCGCCTGTGTTCTGGAGATGTGTCGATTGGTGTTGGGAGATGTCAGTCGTCGGGGGAAATACGGGGTTCTCGAAGATGAGATAACCGGGTCAGCATGCGGCTTCTTTGAACGAGATCAATCTTTCTTGACCTGTCTCACTCGTGGTCGGAATTGGCAGATATATGATTTCGATATCTCTTTGTTATGTTGTCGAGAGTTAAGATCCTTTGTCAGCAGCTCCAGGAGCTCGTCTAAGACAACATGGCTTCTTTTCTAGATCTTCTCTCGCTGACCAGACTGTCTGTAGTTTGGTTGCCTGGTAACTGGCACCCTGGTTCGAGTTGACTCCTGAAGCCTCAGCGCCAAGCGACACGGCAGTTTCTGGCTCCGGTTGAGCGTTAATATCTCTGACCTTGACTGATCCTCTCATAAGACACCGGCCAAAACAAACAGACGGCAGCCGGGAATGGGGGATTGAGCAACAACAACAACAACAACAACAGCAAAAAGGGGGGGAAAAAGGATTGGACGAGCAGGGGTTTGAACCCTGGACTTCTCGCAAGCTTGACGATGATGCAAAGCGAGCACTCTGCCACTGAGCTACACGCCCTTTGTTAAGACAAACTGACGTTGACACTGCTGTTAACCGAGAAACACAAACAACATGATGCGAGCTGGAAGACAACGACCTTGAAATTCGGAGCCGTGGACGCAGGGAAGCGGAGCGCCGTAAGTACCTCGCTCTCTTCAGGTATACTTATCTACAAGTCAAGAAAAGCTTTCCCTCTTTCGGTAGCTGCCTGTTGCCGCATCATACCTTCCCGTCAACAACCTTGTAGACTGCGCTCCCATTCATTGGCCGACTGACAACGATGGCTGCCTCCATCTCCTTGGCACTGAATTTCCTCTTGGAGTAGTACTTCTCTACCAGCGCCTTCCTGATGTCTTCCACCTTGTCAGCAGGCACCAAGTGTACGCTGCAGCCTCCCCAGCCGGCGCCAGTCAAGCGGCTACCGTAGCCACCGGCCTCCCGGGCGATCGTGCACATTTCGTCAATCTCGGGACAACTGCACTCGTAAAGCTCCCGGCACGAGTCTTGTGTTTCGTTCATTAGCTTTCCAAGCTTGGCGTTGAACTCGACCGTGTTGTCAGATGAAGGAGCCTGTGATGTGTCTTCTAGAAGAGACAGGAACTGCAGGACGCGCAGAGCTTCTGTGAAGACATGTAGCGCCCGTTGGCGAAGCTTGAAGCGTTCGCCTCGCACGGGAAAACTTGACATGAAACGGGCTATCACTTCATCAGTTGTGATGCCGATGCCAGAGGCTACTTCTTCAGTTGTATATCCTTCCTCCTGAGTCAAAGTTGACTTGGTCAACTCGATCAATTTTGTGAGCTGCCCAGGCATTGACTTCTTGGTGTCTTTGAAGTAATTCTCGTGAAAGCCACGTATCGAAACTCCCAGAGGCCCAGCGTCTTTGGGGAGTTCAGTCCCTGACGGGCAGAGTTTGGCATTCAGATATGCAGCTGCCATGCTGCATTCGACAACGCGGAGGTTGTAGTGAATCGGTCCAGTAACTTGCTTGTTCGAGGTAACGTAGGATTGCGCGACCATGAAGCACAGTTCGGGATCCGTCTTTGGAAAGAAGACTGGTCGTGCGGACAGAGATGGAACGAAGGAGACCAGCAGTGCTGAGCCCTTTTCCGAGAAGATCGAGGCCGACTGGTCCATACTGTAGCTGTATCAGTACAAGCCGGCTTGAATACAAGGGGAGGGAGGACCTCACCCTCCAGAGTTAACACCCACAGCTCGCTCGCTCACGATAGCAACCTCGGTCAAGTCTTTCTTGTCCACGTCCTTCTCTCCGTTCGCGATCATGACAGCGAGAGCGCTGGCACTCACAAAGGCGGCGCTCGAACTGAGGCCACCACCAGCCGGGACGGTCCCGTCCATCAGTACCTGCATGCTCTTCGGCTTGAAATCGTCACCATGTTTCTTCCTCAACAATTGCAGCGCTCCCCTCAATCCCGCCTTGAAGTAGTTTGTCCACTCATGCTGTGTCGCATCGATCTCGACCTCGGAGAAGGGAACGTCGAATTCGCGGGTCGCGAAGCGCTGTTCGTCGGTGTTTGCGAGCTTGAGCTTGTAGGTGCCGTCTTGGGATGGCTCGCGGTCAGTGGAGACGGCGAGGATGACATCGTGGGTCATGCCCATGGGCAGGCACGAGTACAGGGAGTAGTCGATGTGCTCGCCGATTATGTTCACGCGACCCGGCGATCGCGACACGAACTGCGCCGGTCGGCCATAGGTAGCCTGGAACTTCTCAAGCAGCTTGTTCCACCGTACCCCTTGGTCACCAAGGGACTGCTTCGTGTAGATGTCCTGCAGAGCATTGACTGTAGGTACGGAGCCCGACATCCTCGGCTTGATGGAGGTTGAAAATGGGAGGGAAGCTCCTGTGCTTGTGATTGCCCCGCCTCGCCAGTCGAGCTCCCCCGCAATTGCTCGGTTCGTAGAGTTTGGCTTATGTCGTCCCGACAGGTTCGAGATGAATCAAAATGAGGATGTAGTCCGAGAACAACGAGGGCGTTCGATATATAGAAGACAGGTCAAGCTTGTTATTTGGAGAAATTGAGGACGCAAAAGGATGATTGAAATCGCAACCCGCGAGGAACCTTCACATTTCAAGGTGACACTTTCGTCATACCCCGGACCTGCCTTCCTCAGCTAGTTTGACGCAGGTAGAATGGGGAGAATGGGGACCCCGCGGCCAACTGCGCCGAGCATTTCGCCGTCGCAGCAAACTTGATTCCATTGGAATTCAGCGCTCTCCGGGGTAAGGAGCTAAGAGCTAAACCAGTTGGTACAAAACCTCTACTGGTGACTGCGCATTGATACAAGTCCGACGAATGCAAGTTCTAGCTTGAAGCCCGAGCCCAGGTTCAGTCATCGGGTCAGACATACCCGAAAGGGCCAATCCAGGTCGTCGACAAAATGCGAGCCGGATGACACCAGCTGGCAGGTCTGATACTCTTGCCCCTGAGCAGAGGCCGCCCGTTATTGCGAGTCGGTAAGGCAAGACAACGACCTCTTTGATGCATTCCTTCCTATGATATAGCAGAATCATCTTCAAGATGTTGAAAGCCTGTCTTCAGGCACGAAAGCTCTATTCTATGTCCACTCGAGGCAGCGAAACACCTGAACCCCTGAACCTGTCCGCCGCCCCCAAACATGAAGCATGTATAACCCTGATCTGAGATCCGATAGAGAGTATTGAGCTGGCGTCCATTGTTCTTTCCAGGAGCCAATTTCCCACTTCATCACGTTGCTCGCGGTATGCGGCCCTTTGTGTGCTGATCATGGCAAGCCCCTTTGTTCCGCTTTGTTCGCACAGATAGGTCATTGACCCCGAGGCCGTCGTTCCTTCTTGTCTCTGTCCAGATTTTCAATACTTCATACGGAAGCCAGATCAAGATGCTTGAAATACCATCGAGCCCTACTATTCTTGGCCACCGACGGTGAAACAACACCTAGATACAAACATTACTACACTAGAACGACACGAAAAAAACCACCTAGAACTTTATCCGACTTATACCGACAAATATGCGATTGTCCTCCATAATAACACTACTCGCAGCAGCCGCTGGCGGCAGTGCGTGGCAGAACTCGTTGGCCTACGAGTTCGAAACACACAACTGCAAGGGCGGGTTGACCGGCGCACACCTATCCATGAAGTATTGGAAAATCCCCAGTATGTCAACAGCCCCCTGCCTCAACATCAGCCTTATTCTGAATACCACGCAGACCAGACCACAGGGCTAACGACCGGCCGGTAACAGTGAAGAACGCGTCCAACAGCGTGGTCACGTATACAGTCAACAAGGGCGTCTTCCGGTGGTACGCGTACTCGGCCACCACGGAGGACGGGCACGACTGCTACGGCGACGTCGTGGGGAAGCTCCAGGAAGGCTGCAACGACCTGGACAAGTTTGTGAGCAAGGGGGGCCAGAGGATAAAGTGCATCATGTGGTGCAATAGCTGGGCGAGTAAGGACAAGAAGTACTCGTGCGCGGCGATCGGCCAGGAGTGATCAGGGGGCATTGGGGGGCTGCCTCTCTGTTGTATGGACATCAAAAGCTATTCTATATCGATATTGATTGTTTGCCAAGTTCTGCCATCATGGTCGTTTGTCTTGAGTCTGTTTGCTGCACAAAGTAATAAGAAGTCTTCCCTGCTCCCCAACAAGCCCTGGTACGAATGCAGTCAACAGAGCTGTCACTAGTACCTGTGCATATTGGTATGCGGGGAATTATCATTTCCTAGAATCATAGCTGTGCGCCTCGCGGGAGCATGAGCTATATTTGCGTCGATTATAATATAATTGTCGTGTCGCAACGTTGTTGCCATCCTACCCCTTGGGTAGATGCGTCCGGGAGTTACCTACCTACGGACGCCACAAAATTGCTCATTAACAACAGAATCGGACGTCTCCGATCGCGGCAGGACGTAGCCAGATTCTGGCTGAGATTCACGTGCTGTTGACGATCCTAGATCCTAGTGGCTGCGAGAGATTGGAACAGCGTCGGTTTTGAGTTCAAGCCTCGCAGCCGAGATCTGTCAACAGAAGCCGAGGGAAGGAGCTCAAACTCTACAAAGCTCGAGGTCATCCCCGTTGGACCCGACTCTTGATCTGGCTTCTTTCCTTCCTCCCCTTCTTACCAAACCATCCAAAACACCAAACCTTTCGACCACCATCAACATCGCCAACTCGCTCATCACAAGATCCCACCCCACCTCTACCCACCACCAACACAATCAATCAACCAACAACACACTCCTACTCCCTCACCAAATCATCCAAAATGGGTAACTGTGGCTGCTCAACTTCCAACGTCTGCAACTGCGGATCCAACTGCGGCTGCGATTCGTGCCCCGTAAGCATTTCCCGTCCCCTCCGCACCGCGTCTCTCCTTCCACTGACACAGATCGATGACAGCACAAATAAATTTCATACCTCCACGAAAGCACCCATCATCACCAACGAGTCCGCTTCTCGGCTAAAAGTCCTCACGACGGATGTCGGCTTCCACCATGGACGCCAGCAGGGCTTGTGAGGAGGAACTGTAGACGTTGGTGGTCATGGTGATGGAGATGGGTAGTTGATTCTCTCGGGTTGGAAGGTGGACAGGAAATAGGACAGAGAAAAGCACAAATAAAGCTACTAGTCCACCCAGCCTCGCAGAAAATGACGTCCTTATATATGAATGACCATTGCTATTTTTCTTGTAGGTGAATGGCGGACTTGTATGTGCAAGCACTGGCCAGAATTTGGTTTGGCAACTGTGATGATCAAGTTGTCGATATGTCCATTTCATGGTACGATGGTAGTAGACATAATCTTATTGCCGACTATGAGCAAGAAACCGCATGCGCCTTGGGGGTGATATGTACATGGAATTGCCGAATGAGAATATGTTCCCCAGTACTCCAAATATGATGCGACATGGAATGAACGGCAATCACTTTTCGTCCTCCACCTCCGCCACCACCACTCATGACCCTTTTTGGACCTCATATCTTTTTGAATGCCCAATGGAATTCCGAAAACAAGAACGCTTACCCACCATGCAACCCAACCCGCATAAAAACCGATCAGCTGTGTAAACCACTCGTCCTTGAGCGCATCAACTCTCTGCGCTTCTTGTCCACCTCTGGATCCCAGACCAAGAACTCATGTAAACCTGAGCCGCCAGGCACCATAGGCAGTACAGGAACCTTCTTGTCGGTCATGACTTCAAGGAGAGCAGGGCCATCACTGTTGATCAGCCACTCAAGGTACTCGGTGGTATCCTCAGGCTTGATCAGTCTGCGGTGCTGAACGCCCATGGCATCAGCCAATTTCATGAAGTCGGGGTTCTTCTGGTGAGTATGCGCATAGCGGTCCTCGTAGAAGAGGTTCTGCCATTGCGTAACCATTCCTTGTTCCTCGTTGTTCAGGACGATAACCTTGACGCCAATGTTGAACTGGGCCGCAGTGGAGAGCTCGGTAAGGGTCATGTTGAAGGAAGCGTCACCATCGATGTCGACGACGAGGGCATCTGGTCGAGCAACCTTGGCACCGATAGCGGCGGGAAGACCGAAGCCCATTGTGCCAAGACCCCCAGACGTGATCATGGTGCGAGGATGCCGCCATCTGAAGTGCTGCGCAGTCCACATTTGATGTTGGCCCACGCCGGTTGCGATAATGGTGTCCTCCTTTCGGTCGGCGGTAAGGTTGCTAAGCTCCTCTATTAGAACCTGGGGCTTGATCATGCCCGGTCTCTCGGTGCGCTCAAAGAAGTTCATGGGCCACTTCTCCTTCCACGACTTGATCTTGTCAAACCACTCCTTTCGATCCGCCATGCTGGTCCTATTAACGGAAGGCATAAGCTGCTGCAGATTTCGAGCCACATCACCCTCAACAGCCTCGGTCGCTTGCACCACCTTGTTGATGTTCTTCGGCATGACCTCGAAATGAACAATGCCACCGCGACCTTCCAAAGCAGCGGCCTTGGCGGCGGGGGCAAACTTGTTGATGTTTAGAGTCACTCGGTCATCGAAACGGGCACCCAGGGCGATGATGAGATCAGCTTCTTGCATGGCCATATTAGCAAAGGCAGAGCCGTGCATTCCAAGCATGTAGAGAGATTTTTCATCAAGCTCGTCGAAAGCGCCGAGGCCATGAAGAGTAGTTGTGACAGGTATCGAAGCCTTGTCCGCAAGCTCTCTGAGGAGCTTCGATCCTCCCTCTGATGATATAATACCTTGTCCAGCGTAGATGACAGGCTTCTCAGCCTTATTGATGAGCTCGGCAACGCGGACGATGGAAGCTTGCGACTGTTTCTGAGTGGCCTCTGCCGCCGCACGCGAAGCAGCGCTAGGCATGCCTGGCAATGTCGATGTTGTGGGAATGGCCTTCCTTAGGACGGCAGCGGTGACATCCTTGGGGAGATCAACAAGTACAGGTCCTGGTCGTCCACTGGTTGCGATCTCGAAGGCTTCGTTAATCCTGCGAGGCAACTCGGCGACGTTCTTGACCATGACGTTCCACTTAGTGCATGCTCTTGAGATACCAATAACATCAGCCTCCTGGAAAGCATCGCTGCCAATGGCGGTCGTCGGCACCTGACCACAGAAGACAACCATAGGGGTTCCATCAGACAGGGCGTCCTGCATCGGAGTAATGACGTTCGTAGCACCAGGGCCGGATGTGACTAATACGACGCCAGGCTTGCCAGAGGCTCTCGCGTAACCCTCAGCCATGTGTCCAGCGCCCTGCTCGTGCTTTGGGAGGATGAAATCGAAATGTTTTGAGTTGTAAATAGCGTCGTATACTGGAAGAATGGCTCCACCAGGGTAGCCGACTGTGAGTCATGTTAGATATATACTATGCGCCGAAGTGCACCACCGCAAAAGGGGACGTACAAATGTGCTTGACACCTCTCCGCAGCATCATTTCGTGGAAGATTTCTCCTCCCGTCTTGCCAATGAACCTGCATATGCGTTAGTCGAAGCTCTTCTTAAGTGTTGTTCGAGAATACAGGGGGACATACGACTCGTCCATTTCTGGCGACCGAGGGTTGACCAATGGTTGCACATGGCCTCGTTCTTTGGTGGCGGCAGTGTTGAAGTTGGGAGCAGGCGCAGCTCTGATCTGACTGCATAGTTCGACATGTTAGCAGCCAATCCCCCATATCACGCGACCTATATGTGGGTGGTGGACGTACGGTGTCGACTGGGCGGCAGTGGTCTGATTCCTCACGGTTGCCGGGCCTTTCTTGGTGGTCTGTATGGCAGTGGGTGCGGGCGAAGCAGTAAAGGAGCGTTGCTGCTGTCGCGACGTCTGGGCCAAGGCCCTTACGGCCTTGGTTGCTTGTCTGGTTCGGAGCATGGTGGACAAAGTGAGGGGAGATTTCCGAGAAGCAGTGAAAGAGCAGAGTTGAAGCGCCAAAGTGAATCAGGGAAAGGCGACAATAGGGAGCTGTTCGCAGCTTATACTCCTTGCGGGTTCAGTCCTCCTCCAAGTACGACCTTCCAGCGAGTCTGGCGAGCGGTCGAGTATCGGTTAATTGTGCCACGATAGTTGCAGTCGAAGTTGTGACACGGAGGTGTGTCGAGAGAGGAACTGGAAAAGAGAGCGACAACGGAAGGCAAAAAACGGTCACGGCCGCGAAAGGATTGTGGGGTTGTCGTGGTTGGTCAATTGGGGCGCACCCCCCTGGCACCTGCCGCCGAGGTTCTGGCCCGTGCAGCTATCTCACTGCATTCTACAGTAACGTTAACGGCATGTTTCCCTGTGATCCAGTCGGCCAGTGACTCGCTCGCTGAAGCTCAGACCATTTCCAATTGGATTGCACGCCCGACCGGCGTGGGACCGAAAATTCTTCGGCTGGTTACCTATTGGGCGCTAGTTGTCTCATCCACAACCCCTGTAGGGCTCAGCTCGTACATGATGGCTCTCGTCCACCTCATCTTCGTCCCATCCTATTCTCAGCCCGTGATACAGTTCAAGCGGTCCGAAGATTTGTTTGAGTTTTCTAGAACATCCTTTGAAAAATATGCAAAACCCCGGCCAGTGAGACAACCAGCACAACAGATCGGATTATACATGGCGTGAGGCATACTGGTCGAAGCTAACAAGGTCGCCGTCTTTTCAGAGTATCCAACGTCTTGAGGCGAATTTGCCACTTGGACGGACTGACCGGTCCGGACGCAAGCAAGGTGCCGAGGATGAGGTGCCAACATCTACGGAATAAAGTTGACAGTTGGAACAGAAATATCGCCTTATGCTCAGAGCATTGCACCGGCCAGAGCATTTTGTGCGAGTTTCTTCTGCAAGCGCACCGATATTCATCCTAGCTTGGTGTCTCTACAGCATGTTGTGTCCACCGACGTGTTTCGCACTTCGGTGGTGACTGGCATTGCAACAACGAATGAACGTCGAACATCTGCCTCTTACAGGCCATCAAACTTGTTACAGGGGAGGTTTTTGGCAATTGGTGCCGAGCTCGAGTATGCCTCGTGATAATCGAGACCAATTTCAAAGATGTTCAGCCATCATTCAAGAGCGGTGAGCAATGGGCCTCACTCCGATACACATCATAGCAACGCGTCCGCACCATCAAGTTGAAGGTATACAGATCTTGGTCACATGCAGCCCCTGTTTGAACATCTCAGCAATGACAGCTGCTTCAGTACTCAGCAAGAGACTGATGTGGCGTCCCATTCAGACCAGGAGCCCCCTTTCTCCCCATCAACGCCCTCTCAACTCCTCCAGTCTCTTCAGCGTGTCCAACATGCACTTCTTCATATCATCCTTGAGTGCCGTATACGACTTTCGCATATTGAACAGCCTCTCTAAACAGATCGTAAACCCGGGACGTTGACTTGAGAAATACGTTACCATGCCGGTAACGCAGCCGATGCTGCCTGCGTGCCTTGTCGGCAGTAAAAAGTCCCTGCTACCGCCATATACGTAGAAATATTGCGGCTCGAACTTGGAAGTAAGCAGCATGAGCTTCACCACGTTACCACATGTCAGTTTCGTGTTCACGATTCGGGTACGCAACTAGAGCTAAGAGCTGGTCTAAATTGAGGTCGATACCCGATGTTACACCAAGGAACTAGACTAAACGCAAGATCAATACTTTTGGAAGTTTTACATATGCTCAACCAGATTCTAGCAACTCTCATCATAACGGAATTGGGCTCACATCCGCCACATCCCTGAAATAGCCCACGAGCGCGTCACTACTCGCCCCAGCCTGCGCTGTGAGAATCTTTAACGTACATCTCGGGATCAGCTTCTGAGTCCTGTAGCTCGACTGCGGCACGACTCACGAGACACGTGGTCTCGCTCGTGATCGCGCCGGATTCGCGGGCCAGTACACGGCCATGCTGCTGGGGAACACCACGACGGTATCTGGGGAGGCGGAGGCGGGCGCGGGCGGCTCGACCATGTCGGTTATGGTGAGCTGCAGTGTTGGCAAGAAGGGATGAGGGCTGTGGTCAGGGCTTGGCCGATGAAGCCGGCGCTGCTTATAGTCCAACTGACTCCCAGTAGGACAGGCTTTGAAGACCACGACACACACTCCAGACTCCAGTCAACGATCTCAACCTTCAATATGAAGCAAGCCGACTCGCATTATGAGCGCATAGGCAATCTTCCTTCCCCAAAGTCATCATCGTCATCGCATGCTGAACAGAATCCCAAACGGGCAACTCCGGCTGGTTGGCCCAATCACAAGGCTCTGTCTCCGCATTGGCAGGACCCCTATTTTCGCATTTTGCGGGGTCCAAGATATGTGCAAATGCGGTGGTGGGGTAGATACATATAACCCAGATCGTTCTTTTGGATCATTGATGAGTACTTTAGCCGGAAACGATTTATTTTATTATTAAGCTCTTCGACCGGAAGGGAGGAGCCAAACCCAAATACACCGAAAGACGGGAACCCACCTTCGTGTCCCTAACCATCTGACAAAGACCAGCTTGATCACAAATTGAAGCAATAAAACAAGGTGGGCGGTCTTCCTCCTTAAATAAGGATGAGCAAAATACATGTTATCCACGAGAGGCCTTCCTCACTGGGCTCAGCCGTTTTGATCATGATCATGACGGCTCCATTGTCTGGCACAGTCTAACCTGGCACAAGACATGCGTACCTAACGGCATGGAGTGGGACACTGCTCAAAAAAAATTAAATTTTTAACCCAGGCATAAGACACCAAGTATTGCAATTTACCCCTTTCCTACCTACTATAGTATCTCATAAGTATCTTGCCTTGAAAAGCACCTCAGCCAAGCATGTTGAATACTTGTACTCCTTGACTTCACGACATGCAGAATCGTGGCGGAGCTTCGTAAAGAACGGAACCTGCACTTTGTATTCCATGACGCCGATCTTTAAGAATACCAGCAAAGCACACTTATTCCTCGAGGTTCCCAGCTTCTGGACCTACGTCAGTCGCGTTTTGGATACATCCCTGACCTCCCCTTCGCAGCCAGAGAGCAATCTTCAGCTCGTGTCGTCGATATATGTGCAGGAGACAAGGATTTCCTGAAGAAATCTGCTTCAAACTGGAACTATATGACCCGCTCTGTGCCATTTTACCATACTTACATCCTAGGAAGATGAGTAGCTCATGAGAAGTTTGGCTCTTTTCACCGTCCCTCTCTAATTCCGACTTGAATGGTCTAGGCCATCCAACCACTGGACACTCGACCCTACCAACTCAAGAAGCCAGTTCGAGTCCTCGAGCATGACGATTACGCATCCTGATGAATATGGGCCAGAATTAACCTTACACAACCAACATCAAATTGTTTAAGCTCGATGTCAAGATCGTTATACATCTGAGAAAAATAAAGATAAAGATGAGACTCGTGTAGTCGTCTGACAGAAAGTGCCCGCAACTCGACTGTACCGGCATTCGGGTTCTCAAAGACGGCGGGGCCCTACGCCTAGACAGCTCTTCCGGCAACAGCTAAAAGTCAAGGTTGAGCACGACGAGCACTAGGGTCATTCTGTCAGAATACCTGCCCAGTGGCTTGTCTAGCTTGAGCACGTGTATGTGTTATGATTTATCTTATGGGATCACTTGACTGGGTAGCTGTCAGTAGCTTCGTGTTCCCAACCCAGCAGAGTGGGAGACGGTGTCGATGTTGTGGAACCAATTCAGGCTCTGCCGCAACCTTGAGCATGTGATCGGTTTTTTTGGTTTATCTTTTGGTGGCTCATGGCTGAACACTGTTCGCCTTCTCCCCAAACCTCAACGCCAATGGTGCCAGTGAAACCTTCGTCTGCTTCGCAGCGCCAGAGGTCGCTTTCGCGCCTATTTAAGTAGGATGGTTCACCCATGGATCAGCTATCTTTCTTCCCTTCCAATATAGACAATTCCGAAATCAAGATTTGCACCCAATCCCACACCAAACCCCACACAACCCAGCTTCGAGACCAAAACTTCACCATGCGCTCCACCATCATCGCAGCTGCTCTGCTTGCAGTCATCCCTACAGTTCTAGGGGGGTTGCATTGCCAACCCAGACAAATCGACTCCTTCCCATACCCCCCGAGTATCGAGGCAGTGAAGCGCGAGATGCACACCTGCATTGACCGCATGAAAATAGGTACCGGAACTGATAAAGGGTGGAAGGAGGACTGGTGGCAATGCGTCTACTACGGCTTTTTGTTGACCGGCTACGCCTGGAGGAATTCTAAACACTGCTGGCAGGCCTGCGCGCCATGCCTTCATGATGCCGTCGACAACGGCTATGCAGTGGCCAACTGCGAGAAGCACGAACGTATGGCTCGATGCTATTTCAAGTACAATCCGTGGGACGAGCCTGTTGCCGCGGCGAACAACTCGACGGATGAGCTCACGGCAGAGTCCTGAGGTCAGAGGCGCCCCTATCTACAGGGCGTGACCCCACTATCTCGGGGGGCGTGGCACAGGAGGGTTATCAAGGTGTGGTGGCACTGTTGAGGTCAGAGGGCGTGGCAACCATCAGATGTTGGAAGAATCACTCAGGTTTAAACTTGGTGATGACCTCAGTTTGAGAGGGCGTGTCAGAATACCTGCTCAGTGGCTTATCCAGCGTGAGCACATATATGTGTCATCCTGTGGGATCACCTTCACTTTCCCACTTATCCCCACCAGCTATCCTTCTTCCCTTCCAATACAGACCATACTGAACTCCCACAGACTCGGAGATCCTACATCGCCACCTTCTTGCCTGCATCGTTTCGTGGCAGTATCGAGGCCCATGCCTCAAAGTTCGAGGCCGAATCTCGCCAAGATAGCCCCTCAGCACATGCGAGAACGCCAGAGTCAGGCACGGCATACGCATCGAACCTATGCCGCTCTGTATCTTCGTCTCGGTCTGGCCAGCGAGCTAGTGCGGAAAGTACTCAGGTCCGGGCCCCGCTCTAGGCTGTTCCATGGGTTCTTCGGCACCGTCAAGGGAGCGTGCTAGGGTAGCGCTCTGATGTTGACTCGCAGACTGAATACAACGTCAGTACATGCGGGAATGGGATGAAAGATATGATGCCATAGTTATATACAGCTGAGGCTCCTCATGCCATCATGATTTTCATCGAAATGAGCCCCATAGTCAGAAATAAGGCGGTAAAAGCCAGAGCAAACTGTCCAATTCCCATGCCCCCTTGTGTATCCTGCTTGACAGAACTCCAGGGCATAGTTACGGCCAAGATGATGACCATAACAACAGTCAGAAAGTACGCCACCGCCTCCTCGTTCAACTCTTCGACTATGTAGATGCCCCAGCCATATAGCAGAGCGGTGTCATGATCGAGTGGCCCTCGACAAATCAGCTTCTTCCCAACCTTCTTGGGCAGTCGCATGACCGATTTCTGTCCTATGTGATCTCCAGGATCGATGAAGGAGTGCATAAAGAGGTGGGATTGTATGGGGACACTGCCTATAGACGGAGGACATGGAGAGAAGGCATATTCTCCTGCCATAACATCTTTGATGGAAGGGATAGAGATCTTCTCGTAGTTTCCTACACCGGCCCCTGTTTTCCGTCTGTTGATAAGATCGAACTGTGGAGTTCAGTTTCACGCGACGCCAATGTTGGGAAGGGAAGACAGGGGCTAGCTCACCTTGACGTATTCGACGCTTTTGGGTACGACGAAGAGATTTTTCCTGAAGGTACCTCGCATGTCATCGTAAGTAGCTCTGATGCGCCTATACATCACTCCGTCGCTTCCGATATATGTCAGGTCAATATGGGCGAGCTTGATCTGGTGCAGTCCTGTGTTGACGCACAGCAAAAGGTGTTTCTTGGTCCCTGGTGCTATGTTCGGGATACCGACTGGCTGAGAGGGCTGGACGGCAGATGTAGTTTCTTCGGGCGAATTGCTTGAAGCGGCTGTGCTTGACCACGATCTTGGGTTTGCAGGAGAGTCATCAGATCCGCTGTCTGAGGTACTGGAAGTCACAGAGATAGAGCCTGGCGATCCTGGAGCTTCTTGAGCGAATGCTATTGCAGCTTCATTCCGCCCTTCGGGTACGTCCAAATGAACACTTTTACCACATCTCTGCGAAGATCAGTCAGCAAGAGGTGCAGGGAATGATGACAAAACATGCGCAGCTCCATGAGACTCTTATTGCACCCGTAGGTATTCTAGAGAATACGAAGCTTCTCCTAGCCCTCGAGAGTCGTAGTTTGAGGGCCGGCAGCATGTGGGAAAGGGAGTGCGACCCTTGCAAGGTCATCAAAGCAGGTTTCTGGTCGTTTTGCACTATGTCGGAAGTCTGTCCTGTCGGGATCGATATGTTGTACCTGTTTCGGGCGTGTACCTCACTTGACGAAGCCGGATCTTCGTCTGCTTCTCCATGCATGCGTGGAACCTTCTCACCATGATATCCTCTTGCGTGTATTCAAAGGGCCGAACCCAGTCTCTTTCTCTCCAGATCAGGAAAGGGAAACCCCGGCGGGAATCAATATGTGTTACGGTATTACATAATACCTCCACATATTTATGTACATATATACCCCTAGCTTCCCCGTTCTCTTCCGACCTTGCCTCTTCTTCCTTAGATATCGTTGAATCTAGATATTTCAACCCATCAGCCCTGACCAGCGCAGTGCAGGCCTGATTGTCACAATATGGACTTCTTTTTTGGGCAAACCGACTCATGACACGAAAGCACAGCGCTAGCTGATCAGCCATCATGTACATAAATATCATAAGCATGGGGAAATGTTGAATAATTTGTGTAGGAGCAGGATCAGAAAGCAACAATATCAAAGCTGTCGGGAGTAAGACCATCACCGAAGCGATCATTAGTTCGCTATTGGGAATTAAATCCGATGTCGTCTGGTAGTCGCGTAGATGCTTACAGCTTCAAGTCCTTCCAGGTCCTGCGCAAAAGAACGAGGCACGATACACGAAACAATGCCAGTAATCTACCTATAGTCAGCCTAGTTACCAAGGATCTGGCAAGTGGATATTCCTACAAGGTATGCAAAAGAAGATATGGTCTGACGACCGAGTTAATGAGAGCGTAAATCATCATCCAGGCCAAGGGCGATTCTATGGCGGATCTTAGCTGAGACCAAAGATTGACGCGCGTGGCGGACGAAAAGTAACCCAGTCGTGGCGACATGTTGCCACTACGACAGCCTGATGGAGATGCAGAAATATATAAGGAAGAGGTCAGAGGAGAAATGGCTTAGAATAAGACGCTAGAATGCTAAATTCCTGCTAAAGACTTTGCATCGGGAAAGCGTCGTTGAGCTGCAAGGGTTGAGATGAGTATGAAGTGCGCAAACTGAAGGTTGTCGTCAACGCGGAATATATCATCATAGCTATGCATTGCCCCACTAGATAATCCGAGCCTTGCTGCTGCCTAGAATAGAGTAGATGAGCGGCCAAGAGAACAAGGCTGGCACCGAAACCGGAGACTGGCAGAAGGCAAAGGGATAAGAACCGTGCTTCCCCGCACCCCTTTTCCCTACACGGCCTTCGGAAGTGACCGCAGTCCATATTGATACGGAAGCAAGTTATAGGAAAGTGAGCAAGTCCTATGGCTTGGCAGGGACGTCCTTTGATAGGCTATTACGAAATTCTAACAATGAACTCATTCAGGTTGACCCATCAGCTCAGTGTGGGATCACCGCGAAACGGGGGCGTGTTCATGGTATGCTGTGGTGTCGCATGTTCACGACTTAGGTGGTGGTATGATTATACCACCTGCCACGTCTTCGTACGTACCGCGGCCTCGAACATTTGAGGACATGGGCTTCGATGCTGCCATGAAATGATGCAGGCAAGAAACTGGCGAGGCTGGATCTCAGAAGTACCCTAGTGCTCGTCGTGCTCAACTTTGAGTATTTTGCTGTTGCCGGAAGGGCTGTCCAGGCATGCGGCCTCACGAACCCGTGTGGCATGGTAGATACGGATCGTGCTGCTGGACTCAGGGGTTGGGAGGGAGAATCAGGTCGTATGTTCCACATGTTCTCAAATATCCAAGGCAGACCTGCTGCTCAGCTTTCAAGACGTGACGAAGGACACCCCTTTGCGCATCATGGCCGTGAAGAATCCAGCTTCCGCCACTCGCCATATGGCGCTGAGGCATCCCAGATGCCCGAAGCACACTGCATGGATGATCAGTTGACATGAGCCTCAAACAGGTATATTGAGGAATTGGATGGAAACGGTTCATTCAGCTGCCAATTTATGGAGCCGAGGGAGCTCAGCTCCATCATCTCGAGGCGAGGGCAAGCCAGCAAGAAACCGGGAGGAGGTGCTTTACAAGAAGCTGAGAATACCGGTACTCAGCGCGCAGTCTTGTATGATATGTGGCGAATAGTCTGTCGCATTGTTCGACGCCCTCGTGGACAGAATGGGAAGAAGCAATCCTTCCGGAAGTAGACAGCGCTAGCGACGAGGGCTGGGCAAGTCCACAGAATCCTTCGAGAGCAGGTCGCGACAGCTGCTCACAGGTGTGAGCACCTCGGGCCAGTGCACTTTTACACGGACCACAGATCCCTTGCCCTTGTCCTTGTCCACGAAGGAAGGACCGACCAGACGCCAGGAGCTCTGGTTCTAATGACGTATCGTATTGTTGACTTAAGGTTAAGGTTCGATCCTTCTCGACATTTGTTCCTTTGGCGAATTCTATCTCCTTCGCATTAATTTTCAAGTATCGCGACTCTTTCTGCATTTGCATGTACGACCAGACCTGACGAGCAGCGGCACAGTTCCAGCAAGGCTCTCCAGCGATCAGGACCTGAACAACGTGTACAGACTGTCACAAGACTCGGGCCACGGTCGTGGTGGTGTTGGGTAACTGGCTAGGTACATATGACTGATACATAGAACGTCACTCGTTCATGCATGCTAAAGTGAACGGCGACGCATTCACTACGTCGAACAGGAGGCCCTTGACTCTCGTCGCTTGAGTCCAGACTATACGGCTTATCGACTCCGAATATGGTTTAATATATACAGCTGCCCTGGGCAGGCCAGGAAGGAGTCGACAGCAACAAAGACGAGCTGCGGGACCGTACAATCTCCAGCCTTTCCATCCTAAGAAAGCCCCGAGGAGGTAAGTGGTAATACAGAAAAGCCCCCGAAATTCCACCAATGCTCTAATCCCCATGTCCATTACTATTTCATCTGACCGTAGACTCTCAATATGTTTGCGATGTACTTCAACTCCAGGGCCTCTGCTGCCTGCAGCGGTGTATGACCAGACCAACTAGGTAGGTTGGGATTTGCCCCGTGTGCCAGCAGAAAGCTCACAGCAACAGGATTACCAGCAGCCACGGCATAATGCAGCGGCGTGCCGGTGTCCATGGTTCTTCTCCGTCGCTGATCATCTCGCGGTCTCGACTTGGGGTCCGGCTCCATCTCATTCACGTCGGCGCCGTGTTGGAGCAAGATGCCCATCACTTCTATCCTATCCTGGTCGCCGCGATTCGGATTCTGGTTGGCTATCGCAGTGCTCGAGGCATCGGCTGTGGCGTGTAGCAGCAACGGCGTCCGCGGGTCTGCATCGAATTCTATCAGAGCCTTGACCACCTCGGGCGTGTGGAGCCGGACCGCAACCATGATGGGCGTGAACCCATCCTCGGAGAGGTTGGGGTTTGCGCCGTGTTCTAGAAGCCAGCGACAGACGGGTGGGTTTCCGAGAGCTGCACTGTTACGTTGTGAGCTGTAGATCGCGGGTTGGGTGGATTACCAGGGCCTTACCGCAGAGGTGTCGAGAACCTCCAGCCACCTCCCTGAGCTATATAGCTCCGATTGACGTCCCACTTGTGTTCGAAGAGGAGCTCGCATAGCTCGACGGAGCCCGAGGTGAGCACGGCGCAGACGAGCTCGTCGTCGACGACTGCCCCGTTCGCGATGAAAAAGCGGGTGACGTCGATGCGACCGTGGGCGGCGGCGGCGCGTATGGAGCGTTCGAGGACGGCGCTGGCTCCGGCAACAGCTCTCTCATTGAGAGGAATGGTACGATCGTGGCTCAGTAGCAAGCTAGGCAGGAACCTCTTGACGGCGTCGAGGTTGCCGGCTTCTGCAGCTTCTTCCATGGCGTGAATCCTTTTCCATCAGGTCTTGACTCTTCTGGGGATAGAGGAGTCACATGTGCCGGAGGGGTAAAAGGGCTGCGGTAACTGCGGCGAGGGCAGGACAAAGCCGCAAGGCCGCAAAGGGCATCATGCCGTCAGCGTCTATCAACTTGAACTGACCCATGTTACATTCGAAGGACTCGAGCCTGGCGGCGTGGCGCGGGGACAATGTAACCTGCATGCTGACGGGGTAAGACATGGACGCGAGCAGATGCTCCCCTGTCTCGGAACGTTCGAAATGTTCCAAAGGTTCGAAATGGAAAACTTATGCACGGTACTTCGGTAGCACGCGATCAGCTACGTATGCGGCACCACTGTCAGATGTCTGCTAGTCGAGGGGAGGACATCCAAGTCAGCCATTCGAGGTATACGCCTGAATGAGACATGGGATGAATTTGAGAGGCCAAGGTACGATGTAATGTAGAGAGGTATGCATTCAATGTTGGTGCATATGGCCACACGGAAGCGACACTGTACTGTATAGCCCGCTAGACCCCGCAAACGAGCGCTGAAGATTAGGGTATTTTCACTTGAGGTGCCCTGGGCTGATCGTTACAGGTTCACCCCACCAAGACTTTTCCACTGTCACCACCTCAACTTCATCTACCAATGCATGTGAGGTCGTTGACAAAACACAACGTAATGGACGACCCAACTTCATGACATTCGGCAGCGACCAGGACTCCCTCATCCGCTCCCTGTGCCCTAATTCAATCGATTCCGCCATTCTCCATGCTGTCATCAATGCCGTCGTAACATAACGAATGACCGTAAGTATTGGCGAATGCACGACATGCCTGAAACTTTTGCGTAAGCGCCCAACACCTCAGCTGCACTCTTATCACCACCGCCTCGAACATGAGGCTCCGCCAATCAAATAAGGGAAAGCGATTCGGCCCTTCCGACTTTGCACTGAGCCTTGACCTCTCGGATGACGGGCAAGCAGCGCTCGCTCGGCAGGCCAACGAATCATCTGAGGAGGAATATGTCGTCAACGAGCCTGGGGTAGATGAAGGGGACGACGATGATATCCTTGCGGATTTCAACGACAGCGAGGACGATGACGATGGCGGCGATTTCGAGGAAGCATTGTCACACGTCGGGTCGCCCGTCAGGAAGCAGCCGGGCCCTGGCGGAAAGCCCATGAAGCGTGCACCTCCGCCGCCCCCGGACAATAACCTAGGCGAGGTTCCACCTTACCCGTCGGATCCGGGCCAGCGGTGGACCAGGACCTACCTTGGCCCGGTCAAGAGATGGACTCGAATCCACGAGATGGTAACCTATTGGTTCAGCGACAGAGCGAACTACCGAACCGTCTTCAATGGGTTTCTACGACTCTGGTGGGATCAGCCCATTCTTCCACCCAAGCTCACGTCAAACCCCGCACTCCTGAAGGTGCAGGCTGGATGGATGCCTGCCGACTTTGTCGAAAATCAGGAGGCCGCGTTTGGGCAATGGTACCACAATGTTCTGGTTGCACACGGGCGCCGGCAAAAGTCCATTCTGATCGACAGGGCCAGAGCTTTCCGTTGGTTCCTACCACAGGCCGAAGGGGACTGGACCATACGGCTGGGTCACGTCTCGAGTCAGAAGGATTATCAGATCAGGCAAGGCGAGAGCATATCCTTTTCCGACGCAGGGGTTCCGATCGACAAGACGGACAGCGACGATATCAAAACCGGTGGTTGGCTTCTGGACGTTGGAGGTGTTATTGTGTCTATGGGCTGGGCACCAGCTAGGGGTCAAAGTCATCAACTCCTAGCTCTAGCAGTCGTGCCATTTTCCGACTCGGCGTACTATGAGGACTTAAGGGATGAACCGACAGAGTCAGAGAAGAAAGAGGGGACAGTCCAGATCTGGAAATTTGAAGCAGACAAGGATCCTCGAGGCATACTTCGGCCAGCTCGACGTTCGCCACAATTGGTGCATGCTATATGCTTCAGTTGGGGTAGAGTGACGCGAATGCAATGGTGTCCCGTGACGCTCGCAGTCGACGACCAACTAGGCCTCTTGGGGGTTCTATGCAATGACGGGATACTAAGGGTATTAGGGGTCCAGAGAGCTTCAGAGGAGAGCAGCAAGGGAATATTTGGTCAGTGCGCACACGGTCATTCTAGGACAAGACTAATGGTGAAACAGAGGAGGTGCAGGAACCCATGGTCACCATTGAACCACCAAAGGAGTACACCGTCCAGATCACTTCATTCACATGGATCAATACGAACCGCATAGCAGCTGGTCTCTCAGATGGGTCTATAGGGGTGTGGTCCATCTCCCCTTGTCGGTTCCTCCAACGGCACCCTGTCCACTCAAGCGCGGTTATGGACATTGTGTCGGGGTACCCTTCTGACCCTTTCATTGTTGGCACGATACCTGTGGGTGGTCTTCTGACCGTCACCGACCTTAGCCGACCCAACGCGGAGATGACATACCACCCAAACATGCTCATCTCTCTTCAACCAAATCTCCTGGCATGGAGCCACCATGTGCGAGGTTTCGCAGCGATATGGCCGTCCGCCTTCCCCGGCAACCCTAATGTCACTTTTCTACCGGCCCGTGTGTTCCCCCTTTCCCGCCATATATGCACGTTAACTGGTCAACCTACGTGTATTGCTTTCGGGAGCTGTCATCCATACGTCCTTATTGGATCCAATGACGGCAGCGTGACGGTCTTCAACGTGCTACGAAAGCTCTCAGCGGACAGAAAGCCGGTTTACAAGTTGAAGTTATTCCAGCACGAGTACCGACCGCCTACCCAACAATCTTCCGGTGCCTATGAGGACGACCAAGAAACGCTCCGTGGCGCATCTCGCATACTACATGGTTTCCTACCCGAGCCGAACACCCATCCGGGCAACACACTGGTCAATAACAGCAAGAGCAAGAACAAGAAGGACAAGCAAGGCAAAGGAAAAGGCCGGGCCAGCAAGTCCTCAAAGCAAGCAGAGGAAGCCGTTATCGACCTGGATGAGATGATGGAGCAAGGCGTGGGGAGGAGCAGAGCGATGGCGGGTCCCATCACAATCCACGATCCGCTGACCCGGATCACGAGTCTGTCCTGGAATCCGAACGTCGAGTACAGCTGGTGGGCGGCGGCGGCGATGGGCTCCGGGTTGATACGCGTGATGGATCTCGGATTCGAGCGGGACGGGGACCCGGTAGAAAATGAGACGCCTGAGCCGTCTGTCGTAGGCGACGGCTTCATGATGGACGAGGATGATGATATAATGGAGGTTGACGGGGAGATGGGTTGATGGATGGACTAGCTTCTAGTCTAAGCAGGGCCTCTGTCTGTGAACTTGCAGGTTTTCGAATCGTGATTGCTGGTGGTCTCAGAGTTACTAGTTGGGCAAGGCGTGTTGCAACCCTCTGCTATGACTTAGAAGTGTCATGAGATCAGACAAGTGTCAAGACTTCCATCGCAACAGACCTGATCCGACACGCTGTCTTACAGCTTACTAGAGATGATCAAACCATACTCATGGAGCAGCTACGATGAATCTGCCTTTTGGGAAAATTCGACCTGGTCAGGAGGCGAGTCGGAGGCCAGAGGATGAAGAGAGGATTACCCCTTTCTCTTCATATCTGCGCACGCTATGCCGCTTTAGCCTATCTGGGTGTTCGGTGTTGTGACGTGTGGGCTGTTGATCTGATCAGATACACCGAGCGCAGCTAAATTCTGAAGACTATCTATGTGTTCGAAGTACCTCCTGTTCATCGTCCTCGGCTCGCTCTATCTCCGCCAATATGTGATCGTTCAGGGCCACCCCATTTTTTCGGTAAAGGTAGACAGTAACACTTCAGTGGATGACTCTATCATGCATGTCTAATTCTTTCTATGGGTTACAAAACGGAACTTTCTATACGGACAGTCTTGTCATTTCTCGTCATCGTACCATCGACTCCTCTAATACTCTCCATGAACAAGCCACGAGACGAGCGGCTTGGCGGTTATACACACCTCATCAATAGGCACCATTCAATGTACCGGATGTCGCGTCATAACCATGTGCGTCACACGATTAGCATTGCGCTCCCATGATACTATGGTGGTAATCAAACGCCTTCGCCATGCCAATCAGATGCGACGCAGCGGCGAAAAGGATGAGAACGTGGAAGAGCTGATGCGAACTGCCCCAGATGTCAAAGGTCTCCGGAAAGCTCCGCTCAGGCCACCGAAACTGTAGAAGGAATCAATATCGTACTACTAGACGCAAGAAAGACCACGGGTAAGTTTTAAGGCTTACTGCATATAGGAAGGCCCCGAATATGTAGAGGAACCCTTCAAGAAGAACCCAGTTCAGACCCATCTGCTCATTTAGTGACTCGTATCCGTAGATCACGAGCCCGTGGCATATCGGGACGACGCCGGAGACGCCGAGCCCGACGAACATGGACGTGCGGTAGACCCTCCAGTTGGGAGTCCGGAACTTCTCGACCCATGACACGACGCCGCATCCTAGGCCAAGGAGGAAGATCTTGGATCCCGTCAGCATACCTCACTTCCAACGGGAAAAGCTACTGTATTCCCAAGCCGCAGGAGGAAGAAGTATGTACAACTTACCCCGTACAGATACACTGTCAGAAGCCGCGGCTCACAGACCAGCGCATAATACAGCGCCGGCACATAGCTCCCCACAATCAAGGCCACAATGCCCGAATAATCTAGCTTGTTTCCCCACTTTGCGACGCCCTCTGAGTGGTTCATGACCGCATGGTACGTCGCGCTCATGCCCAGACACGCCACGGCGCCGGCGAAGAAGCACGCGAACACCAGCACGTCCACCTCGCTCGCCGACGCATACCGCGGCGCCACGACGCCGTGCAGCCAGATGCCGATTGACGGAAAAGCCAGCGCGCCGAGCACGTGCGTCCAGATGTTGACGGTCTCGTTGTGCAGGTAGAACAGCGATTTGAGTGAGGCGAGGTAGCTGTTGCTGTGGCGCCGGTAGCCTGAGAGGAGGTACGCGTTGTCGCGCCGCCAGGCTGGCAGGTCGTCCCAGAGGACTAGCAGTGTGGATGTGAGCTTGGACTCGACTTGCTTGGCCGTTGCCGACAGCGACGAGGCGGCGGCGCTGAGGGCGTTGGAGGCCGAAGAGCGCCGGCGCGGCCGCTGTCGCGGACCGGAGGGGGGGTGCGTGTTTGTTGAGGCCATGATGGGGTTTGGTGGGGCTGGCAGGGTGAGAGGGAGGGCTGTTTGCGGCGCTTGGTGAGAGAGTGTGGTGATGAGAGGCTGGCCGTCTAGCTTTATGTCATGTCTATTTCATCAGATTAGGTTATCTAGGGTATGCGATTCCCAATTCAGACGTGGTAGGATGAGCTGTCGAGTCGATCTAGTGTTATTCTATCCATAGGATTTGCAGGCCGAGCTTTCATGTGCCAGAGGCGGTGGATCGCTCGCAGCTGCTGCCAGCTGCAGACTTTCCCCCTGAGTCTGTTGACTGTAGCGATTTCTGCTCCAAGTAAACGGCCTCTTCCATGCACGATATGACTACGCAAGCATATAACAGCGGTAACATCATGACTAAGAAACCTATGGCAAAGGAATGTCGCTCAACGAGTCATCGAAATCTACGTATGTGACAAACTGATAGCAGTGAAACAACGGATCGTCGTATCGTCACTTCGGCAACACCCCACCCACCCTACGCTTAACAGCCACGCATCCCAAGGCATTGAACATTGAACGGTCAGTACCCCAGGCAGTAAAAATATGTGCCTACATCGCTTCACCAAGAAATCACTCCACCACCTATTAAACTTCGATCATCTTGGGCTACCTCTCGACCACACACACCACAGGACCAAATCAAAAAATTCATCATGGATTACTGCGAAAAGCTCAGTCTAGAGTCTGACCCTATTGAACGTGCTTTGTCCTGAGCGAAACCCTATCCACTTGCTTGCCAGCACGTCCTGGATCGAATCCTAGACTTACGAAAAACCCCCGGAAAGGATTTTGTCTCATACCACTGTTACGAACCAACAAATACCATGGCCTGTTGGAGGGCCAAGGGGAGTACACCAAGAACCAATGGAATCAGAAGCCAGGAACGGAACAATGGGTATTACGGATTACATAACATAGGTCATGTGACGGATCACTGGATCAGGGAGTGAGCCAGTGAGCATCACTCTGGGACAAGGTGATCCTACTCCATCAGTGAGGGAGAGATTGGATATATAAGGGCGGACATTTCCCAGCTAGATAGATAGACAGTCTCTACCTCAGTGATCAATCTAAGCATCTTAGCCAACCCTAAGGTGGGAGAAATCTCCTGACGACTCGACTATTCAGTGAACCCAGTTCAGACCAAGCCCCAGCATCTGAGTGTCTTCTAGTTGACAGAAGCCTCTATCGTCTTTTGTGTTGACTTACCTTAGAACATAAACCCTATAGAACCCTTTAGCCTTATAGGTTAGACGGCTCGTCACAACCACTATACCAAGAGGACTTAAGGGTTGTCGTTAGCACAGGGCGTCGGTGAAAAATTGGGCTTATTTTACGGTACATATGGGCAGGGGGTCTGGTTGCTAGGGAACTCAATCTTGCATACGATACGAACATAGACCGCATTCACCTTACTCCGTTGCGCCCAAAGATGGTCGGCATTCAAAGACGCTCATGCCAGACACATTGTGCGGTGCTCCATCGACTTCTTGACGCCCTGTCAGAGAAGCACGCCTCGGATATCCGAGATATCCAGCAAGGTTTACCATTTTAACTACTAGTCGAAGAAAATTTCGAACAGTCCTCACAAAAACAGGGAGTGGTCATGTTTCAAGCAAGATGTCAATCAGTTGGAAGTATAGAACAAATACAGGCGCAGCGAAGGATGATTTCCTTCGACGCGCAACTTCAAGACGGCGCTTCGGCTAAAGCATTCATTGGAGCCGTAGGTCAGTGGACGAAGCCTCCAAAAGCTGAGGAGCGAGTCCGGCTTGGTCCTGCATTTTTCTCTACTATGAAAGATATCATCGACGTGGGCCTGATTCGGGAGAGAGTCTAGCAAGCGTTATTTCAACCAGGTCCCGAAAACGACACAGAGACAGAGTTCCTGAATGGATTGCTCGCGGAGTTGAACTCGGAGCTCCAACCTTTGGACCATGCCATGTCCAACGAACTGCGATGCAAAATACTCGAGGAGCTGGAGGTTGTTTGTTGTGCTCCGTCTCCTTCAGTGACGATCAGTGCTGACCAAGACGCCGCTCGCAAAAGTCTTCCCATGAGTTGGAACCACCTACATTAGAAGACGACAAATAGCGTGCAACAAAGCCCTGGGGTAATTGTGGAGAGGACCGACGACACACATGGGAAACCACACATCGAGGAGAAAACAGAAGACTGACCAGGCAGATATATACACCGGGATCAGCAGGACAATGACACTACCATTCGCATGAACCTCGTGCGCCTACTCACCGTCGCTGTCGGAATGAAGGACCAGTGGACCGCTGAGAACAAGACAAGAGTCTGTCGCCAAGGACTGTGGCATCACCTCTGGTGATACCGTTCAGTACTCAGTTAAGCTACTGGGGGCATTATCCCACGCACCGACGATAATCGCAATCCGCAATCAACATGCAGCCATCTTGAACCAAATGTGCGGCAACGAAGATCGAGCTCAGCTATATCCCACCTACCGATGGCATGACTTTGGATTCTGCCCTGTCAGCTGCTGGAGTCACAATCAAATCAAAGTCAGGACGCGATGCCGGTTACACTTCGGCTGGGACCCAGTATTATTCATAACCAGAGCTGGGTCATAGGAGATTCATGTAGAGAGTGTGTAATAAGTTATTGAGAACTGTCTCGTTGTCACGAGGCCTTGGACCTGATACATGCGACGTTGGGGGTGATTGACAGGTATGAGCACCAAATGCCTGCTCAACCAACTGCAGTTCACTCTGTCGATGGCTGTGGTGCGGCGGTCTATCTGGTTTGCCTATTGTTTATCCCTTAGGTGATGCAGTTGGGAACAGTTTGGAGCCTGTCGACCCGAGACCAGGTAAGGGTTGTGACCCCACAGTTGGCCACACCTGACATTACCTGCATCGACCCCGGCATGGAAGTGCTTTTCCTTGCTGATGGCAACTACAGGTCTCTCTGTTGTCACTCTCCCTTCCCGAATAATCAAGCTCCAGCCATCGACGAGCTTGCCTTCCTGGCGCATGCGACTTCAATACACAATACTCTCATCCTGCGCCCCGACATCAGTCCCATTCCGTAGCCATGGTCATTGCGATTGCTCGAGCCGGCCTGGCTGATCTGCGAGCCTTGGCGGAAATCAACCAGAGAACGTCCTCCCAAGAGCCAGTGTTTCGGTTCGCGTTCAAAGACGGGGCGGATAGGCAAACCTTGGTCGGGTTCTTCGAAGTGAGAATCGCCAGCCGCTTCGATGACCCCCTCACCGAGATCTTCAAGGCTGTCGATGACTCCACCGGCGAAATCGCAGGTTACGCTTGCTGGACCCTTGAACCACTCGGCAAAGCCAAAGAGCCGCCAACTGGAAAAGTGATTCAGAACGTGGATATGTCCTGCATGAACCTCGATTTCGTTATGGCTGCTGGGGTCATAGCGGAAAAGCTGAACAAGTATAGGAAAGGAGAAGAGCACTACTGTGAGTACTTATCACCAAGACCGGCTATGGTCTTGTCAGAAGAGAACGACGTGTCCTGACACCATGCAGACCTATCAGGTTTCGCAGTAACGCCTCTGCATCAGGGGCAGGGCATCGGCACACAACTCCTCAAGCACTGTCTCCAGCTCGCTGACAAGGCGTCGCTCCCCACCTGGCTTACCGCGCTTCCTGGGTCGCATACCTTGTATTTGCGTGAAGGGTTCACTGATGTGGATCACCAAGACTTCGACTTGAATTCGTGGGACAGGGATCGCTGTCGTGGTTATGGAATTTACAGGCAGTACGCCATGGTAAGACGATCGTCTTGATGTTGGCGGGTCTTCTAGGCTGAGGCAATCAACGTCTGTCAAGAACCCATTGATGCACAATCTATGCGGTACTGCACAAGTACTGTACATGCGGAACACGTGTCGACGGAAAGGTTACGGATCTTAGGATCTACTTATCAATATTTATGCAACTGCCAACCACCCCCTTGCCGCCGTCACGTCCCAAATGGTTGTTGGCTGCAGGTCACACCGTGGAGTGGGGCCCCAACTCACCGTTTCAAATGGGACAGTCAGCGCGTCCATTGCGCGACGTTCTTCTTGTCTGCCTCGAGGCTTCTGACTCCCTTGCAATTTTCAGACCCGTGGTAGGCCAGCTTCGTGAAGCTGGACAGCGCTTACCATGGCTGATACAGCGACAAAAGTGTACGAGATAGTAGTGCTAGGCGGCAACTTTGGCGGCCTTGGCGCCACACATTATCTTCTTCGCCATACTATCCCAAGCCTTCAAAGGACCAACAAAGGCAGTCTCTTTCATATCACGCTTGTATCACCAAACAGGCAGGCCTACTTCAAAATTGGTAGCCCGCGTACGCTGGTCCAGCCCAACCTGCTACCGGAGGCCAGGCTCTGGAAGCCACTATCCGAGGCCTTCGCGCAGTACCCATCGGACCAAGTCACAGTCGTGCAAGCCGTGGCCACCGGCTTGTCTTCCCATGAACGAACCGTCACTGTTACGCACAGAGGGCCGGACGCGTCGGTGGCGTCAGAGAGCATGATCCCTTACGACGCGCTCCTAATTGCTACCGGCACCACCGCGCCAAGTCCGCTGTGGACTCTGCACGAGGACGAGTCGCTCACGTCGCGGGAATTCGAGGCGGTGCAGAAGGCACTCCCCACGGCCAAGACCATACTGGTAGCTGGAGGAGGACCCGTAGGCATCGAGACCGCTGGCGAACTGGCCTCCGCCTACCCTTCAGCAGAAATCACCCTCCTGTCCGGTGGGTCCGGCTTGCTCCCGCGCGTGAGAAGCAAGATCGGCGCGAGGGCGCAGAGCTATCTGCAAGATCATTTCGGGGTCAACGTGGTTCATGACTTGCGGGTGTCGAGCACATCTGCCGGAGGCCCAGGCACGGGCCCCACAGAAGTCACCCTGAGCGACGGCACGACACGGCCCGTAGACCTTTATATCGACGCCACGGGCGGCGTGCCGAACTCGCAGTTCCTGCCTCCGGGCTGGCTGGATGTCACGGGTCGAATCAACACGCGGGACGCCCACTTCCGCGTTCAGGGTGACGCTGGCGATGGCGTCTACGTGCTGGGCGACATCGTCGCGGGGAGCAACAACACGCTCTTCGACCTCGACGCCATGGTGCCGACCGTCTGCTCGGCGGTTGCCGTAGACCTGGCGGCGCTGCTGAGCCCGGGGGCGCAACCAGCTTCCCGACCGGGTCTCTTGGGCATATTCTTCGGGGGCGGCGGTTCTGCTTCGGGCGTGCCGGCGGAGAAGGAGTTTAGCCCCATGAGGGATACGATGCTCGTTCCAATGGGCACGGGCGGTGGCGTGGGCATGGTGATGGGGTGGCAGGTGCCCAGCTGGTTCGTCCGGATGGTGAAGTCTAAGTCGTATCTGATAGATATGTTCGATCCCGTAGTGGCTGGAAGCAAATGGGGGAAGGCGTAAAAGATTTTTTACGATGTAGTCGAGTCGGGTGAGGGCAAGCAGATCGGCGGCGCCTGGGATCTATTCATGCAAGCAAATCACGTATATGGAGCAGCGTTTTTGCAACGTGTCCCAGATGGCGGCCTTGCACCCGAATGAAATAAGACAAGCACATGTCGCCTCTCGGTAGAACTCTAGTAGGTCGTAGACTAGCTTGATTGACAATCCGCAGTAGGAACCCCCACTCTATGAAAGTAACTGATTCTTGGTATGGTATCTCCGGCGTTGGCAAACGCAGTTTCAGACAATAATCTTTCTCCCAACCACTTAGACTGCTGGAGGCTAGCATGTCACGTCTGCTAACTGGGGCGGAACCGAGTGTCTCGTCCTCCTGTGACCCCTTCATCTGAATCAGGGTGACTACGCTCCCTCCTATACACACACGTATTAGTCGACTCGTCCCTTCCTCTAGGCTCTCTTAGCCTGCGTCCCGAGCCACGTTGCACGGGATTACTTACGTGACTTCGGTATACATGGGATCTCCCATGTCGATCTAGACGGTTGGCTCGTCGGCCCGGGGCGAGCGTTTGAAGAAATCGGGAACCACTTTGATGTGCTGAGGGTATGGCTCGTCCGTGGTCGAGACGGCCTGTCCGGCTGGGATATCTTATTGCTGTCAGACAGGGGCTGTTTCGGGTTCGCGAAGATATCTCACCTTTGGCTATTGGCGTCGCCATCGCCAGTCGCAACGCGAGAGCCAGAACCGCGATCAAGCTTTCGGGAATCTGCATATTGATGTCAGGTATGGTACAGACTAAAGGTGGACGACTAGGTAATAAGGTTCCGCGGATTAGTCGTCTAGGGTTTACTTAGAGTCTTCCTATTTGCACCTTACCGCGCAGCCTTATTTGCACCTTAACTTAATCAGCCAGCTGCTATTACTTACTACCGCTTAGCATTAAACCTTATTTATATTACATTTTATAGTTATAATTAGCAATTAGTTCTTTTATATTGCTATAATTTATTAAATTCTTTTAATGTTGGAACAGGCTTGAACGATCAATCATAATACTCGAGTATGGGGTCAAGGTCATGATGTTGCTGATGGTTGGATTGAGAGGAATCTAGCTGGACTCGAAGGTCTGGCTAAGTGCCCTCTCAATCCACTATCTTATCTTATCTAATCATACATGTGGGTCCTGGTATAGATGGTTTGCAGTCTGGAATCGCATGGATCCAACATTTAATAGTATTATTATATTTACGTTGTGTAATTTATCTTTGCTTTTTATATACTTTAAATAAAATGTTTTACTTTTATGACTTTTATTCCTACGATCGTTATACTTAATATTATTACTATTAACTTTGATAGCGATTAAAGAATCGTTAAATTCAATATCAATAATATACGCAGCTTATTATTTTTATTCTTAACCGCGACAACCATTTTACTTTTACTTAATTATTATTACGGCTATAAGGTTCTTTTTAATAATTTTAAGGTTATTTTGTATATTTATATAAAAACTTATAGTTTTAATATCATAAAAAAGCATAGTATGAACTTCAAAAAGAATAATAAAAACGGTAATAAATTATTTACTCATATCAATTCTATATACAATTAAAGCGGCCGTGGTATGTTTAAACGTTTAAGGTTTTATATTATTATAGTAATGAAATTATTAACCACATTTAAAAAGCTAAATCTTATTATACTGTTATAAATAACTAGTAGTAATAATCAAAAAAATACAAAAAAACCCTTTTATATAAATTTAGCTTTATTTTACTATTAAAAACTTATTTATAGTATTGGTATTTAAATCAAAATACATTTTATAAAGTTAAAATATTAATATAATTTATTTAAAAGACCTTACTTATAAGATGTGTTTTAATCAATCAAGTAGTTACTAGGTAAATAAAATAAAAGAGTTATAATTATATAATAAATGTAGTTCTTTTACTTAGCTAGATAATTAACCTAGGTATAATAGTATATTCAACCTTTATATTTATTCGCTTCATATAACAATATTTTTTTAACAACCGTAAAAGGATAGTAGGTTTAAAGTAACTTTTTTATTAATTAAGCTTTGTATATATTACTATATATTTTTAATCGCGAGCCTTCAAGCCGATCGACGCGATTTAAATGATATAGCGTTATAACGTGACTTTTAAAGCCGTTTTACCACGCCGTATCAATAGCTCGTAACCTTGCTTTTAAGACTCGCGTTTTAATTTACCATATTAATAGTTCGTTTTTTTAAAGGCTTTAATATTACCTTACTAGCGTTTATTACGCTAAATGAACGATTCGAACGATATTGAAATTATTAATAGCTTTATTAGGGTTTTCAAGGCTTAATAACGCCGTTATTATTATCTTTTTTGTAAAGTTACCTCGCTTTGTTTTAATTTATATTAGATTCACTTAAAATTGCTATATTTATTAAAGTTAAACGATATTTTCGCTGCTTTACGCCGAAATCTTAACTTATTAAACCTTTAATTTATTAAATCATAACATACTTTTCTTTTGTTCTATTACCCGCGGAGTTATTTTGCTCTAATAATAATAATAATAATTATATTTACAGTGATTTTTACCACGTTCAAAGTACTTTAAAAAGCACGGTGATATATAACGAATGATTCCCTTAATAAATCCTTCGTTTTTACGAGCCGATCGGTTTTAATTTCGTTTTTAAGCGATAACAACTCTTGTAACCCCCTTATTTAATACATTTGAATACTTTAATTTATATTAAACTTCTTCAAAAGCTTCGTATTTTACAAATTTTATCAAATTTTATAGTTATTTTTTAGAATTAAACGATTATAGTACAAGTTATTTATTAATAACAGTTTATATATATATATATATATATGATTTTGTTACCTTCTAAGATTCCAGCTATTAGAACACATCAGCCTTACTTTATTATAATAGAGTGTTATAATTATAAGTTAAACGAGAATAAATACGAAGTTATATTTTTTACGACTGTTTATAATTATACTGCTACCGCTACTTATTTACCGAGGTTTTAAGCCTTAAAACGCGTAAGATAATAAAAGATTTTTTTCGAAAAGTTGTTTTGATGAAGCAGTATATAATATAAGGTATTATATTTAATAATTATATATTTTTGTTATTATGAAGCCGGCCGTATTTAAAACGACAGTCGTGCCGATATATATATTATATACGTGTTAAAGATATAATAAGGTTTATTATAATAAAAGCGGCTTTTGAAACTATTAATAGTATTATTATTTTATACATATTAAAAAATCTCGTTTGCTTTTTCTGAAACTTTTAGCCTTTTTTATAATTTCGATTTGCGGTAAAATAAAACGCCGGTAGATATTACCGATTAATATATTAAAGAATTAATTGAATTAAAGGTATTTTATTTCGGGAATAAAATTATAGCTCTTTAAACTATGTGTTTTATAAGTTTGCCGTTGTTATAAGCATTATTTCCTTTTTAATAATTATTTATTTATTTATATACTTAAAACTAGGCTGCTTTAAAATGAAACCTTAAACGCCTAGTTATTCGAGCCTTACTAATATATATAATAATACTTTAAGTTCGAGTCTTGTTAATATATACGGTAATACTCTTTTAAAGTTTTATTAATATATATGTTAATATCTTTTCAAGCCTTATAAACGGTATATTTAATACGTCTTTAAGCCTTATTAACATTATTTTAAACGTTAATAATAATATTAAAAGTAACTCTTTTTTACCGCGGGTATATAATTATAAAACCCCCGATTTTACCGACTTTAATACTTCGTTGAAATATTATTCGTTTATTAAGCCTTTAAGTATAAGTACCGCTAGGTAATCGAGGATAACGTTAAGTCAAAATAACCGCGTATTTAGTTTTTACAAGCTTTTAAAAGCTAGGTTAACGGTTATTACTGTGATGGTCTGACCTCCCACCAGGTCTGACATCCCATCTGTAGTGGTCAGTGCGCTGCATCAGGTGACCTGGCGCAATAGATGCTGAATAGGAGCCGGAGATAGACACCGGAAGATCTCCAGTGGGGCAGAGACGCACAGGGCATCTGACCCACCAAGAAGACAGATAATCAATCTCTGCACACAGAGCACAACAATCAATAGAATCAATCATTATCCGTGTATTCAACAGTATCTATGCAGAAACTTACACGGTGTTGGTTGGGCCGTACGTACTAGCGAAAGCAGCAAAGACGTCCAAGGCATTCAATCGCCTCTTTCATTCCAACAGTCAGGTGTTTATCTATCATCTGACAATACTTGTCAGCTCTGTATCACCTGGCGCATCGTATCAGTCGTCGAATGTCCATGTTACTACGCACGATAGGCAGAGTACAAAATCGAGACGCTCCAAGGCGGTGACTGTATCCAATACCTAAGTGAGCTCAAACTAGCGTGAGCTTATCGATAAGTTTCAAAGCCATGTCCCACTCTTATAGCATCATCATCCCGTAGCTCTGCTACTCCAATCGTGTAGGTAGGGGGTCCGGGGTCCACGCTTCCTTCATTTAGTACGTGCGTAAACTTGCGTTGCGTGCCATTATCCTCCCGCGTATCGCCACTCTCGCGCGTGCCAGTAACCTTGTGTCAAATTTGAGCCAATCGTGAGGTTGAAGTGTGTCTGTGTGTATTCTGTGTCTCTGGAGTGTCCCTGTGCGACCGTGGCAGCTTTGTGCCAGAGGGGGCTGGATCGGGACGGAACAACTAGGTTCCGTTGTCTACCTATCAAGGTGCCCTCTGGGCTCACCTTTAATCCAACAGGTAATGGCCAATGGGGGTGTGTTGCGTGGTCACGTGACCCACTTGAGTTGGCATATTGCCCACATCTACTGCACCTGCGTACCACCTCCTGACCTTCTATAATAACAACACCAATACAGCAGATTTGCAACCTTTTGGCCTTCTTGCTATGCAATAATAGGCAACTACGTGTGAGGGTGATAGCGATTTCGGCCAGTCTGTGAAGACTTTGGCTTCCTCGGTTTTGCTTCTTGTTACAACAGCTTTGCCAGCGTTTTTTGTATACCTTGGTTCCGTTAGGATCGGTCTTGGGAAATCCGGTATGAGTCCATACGTCCTCTGGAGCCGTGTCCTTGACGCCAACCGTGAGCGGGTGGGTAAAATTAGCAACAAGTCGCGCTATATCTAGAACACGGCACAACAAAAATACATGAAGGATGGGACGATCGCCGGAAAAAGACACAAGAAAGATCAGCGCCGGAAAGCGATCCTCCTGACGCATGTGGGGAACCAGGGAACGTCGCTCAAACATTGCTCTTTCGTCTTGGTCATGCTCGGGTTGCCCACACTTACAGGACGGATCGCAACGATGGAGTTGGATGTAGGATTCCGGATTCAGGCCTTCACGTATCTATACCTAATCAGAGACTGACTGCTCAGTATGGACTCAGCGCCCCACCAGGCTTGTTTTATAAGTGTCCAGGATGGAATTAGGAACGCGCTCCATACCCACATTTAGATGTAGAAGTGTAGACACACCCAACATATATGCTTAGAGATTTATGTCATCGTCGTCGCCACCTACTAGCATCTTTCGGGGCTGTACATCTTGTACATATCTATATAACTGGGGTGGTGGAGGACGCTACTATTTACCATCCTGGTCCCCTGTAGGCCTTTCATGCTAGTCCTACTGCTTTGTTAGGACTATTATTAAAGAGAAACAGCGTTGTGGAACTGGGGCCTTGTCAGACCTTCGGTATGATTTCAACGCACACCGAGCTCCTTGTCACACTCTCTGCCTTCAGATACGTCACACGTGGACTCATGGAGACCGAGCTATGCGTTGGTCTATAATTAGTAATCGACATGATCAAATTTCCAGCCAGGTCCCACGACTTATAGCCACAGCCAACCACCAGCCATATCCAGTCAACAGCTGCGTCCAGTTAGAAGCCACGTCGCAGTCTTACAACTCCAAAGAGACATCAATCAAGACCGGGTTGAAATGCGTTTCCAGCGTGCCCTTTGCCTTGGGCTACTTGGCTTCCTAAGCCAAGGTCATGTACTGGTAAGTACGAGGGTCCGGCACAGGCACAACCTACATTCGATATCGCAACCTATGACCTTTGATGAATGATATGGCTGACCTCGCGTACCCAGGCCCACATTCTGTCCAAGAGGACCTTCTGGGAAGACGGGATGGTGGAATGGCCCCAGAAGCCCACAGTCCAATTGAAGGACATCAAGAACATGAAGGACATCCATTTGGGCCACCCAGTATATAAAGCTGAGGTCGAGGGGTTCGGCACAGTGGCGTATAAGCACTGGAACACGGGGCTCAGTAAAGATTTGGCATATAGATTGGTGGGGGCCGAGGTGGAGGCCTACAGGGCGATTGAAGGCAAATCTATCGGTCCGAAGTTTCTGGCCATAGTCGAGAAAGACGGCAGGCCTGTTGGTATCCTCCTTGAACTGATCGATGACGCCGATGCGCTAGGTGAAGGCGATTTGGAAAGCTGTGTGAACAAGCTGAAAGCTCTCCACAAACAGGGCGTCCTGTATGGAGATGACCTTGCAAGCTCTCAGTTCCTCAAGAAGCATGGGAACTTCTGGCTCATCGACTACGAGTGGGCACACCCACCCGGGAAAGATCAATCGAAGGAGGAAACGGAAGCTGAGATGGAAAGGGAGGTTGCGGTGTTAAGAGAATGGTGGGCATAACTTATCATCTAGATTAGCTTGGAAAGCTCCTAGTATATGCAGGACTGGCACCTAGAAAGAGAGAGAGAGAAAGGGAGAGGGGGGCGGGGGGGTGGTTTACATATTGTCATTGTAACTCACATCCGTATATTAACCGCATCGTTATCAAGATCAGATATCCGTATCAACCTTGCGAAGAAAGGCACGATAATCTACCAGTCAACCGGGTTTCAAGGCCACACATGTGGTCCAGCAACACCACCGTCTTCCTAATTGCTTTCACCCAGTCCGGTACCTGCGTAACGTGCTCCTCATTGAACACACGTACACCTGTTAGATTTCAAAGTGTTCTATTAAGGAGAGGAATTCCAGCTACTCTGGAGCGGCCAGAATGGCCCTATATATATCCAAGATACTAAAGGAAAGGATACGTGGCCTTATATTGGCCACGTATGTGACAGAGTCACAAATGGGGATGGTGATCCTGAAGGATGACTATGGATGGGCTAACGTAGCCCAGAATCCAACACGCCCTCTCAGACTGAGGGAATTAACATAACCAGAATATCACCCCTCTACATGAACCAGTCCTAGCAACTCCAGAAACTTGAAGAACCTTGCCTTTATCAAAGCTTTGGTGAGACCGTCTGCAGGCATTTCATTGGTTCCAAGGAAAGAGAGCCGTATATGGCCTTCCAAGATCTCCTGACGAATGTAGTGTTCCCTGACTCGAATGTGCTTAGTTCGACGATGGAATTCAGCGTTCTGAGCCAAATTAATAGCTCCAGCACTGTCTGAATGGATGTTGATAGCATTCAGAGTGAAACCAAGTTCCAGCATCACCAGGCAGCCTCTTTGACGGCTTCAGAGAGTGCGTAGTACTCCGATTCCACAGTAGACTGAGCCACAACAGTCTGCAGCTTGGATGCCCAGGAGACAGCGCCCCCAGCAAACGTGAACAGGTAGCCTGAGGTGGATTTGGCGCTGGTCTTGATGCTTCCAGCATAGCTGGCATCACAGTAACCAACCAGCAGATCCGGAATCATCTCAAGGACCTCCTGGGGGGTCTTCCTGACATATTCGGGACCTCCAAATTTGATCCCAAGATCTTGAGAGTGCCACAAGTAGCGAAGTAGGCCCAGAGCGGCCTTATATTGGGCTGAGCCAGGGTTGTGAAGGTATCGCGAGAGAACACCCATAGAGTATGCAATATCTGGTCTCGTATACGACGCAGGGAAGTTCTCAGAACCGATCAGGGACTGGTATGTCTGAATAGGACGTGTATCGACCTCAAGGTCGTTGTCCAGGGACTCCATCTGTTCCACTGCTTGAGGAGATATCGGCACGTTCATCTTGCCAGTGTTCTGCTGGTCGAACGCCTCCACAGTCCTTCTCACATACGTCTGTTGAGAGAGATATAACGTCCTCTCAGCTCGGTTTCTGACAATGTGGACTCCTAGGAAGTGTTTAGCAGCTCCCATGTCCTTCATCTCAAATGTAGAACCTAGTTCCTTCTTGAAGGCAGCGATCCCGTCACGATTAGCCCCCAAAATGAGGAAATCGTTGACATAGCTGATCACTATAATGCCACGGCTGATGTTGACATAGACTGCGTTGTCAGAGACCAGAGGGTTGAATCCGAGGTCCTTCAGAGCGCTACGAATGCGCTTCTGCCACTGCCTGGGGCTCTGCTTAAGCCCATATAGCGGTTTCGCAAGCTTCATAATCATGCCAGGTCTCCAGTTGATGGTATTCTCATCTGGATACATCTCAAAGAAGTCAGAGAGACCATCAGGCGTCTCCATGAAGATCTCTTTATCCAGTTCTCCCATCAGGAAGGCAGATACAGCATCCATCTGGTCAATTTCCCAGTCCAGAACGGCAGCAATGGCTAGAAGGAGCCTCCAGGTGGTAGTACGAGCGCCTGAGGCCTGGGTTTCAAAATAGTCGAGGCCATGGCGTTGCATGAAGCCTCGTACAACCACCCTAGCCTTGTACCGAGAGGTGTTGCCGTCAGAGTCCCTCTTCCGCTTATAGACATTGCGGCTAGAGAGAGTTTTACGCCCAGCAGGCAGATCAGACCTCCACAAAGGAATGAAGGTATTATTGCGCAGCAATGCCCGTATCTCTGTGTGAGTGCCATCCAGCCATTGAGGTGCCTCGGCAGACTCCATGGCTTCCTTGTAGCTAAAAGGCTCGTCATTACGGGGAAGTGCCTGATCAGGGTCAGAAGACGGCCAATTGGCATAAGATGCCTCGATCGTAACATGTGGAGATATGCCAGGGGTGGAAGACTCGGCCACGTAGTGGTTGTGAGTCCTCCGAGTGCGTCCTCCGGAGAGTACATTCTCTGGGTTGAGCCCTGATTGGATTCTTGACCTCGGAGCAGCCGTTGGGGCTACTTCTTGACGAGGTGGTTCAGATGATAGAAGAATCGAGTCAGCTAGAGCAGTACTAGGCTCAGGGTTGCTATATCCAGAGTCAGAATGATGACTATCATCATTATCAGAAGCGTCAGGGGACCCAAGAGGGGTCCCTAACGTGACAACTGGTTGGGGTGAATCATCTCTACCATCCCTTCCGTTATCTGACTCGATATATATATGCTGAGGATCGTGAGCGCCCTCTGGTGAAGACGGCACTGGCAGATCTTCAGCATCGGGTCTGGTTGTCTCATAGTCATCGAGTGTACCACGGAAGTTTGGAAAGATGTGGATCAAATCCCTTGAAAGTACATACCCATCTAAAATCTCAAGATGGGCAGTAACTACAACCTTTCTCAGGTGTGTAAGATACACCTGGTACTGGTTGGAACCAAGGGAACGAAGAATACGACCTCTCCTTGCGTGTGGAGTGGTCTTGTCTCCCTTAGGGCAGCGCTGCTGCGGCAAATGGACCACAGCGGCCTGCCCGATTGACAGTAAATTCGTCAAATCAGGCTTGTTATCCTTTCCAGGGTTCAGATCGTCAAAGAAAACTTTAAAGGGAGTCTTCTTAACGCCCTGGAGGAAAGATGTATAGCTCACATTGAGCCTATCACATACGGCAGGTCCAACAACCGGCCAAAGGGCTTCAGGTAGCCCGGAATCCTTCATAATACTGCGAATGAGAGCGTGTATAACGCCAAAGGATCTCTCAGCCACTCCGTTCTGCTCGGGAGTGTATGGAGCGCTGACTTCGAACAGGATACCACGTTCAGCTCCCCATTGCTTGAATCTCGCGTATTCAGAACCACCATCCATTCGGAATTGCTTCGGATAACGCCCGTACTGGGTATGAGCGCATTCACAGTAGCGAATGGCTTGGTCGGAAGCTTCCCCTTTCTTCTCGTGAGGGCAGTACTCCCTCAAACGAGACTTGCCATCCACAAATACGGTGGCATAGAGAGAACCATCATAGCCTTGGACAGAGTGCTTGGCTGTATCCATATGGACCAGGTCTAAAGCATGATCTGGATGTTCCTGCTCAACTCGAGAGACTAGGCGACGTAGATTGGACTCCAGACATTCCAGACAGGTGAATTCTTTTGCCAGCTCTCGTACATTCGGCGGCAATTCAATCCCTTTGGTGATACTGGCTGTCTTGATCAGGTCACCAATAGATCGGTGGCCAAGTCTTGTATGCCAGCGGTGGAGTAGTCTCAGCGCCACAGATTTGGCTTGAGAGGTCAGTTCCTGGGAAGAATCCTCGGATACCATATTGGTGAACACGTCCGGGGCTTGATTGATCCCGTATACGTCCTTCTGGACACTAGGGATCTCTGTCTGAACGTACATTCCTTGGTGGAATGATGCCACCCATGTACCATAGGGGTCAAACAGATCGCGGATCATCAAATACCATCCTTGGCGATACATCTGGTCTCCCGAGAGAATGTTGATTGGAAAGGAAGGCACAAATAGTACTCCAGAGATTGTCCGAGTGACGGTATCACCGTTGGAGGTAATGAATGGTATCTCCACATCGCCAACACCTTGAGGAGTAACAGGGCCTCCTCCAGTGTTAAAGGGGACCAGGTCAGGGTCTATTCGAAGGCGAGTAAACCACTTCTTGCTATTGCAAATAGGAACGGTAGAGCCTGTGTCAAATAGCTATGAGTCTGTGCTTGTCGTGGCATGAACGATGTCGATCAGATTGGTACTCGCTCCCTGGTTGGCGCTATGTGGTCCTTGAGTGAGGACAGATTGACTGGAGATGGCTTTATCGGCATAATTGCACCATTGAGCGGCGTCAGAAGCGCCAGTGCGTCCACTCTGGTGAGTGGGAGCGCTGCTTGAAGGCCTTCCATCTTTCCTAGCCTTCTCAGAGGCCTGGATGATCTGGCTGAGGATGCGTTTGTTGCATCCAAGGTGGCCCTTCTTCTTGTCAAGCTCTCCGCACTCATAGCACCAGATAGGATCCGTGGTATTGCTGTTGGAAGAGCCCTGGTTGACTCCAGGGGTTCTGGGGCCATCAAGAGATGGGTGATTACTGCCTTTCCCCTTGTTCTTCTACTTGCTCTTGCCTTTACTAGGCGTAGCAGGCTTGCCAAAGTTGGTGGCAAAGGTCTCATCTTGAGCCTTGCGAATCTGTATCTCCTCCTGGAGCCGGTACAAGAGATTCTCGGTCGTAGGGAAGATTCCACGGTTATAATCTTTCGAGATTTCGCGGTGAAGGGTTGGAAAAGCCGTCCGAATAGCAGCCAGGAAATTGGCAATGCGAATATTCGGAGGATATGTGATATTTTGCCGCAGGACCTTGTCCATTAGTCTGCGGTAGTTGCCCACGAACTTGTCTCCATGGTCAGGGAATCGAATGGCAGCCAGTTTATCTACAACGGATAAAACTGCGTCAATTCTCATGCCTGAATATGCCTGTCGCAAGGCTATCCAGATCTGACCAGGGTCAAATAAACCCGTGATACGAGAATCAGGGTCAGACTTGATGTTCTGGGTGATAGCGAGGTATAATTTTGACCTCTTGATGCTCAGACTAGCATCCAATTCAGGGGGCTTGGAAGAGGCTCCTGCGGAAGGTGTGGC